CCCCCCCCCCCAAATCTTCCCCAACGCCCCGCGTGCTCTCCGCACAGAAACCAAGCCAAGCCAAGCCAAACCAATCTATAATCCCTGAACCAACCAACTCAAACTCAACCAAGTTTCCGTAGTTCTAGATCTGATCTGCTTCTTTGCATACCTTACATACATATCCCAAGTAGCTACCTTACCTTACCTTGTTTAAGTTCCCGCTGGGGTTCGTTCTTGCGCAACTCACTCGCTTACCGCACCCCCCTTTATCGTATCCGATGATGATTTCCCGAAACAGGAGGGATGGTCCGCGCGAAAAGGGAGGGGCGACGCGACACCGCTTTTCATTAATTGATTAATTAATGCAGATGTGCTTATTGTGTGCGTGCGTGTGAGCAAGTTCTTGGGAGGCTGCAATATAAAGGGTTGCAAAGTGGCGGTCGAGAGGGTTGGGATGGTTTATGATTGGCGGGTGGGGTTGCGGAGAAGGTGGGTTCAAGGGGGTTCGTGGTTTGGTTCGTGCGTGCTTCGCATTCTTACCTAGGATGCGGAGAAGGAGGAGGAGGAGGAGGAGGGGGAGGGACTTAGGGGGTTTTTGATTTGTGGGTGTTGGCATTGGCAAGAGAATGGCGATAGGAGAGGGTGATATGATAGGGTAAGCCTTGGATCGAGCCTTGGATAATGGACAAGTGATGGCAGGTAGGTAGGTCTTTTCTAGATGAGCGGCGTGACTTTATGAACATGATGGATGTCCTTTATATATCAAGATATACAGGCAAGTTTAAAGTACTGTAGTATTTATCTTACCTCCTCCGCCTTTTTCATATAAATATTATGTCCTGATGTAAGGTATCTTTAATACATTACTTATTCCCTCTAGCACAATATCTCGAATTGAATCGTATCTTCTTCCGAACTATCTCAACACACATCTTCAAGACACGAACCTCTCTCCCTACACCATCACACAGATCCAGCACCATGACAGCTCACAAAAAGCCCCCTCCTGACACATGATACATCCCCCCAAAACAGCGCCACCCCATAAAAAGTTAAAACCACACAGGCACAAATGAGCTATCAGGTGCTACACCCGCACCAAACCCCCTACACCCACATAGCGAACTTGTCAGTACGGAAATCCTGCAAGTTTCACGACATGGCATGCATGCTGCTGCATGGTGCGGGGTGTGCATGTTTGGTGTCCGGGTTGTTCTTGTGCTTGTGTCTTGCGCATGTCCCTAATCCTAGAGCTCTGGTTGCGCGTAACTAGGATGTGGATATAGGGGTATGGAGCGGGCTGGCTGGTTTGGATGGGGGGTGAGGAGCGGGCTGGGCCGCTCTAGATAGGGATCATAGTAGATTACGGGAGATGTGACAAGTGGGGAAGCGCAGTGCGCATTCTGGGAAATACAGTCGGAGAGAGGAGAATCGGGCAAAGATTGACTTCTTTGTACTCCTCTCAGGTATACTGTATACAAGAGATAGTCCCATGGATCTCCCGTACGACCAGTTACCCCAGACTCGAAAATATGCAGCCACACTCTGCAGAGCAGTACACGGATCTTCTACTGAGCCTAAGTGGCTGTATAGTCTCTATTTCTTCACCTCCTGCTGCAGTCAAGAACCGGTTTTGGTAGTGTGACGCGAGAAGTGGCTGATCCAAAAGATAAGACGGTGTACGGTTCTTGGTCTAGTGATGCTGCGGGGAATTAGTGCATAGCTTAAGTAAACGGTGAACCTGTCACCTTACCTTGCCAAGTACCCCTCAAGTCTTTTCCTAGCAAGTTTCGGTGAGAGCACTTAAGAATATACCGTGCGCCTGCTGCACGCCGAGTATTAGAGACATGTATACCTGTCTGAGGTATCAAAGAGGAGGAGAAAAGAGAAAAAGAAAAAGAGACGATCAAAGCGTATAATAGAGTAAAAGCCAGGCATTCAAGGACTTGAAGTAGCTATAGAACTGTGCGATTTCAATCTCCGAGGGCCCAAACATATATTAACCAGTACTTCTAGACTGGAGGTGTAATCATGTAAGTAGGTGAGACTCCTCCATCCATGAAGTAATATGTAGGAAAACAGACAAGCAAGGGCTGATCGCAGAATAAATATGCTCGCATATAAGCGTATATGTGCAAAACTCAGTATGATTCACAACGCCCTCCCAACTCCAGGCGTATTAGTCTGGCTTTTCTCGCCCCTGCTTTTACGTATACCTATCACGTATGGTCGCGCCACAATTCCCAGTTTTGGAGCCCTTGGGCTCTTTGGTAGAACGTTGGAGGCTGGTCTTGAATTTGCGAGATTCTGGGTAGGATTGGGGGAACGGAAAGTTGCTCCCTCCTGTAACCATTCTGCCGTGTCTCGAACGGGCCCGCGAGGTGATGGAATGCGCATCGTATAGCCTTGTATTATGGATGCGGTTTCTGTCGGAACTTCAGGTTGACGTGGAAGCATTGGCGATGGTCCCTCATCAGTAACGGCATCTGTCCACACACTGTCCTGGCTGTCTCGGTATGACTGCTTTGGAACCGGAGATTCAAGAAGCTTGTTGGCATTTCCCGGACTAATAGGCTTCCGTTTCACGGAGTCATATTGTAACATTGGATTCTGCACTGAACCAGCATCCACCGATGGTCTTTTAGACATAAAGACGGAAGACTTTGGATTTCTCAGGGGTAGATCGGAGGTGAACCTCTGTGGTAGTGGACTGAATGGCTTTTCAGAACTTTGTAGGGGCGATTTGAGTTGGCCTCCAAGGGGACTAGATGATTCGCTGTCTTCGGGGAGCTTTATGGATCCAAACGGTGAAACGCCTTCTTGACGCTTCAGCCATGACTTTAATGATGGAGGTTTCGGCGGATTCGTGGGATCCCACGATAGTGATGTGTTGCTGACGTGAGAGTTTTGTTGCTGGGAATGTTTATTACCAAGAGGTGGTTTTGAAGACACTGATAAGCCTTGAATACCATTTTTGGAGGCATCCTTTGTTGCCATATATGTGGATTGCGACGTTATTATTGCGGTACCTGCTTTCTCGGAAACAGGAGCTTCGGAATTGGGAGCCAACGCGGAATCCCCGCCAAATTGTAGTTGATTTGCACGGGATCTCTTCTTGGCTTTCATCTTGTATTGATTGATGAGGAAAACAATAAGAATCGTTATCAAAGCAGATGCAATAATACTGCCAACTATAGCGAGAGCTGCTTGGGTGGCGGTAACTGCTGCTGTCTGCGAAGCTGTGGCATGCTGACTTGCCTGTGCAACCTGGGAAGCGGCTGATGACTAGAGTACTGTTACCTTACTATGTTTTCAGATGTAGAGATAGATTTACCCTGAAAGTAGAAACCGATGCTTGAGCTTGAAGGACTGCCTTTGAAGCATCGGACTGCACACACAGTTAGCCAGTCTTCCTTATGAATGCCACGAGGATTTTTCATCCTCTTCTTAACATGAAGAGACGTACCTGTGCAGCAGAAGCACTGAGTTGTAAACTCTGCACCGACTGAGTCGCTCGAGCCAAAGCACTCGCCGCGGAAGACTGAACGCTAAACACAGCTGAGCTCGCAGACGATGCGGCACTAGCGGCACTTCTAGACGCCGATAAGATCGACTGAGAAGCGCTCTGTTGCGCTTGTTGGATAGCTTCAGAAGCAGATCGTGAGGCCTGCTGTGCAGCTTGAGAGGCTTGCTGTATCGACTGAGATGCCTGTTGGGATGCTTGTTGCACAGCTTGAGCTGCGCTCTGCGAGAGTTGCGAACAATCATTTTGTCGAGCACGAAGCTCTGGAGCTGATGTTATATGTGCGTTTTGATTTTGAACTTGGTTTTTGCTGTTCAAGGTTGGAGATGGCGCAAGCTGCGATGTGAGGCTAGAATGAGCTTGTGGTTCATGTATCTGGCTCTCGAAGATGCAATTAGACAAATGGGAAGCTTCTCCCGCAGAGCAATCGGAGCCCATGAGTCCTGCTCTCTTGCTACCTATTGCCGGTCCGTTTATAATAATGTTGTATAATGATTGTGGAGCCGCATCATGACCTGCAGCGCAGCGACAAGAAAACGAACGAAGAGTGGGGAGAACATGGAAAGAGAACATCCACGCACTTCATAGAGGATTTAGCAATACCTTCCATCTGCAAGGTACTATACCACTTGGTATCACGATTTCATGGAAGGGTGTGACTCCGACTTGACCACTCGAGGCAAGACTGGGAATTGGCTGACATGGCATTGCCATGTAGGGATTTCTTGCGCTTTGTAGACGCATACTCGGCGATCATACGCTCTAAGACGCTTTGATATGACCATAAAACCACGACTAATACAACGTTTTCTGATGCTCTGACTAGAAGGAGACAATCATGCATAGAAGATCCGAAGTTTCATGACATCTCGAGCGGCATCCAGCTTCATGCGAGAAATCCTCATTCTGTATCAGACCCCAGCTATCATTGAGACGACAATCTCCTGATGACGGGAAGTCAGCGGTCCGAGCGGTGTTGTGATCAGATGATAGGCGTCTATCATGATGTTCATATTAAGTATTGAAGTGAATGAGCGGGCAAAATCTGGGAGGGATGTGCCCCGGGGAAGCGAGATGGAAGTTCATACTTAAATCACGGGATCTGATGCGCCGCACTTATTGATGATTGGTTGCGATCCTCAACTCAATCCTCAACTAATACAATAAGCATAAAAGAACACGGAATACAGTCTTATATAGGTAACGTTTCAGGCTTTCAGCACGTGTAAAAGCATACAGAAAGCTTGCCAAGGGAAGGCCACAACTGCTAGTACATATTCTCTAGGCAATTGCTGAATGAGTGATGAATGACTGCCATTGTAAGGCTAACGATTGTACCCGATATCCTCCCTCTTGATGCGATGAATAATGGTGGGCAAAGGCCGACCTCGCATCTTGACCCTGATACCAAACAATACAAAAGACGCCATCCCGAGACCGCCTGGTCTGCCCATAACGACCCCAATTCCCCAACCGTATTTCCCGGCCATATCTTTCCCAATAACCAAAACTCCATGTAAATGATCGTGTTTCGAATTCCGACTCAGTCCGTTTTTGTCACTCCTATACCGAGATCCCCCTTCCACATCGTCTCTCGTCATTCCGGCTTCCTAATCCCTGAGGCCGAGCGTCCCTTACAGAAGCCTCTCCATGGAGTCTTCCAGTCTCTCATCATTAGCCTGGTACCGACGCTGTGCAAACCACGCATAAGCCCCGTCCCTGCTGGACATCTTCCTTATCTTTTTCCCGCCTTGAGCCGGCCTGTGGGGGAAGCGTTAGCAGGCAATTGGCAAAACGAAACGACGACAATAATGAATCCTATGAAATAGTAAGTAGTAAAGTACACGAAACCTACAAAGCGGGCAAGTCTTTCTCCAGGAGAAAGCGCACGCGGCGTTGCGGGGTAGCGGGTAAGGGCTTCTCCTGGTAGAAAGCTACTTCGTCTGGACGGGGCGCGAGCTTCTCGTATGCGGAATCGGATGAGGCGACTGAGGAATAGGAGCCGGTTGAGTCGCTGCGTTCGGCGCGCGTTGCGTTGTAGGACCCGCCGAGGGGAGTGTATTGGTAGGACATCTTAATATCGAAGGGGGAAGGCATTGTTGATTATGGTGGAAGTGCTGCTGAAAGCTTGTGGTGATTATATGTATGGTCTCGACTTCTTTGACTCGGTGGATGGTGGGATTGCAGGTGGTGAGGAGTACTGAGCGGGAGTAGGAGGAACATGTTATCTGTATATATATACATTTCTTCTCTCTCCCCCCTCGCAATCTGGGAAGAGAATGGATGACCGGGAACGGGAATAGAAACACGAATCAGTAGAGATGGCTCTTGTGAGTGAGATGTCTCCACACCTTGGGATTGGGAATATGAGGATGTTGCGATTGCGATTGCGTTGGAGTGAGGATGCTTCCTGCGCGTCCGCGAGGCTTTCACCTCATTGGTTGGTCCAAGCACAGCCTCGTCCTGTCTCTTAGTCAGGACGGGTGTGGCTGGTGGAGCGAGAGACGTCTAGCCAGGCACAACTCCACGTGAGAAAGGTACATGATATCACAAGAATCCCATCGTCTCGACGGAGCCTCCTGCTGGATTCGATGAATCACAGACCAGAAAGCGAAGACATTCGGATTTGTCTCTGCGTTGGTTGCTCCCCCCAGATCCAAGATGTGTAAAGGAATATCTCACCCTGATTGGCTCGGCCGTCTTGGGCTTGGCGAATCAGTCGAGATTCCTGAAGGCTCTTTGAAGCGACCACCACCTCCATCTTCCAACATCATCCACCGCCGAGACCTAAGTGTAATGTGGTGATGCCAGAATCCCGCATACAGTCAGCGCTGTCTTGCTTCTCCTCAGAACTTAGGTGGAATTCCTGGCGACTGTCTCGGTTGAGGTTATCCAGTGGACGATCCTGAGGGCTCAACCTCCGAAACACCCTTCTTCCTCTTCCTCCTCCATCGCGCTCATCTCTGCCGCGTGTCTGTGAACATTCGATACCGTACTACTACCAAGCTTCTTGATCAAAGTACGATGAGGATATTGAGATTGGCCTGGTGTAGGCCTTTGGACGAGAGGGTGGAGCACCCTGCGTTCGTTTCCACCCGTCAAACACCTCTATCATTCCAAGTCTGCCATTGCAAAAAATGGGATCTAGCAGCCTGACTTATGAATCCTTTTACAGTTCTCTTTCATCATTTGCTATTTTTAGTCTTGCTGGCCATTGATCTGTCGGATCTGGATTCATCCCATGTGACTCCATCAGGCTCGCAACATGAGATAGAGCTCCATACTCTTTCCCCGGCGAGAGCTTCTTTTTGATATTTAATATCTGTCTGTCAATTTCCTAGGTTCAAACTACCCTTTAACTTTTAACTTCTAACGTCTATTCCTTTCAATTCTCATTTCATTAGCAAGCACTCAAACTTTTACTCCTCGATTACTTTACAATACCAAGCTTCTTCCCTCTGCGTCCACCTCTCCTCTACTCGCGGGCAATAATCTTATACAAGCTACGGTAGCCTGCACAATCCTTAAGATCTCTTGAGGATTTGAGACTGTCGGATTGAAGTATTCTGTCCACTGCTTCGATTTTTTATCCCAAATTACATCGCCCACCGCCCTGCTCCCTGTTCCCAATATCGGACAATCACCTCTATCAACAGATATGGGCTATCGGGTTTCTACTGAGAGTGCCCTGTTACCTCCAAAGCGACTCAGACTCAAGAAAGCCACAGGTGCCTTGAAGACTCTCGCTGGTCGTGTGCAGTATACCATCCGATGGAACGTCTATGTCTCGTAGGCTTAATCCAGGAGAGAGATGGAAGTGTCGGTCGTATCTCTGGGCCATTTCCTGTTTCACGCTTGCCAAAGTAATCGGCATTCTCTGAGAGGAAATGGCCCACGCCAATATTCTTGTCACAAAGATATTCCCTGTTCTATTCGTCAACGCCAATGCATCAACCACCGCAAGTCTACCTTTCAATTCAGGCAACTTCTCGATTTATCCCAAGTTGGGTTCCTATCGAACGTACAACCCCGCACAGCATCGACATTCAAACTTATGCTATATTTCTCCTACACGCCAATGATTGTTCGCTGTCGTCATCCATTTAGGAGCCATAGTGTAAGTTCTCAGCTATCTCTCACCCACCCTACGACAACATGTGTCCCTCCCGAAGACGCAAATATTGTTGATTTCAGGTCCTATTTGGCACTGCATTCCTTATTACCACCCTCTACTTTAGGATCTATACTTTCCCATCCCGTTATCAGGTTGGACAACGGTCGTGCAAAGATCTATTTAGCTCGTACGTACCGGACTTCGGTATGCGTCTCGATCAACCTGGACATATAGTCGAGCATCCAACGTCAGGATGTACATCTCTCCTAGGTGTGCTATGGCTCCAACACATTTCCACTGCCCCCTAGGCTCAAGAATTAGCAACGAACTTCTTGGCTCCCGCGAGGGAAATCGCGGCGCATTTCAACAAGCAAACTCTCTCACCACTACAATTAGGTTTTCTCTCGACGCTCCCGATAAAACGCAAGCTGCGGTCTGGACTGGACAAGTTACTCATGGCTTCCTGGACCACCGTCACTCAGAGACGGCATGGTTCCAACATTTTGATATCAGGAGGTAGATTGCCACTTTATTTATTAAATACATTGATATTGTATTTCTAATCCGTTGTCAAGGATATCTAACATCTCTAACTACAAAGAGTAGGATAGCGTCACAATGCTCGACTGCGGAGAAAATGCTGATCAAACAGAACAGCCATCACGACGCAATGTTAGGCTGCGCAGAAACCCATGGGGACTCATGAAATGGATTGGGTACTCAATTCATGGGGTGAATTTTCATGAGTAGGACCCAAGCCATGGGTCCCCAAAAAATCTAAGACCCAACTCATGGGGATCTGTTGCGCAACATGCATCCCAGAATCCACTGCCACAAATGTCATCTACCTTCTCTCAGATCCCATGAATTCTTGGAGATAAGATAAGTATTGAAATCGTTCATCTTCACAGACCTCTCGAAGGGACAAGCAATTATGGGAAGGGCTCCGGAGAGTCCCGGACCCCCGGACGCAGGAGCGCGGCATCTCCGCATCTCCAACCTCCTCTAGCGGCGGATTCGGTAATCCCGTTAAACGATTCGCCACTACCCCAGACCCCACACGACTCGTACCGTGCGATCCAGAATTTCTGTCGAATATCAAATTTATCCCGCGATTCCGACGACGTTGATTCTTGCACTTTTCTCTCTCCTTGTATCCCTCTAAATTGTCATTCCACACACTGTCTCCAATTTATTTGCTCTTTCTCGCGGCTTATTACTCGGGACTTTACGCCATTCCCCCAACGTACACGACAATGGGATCTTGCATGGCTCGTATGAAGGCCGAAATGGTCTCCCCTCCACCACGAAGCGGGAATTGGGAGGACTTGGCCCCGCGAAGACCAGATCCATATGTACCGAAAGAGAAGCGGCAGACTGAGGAGGGCAGCGGGGCACCGTTGAGGAAGGAGACGGAAAGTGGAATCCCAGGATTGACGTATGACCAGTCGGGGCGACCTGTGTAGGTATTTTCCACTATTTGATTCGGGAATGCTTGAGGTATGTATATGTCTGGGGTTAAAGGGTAGTCAGAGTTTGTGAGTTGTAGATGGGTTATATCTGCAATTGGCTGATCGAATGCTGACTCAAATGTGGCACAGATGGAGAGACCCGACTCTCAATGGTGGGGTTGGATTTGAACATGGCGAAAATTGAACTACAAACAATCCCTGAACCAGGACGGCTAACTTTTGAAACGATATTACAACGACCGAACAATATTACAACCAAATCCCGCCCAATTCCACCTCCTGTGTCCTAATGCCGAAGGAAATACAAGAATTTCTTGACAGCATATTGGTAGAAGAGGTTTGGCTCAGTTCAGTGGGGAGAGATGGTTAGGCGGCTTGGCTTTTTTGAAATAGAGTGCTGAGGAGGTTTTGGATATTATTCGGGGAAGAGACCAACTGACCTTATCTGTAGTTCTCGGTATACAAAAAATGAATGTTTTCTTAAGCAAGTTGCTTTAGTCGAGGGCTAGTTTTCCTCTATAAACCTCAAAGGTGTTCGAGAGATGATCTCAGACTATCATCAAGTCACAGACCAATCGTCGGCTCGCCCGTCGCTGGCTTTATAATCCTGTACAGAGAAAGACATGTCATGACCGGACCGTCGGGCAGATCTGTCTGTTCGCAGCTTGTGCCAATATGACGGTAATGCTCCAGGATGTGAAGCACACTAGCCAAAATGTAACAAGGTTTTGTATCAAGCTTTCCTTCAGCAGACCGTGTCAAATAAGAATATAAACTGGATTTCAGAATGATTTCAGAATAGACGAATGTTTATGAAATATTTCACAACCAATCTCTGGGCAGTAAAGGCTTTTCCAGTATGCATCCATCATATTCCCCAGCAGATAATAGCTGCATGAAAAGGTTGAGGGGAAGAACAGTATTTATCAAGAAATGTAGAAGTGTGAAAGGAATGGAAAAGCGAAGTTGATTGAACATCATCACGTGACGCGGATAATCGCTCCGCCAATTATGAAACCGTCCAACTTCGTACCAAGGACTTGATGTACCTATTCAAAACAAAGGATAATTCTTTTACCATTATCAACTTGGAACTCCGATGGGGCCTTGAAGCCCCCTCGATATTTATTCAACATTGCTTGTCCACTTTTAGCCATGCAATCGAGGTTACGAGAGTGCTGGTCTTCAGATACACGAGTAACGCGATTCTTCACGACGCGGCTCCCCTCCTTGTCCATAACTTGAATATGGCCGAGTCCGGGTTGCACGCCAGCATATGGGCTCCTAAGAACTATGGAGATGTGCGTTACGATCTCCGTTCAGGAGACTGGCATTGTCCCTCCTGCGGCTTTTCGAACTTCCAACGTCGCACCGAATGCTTTCGATGTTCCTCCAAGGGGAAGGGTCTCTCGGAGGCCTCAACGAATGGCTACGGGCCACCAAATACGATACTTAAATCCGAGAATATGAGACCTCCGAAGACAGCTGGGGCCTATGGTGACGCTGGACGTACCGGCTCGGAAGAACCTTTCTGGCAGAAAGAAAATTATACTACAAGGCATACACCACAACTGCAGAGCGGGGAGAAAGGGTTAGCTACTAGCCGCTGGGCTCCTCGTAACTACAACGGGAGGGCCAAGGAGGCAGATCGCGGAGAAATATGGACGAGGGTATGATTAACACTCCGCATTCTGTTCAATGCCTAACCTTTGAGCAGACTGTTTCAGTGTCTAATGCCGTTCCCGCACGCTCCAGATCCGTGCCTCTTACGGCACCCAGTCCTCCAGACCTTGGCCTCCCTTACGAAGTTCAACACTTTGTCCTCGCGATGATAGAACGAATTATAGAAGAAGGTTGCTACGACTTCGCATCTAGATGGATACCAGACAAACTCTATGAGAAAAACTGGACTTGTGCTGAACAAGTTGAGCTCTCAACATGGAAGAAATTCTTACCTACCGCGCTTCCACCAAAGGCCATCTCCCCTGTGCCTAACTATTCATTGGAGAGAGCGTTAACAGATGCTGTTCGGATTCGAAACTCGGCAGTGCATCGACATTTATGCGATAATGCTGAGCTTCGACGCATGGCTATACAAGCTCGAGACTTGATGTCCATGTTCTCAGATGTAACTAGATATCACAAGTTCCATCGTCTGTGGGAGGAGCTTCAACTGTGGGATTCAGGGCTCCAGCATGATCCGCAAGCGAAGAGAAACAGACTGGAGAATGCACTTCGGGAGATTAGTGAGAGACCCCTGGATGACATGGATTGGACACCAAATGAGGTGTCACTTCAAGAAGTTACTTCTAGATCTGAGACACCTCAGCCCTACGAACCTGAAGAATACATAGACCAAATGGAGTTGGATTAGGTACTCGCCATTAGGTACATGGCTGGAGACATTCTCTGCATAACATTACCGTTGGCCAACTACTATTCCACCAAAATAAATAATAATTAACGGCCTTCTGATCTTGACCAAATGCGTGTTCTATCCTTTTGTCGCTGTCCACCAATGCACCAAGCATTCTCTGCTATGATTCCTCCCCAATTTCCAGATTACAAAAGAAAAAAAGGAAATCCATAGTCCCATAGCTGCCTAGGTGCTAGCTAACGAATTGAAGTAGGTGTTGATATGGTTCTCAGCCCATAGTGCCTGTGAGGCAAAAAAAAAAAAAAGGATGGGAACAAAAAGACATACAACAGCAGGTATTCGCTGGTGGTCACCCACCCAACTACTAATCTGCCGATCTAAGGCTTGTGTATGGCAGAGCGGACGGGATGCCCAATTCTCCTTAGTCTATGGTCGTATGTGACAGGAATAGTACTAAATCATAACATATAGCAATAGCTAACAGGTTTATTCTAACCTTCTCGTGACAGTACGTAAGTACCCTGAAAGCGACGCGTCTCACGAACGCGTAGGTAAGGGGGATTATGTTATCACGTCGGGAATAACCAACATCACTCCATCTCATCTCATCTCCTTACATTAAGCATCAATTCTTACCGTCTCTCACTGAATTCATTCAATCTTTCTTCGTGTTCTTTCTCTAGTCTGATATCCCATTCTCTCCTAGTAAACTGACTCGCAATGCCACCGAAACGGAAAGAAATGGCCGAAACCAGTAGCAGCGACGAAGAGTCCGCGACGACACCCCATAAAGCAAAGGCCTCTAAAACCTCATCAAAATCCACTGCACCTAGAAGTAAATCATCAGCCAAATCCAAAAAGCCGACATTCAAGTACTCAAATGCAAACACTGTAATCCTCGTGGTTCAAATCAATCGAGGATCCACTGACATGCGCCCTCCGACAGCTCTCGAAAAAACCCAAATATGTGGTCCTCCAATAGCCAAACCACAGAAAGTTCAAAGACGACAAAGACCAAGATATGCCAAAAGCTGGTGAACCCCTGGGCGATTTTCGTTATCGAGTCTCCGACTTGGGATTTCCTATCTCGGAGGAAGGAATGCAGATGGTTCAGAAACTACGTAAGGAACAAGAAAAGAGGGATCAGGATGGGAAGGGCATGTTTATATATAATGATTGGAATGGTCGGGGGATGTCTGAACTCATGGAGAACTTCGTAAGTTGCACCATCGACTTTTTGAGATGTGAGCCCTGGGTGAAGTGGGTATTAGAAGGAGAAGGAGCTGAGCTGCTGTCGAATAGTTGATAGACTTCAATAAAGATATCTTCAAGAAGACAATGAGTCACTTCAAAAAATGGGCATACGTCGAAGGTCTCGCTTGTTTCGTCAAGTCGGCGCATTTGATGGATTGGATGGGTGAGTATACCTAACACCTTCAAGAAAGAGAGAGAATAACACCATGGAAGGCAATGAAGATGGCCTCGGCGTCGAAGAAATCATTCATATGCTAGGCGTCATGGTCCTCACCTCCTTTTCCATGCTCTCCGAACACTCCCTCTTCAAACCCGATTCCGAAGTGAAGAACATCGGCGTCATGAGTCTCCTCCTGCTGGAATTCCTCCACGGCCCGGCAACCGATTTTGATTGCGTTTGGGGCCCCGAGGTTGTGAGATTATGCGATGAGGCTGGGTTTGAGTTGGACAAGGATCTTCGAAAGCAGATTGAACTTACAAAGGAAAACCTGCAGGATATGAGGGACTTAGCATGGATCCCAGAAGATGATTCGAGTGAAGACGGTAGTGAGAAGGTGTGCTACCCATGGGATTGGGAGCTTGAGGTAAGACTTTTATGAGTTGTCCTTCTAGAAGTAGCTAACATCTCGCTCAGTATGAACAGTTCAAGATGTATCATGAAGGAGGAAATGAATATGATTTGACTAATATGAGCGAGGAAGATCGAGAGGCGTACACTCTCGAAACCAAAGCATATGCCAGGAGGATTGGAATCGATTCTGATTCTGAGCCTGATCCTGATCCTGATTCAGGCTCAGATTCAGATTCAGATTCAGATTCAGATTCAGATTCCGATTCAGATTCCGATTCAGATTCCGATTCAGATTCCGATTCAGATTCCGATTCAGATTCCGATCAGTTGAACAAGCAAGAATAGTAGCTTCGTGTACGCTGCTTTTCTAATTCATGTTCTGAAAAGTACAATAGCTCAAGTCCATCCCTCACGTTCTAAACTACTGCTCTGTCACAAATGGTACTTTAATGACCAGTTTGTGGATGACTTTGCTTAGAGCCCCTAGTTCCTTTCGCTACGAACTAAGCATTTTGGTGACCAGCATCCAGGCAGACTCCCAGGGTCCAAAAAAGCAAAAAGGAAGGAGGGAAAGAAGAGCAAAAATACATACAACAGTAGGTATTCGCTGGTGGTCACCCACCCAACTACTAATCTACCGATCTGAGGCTTATGTATGGCAGAGCGGACGGGATGCCCAGTTCTCCTCAGTCTGTGGTCGTATGTGGTAGCGATATACTTATCTAGCTAGAAGTATAGCAATGAATGGATGTGTGGAGATAGCATTCCAGACTCGAGAGAAATAAGATAGGGGCTTCACAGTGAACTAAGGAGATATTGACCACGGAAATGAGACACATTTTCCGTTGGCGTCAAGCAATCGGTGAAAGTTGAGGCTTAAGGGCTGAGGCATATTGTAAATTTTTGTATACTGCACTCATATTCCAAGACCTAATATGCGACTCTCCTACCCAGCAAATCCAAGTTACTCGCGCTCGCTCAATAAATCAAACAGGGCTTTCTCCTTCCACAACCTCGTTCTTTCTAAAAAATCTAAAAATATGGCTCAGATCCCCGACTGGAAGTTGTATGGGAAAGTTCACAGAAGCTAACATCAAGGCAAAAAAGAGGTACCATCCACACATGGCAGCTACAAAAGCACAAGCGCCACCAGCCTGTAGGCAAGCTATCAGCAAAGACATACAATATGGGAACATGGGAGCTTGGGACACGTACAACTTGCAAATTGTGAGCAACAGGACTCGCTTCAGCGGAGGCAAAGAATGAGCTAGCGAGCAGCGTAAAGGTAAGGGTAAGGAACAGCTCAATTCCGAATAATGCCAGGTTTGTCGTCAGGGAGCACAGGGTGCAGGAGAAAGAGAACACTCCCATGAACAGAAGCGTAAAACCTGCCCCAACAAATCAGTTCCAGCATGAGACTTTTAGCGATAGGGTATTTACCAAAGCTTGCGTTGAACTCAGGATTCTCCAAACCCAATCTTGGCGTACTGGGATCAGGAGAGTATGCGGCATATGCCCCGAAGAAAGGCTGCAGTGTTGCACCGAATGTCCACCACCAACCCCCATATCCGCAAAAGTTGACGAAGGAGTAAGTGTTTCCGAGAAGGAACTCTAAGAGTCCGCCAAGCATCATCAGGAACCCGCCCAAGAAGAAGTATGATCCACTTAGACAACAGTCAGTATGAAATGCAAAGCTGGGGAATTGGTTTCAACAAACATTGAGGCAGCACCAGTTCCACCAGCTCCTCTCCAACCCATCAAGTTGCAGGCCAATGGAGTCAGAGCCAAAGCCAATCCCAATAGACCCCTAGGATAGAGCATCAGCATCTATTTCTCAAGGGCTAACACTCGGGGTCAATCAAACCTACACTGGGGTTGGATTTGCCAAGATCGACCTCAAGTCCCCCTTCACACTGCTCTTTGGCGAGAGGTATAGCTTCTCGAACATCTCTGGAGTAAGTACGATAGATCCATGGGTATGTTCTTTGCTCAGCGTTGGGTTTCCATTGTGACCTGCCGCGGGGTCAAACTTCTCTGATCCTCGGGACATCTTGAGCTGAAGCTGGGACGAAACAAAGACGAAACAGAGAATTGGCAGGAATGAAGGCGAGAGTTGAGTTGGAGATGGACAACTCGAAATGTCTCCGTGGCAGCCATTGTCATGTTATATGTTATGTTCAACAACAACAAAAACACATCGTGGCGCCAGACGAATGGGGAAAGGAGGATCAATACTTCCCCAATGCATAGCTCAAACGCCGGAGGGAAGGATCGGAAAGCCATTTCCTAATGCATCATAGAGTCTTATCTTTTCATTGTCTCATAGACTTCTTATCTTTTCAAATATTACCTTCTCACAAGCGCACGGCGCCTTATCTTTCAGGTGGATATTCTGAAGAACGAAAGGCGGAGATCAGCGTCCAGGTCCAATATCTTCACGTGACCCAAACCCCGATCGGGCTTTGCCTTTTGCAAGAGTATCTGCCTCATTGCAGTCTTATCAGGGATTTCTCCTCAGAATTCGAGCTGCAAGGACCCCAGAGAGACAGGTCATCAACTCAGCTGTCAATATTGCGGCAAGCGGAGTAGCAACGCTACAAAAGCTGGGGATGAGGGGGGATGAGGAGGGATGAGGGGGGGGAATATGGGGTGGCAGCAGCATTGGAGATTTGGCGTCGACAAAGCTATATACTATATGGCCTTCTTCTTTATACAGCCTCTTATCGTTCAATATCACTTTTCCGTCGCGAAAGATACCAGTTGATCAGGCTGAGTCCTTGAAGATCTAATAATCACCAACAACGAGAGCGATCAAGCGTACACACCCACAATGACAAGAACTCAGTTCTTTGGAGTGGTTACTGGCCATTCTGATGGATTGACTCTGTGATTCTGCGCACTGCACAGCGCATGTATGAGCTCCAACACAAGAGTCATGGGTGCGAACGATAAGAAGATTCAAATCCCGAATATTGAAACCAGAAGCCGGATCCACGGCGTAGGCTGGATATCCACACTTGGAGCTTGGCCCACGCAGATATGAATAGGAGTAGATCAAAATAGACGGCTTATGAACAACGAAAGTCTACATACCTCTCTAAGGTACCATGTACACTTTATTCCCGGCTCTTTCGATGGACCAGGGCCCAGGGTAACAACAAGAGGGACCCGGCATAGAGGTACATCGCTCGACCGCTGCTTCTGCTCACCGTCTTAGTTTCTCACCCGTGTCAGACTCCAGCCTCTCCTCTCCGTTATCTGCAGCGCATACAGTGGATCTAGAGGAAGCCAATCTGAAGATATGTGGTTCGTTGAGTGAAGTTACGTGTTCGCCGTCGTTCGGATCGTCGCTTACCAACACACGGTCGCTTACCAACACAAGGCGGGCCCGTATCTCTCTAAAGTTCCTGAACTAAAGGGCTAAAGGGAAAGGTGTATCTAAGAGTATCTGATAATCTTAGCACTGCTAACTTATCAGTGATCGAAAAGAATGACAGGACATAGACACCTGTTGTACATCATTGATTTTGACGTTGCTCGCATGTGAACCGTTCATTACCCTAATTCATCCCTACAAGACCATTCGCCAATGCCAGCCAATGTCTGTAATGCACCGTTCCTTCGGGCCCTCCACTCACCAACTACCGACAGCCTATCCCTCCTGCGTCGCTCATATCCGTCTCGAGCTCAAGTCCCGCCTCTGCAACTCATCCAATCCACTCACTTTAGCATCATTTTTCAAGACCCGTACAAGCAGGGGCCAGCGGCTATACGCGGCAGCCGCATCGCCAATCTCTTCATGATGTCGACTCTCAGCTCATAGTACCATACGCCTCATTCTACTCTCTTTTGAGCAACAATCATCAAAGGGAGCGGCACAGTTCCTAGATCCTGATCTTCAATCCCCGAAATCCTCCAAAATTCAACTTTGAATTTCGATCTACGTTGAAACTCCTCTATACATTCGCGCGGATCCGGGTTTCGAAGTATACACGAGTAGCAGCTCCCGAGCTCTACGATACAGTATGATGTGTTTGGATGCCAAAAAGAACAAGATCTTTATCGACAGATTACCAGAAAAAAGGAAGAAAAGAAATGGTAAAAAGAACTCTACCAGGGACCTCTTACACTTAGATTACATTGGGAACCTTGGCTAACTTCTACAATAAAAGATTTCTCGCTCATGACTCGATCCAACGCGCCTATCTGATCTAGAGCTCTCAAGAGACTGAGCTTCAGCTTGCCGCATGTCGCATGTCGCATGTCGCATCATGCTATCTTGATACGTGTCATCCAAAGCAGATACCTTAATATTTGATTCTACTCGAAATACTATCACTACATCGTTTCTTCTCTCTGTCTCTCGAAGTCTCAGCATTTTGATCAGGCTGCGCCTTGCCCCTGGTCTCTCAGAGAAACTTTGCTCAAGGATGCTAACAATCTAGAATCCTTCATCTCATCGCATATACAGGCCTTATGTTGCGGAGGAATACAGAAGGAAGGTAGGCATACCTCGCCTACTGAATGCTCATATTCAGGTTCTTAGCCAGCCCCTAGAAGACGAGACATGTTAACCCGGATATGTTGGCTGCGGCATGCCTGCTAAGGTGTTAAGAGAGCTTCCTTAAATCTTTAAGGAGACCTATGCTCAATGTTCTGGAGTTGAGGTCGCTTTTCAAAAAATAGGACTATAGATACGATAACTTTTGACTTTTGCTAAAGGGAGTTGTAGAACAATCGATAGCATGGTTGAGACTGCCACGGGTAAATCACAGTTGATGTTATCTGCTTCCCGGCCATAGCAATGATAATTTCATGTCACGATTTGAAATTCTTCTCTTAAATCCAATTGAACGGACGCGGTAGCATATTCTCCGTATGGGTAGGTATGAAGGTTCCTCTTGGACAATCTGGAAGTTTTTCGAGGAATCTGAATGAAACAAGTATGGAAGTGAGAAAAAGAAGTACCAAGAGTCAAGACTGAACATTGCCGCTCATATGCTGAGCCTCGGGCCTTTCGACAAATAGAACTTTCAAGTTCCCTGGGTGCACTAAAATCACTAATTTCGAACTTTATTTTGAAGTGTCCTCTTCGCAGTACCATAATTTCTTTTTCTCAGCCTCTGCACCCTCAGCGAGTCAGCTGAACAACCAGTCAAACAAAGTATTTCAGATAAGGTCATTAGAGGAGTAGAAAGGTATTGCTACATACTTGCTGTCATAATTTAAAGTACTATTATCTCCAGCAACTGACCACTGGCCTGGAAGATTTGGCCATGATCAACAAGAATCACATGCACACTGCCTCGGCGTCCTCCCCCTGATCTATTTTCTTTAAAAGCCCGCTCATATCCCGACAAACTGGCCGGAGTTGAAAAGGTCGGCATTATACAAATGGGGAATGAAAACTGAACCCCCACGTTCTCCTTTTTCGAGGAGTGAGATATCGCTCCTCGGCCGAGGCCCGACCCCCTTCTGGTTGGGGGCAACATTTCTGCAGATGGAGATCGGGGAAGTCCTTACAGTAGATCAAGGAAGTTTGGAAAAGTCATTTATATCTCATTTATTTTGACCAGCTATGTTTCCTAGAGAGATATTCTGCAGGGCGAATCTCGGTGAGTCGACTTCTTGACAGTCCTAAGAAAATGGCATCGCGTTTCTCTCGTTGCTTTTCACTGTTTGTTATTCAACGTTCCTGGTCGATGATTTTCTATCTAATCTCTATAAACAGGTTTGCTGTGGGATTACGATTGAGAGAAATGGCAGCCTTTACGCGGGACTTGCAGAGAAGACATTTCCCCCCCCAACCTTGACAACGGTGGAGCTCCAGGACTCAGGAGCTACAGATTTTGATACAGAACCCTCGAATTAGCACATTCAGCAAAGAAGGATCAATATACATACAGCCATGATTTAAGGCTTGGTTCCGGACACCAATACCACAACTTCTCCTCCGCCTCTTTCAGATTTCAACTAAATCTTCTTACAGTTTGTCCAGGTCAACAGTTTGGGGTTCTAGATATATCGACGGTTATGGCTGCTATACTCGAAATTCTAAAAGGAGGTAGATACTTAGGCATAGAGTGGGTTCATCCCCTGATTCATTAATATCTATCACGATTCTAGGTAATTGAGGTTGGTTCTGAATTTCCCAATGCTTAGTTTTCCCAGATATCTAGCTAATCAGTTTTCTTTAACAGATACTATCAACAATAACACGAAGCCCAATTCTGCGAACCGCGGGTACTCTTAATGGGATGGGAATATTTAACTTGAAGGGTTGGGGCTGACATTAGATGGTCAGAGACTCAGAAATGGTCGAGGATAATAATGAATAGTTCTTACGAACTTGATATTTTGTCTTCAACAAACCGATTGAAGTACACAATATTGTACAATATACAATCTTACTCGGGAATGATAATCAGACGGGCAACAAGACTGTTGTCAGGGCATGTGACCCCTCGCTTCTATCTGTCCACAGACTTAACAGAACGGTCAAGGATTGCTCCTGACACCTTTGCTGTTAGACAAGGGAGAGAAAGAAAAGGGTGATAAGGAAAGGCCTTTATACCTGAGGGAATGCTGAGCATGATTTCACTTACAGAGACTGGATCTGTACTACTGAATTGACTTGTCTTGATTTGTCTACCTAGGTACATCAGGTAGCGCCTTGTGTACGAGGATATGAATTCCTCTTCTATACCCTACTTTCTTGAACAAACTTGCAGAGAAATTCGCTGATCCATAAGGTTCTTGGAAAGACGGCTACAAATTTGAGAACTAGTAAGTCGTGATTGTATAGGAATAGTTATAAGCTACATGTTAAAACCCGGATCTGTGTCGAATAGAAATTAGACATATGGAATTCGATTAGAATCGTCCGATTGTTAATCGTTGTGTATTATCTAGCTTTCGTTGTTAAAACTTCTACTGCTTTCGTCTTGAATAATATTCGGTTTTGTTGTCATGTACAAATAGGTTGTTCGTTGTGATTATATCAAATGTCGTAGGTACTTCTTTGCCTAGCTCTTATTTTTTCTTCTCATAATAAAGTCAATGATGATGATGATATTGATTCACGTCCACAAGAGCCAGTGGGAACTTGCTTCCGTGGTGCTGAAGAGTATAGGGACGTGCTAAACTAGGGGATTATATACAGAGATGTTGGACATGTGTAGGGATCTCAGAAAGCATTTCATGCGGTGATTCATTATTCGCGTATGGCCTGAACTAGACCTTGTAACTGTGACATTCCCTAACAGGATCAATAAATCAACGTGCTGTAGAGAACCACATTTCTTGTTTTCTAGGTTAGAGACATACGGTTCGTCAGTTTCTTTGTGATAACCAGTAAGTAGGATTAGGGGATTGTTTTGGAAGCAGAAAATGAACTGTTGATAATTAATTCTCAGGGACTATAAGTTTCTGTCTCAAAGGCTCAAAAACTCAAGGAATATCGCACTGTCGGGAGTATAATTTGTTTTATTAGAACACTTTCAATATATTCTTGGGGTCTGCTGCTATATAATACAGCACTTTGCATAGTTTTGATATAGAGGGCAGTGATAGTATACAGAACTCTGACACAGGAACAAACTTTAGCAAAATCTCTTGCTATCTTTAGACTGAAGCCGTAGCTCTAACTTGAACTACGGTCGAGCATTCTGATCAGATTTAGCATGGTGGCATCCTGTCTTGGCCTATCTGCAAGAGAGTCTTGCGGTTTCTTGACCCTCTTCGGATTACCGAGGTATGAATAGTTGGACTCCTGATTTCTTGAAAATACTAATTGAAGGCTGCTGAGGACAGTAATAATACAAGAAAATGGGAATGAAGAGTGTGGGCAAAGATATAAAGAATTTCTTGGAGAGAGTTAAGGTCCGGATTTTCGCATTATTGTACCCTGCAAAGAACCAGGAACAGGGGACACGCATCTTCAACCGTTGTATCTTTGGGAGTTTGGAGGAATATGCTTAAAAGCTACTTGTGCCAGCATACCTTCAATAATAAGACGGACCCGGGCGCTTGCTAGAGTGGTGCAATTCCCCTAGCCTCGCTACCGCTTAAGCCATCATAAGGGCCCCTGAAACACACAACCACAAGATGGTTCTATGGTGTAATGGTTAGCACGTCGGATTCTGATTCCGGAGATGTTGGTTCGATTCCTACTAGAACCTACAAAGCATTTCTAGGTTCGTGCAAATTTTTATCTCTTTTCTCTTTTATTTTTTTGGTACTTTTTACGAGCTGACTGCACTCGTATTCGTTTTTGGGCTTTTACTCTGTACGTAAACTTCGTAAAGGCACTTGGCAGCTGAGAGAATGGGGAAGAGAATGAGCGAAGAAATGAGGGGGTCAAAAATGCCCCACTATACGGCATTCCGGAGTCCGGACGTAGAAAATGTCAAAAAAAGCTCACCAACAGTTAAGTGTTGCGCGTAGTATATTTAGCAACAGTGACGTTTCCGGGCTGAAAAAAAGGGGGTTTACTTGTGAGTTGTAACAATAGTAGGCCCCAAGTCCCCTGACTGCAGAGGGGATCAACACCAATAATTTCGCGCCTTATACAACGTATTCCGCAATACCATGCATAGCATTCCTTCGTTCATTACCGTACAGAGTATTGATCCTCGTATCCCTAGTACCACTTAAAGTCTACCTTGCCCCATATACGAGGCTACCAACAGACCAGTGTCACACATCTTGCACATCCAGCCCACATGGCGTCTCGCCTCATCACGGGCGATTGCAGCCACGGCCTCTCGCACGCCAATCGATGTCTGATATAACTCCCGGGCGCATCCCTTCCCCCATCAGACGTGCGGCTGGCGAGTTGTGCCAGGGCTGACAGCCGGCAAGTCCTGTGAAAAAGACTGCCCAACACCCAGTCTCTGCCAACCTCGGCCCTGAGAGAAGTACATCAACGCAAGCCTTTCCTATCCAACTTCCTACTTTCACTCCTGTCTTTATCTTATTATACTTTCTCTATGTTCAAGTTCACAACGCTCCGCGGCCGCTGCTCGGTTCTCCGCTTTGTTCTGCTGGCGTTGGTACTCCTCGCGCTTGTACATCTGCATTTTTCACTTCCACCAGGAGCCAAACTGTACCGCCCAAAATGGAGCTGGATTCCGCGGTTTTCGAGCAGCAGGTTCTTCCACAAGAATGGCTACTTCAATCAGGCATGCGATGCGTTGCCGGGCGCTGACCGCATCGTGATAACTGTCAAGACCGGAGCTACCGAGGCATTTGAGAAGGTCCCTGTACAGATGCTGACGTCCCTGCTGTGCGCGCCAAATGTATACGTTTTCTCCGATATGGCGCAGAAGATTGGGGACATCCAGATATACGATGCGCTAGACACGATTCCTTCTTCCGTCACGGACGGTAACACGGACTTCGATATCTATCGCATGCAGCAGAAATTACAAGATCATCCAGAGAAGATTGCCAGCGTGCTAAGGGGCATGCGAGATCCGCGAAGGCCGGATGATCTTGCTGCTTGGACACTCGACAAATACAAGAACCTTCACATTATCGAGAAGACCTGGGCTCTCCAGCCAGATATGGACTGGTACTTGCATATCGATGCGGACACCTACGTTGTCTGGCCAAGTCTCATAGAGTGGCTTCAACGGCTTGATCCTTCTAAAGACGCTTTCTTAGGCTCCCTATCACTAATTAACGATCTTCCTTTCGCTCATGGCGGAAGCGGAATCCTACTCTCAGGAGTAGCAATGCGCAATTTCCTCGTCACACACAATGGGACAATTGAGCGCTGGGATCCTAAGGTCCATGACAATTGCTGTGGGGACTGGATCCTTGCCCAGGCGCTGAAAGAATGCGGAACAGATGTAATGAACTCATGGCCTACCATCAATGGGGAACCGCCATCAACCATACCGTTTGATAATGACCACTGGTGCCAGCCAGTCGTGACAATGCACCATGTGTCCCCAGTTGAGGCGCAACAGCTGGGAAACTTCGAACAGCAAAGGCTCAATAAGAGTGTACGTGAGAAAAAAGCCTCGATTCCAACCCTTCATCATATCGTCGGCTAACCTTCGGCGCCTGCAGAAACCATTAATATATTCGGAGCTCTTCATGAGTTTTTTTGCGGATAACATACCTGAACAGATGGAAGACTGGGACAATACATCTGGAGACGCAACTGTGCTCCATATCCACTCGGCAGAAGAATGCGCCAAGGCATGTGCCAAAAAAGAGGACTGTTTTCAATCTCTCTACAATGGTGAAGAGTGTACCCTAGGAACAAAGAGCATTGTATTTGGTAAGAAGCGTGAGCCTGAGGGTGGCAAGAAGTGGCAGAGCAGCTGGAACACAACCAGGATCAAGGAATGGATTGCGAACCAAGAGTCCTGCGATGCTCTCAAATTCCCTTACCAGGATTGAGATAGGAAGGGATATCTGATCCAATCGGGTGGAGGACAAGATGAATGTCCGTTATCTGCAATCATGACACGAAAGCCGCGAAAAGGACATTCTCCTGGAGGGAAGTCAGAGCCTCGCAGCGACGTCTTGCAAGAGACACGTGGTTGAGGGATAGGCTTTGGTGGCCATCTTAGATATAATCGGATAGATTGTACATCTGATAGCGGATAGAGTATGATTGGTCCCAGGAAAACGGGACCGGGTACGTGATAAAGCATAGCGGGAGGTACCTAAAGTACGGACGGGGGTGGCAGGACCCTGAGCCGCTGAGCGCTTTGGGCCGAGGTGGGTCGAGGAGGGGTAACTGGCTCCTGCTAGTCTCCTGATCGAAGCCTCGATAAATGACGATGAACGTGGTCTGACATCGGGTTGTGAAGACGGTAAAGGGACATTGACTTTAGAGGGACTACCTACATGTACCTGTTCACAAACCTCGCTTCACGTGCTGTTCATCCTAGTTCATCAGCCTACCTACACAACCAAATCCGATTGCCCCTGTTTGAACCAGTGTTCGCATAACGTTCAACTCGGTTGAGAGGAAGATTTATAGTAGAGCAAGCCTGGGAATATCTGCACTAAGATTCTGGCAGTCCATGTAGGATCAAATGATTCAAATCTATGTGAACAATGATATTTGGGAATCTATCATATAACGAATCTACTTTTCTCATCCAGCGTCATTATCACGGCCTCATATGTACACATTCCTCCTGAAACATGACTTTCCATCATCCCTGAAACAATCTATTTCATGGCGTTGACTTGCGCAGCAGGTACCTTGTTGACGTTCAAGCTCAACAGATCCGGTCTGGAGTAATGACCCACGACATCCAACCACTGCAAGAATATATCAGTCCACACACTCTCTCCAAGGCATCATGAAGCGCAAACTTACCTGTTTGACACCATCAATTGCCTTCAGGTCAATCACCGCCGTCAAGATGCCCTCCTCGTTCTTCTCAAGCGGCTCAGCAAGGGGTTGTCCATCGGGGCCGAAGATCATGGCGAAACCACCACCACCGGGCGTGTTTCCCTTAGTACCCGGAATCGGGTCGAACATCTCGGGCACGCCCTTGAGCTTCAAGAGCTCGTAGTTCTTCTCCGTTACGACCTGGGTCGTGACCACCACGAAGCAAACTCCTTCGATAGCCATGTTCTGGCACGGCACAGTGTTTCCGACGTTGGTCTGGTTGAACCATCCGGGCTTCGATTGAGGGTCGAACATCGGTGGCCAGCCCGCGATGTGGACCTGTACGCCTTGCGAGTACTCGTAGTACCGCAACAGGGGCTGCAGGTGCTCCCAGCAGTTCAGACCGCCGATCTTGCCGAATGGGCTGTCAACGACGCAGGTGAGGGAGTCGGCTTGGGCATCGCCCCAGATGGAACGTTCGACATCTTCTCACAAGACAATGTCAGGACAAGCCCTCAACTCTGTTGATAGGGAGAAATGGGGTTTCAAACTTACGAGTAGGCTTGAGCTTTCGGCGGGTCAGGATGATCTTGCCCTCGGGGTTAATGAAGGATTGGGTGATGTACAGACTGCCGCCGTCGCGCTCCGAGTAGCCCAGCACGACGAAGATGCCGGCTTCCTTGACAGCTTCGCAGATGCGGGCCATCTCGGGGCCGTCGCGCGGCATGGAGTTTTGGATGTATTGTTGGAAGAATTCGGTGTTCTGAACCACAGGCGTGGTGAAGATTCTCCTGGTTGGGCTGTTAGGACCCTCAGGTACATGACGAGGACGGTTGGATGGGAGGGGGAGAGCTCTACCATGGGTATCCAGGGATGAACACCTCTGGGAATCCGAGCACATTCACTCCATCAGCACCGGCTTTCTTGATGTAGCTGATTGTCTTCTCGACACTGCCCTGGAGATCAAACCAGACAGGCTCAGCTTGGACGGCTCCGACTTTGATGGTGGTCATTTTGACGCTGGGTTTTGCAAATTGCACAATTGGAGAATTGAAGAATTGGAGAATTGGGAGAGAGGAAGAATGATGAAGTGTGAAGTGGCGAGTGGCGAGAGGAGAGCTGCTCATTCACGTATCCTTATATATTGTTATACTCTGCTGGTGAAAGCTTCCAGTCTAGCCAGACTTAGCACATAGCTCTTATCAGAGCTCAGCCAAACAAAGCTTATCATGCTGTAGTAGCTCTTATCAAAGCTCTTATCCAAGATCGATCGTAGTGAGCGGGGCTGATAAGCATGAGATAGGTAAGGCGGCTCGCGAGTCACGGTACTAAACCCGTTGGAATGCGGTGCTAAGGCTGCTGAGGCCCCTGTTTTGACGGCGCTTAACGCCGACAGTAATTAATAATACGCTAACAAGCGGGTGAGCGGGAGAACGGTAAAGCAATTACTACCTATTCTTATCGATTTCATTCCCCTTCTTGACTAGCAGGACGTTATCTAAAGATCTGAGCAAGATTCAAATCCCTAGATATTGGCAGGGGAGAAGTACCCGCTATACCTTAAGATTATCAAAAGAGGGGCATTCGCTAGCTCTCTACCAGGCCGGCGCTCTTCCCCGTACCCAGCAGCGTGGAATCTCCCCTGAGCAGCCGTAGATTGTACGTGAAAACTGTACGTATTCAGTTCTTAGAGGCTCGGAGAAAGGGAAGCGTATGTGGGTACAGTTACTGCAGTACATCCCCATGTGGATTGTCATCCATATCATGAGTAAGCAAACAAAGTTCAAACCCCGAATCATTCAAACCTAGTACTACTCCGGAATCGCCTTGTAAATCAATAAGGGTCTACCTAGATCAGGTAGACCCCTCAATAGAGAGAGGCTGGGGTATCTACGCGTAAAGTCCCTTGCCGCCCGCTTGAATGACCAAAACACTGCCCTTAACACCACATGAGATGATAGACTCTGCCACCAAACCTAAGGTTTTTCTCAACTCCATCGAGCCCGCCACATTATCAGCCTCGGATATTGGGATTATCGAATGATTGCCCCTCCCTATCACAATCAAATCTCCTGCATTTCCCGGCGATTGCCCTATCTCTTGTCTCGCATGGTCTACGCAATCAGCCAAAGGAGTTGTGGTTGCTACGTCGACGAACACTACACGATTTGTCAATTCCTGAGGTAATGAGTCGCGGAGTGTGTGCAGAAGTGCAGTATCTTGCGCCGCTGCGGTCTGTAGTTCTTCGGGATCGACGACTTGAGTGATGACTTGAGTGGTGGCACGCGAGCTGCTGCCGCCAGAAGTGTCAGCTTGGACTACATTGGTTGTAACTTCTGGCGACTTCAGGCTTGGAGCTGCTGTAATAAAGTGGATGATTGTTGCTGTAATGTTGCTTCTTTGAGCGAGTTGGAGCACCAAGCGAAGAGCGACACGGTCGTCGACACCACCAAAGAATGGGAAGTAGATATGGTGGCTCCGGTCCACAACAGGTGAGAGAGCCGGTTCTCGGTTGCTCCTTAAGCTGAGACCACTGACCCTGCGAGTGAGGCGAGGAGGTGCTTGCATAGTAGGGCCACCGAAACCACGATTGACAATAACAGCGGTGTTACACTTGGCAGTCTCAAACGTTTTTCTGATAAAACTCTCTTGTAATCCACCGGAGAACTTGTCTTGGGTTGAGTCACCTTCAGAAAGGCTCCCTGTTTCACTCCACGGAATGAGCACGAGGTCGGAGAAGTGGTCAGATGCCTCGCTGGTCAAGGTCTCTGCGTAAGAGGCTTCAGGGACAACAGACACGCTACCAGAGACGGGGATGTTGTTGAGCTGGGCGAAAGTTCTGAACGCATTAACGACCGGGTCTCGATAGCTGTACTCGTCCACTTCAGACACCTTCATGACAGATGAGGTACGCTCTGTAAGTTCCAACAAACGGAGACCATGAACTTCGAGGGGACGCTTGTTCATAGGAACAGTCGAACAAATTGTCGAAGACTCCTGTGCGTCCGTTTTAAGCTCAGTCTTATTTCTGTGGACCTTAGCGGCCTGGGTTGTATTGTCTCCGCCAAGGAGGGATATAAATGTAAAGACACTCGATAAGCTGTCAAGTCTAAGGTGGACCAGAAGCCGGCTAATCTTGGAACTATTGAGCTTCTCCATGGCAATTTCTGGAGATTCGCCATCTTCTGAATTATCGAGACGGTTCCCATCCCAATCAATCTCTCCTCTCTTCCATGCCTCAAGCTTCTTCTGATACCATTCCGGGTAAAGGGACAGCGTCAATGGAGTAGTTGTGACAGTTGTGACAAGCGCCATCACAACGAAGATGGTGAAGGTCCTCGTAGATAAGATTTTGGCTTGCAAACCAATATTCTGCTTTGTTAGCCGGTGGCGCCCATCGAGCTTCTGCTCAGAGGCTCAGGCAGGGAAAGCTTACCAAGACAATAAGTTCCACGAGACCTTTGCAACTCATCAAAACTCCAATACTGAAACTTTCTCGCCAAACAAGACTGCAAGCTCTGGCAGCGAGTGCACCTCCGATAATCTTACCCGCAAATGCAACCGCGATAACTCCAATCACATATGCCCAAGTAATGCCATCGTTGAGCAGCCCGAGATTTGTAGATAGCCCGGATAATGCAAAATAAAGCGGGAGAAATAGGATTGAAACGAGATCTTCGATCTTTTCCGTAACTTTGACTGCGAAACCACCATCATGAGGACAAATGAGACCAACAAGGAAGGCTAGAAGCAAACTGTTAGCTAAGCCTGTTTTTACCCCTGAAAACATACTGACCCCCAAAAATAGGATGTATTCCAATGATTCCAGTGAACCATGCAGATGTGAGTGCAAGCAGTATCGTGACGGCCGCCATTGTCTGGGTGGGGCCATTCTCGATACTTCCGGAGCGTCGAAGCATGTATAAGAACGCAGGTCGAATTGCAAAGACCAAAAATAATACCCATCCAACGCAAGTCAACAAGACGTACAGTGCTGTGATACCGGATCCATTGTTCACCAACGCCACGCACAGCGCAAGTAAAATCCAGCCAGTAACATCGTTTCCAACTCCTGCAGCAAGAACGGTGACTCCGACAGGTGTACTGAGGAGCTTCAATTCGGTAAGGATGCGACACAGTACTGGAAAGGCTGTGATCTGAGGTAGATGTTAGTTCTGAAGGTTTGATTTTGACACAGCACGTACTGAGAGAGCAGTCCCAATAAACAGCATATAGACCCCAAAGGATATCGGTACAGTCCCCGCATCATTTCTGAACTGATTGTAGAGACCGTAGGCAATCGCACAACCCAAGCCGAACGGCAATATCATCCCCGCAAGCCCCACACTCAGCGCAACCTTCCAATTAGACATGAACATCCGTATGTTAACTTCCAGTCCGACCAGGAAAAGGAACAACACCAGGCCGAGATTGGCGACTAAGTTCAGGGTCGGCATTGAGGCTGTAGGGAAGATGGTGTCCTTGAAGCCCGGAATCCGCATCATGACGGAGGGACCCAGAAGGATCCCGCCGATCACTTCTGCGATGACTCTGGGTTGTCGAAGTTTCGACAGAGGATAGTGAAGGAGTCGGCAGAAAATAATAATGATTCCTGCCTGGAGCCATTGTCAGCCCTGTCAAAATTGGCCGTTGAAGAGAGAGAGAACTGGTGATCGACACTCGGTCGCATTGCGAATCTGAAACCCCGCAGCTATCAAACGGGACCTCGCAGTCGGAGAATTCAGTAGGGTAGCAGCAGTCATAGCTACACCTGCATGGCAATAATGGCGGCTCCGAATATCAAAAACCAGGTCAACATACCTGGATAATGAACAGGATGATGGGGTTCTGGGAGTCGTAGTGAGTCGGGTTGGACCCCTCCAGTATCCCACCCTGGGAGGGAGCACGATCCGTCGACCTCGCAGAGGCAGAAGTAGAGGAGACCATCTCTCTAATTGTCTGCATTACTATCGGCGCTTCGGAAGTAGCCATGTTGAGTTGTGATCGCGACGGCGACTCCAGCTCGAGGCCCAGCGTGCTGGACTGCTGTCCTTGGGATGAATCCCCTCGTGACGAATCCCCTCAGCTTTTGTTCCGACGAATTCCAAAGGTACATTTATCAATTTCGCGTCATAGTAATCCCGGGGTGAATAAGGTAGCCGCTGCTAGCGCCGAACCGGACAGAAAGGTACATTAAGGTAATATTGTCGACGTCGGTTGGGAATAGCCTCAATTTCGAAAAGTTGTAGATAATAAATTCGATCCTTTTCGTATCAACCCAGGATTTGTTTTCCTTTACGAACTTCGGTAGTACTGCGTGGAGCGAAGTTGGTAGATGTACCCCGACCAAACTTGAATCTTTCGATTAAGCTTGTCATGTAAATTGCCTACCTAACCAGGATGCTGCGGGGATTCTACCTAGATCAGGTAGGTACGTAAACCTCATACCGCATATAAACCATATAGCTTTGCTTACATGAAATTCATATAGAGCACGTCGCCAAGACGATATAGGAGGCTTTAGGAGACGGTACTGTAGATTGAGTTACGGGCGGTGCGCTTCCCAATATTCTCATATTTGCACTATAACGATCCGAACCTGGGAAGCTCGGCTAGTGGTGCCCCTATATTGCTTCTCCAGATTCCTCTCCCCTCTCCCTTCACTTTTTAATCGGCTCTATTCCTCCCGTCCAACAGTGGACTGTGGATCATGGTCGGAAATCTGACCACTTGTGGCAGACATGTTTGTCGTATTGGAGACACCACTGGAAATAGCAGTTGAAAAAGGCTCGAGTGATGCTGAATCTGCAGTACTAGAATCTGTTAATACTACCGCATCTGCACCTACACCGATAAGTGTGTTGTATTTTATTTTAGACGTTTCTATTGCGTGGATATATGCATGTTCTTCTGCAATCATGAATCAAATTCGCGATCTCCTTAAAGCATTTGACAAGAAGTTTCTTTGAAGTGTAATCAAGCTCACCAATGTCTTTGAACTCCAGGTTCGTGTGAATAGTTTGCGGATATCCATATATCTCGAGGGAAGAATCGTTCAGTTCTTCAATCTCCTTTTTTTGGAAGGATAGCTTTATCTTTTCCATCGTAGTGATCACAATGCTCGCTGGGATGGGAGGTTCCTGTAACCATCTTTTGGCTTGGTCGGCTCCTTTCACAGTATAGTAACTTGACTGCGAAGGATAGGGTACATGAATGCTTTCTATATCAAGTGGTTGGAGCTGCATTGGTAATAATTTGGATCTCGTCAAATGATTTTCTCGATGAGGAGTGAATACAATTTTTCTACTCTTCGTTTTGAGAATGAGGTCCAGAGTGATATACTGCAGCTCTGATCTAGGCGTTTGATATGAACTGTAACAATTAGCGTATATATTAAGTTATAGGACTATAGGAGACAACACAACGTAGTTGCTAGGTTGGCTACTAGAGAATTGCTTCTTTCATCGAAATATAGTCTTATGGTCATACCATCTGCGGCCTGCGGGTGTGTGTTAGCGGAGTTCAGACCCAACCAAGTGTTAAGCCTTAAGTCACAATTATCTTTTGGGGTCACCGATATTATAATCTATCCAGTACCAGGCGTAAAGGAGTAGTTAGCGAAGTAAGGAAAAAGGACCCGCTGGTGGCATGATCACTTGATTTACCCCATAGGCCGTACAAGGACCCTATTGCGGGCCTGCAGCTCTGTGTACGGCAGGACGAATACGTTTGAGCCAACGTATCCTTATCATGAGTGCGTGGGGGTGCAGTAAGGCTTGACTGGCTCGCTTGGTCGAGTCTTGAATGTAGAACGGGTGCACGCGCTGAGCCTGTACGTTATAATGTATTAATGCCCGTCTTGTGTTGAGGTCGCAGGCGGCAAGTTTTAGCCAGGCTAGATAGAGATAAAACACCAGATGAAATGGTAGCGTATGTGATGTAGATGAAACAATTGAGAAGAGAGGCTTAGAGAGCTCGCAGGGACAGAAATGTTGGGGTTCTCGCAACACGAGTCAGTGTTGTATCATGAACCTACGGAGAGGAGGGCTCTACTGTGATGGTTGCCCAATAACCGATGTCTGTCATAGGTGAAACCGAGGTCAGATGGTGGCGGTGTGGCGGTGTAATGACCTTGCGCTCACCGTGCATCCAGTAATAATATACTCTATAAACACTGTGCTTTTCATACCTATACAAGACAAGGCCCCTGAGGGTTGCATCCCAGCCACATGCCATCTAATGCTGTACATTATTCGGGTCGTGCAGCCTTGAGATCTTTTACGCCCCCTTTCTGAGAAAAACCTAGCAGTTATGAGGCTCTGGAATCTCTTGAACTTTCAACTGTTGCCGCGCACCTCATGGTGAAGGAGAAGAGGCCTTTGAGTCCTCGAACCATCAGTGGACAGGATTTGGACATCGCATGATCGTCTCGCAGTCAGTTCAATACACGTCACCTCGCTGATCCATGTCCCGACTTTCGGCATTCAAAAGCCCAAAGAAACTCGTATGAGAAATAAGACTATCATTCCATGGCAAATACCAGACCGTCATCCAATGAAATTGTGACCAAACGTGGCACCTACCGTTCGGTGAGAAGACAGTGTTGACTGTGTTGTTGTCAAATCGGAAGACTTTGGATCTAGCCAAGCCCTCAGACGGGAACCAGCAGGCCCTATGAGCAGGGAGAGCATAGGCCTCGCATATCAAAATATCTGACAAACGAAGCTTTCAAGACCTCCAGTGAGCTACGGTTCCCGTCGAATTCTCCCCACTCGAAGAGAAACAGTGGGGAAGATGCTTGTTACTCCAAGGAAGTGAATCCACTGCGATGTTTGAATCACCCATTGGAAGCGAGAAAGGAACCTCAGATCTCGAGGGAACCCCTCGAAATCGGTCTCAAAATGTAACTATCGGCCTCTTGCCACCAAGATCAGCAAGTGTTAGCATTGCACCGGACCTAGTCCGACAAGACTCTGCGTACTACTCTACCAAAAATTCGGAGGATGGGAACTCGGGCATGGATTCTGATGGACAGGCATCGCAGCTGAGAGCTCGAGAACGTCTGGAGAGACTCAGGCAGAGAGTTTTCAGGACTCGAAACCTCGTCAGGAGTGGCAAAAGCAACTTGCGGCAGCTCCGAGGGAACTTTCTTGATGCGGCAGACCGACTGACTCGGAAGCTTGGTGAGGTCACGATTTTGCAAAATATTGAGGCTTTGAGAAGGATTACATCGTGTAACGAGAAGCTGCGCCTAGCCCTGGGTGAACTGCGTCTGAAAGAGGAGGAACATGACCGCCTGGAAGGCAGGCTTAACGACGAAGAAAACGATCTCGAGCAAGAAGAGAATCGATTCTACCGCCATACCAATGTTTCTGCAACCAGAGTACCAGAACAAAAACTAGATGATACGATGTCTCTACTTCTCAAGCCGGACACTGATGACTCTCGGGATCTCAATCCCGACAGTGATCTGTTAGAACGGTATCTAGCAAAAGTTACAGAAGCGGACGAGTTGAAAAGAGAATTGGACAAACTTCAAGATGACTACTGTCGACTTTCCAAGGATGACTCCTTCCGGAGATCACACAATATTCCCATCCCTACCAATACCATAACCTTCCTCTCTGATTTTCCAAGACTTCATAAGGAAACTGTCGAGAAACTCGGCGTAGTGGAGCATGAGCTTTTCGATCTCCGAAAAGAATGTCTGGAGGAGAACGTCTTCACTGAAAATGACCACGTCTATGAACCACGAAACGCACTATATGAGGAAGTCATGGACTCCGTGGACGAAGCACGCATTCGATCTCCGCTCTTTGTAGCAGCTCGGCACCTGAACTATCAGGAACACGACACGAACTACAGTGACAAGAGGGACTATGTGAACAATTGGCTCCTCCAATGGCTTCAGGAATCTGTTTTCGAGACGTGCAGGCTGCGAGCATATATATACTTCGAATATCCAAACAAAGGTGAGGGCCTTGATGGCGAATGGCCAGAGTTGGCTTTGATAAATTGGGACAAAGATGATGCTGGAGCAACTGCGACAGAGAGCTATAACGCGAGTAAAATGGATATCATTTCGGGAGACACGACAGTACACGAACCAGTAACAATCCAAAAAATGGCCCCTTCAAGCAACCCTAGCAGCTTGGGTAGCTTGGATGTTGATCTTGGTGTTGGTGATGAAGCAAAGGCTGAAGCAGAAATTATCAACAGGGAAACGGATTCTTGTACTACTCAAAAAGAATTTCGAGCAAAGAGACCCTCAAAACGGAGGTCGAATACTCTTTGATCTCTGACAGATTGATCTTCGGACATACATAACTGGGCTCCTGGGAAGAAATTTTAGTACTTGAGTTCGAGGGCTCGCTAACGTGGGGCTTGTGGGACTTTTGCAAATTTACAACATGTCTTGATCTACTTGCTGTTTCTATTATAACTGAATTGTCTACTGTTTCTAAGATATATCCGTACTGTTTTGTTGTTTGGCTTTATTTTGAGAGTGTGGCGTTAGAGTCCAATAGTGTAGCAGAGATATAGTTACGCGTTCACAAAACCTCCTTTGCGAGGGCTGGGACCTCTCATTTGATTTATCAACATTGGTTCATTTGTATTTTATTCGTCTTAACTAGTATTCTCGCGTGAACTAGTAAAGTGAACCGTGATGGAAGGAGTGATTTTGAACTTCGAATAACACATTGTTCGCAGACTTATCTTGCTTGGCCTTTATCTCTATTTCATTTCAAGCTTCAGCTAGACTAAGTTAACACTTAACTGCCTACCTTAGCTACCTTATCTAAACCAACATTTAGGGAGGATACCCATCAATCCCGACTACTAATATTATCTATTATAGGTAGCAAGTGAGCAACGCAAGGCATGTGAATGTCTACACCAAGTCGTAAGGGCTTGTTATTAGTAACCTACCTACTGCCAAAGGTGCACATCAGCTGCTTTCATCCTAGATCCAACCAAAGCACGCGCTTGTAGCCATCTGCCTCTAAAAGCTGTTCATTTTATCTTCCTACTGCTTTTACTAGCTTAGAAGTTAGTAATTAGAGCTATTCTCTTGTATCGCCTTGTTAAGTAATATTGTCTTGGAATGCCTTGAGAACATACGCTTTAGTTATGTCATGGCTCATGATGATCTTGACACCTTGTGAGAAGATCTGGGCTTACTGTCTGCACGGCAGTCGAAGCTTTATCTATTATGATCTAATTACTGCTTTGCACATATTGGGAGCATATGCCATGATAATTTCTTACGTTGCGATATGGACAACGCCGAAAGCCAGGGAGTAGACGCATTGTAATTCTGCTACATCTAATTCATTGTCTATGCACGTTCTTTTAACTTTGACACTGGCCAAAACAAGTCTAGTGACATTATTTCCCTAACTGATCACAGAATAGAAATGCTTTTGCTTAGTAGGGCTCTTATTAGTCAAAAGTTTACAGTTCTGATCTAGTTCAAGCTCTGAGTAGCTAGCTACAGAGGCAAATATAACGTGCTGTGGAAAATAAGTCGAGCCATTAGCAATTGGTGAGCACATATCTCAATGGATGAAGTTGGTGATGGCTGAGCAGAGGAGTGAAAGTCAAAGATCAACGGGATTCAATCTACAGATGGTATAGAGTGGAAGCTTTTTTGAGTTGCAATTCTCGCTGGTGGTCTAAGTCCGAACGTACTGTTGTTAATATTAAACAATGAGATGCGGCCATGACTCATGTGAATTGATAGAACCACAAGAGATTTGCTATAGCTTATCTATTCCGCTCAATCCACTTGCAGGTGGGAGGCTTTTGTTAAGCCTTTCAGAGAAAAGAAAGCCGCTTTGGTATATCCTCCTCCATGACAAAACCGATACACGAATTAGAAGGAAACGAAAATTCGTTCCTCCAGAATCGAAGACTCCGAAAAAGGATGTAGTGACCCATCATCCCATACTCTGCGGACAATTGGAAGCTCTTTCTTCATCACAGCACGTCCTGTTCCATCAGTGTGTTTGACCCAGTCGACGGTTCTCAACGCAAGCTTCGATAGAGTCGCATTCTTGCGTTTATACAGAGCTAATCTTTTGATGAGGTCCAAAGCGTGTTGCCAATCGCGGCCAAGGAAGCTTTTAATTTCAAGCTCAAGATTGGCTCCAACCTGAAGACCATGGGAGCGATAATAATTTGATAGTACATGCCTCATCACATGAGTCTCTCTGCCTTGGCCGGCTTGAATAAAATCAGACCTCAGGACCACACCTGCGTGTTCGGGATTATTGGCAAGAATGAAGCCCATTGCAAAAAGGCATGCTCTGCTTGTTGAGTTTTGTTCGCCAGATAGAGCCTTTGGAAGAAGTGTATCATCCAACGACTTATACTCATTCCACAACGCTTTGCTTTCGCCCATCTGGCCCAATCCAATGACATAAGCTGGATAAATATTGAGGCTGATATTGTCGTTGTAATCCTGCGCTAGCAGAGAGGCAAAACTTGGTTTTCTTTGTTCGCCGGGGCGGGGTATTCCGTCACATTCCCAGCCTGTAACAAGGTTCAAAACTGCCTGCCTACGGTCGATATCGAAAGCGAGCTTATTCCGCCCAGTATGAAAAGATCTCGGCCGAGACATGTTCAGTGTCAGATATGTTAGAGCCCAGTGTGTATGCCAATTGGTGGCATAGAGTCTTTTCACCATGGTCTCAAGATACGTTTTTGTCGACTGTAACTGAAATCCCTTGGCTGAATAGTATAGCCCAGCATTGCAGATATCTGGACCAATCTCTAACCCTTTGGCCTCCGTATTAAGACGAAGGTTGTTCAGGAGCTTTATAACGTCCTGAATGGTGGGTCTTGGGTCTGACTCTTCAAGCTTTTGTGGGCGCCCCTGAGCTTTACGACATGATTTGATCCCTTCCACAACTGTCGCCCCATTTGTCACCAGGAACCTGCAACCATCGATGGTGGAAGAGAGCATCGAAATAATTCGGCGAAGATTGTTGAATGAGGTACAACTCTGTATCTGAAGCTTGATAGATTCCTCATCCAATCGACCAAATCCCGCAGAATAGAGATCCGACGCATCGTTTGCCGTGAAGCCGGATACTAACTGTTGAATCTTGGTCTCTGAACTGTCCAATGGATGTATTTGCCTCTCTTCAAATACTCCACGGAGAGCAGAAAGCTTTTGGAATGATCCAGGTGTAAATGGATCTCCTTGAAGAGCATAGCGAAGAATATCAGGAGATGTGGTCGTTCGAGTATTGAAGGGGCCCTCATTATCCCCCGGTATTATCTGGATACGCCTCCAAGATTTTTTATTCTTATGAAAATCGCGTTCCAGTACGCCGTGTTTGCTTGAGTTTTTGTCGGGTATATGTGGCTCCAAATCCTCCACTTTGCGCACGTATCTGCTGTCGTAGGCATCGAGGTCGATCACAAGGCGGGGAAGGATGTACGGTTCGTATTGGCGGGAAGAAACATATCTTTTTGCGGATGGCAGTGAATTCGAAATTTTCAAGGTATGTCGGCACCAAGAATCGAGATCCCTTGGGCCTCTCATTTTGCCATAATTATTAGTAGATTTTCATCGTGCTTGATTGTTGAAACCCAACATACCTCGGATCGTAAGCGCCCGCCAAAATCTGGGGTAATTTGGGGAGTCCGGAGCAATTTGCGGGCCTAATGCGCACTTGCCTGATTAGCTCTAGCTATTTTTAACCAAGGTAAGCGATAGCGCCAGTCCGTCGGCTTTTAAGTTTTAACAAGATTTCGCGCGCTGAGCCGCTTCCCAACGTCACAACACATCCATCAACTAAACGATATGCCTCCAGCAAAGAAAAGAAAGACCCGCGCGACAGAAGAGCCTGCAGAGGACATTGCTCCTACGGCCGCAAATGCATCTGAGACCGAGCAGCCACCGCAAGAACCCACCAAAGACACCCCCACCGAGACAACAGCCTCAGCCTCTGCTTCATCTACATCCGATACATCGGATGCTGCAGCCAAAGCCAAGGAGCGCTTGGAACGCTTCAAAGCACTCCAGGATAGAGCTAAAATTGGCGCGCAAAAGAACCTCAAAGAAGCAGCGCTCGAATCACACCGTCTAGCCACTGATCCTAATCTCCTAACCTCCCTAAACCGAAAATCCGCCATCGCGTCCCAGAAGCTCCTGAAAGCGGAAGCCGAGGAAGCCGGCGAAGATTTCGAACGGAAGCGTGCTTGGGATTGGACTGTGGAGGAGAGTGAGAGATGGGATAAGAGGTTGAAGAAGAAAGAGGCGCATAGAGACGATCAGGCGTTTCAGGATTACCGACAAGATTCGAGGAAGGTGTATAAACGACAGATAAGGAGTCTGAAGCCAGATATGGAGGGGTATGAGAAGGAGAAGATGAAGGCAGTTGAGAAAGCTGCTGCGAGTGGAGGTTTGGAGATTGTGGAGACAGACGACGGGGAGTTGGTCGCGGTGGATAAAGATGGAACGTTTTACTCGACGGCGGATTCGACCGGATTCGTGGAGCATAAACCACCAAAGGACGCCGTGGATAGATTGGTCAAGGACCTGCAACAAGCGGAGGAAACAAGGTTGAGGAAACGCCGGGAGAGAATGGGCAAAGATGGGGACGAAGGAGACGTTACTTACATCAACGAGAAGAACAAGCAATTCAACCAGAAGCTTGCGAGGTTCTATAACAAGGTATGTCCTACTTTCATTCCCTAGCTCGAACCCCATTGCTAACACATTTCAGTACACTGCGGAGATTCGGGACAGTTTTGAGCGTGGGACAATGATATAGGTTACATTGCTAGTTGTGTTGGGAAGTGCCGGAGTTAGGTTTACACCAGAGTTATAGTACAATGCATGGACGAATCCAAACTTTTCAATGTTACAGATTCTGCACATTTGCAGTTCCTCCTCAATTCCTTCGGCTACCCTCTGTTGCCGTCTTCATTGTTTTTGCGCCCTCACAACATTCCCTTCCTCCAACCCTTCTCTGCCAACTCCTCGATCTGTTTTATCTCCACTGGTCCCTTCGTCTTTTCGTCACTCAGCGCCTCCACCACTGCCTCGGCAACCAAGTCTGCCTTCAATGGTTTTGCCACTGCACTACCAAAGACACCCCCCAGTATGCCCCCGGTAACATCATTGATCAGGGCCCCCACCCTCGTAACCGCTGCTATTGGCACGGTCAAAGTTCTGGAGGAGTCAAACATGAAGCCCGGCCGAATGAAGGCTGATCGCATATCGGGAAATTGACTCGCAATTGTACGCTCGGCCTCCCTCTTCGTTTCGATATACCTTTTCGGTAACACCGGCGCTCCGCCAGCAGCTGAAATGTAAGCAAAAGCTGGGACTTTCTCTCTGTTCGCCTCCTGTGCTAACGCAATGGCTGAGTCTCTATTCATCAGTTCGTATGTCAGCTGGCCATCTTTTTCTTGCGACTTTAGGGCCTCTCCAGCTCTTCTAGTTAGAGGGTTTTGGGAACCGCGTTTGGAGGCAGAGAAAGCGCGGGAAAGACCGGATATGGGAGATTCTTTGCCGGATATGACGCCTTTGTAATCGGCCTCGAGAAGAATCCCCATGCTGTGGACCACGTAATCGGCGCCTCTGAGGAGAGGAGCGTAGGTGGCTGGAGCGAGGAGGTCGGCACGTTCCCAGGATACTTTGCGTGCCCAGGGTGGGGGGGTAGGAGAGGATGTCACGGATGACCAGGTTGGTTCTCCCGAGCGGCTAGGAGCATGCATCAGTACCTATAGCCGTATGGAAGCCATTCAGGAAGCGGAAGTGGAGGGATTTTTCAGAGGCGGAAATACCTGATAGAAGTTACATCCCAGCCCCGTGAAACCGCAGATTTACATATCCGTGAGCCCAAGAACCCATTGCCCCCACAGACAATTATGCGTTTCATCTTCGTAGCCATTGTATGTTGTTGTAGTTGTGATGCAGCACCTGTAGCAGGAAGACATGTGACGACGTCAACATTTGAGAAGGCCCGCCCCAGCAAAATACCCGCATGATTAGCTCCCGCCGCTAAACTTTAAATTCGCCATCATCTTTGATCGCGAATAATTATTTCACCTCTCTCTTGCATCTCACACCAACACCACATCCACGCGAACGCAATGGCACCACCCAACACCCAGAAGCGCGTAAAGGGCGTTTCAATCTTCAGACCCTTCGTCTACGGCACAACAGCAAAGCCCTTCGATCCCGAGACGAACCCAAAGCCTGAAGGTACCCCCGCCGACCACACGCATTCGTGGACTGTGTTTGTGAAGGGCGTTGATGACACGGATATTACGTATTGGTGTAAGAAGGTCCAGTTTAAGCTGCATGAGAGTATTCCCAACCCTCTGCGCAGTAAGTATTCCCATCAAATCTGCTGGTAATATATTGTTAACCAAGACGGCAAAACAGCGATCGAAAACGTCCAACCAGGAGAAGCGTACGAAGTTCACGAGACCGGTTGGGGTGAATTCGAAATTACAATCAAACTGTACTTTGTCCCCGAATCCCAAGAGAAGCCACAAACCATCTACCATCACCTGCGACTTCACCCATACGGCAACACCGAGGCTGAGAAAGAAGCAATGAAGACCGCCCCAGAGATCATATCTTGGTGTTACGAGGAAATGGTGTTCAACGAGCCATATGAGAACTTCTATGATGTCTTGACTAGTCCGATGGACCGTAGTAAGGGAGGGAAAGGAGGTATGGGAAAGGGGACCAGGGTGATGAAGGGAGGTATGGTTGGAAGCGTGGGAGAGCGAACTGCATTGATCCCGCTGACTAGTCGTCCGGGACAGCCGTTTAGCAGGGAGACAGAAAGAAACGAATTAAGGAGATTGAGGGAGGCGCAGCATAAAGTTGATGAGATGATTTCAGAGTTGAAGAAGGAGATCGAGGAAAAAGAAGCGGAGAGGGCGAAGTTGAAAGGTCAAGCTTAAGGATGGCTTGGAACAAAGCAGGGCGATCAATTCGGGATACTTAGGTTTCTCTCTGGAACTCGGATGGCAGGATGGTTTGGAGTTGGGGATATGGGTATACCCAGGAATACATTGCTTTCATGACATGGATTGCTTTGATGCAATAAAACACGTCAGCGAATCGATATTTATGCGCACCTTGGGATTCTTCTCAACTGTCTAATTCTTTTTTCAAGATGTCATGCCAGCGACAAATACACCCAAATGGTACCGCATGCAACATCCTCGATCAAGACACCTGGTATCGACATTACAAGCATACACAAAAAAGGACATGAAACATTACATTGCAATAGTTCGTAACGCCCCTCTCACCCTCCTTTTTCGGATCCTTCGCCCACAAAGTCTTCAATCAAAATGACTTCTCTCTAAACCATTATCAAATATACGTCTCTTATTTTCCTCCCTTTTCCACTCTCTTTCCCTCTCATTCTCACTCCTCATATCCCTCCCTCCCTACTCCTCCCACCCTATTATTTATTCCCCTCCTCCCCTCTTTCACCCCCGAAACTAAACCTCACTACAAAACGCCCTTGTATCTCCCATTGTTCTTTTACATAACAACATGATATGTTCCAAGGGATATCTTGATACAACACACGTAGCATATATGGCAGTTGGCCAATGATGATCATGTTGTGGATAGAGATAATCGAATTGGTTTTGGTGATTTATTTGCTGTGAGGGTTTGAAACGGGGTGGGATGGGATGGGATGGGCTCTATTAGAAGAAGGGGATAGATCTGGCGGGTGGATGAGGAAGATTTGGCTTAATTGAATAGAAATTTGAATCCGCGTGAAACGTTAGGATGGGTGAGCTTCAATCCGAAATCTAGACTGGGTTGAGTCCTGGGAAGTATACTGTTCGGGACCGAGGTCAATCAAATCACATCAAACGTGCCATGTAAAACCGGTGGTTATGTATATCTGCGCTCGATTTCATCTCTTACACTGCAGTACACTATCGGTACATATCCTCTCGTCCCCATCAAACACTATCGGTACATCTCCTTTCGCCCCCATCCATTCCGTAACAAAAGAAACTCATCGATGGAAAATGTCCGGCTGCGCTGGGCAATGCAAAGCAGGGTCTCCTTGAAAGAAAACTTTTAATACAGGGTCTCGATTAGAGTACGCCCTTTGCCACCCATTACTATACCACCATTCCCCGAATCAAAGACCCTGTAGCCAGACTACAGCACAACCAGGCGCTGAACGACGAAAGGGAGATATGAAAACACGCTAAAGTACATCAAGATATAAAAACACAAGAGGGGAGTTCTCTAAGGGGGGATGGGGTATTAGGCTTTCTGTTGATAAGCGGGTGGCGGCGTGTCATCTCTGTCGTCCCTCTGCCAGAAGCCCTCTGCCACAGCTTTTTCATCGTGCGCACGACGGGCGATCTCACCCGCCATTTTAAGTACCCATGCTTGTTCCAGAATCCCAGGCACTGACGGGTCTGAGAGCATGGGGGCAGGTTCGAGATGTGGGATATCCGACTTTGATTTCTCGGCGGCATATTGCGATGGCGCGTGTGAGGATCTGTGGGGATTGGTGGAAATTGGTGCTGTAGCCCTTGAGTCGAGCTGCTCAATTGGAGGGACTGGGTCGAGGATTGCTTGCTCGGGAACGGTTAATGAAGTCATACCAGGACGCCCGGGGTTTGATAGGCGGAGTTTCCGCGGCGAATCCCCGAGATCAATACTTGAAGTCCTGAATCTAACTCTCCCAGAAGGTGAGCGCGGGGGTGTGATGATGCTGTCTCCCGGCTCCTCCGAGATACTGGTTGCGTAGAGGGGTTCTGAAGCTGGCATAACTGAGGACGTCTCGCTGTCTGCAGACTCAGATACCATATCGTCTGTAGTCTTCTTTTTCCGGAGGTTAACTACGCGTGTCTTCTTCTTTCGGTTTGCGTGTGATCTGGAATGTCGGCCTGCACCTAGGGAAAGGCCTGTAGTTGAGGAGTTCAGGGAAACGAGGGACGGGCGGGACGTTAATTGGCCATGTCCATCATCGGATCCTTTGCCAAATGTGTATGTTGTGCTTGTGCTTCCGAGTGATGAATGGGATCTCATCAGGGTGGGTGTAGCAGGCCCAGAAGAACCCATCGTATCACTACGTTCCGAAGGTCCCGCCCAAGCTCTGAAAACAGCATCTCTAATGGAAGGCGTAAATAACGACAAAGTCCGGTGCGAATCCGTTAATGCCGCTAAACGAAGCAAGTTCTTCTGGGAAAACAGAGAATGTATCTCCGATCCTCTATCCAAAGATAACGAGGAGATCTCACTAGCATCTAGGACATTCCCTCTCGCATCGACGGCATCTTGAGGTGGGCTCGCGAACGGATCTACTGGCACTTCCTCGTCTAACTTGGCAGCATGCGCCTTCTCTTCGGCCACCCTTGCCTTATGTTCGGGGCACCATAATCGCAAGGATAGCCTGTGTATAATAGCCGGTAACTCATCCATCATCAAGGTCCGTAATTGCGCCTCTATTTCCTTTTGTAGATAGTCTCTCACGAATGGTATTGAATCGAACGTCGACGAGACCTTAAGTGATTCAAGGGGATCATTTCGAAAGACTAACGTCAGGCCCTTCTGTCGAGAGAAGACCAGGATTATAAAGGCGGAGAGCTTGATTTCCGACAAAGTGATTTGGAGGGGTATTGTCAAGCCGGATGATGCGGCAAGAGGTTGGGGCGATGTGAAGGAAGGTTTCGAAAATAGGTACGTGTTAAGGGGGTTCGCCTGTTGTTGATATATTAGCCGCTGTTATACCTCAATCAAGAACCGGGTGGAAACGTAATAAAAAGCATGTTCATGCGCCAAAGCATTTGTAGGTAGAACAAATACAATCCAGAAAGGGGTTCCTAAAGCTCATAGAAGGAAGGCTATGTATGGGCAACATACTTGGACTCGGGTCTTGAGAGTCAAGAAAGCATCCCCGGCGTAGCACATCTTGAAGATCCCCCTAAACCTATCCTCTGCCAAATCCCCAATCTCTAGTATTTCCAGATCAGGAGGAACACTCCCAAGGTTCAGTTCGTTGACCAGAATATCGTCGACTATTATGGGCGGCTTCGGTGATTTATTGAGCGCAGCCGTAAGCATTTCTCGCGCGCGCGAATAGAAATCCGCGTCGGCGGCCAATGGCGACCAGTTGAAATTGAAGGCCATGTTGAGATGGCATCAGACAATGGAGGCCTTCGAAGGTTTTGATGCCAAATGTCGAGGATGTGGTCGTGGAGATAGTGGGACACTGTCGCGTGAGGAAATTCGCCCGGGCGGATCTGATGATGGGAGTCCGACAGGGCAAAGGGCGTCGCGCTCAGACAACGACAGGAATCAATTATGCGATCTAAGCGGTCGAGCGAGGGAATATCATCAGGCTGTCGCGATCGTGATCAGGACCTCGTCGCCATCATAAAGTCTGATGAGGTTCATGTCGTAAATGTCGTGTGGATGGCGGGCACAGTAAGGGGAAGCTGGTTTATCAAGAAAATACTTCGGCTCGTGAAAATCCCTTTTGGTTTTCAGCGTCATCACCCGAACATCACCCGACCACCCGCTTTAGCCTTTGGGGGTGGCAGGGTGCATAAAATCACAATCATAAATCCATAATTCAAAGGACCCAATCTTCCGAAGTTATTCATGCATAATTCTACTGCTTATTGGACAGGACCATCAATAACCTCGTTTCGATGTTCCCTGCAGAACCACAGAACCCCAGCCACAAGAACCCTGTGCTAATATTTCTGAGAGCTGGAATCGTGCATGGAAGTATTAACAGTCAATGCATGCTACCTGCCGTCCGTCTCGAAGACAGGCAAGTTGCGCAAGCGCTTTTTACAAAGTTGGTTTTCTATTTGTCGCTGACTGTTATGTTCCAGTACACATACATGATCGCGTCTCCTTCCTCAGGAATTGCAATTTCTCTACTACATGATGTCAGATTTTTCGTATTCTTGGGCTGAGACGGGGAATATATCCCTTGGAGGTGTCAACCGCACGGACATTCTATTTATACAAAGTCTAAGTAGTCTACTAGACGCATCATATTCCTTTTGGGCTGTCTTCTTGCTTTTCTCATGGTGTCGATTAGGAGTGTATCTCTGGCCAAACCCGGTGGTGATTTCCACTCATCGTCGCAGTGTGAATCTCAGGATCGATAAAGGAAAGCTCTCACGCGGGTTCTGAACTTGGCATTTCCTATTGCGGGGTTATATCGGGTTGTATCGGGTGGGGCTGGGGTTCCTTGAGTGGGTCAACGTTACGAGGAGAATGTACGAGAAGTTGGTGTTGCACTGTTGGCGAAGGGGGAAAGGGAGACGCTCTGGTTTCGTGGGAGATGATAGGATCACAGAGTACTTTGACGATGCTATGGACGTGGGATGATGTGAGCGAGTGGGACCGGGGTGCCGAGAGAAAGGTGGGGGAAAGAAGAAAGGTGGGTGTGGGTATGCTGGAGTAAGCTTCTGAAGTTCTGAGGTCTTGAATCAGCTCTCGCGGGTAGGTCTACATTATGTTTCAAAGTTGGAGCAGTATGGTTGAATTTTAAAGTCTCCTTTGATTTTCAAAAGTATTTTTAGTTCTATCTTCCTTTTCTCTCTGGCTATTCTCCCGCCAGTTTCTGCCGGATGGGATGATCAAGAAGATATGTTCTGGGTCGCTCACCCCCTTGAGGATACGCATGCCTTTAGACCTGACTCGGAATCCCCCCATCGCGAGCTCCTGATGAATAATCCGGACCCTTCTCTCATGCGTCAAGTCATCAATCAAAATCATTTGCCCGGCTCGACGTCTGTGCAGCTCCACGATAAACGCATCCGAGACCGCGATCTCGTCCCCTTCCGCCTCAGCTTGAATCCTAGAAGCCGTATTGATCATGGGGCCGTGGTAGTCCACTCGTCCGGTTAGCTGATCAACTCTGCACGAAAACGGCCTCCCGAAATGGATTCCCATTCTCACTCTCAGCCCTCGCGGTTCGAGCGATCGCGAATGCCCGTCCCCGTAACCTTCGCGGAAGGCATACTCGACGATTTCCCGGGGCCATACTGCAGCCCTGAGTTTTTCCTGGGTGGCCATGCAGAAGTTCAGCGCGGCTTCGGGTTGGGAGAAGGAGGCGTGGAATCCGTCGCCGAGCGTCTTCACTTCGTACCCGCCGAAGCGAAGCAGCTCGGTGCGGATGATCGAATCGTGCAACTTGAGGGCCACTTGCATGGCTTTCTGATTGTGTTCCCAGAGGTTCGTGGAGTCGATGATGTCTGTGAATACAGAGCAGATTTCGCCCATAGGGGCTTGCTCGGGTTCTGCCATCTTTGATGATCTCGGAGAACTAAACTCTCTCGCTACCATTTCGATTAATGGAAGGTTTGTTAGATAATATGGAAGTATTCTATGTCTATAGATTGGAATTTTGGTAAATGGATGTGACGGAGGGTCTGATATATGAACTTCAAAAACCAATCTCTTCCCCTTATACATGTGAATCTCTGCTATTTTATCAGTGACTTAGAACAATACAGATCTGCTTCATGACTTGGCCGGGACAGATCTTTGTCTAAGTCTCAACAATACAAGCAAACATAGAAAAATAGTAACGAACCTTTTCTGCTACTGTTCAGGACATTGTCCTCTAGGACAAAGCACATTGTCGAACCCTCCCAGTCTTAGAATCCTTTGTAACATGAAACTGTAGATCATCATGTCAACCGTAAAAACAAAGAGAGAATTCAGTTTGTTTCAAATTGTTTCAATCTCCTTGTTCACCTTGAACATTCAGAACTCTTGTTCTTTTGCAGCTAAAAGAAAGCCATATGGTCGGCGCATTATAATATAATGTTACAAAAGCTCACAACAAGATATTAATAGCATGGACTTTATCCCTAATAGAATTTCACGGTGGAAGAAATATTTGAGGTGTTGGCTACGGAACCTACTTGGGATATTAAGAAACATTTGGTTGGTTTTGTTGAAGGGCTCTATTACGGACTTCAGTCGAGACATTCCAGAACCTGCAGAAGTACCACTGTGCGGCAGTAATGACAAAAAGCCATATCCATTGTTAGAATAAATCAATGAGACTGCTCAGTTCCAAGTAGTAGGGCTAAAACCACTGCGTGTGAAATCTGTATCTTTGAATCCTCAACCCCCCTCCCCCCTAAAACACCTTCTCCCTTCCTCCCTCCTTAAACCCCTCCTCCGGGTATGCATGCGAGTTACCCTTTCAATCACTAAAGGTACTACTACTAGGAGTACCGTTAGACCCACCAGCCGGTGTGTTCACAAAGGCAGGCGGGCCCTTTCCTCTTTTATTCACGCCATTATTCTTCCAAACATATTTGCGCTTAACTCTCGCAGGTCCCGCGACGGTAGCTCTCTTTCCCTTTCGCTCAGCCTTTTTGTTATCGTCAGCTGCATCCGCAGCATTATTTTTGTCATTCCCGGCCTCCAAAGCTGTTACGCGCCTGTCCCGGCTGATATCTGGAATGCCGGTGCTAGTCTTGAACTCGAGGGGAGCCTCACTCATCTCGTTCTTTTGATACTGATGCTGAGCTTTGACAAATGGATTGGTATTATTGGTATCGCCCTTATGTATGGTTTGTCGTGTTCGGAGATCGGGAAAGTTCATGAGGGAGGTACCGCGGATAGTAGCACGAACTGTCTCTAGAGAGGCTGAGATAGATGAAGTTTTTCCATTGTCAGATACGTCAGGGTTGTAGAAAGATTCAAGGGGAATGCTAGTGACAGGCTTGCGGGCCCGGGGTGGCGGAATGGACGAAGTCGAGATTGTGGGCTATTATTGATTTAGTAAATAGTTAGACAATGTCATTTAAAAGCTGAACGTATGTTCACTGTTCAGGATAGTTAGAACGATTGATAGGAATACACAAATCATACCTCCGAGAAAGAAGAAGCAGAAAGCCCACGGATGGCTAGACGATCAGTTGGACGCAGATCATACTCGTTATCCTGATAAATCGGAAGAGCCATCCGAGCAATTTCACGGGCACTAGGAACCTTATCTTTCTTCAAAGGTTGTACTCCTGGATCATCGCGAGCTGGGCTCTTAATTACTGGCTTGGGTTGAGACATCGAACTTTGCTGCGAATTATCGTGCTGTGTCTGGTTATTAACAGGACTTTTGATCGTTCAAATTAAGGGAGTAGCTTACATCTGCGGATCTATATGACTCAGCGACAGGTCGACCAGCTGAATTATTGTATGCTATTGAAGGATTAGAGGTTAGATGCAGGAAGAGGGATATATCTTACCTTGCAAATAAATTCACCTGAAAGGTCTCCCTTGCCTAGCGTGTGCTCCTTGGATAGAAGAGGAATTGGGAAAAATTGTGATCCACTGGACGTAATGGAATCCGATTACTGGTCGAAAGTTGTTCAAATGAGATGTATTACTTTCGGTGCTGGCTTCAGCAGGTGAGACGTCTTGTAGCCGTCGCAAAGAGGTCGCGCCAGATATATCCTGGCCTGCCTATTGATATTTAGACATTACAACTACCTCTGAAGGTTGGGATAAAGAAAAGGTGCTACTTCTTTCGCGACGAAAGAGGGTCAAACCCAGGAGGTCAAAAGGGGGACTTTGTTCTTCGGACTAATAAGGAAATCAAGAAGCATGGTTGCATCCACTCAGAGAACCCAGTCCAGATAGTCGAATAATAGTCCGGCAGTCAAAGTGACTTGGGTCATAAATAATGATAATGAGAAGTCCTGCTTAACATCCAGTGCTTATGGAAAGCTCTACAGACCTGCAGATGTAACCGCACCCATCTGCAACGCATATCTAGGGGTTTCCAATCTCCAAACCCTCCTTGGGAATATTAGACACCACAGCGTCCGAGTTCTCAAAGCAAGCGACAAAAGTGCAGCGTCAGAGCGTTGTCGAACGGAAATTTTGGCCTTCAACTCGACTGAAGCAGTTCAAGCTACAAACTGGATTCAAGGCGTGGAGGAAACCCACTCCGCGAGATTCACCTACTTTAGACTATGTGATGCTATTCAGTGATGCAAACCGCCGCAAAGTGAAGGTAGCCTTTCTTCTCTACCGGATAGTTCGGTGTGATCGCCGGGGATTAGAACTCTCAACAATGCACAGCTTGCTTTATTGGTTTCGGGGCCAACTTGATTTCAACAATCGAAGAAATCTAATTCCGAAGCTCATATCAGCCGTTGTTCCAAGTTCTAGTTTGGGGGACGGAGTGTTTTTGGCAATTTCAATGCGGGAGAAGAAAGCTACCATTTCCAAGGGTAATCAACAGGCTTTCAAAATCAGAAGATTCATATCAGCCATAAACAGTATCACTCCATTAACTGCAATAACTGATGGCCTTCACAACAGGCACTAGCTCGGTGGACATCTTGATCGCAACAAAGAAAAGACAGGAGAAACTCGAATGACTCCCTTCTATGACCCATACGGAACGCCACCAAATGCATACCATCATGCCTCATCCCTCTATCAATCTGCAATTAGTGTTTGCCTCTATTCCATAACGCCCTCTACGTCGCCAGATATTCGCGCCAACCACGGATTAACGCCAAATAAAAGTGTAGCAGTTCCCAGACATCATTGAACACCAGCCACAGAAAAACTTAGCAAGGAACCAACCATCAACCCAGCCACAAGATTGAGTGCCATGAATGAACCGGTAGCTTCTTTCTCTCCGTCATCAACATATTCTGGGGCTTCCATCATAGCAGTGCTACCCAGCCATCCATTTGTTGTACCGAATCCGACCTGGACTACCATGTAGAATAGATCGCTTTTGACGACCGCGCCGTTGCCTCCAATGTTGCACAATAGATATAGAGGTATAAAACCGATACGGAGAAGAGAGAATATGAAGAGGGCGACCGGGCGATGGTGGTAAGAGAAGGGGAGAAGCGTGAGGAGTCGACCTAAAAGATCCGCCGCATTCCATACCAGGAAGCCGAGAGGAATAAAAGTTGCGGGTTGGAGGAGTCGAGGTGCCTGGTCAGGCGGCCTGACGGAAACAACTTTTTGGGTGAATACCGGGAAGAACATGGTGACCAAAAAGCATATGAATACTGTTGCTGCAAGCCAGGGGACCTTTTTGTACAATGTTCTCATACTGACAACCTTGCGTGTCGCCTGTTCAACCTCCTCGACACTAGCGACAGATGAAACTGCCTGACTTTCCATGATCCGGTTGTGCTTCCGTACAAGTGGGATTACAGCAAGAAGTGCAATGCTGCTAATTCCAGTCGCGGTGAGAAAATAAATAAAAGCGGATGATGTATTCTCGTTTCTCGCAATAGCTGCCCGTGCCGCAGCATCGACCGAGTGATCAGGTTCAGGGACTGCCAGGACAGAGATAATCTGCGCGACAGATGGAAGAACTCCAGCCACTGCTTGACCTGTCATGATAGCTTGTATATAATCTGGCCGGCCAAAGCTCGACGCAAATGCGAATGCTCCATTTTGGCAGAGTCCCGTTGCGACTGACGTTGCAAAAACCATGATCAATGTGAACGCCAGATATCCCCCATTCGAAACATCGCGGAAATGAGAGGTTGATATGGTAAGCAAGGTAAAGACGATTATATTGAGAATCAGGGAGGAAATTATGCGCTTGGGGTAGGAGGCTTTTGATTGCATGTTCGAGAGGAGAAGCAAGGAGCCAAGATTCGTGACGCAGCCAACAGAGGTGATGGCGGATTGGAAATGAGCGAGGATGCTGGCGTTACCCTGGAATCGACTTTGAAAGTAGGGTGCTGCTGCTAAGAACATGTTCCTGTTTCACAATCAGCAAGCAGTATTCAGTAAAGGTCAGGCCTAACTTACCATGCCCAAAGCATAGCAACCCCCAAGATGAGGAAGATCGAGTACTCGAGCCATGAGAACGGCGCTTCAGCGGTGTCAGGGCGTATCAAAACTGGTCTCCGAACATCTTCGTCTCCATCGTTGTAGAGCGGCTCGTAATCTTGGGAAGATTCTGATTTCTTAAACAGAGCGCGGACTCTATCAATGGTGCTCGTGATCCCCATGGTCTCGATGCTCTCGTTTCATGGACAGAGCTATGAATCGCCTTGTCGTTGTGTCATCCAAATTTGAAAGGAATGTCCGGGAGGAGGTGGCAGGGAAAAGATGGCAGAAGAGGTCAGGAAGTAATATGGGGTTCACTACTCCTGAACCTCAGATGTGTCGCAAATATGAGAGATACGCAGATGTTCCGCTTCCTAATCGTCACGGGGCGGACAAACAGACATTCCGGAGATCGCGCGACGCGTTCGCTAAAATAAGTTCCCTTTTCTGTCTTTGGGTCTCCATATACCTTGCCCGCTGACCCCCTCCACCTAAAATCAAACATGGCTGCAGGATTATTGAAGTCTGCTTATTATGTGACTCAATTTCATCGAATTTTCTGAGGATGGACGCATGGCATATTGAGATCTCATGAACCATGCATATACTGCCGCAATTAATGTTTGCTTTATGGGGTATTTTGGAGGTAATTCTCTTGTCTCATAATCTCATTAGCAAGCACAGTGCAGTCGAGTAGTTGGCAACGACAACATTCGGATATGATCTAAATAAAATAGTACTTGAGTGTAGAAGATCTTTGGGGTCTATTTCTTTGACCCCCAAGACCGACAATATTGCCCAAATTTTGCCCTCTTTTTTCAAACATTTTCACACTAATTGTGGCTAAGGCTGCACCCAATACTTCTATAATAGACACCTTTCAATGAATTATATGCTAGAGGTGCTTTTGCTGTATTTAGATCTCATTCTCGCCAATTTATCAGATCGTTTGGTGTCTGCAACTTGTTGGGCGCTGCACTCAGTGTGCACAAGCCACCGAGGGCTTGATAGGAAGCCGAGTTACTGGGCGGAACCACGAATATTGAGTAATGTAATGTAATGTAATCAATCTGGAGGCTCCGGGCTGTCTGCAATCAAGATACTGAGTATTTAGAGTAGTAGATAGTTGAAAGTGCTATATAAGTTGGCATATGAGCCTAGGTCGCAATGGCTGTAAGAGGATCCGACTCCCGAGCAGATGGACTATTTGAACGCTGCCCTATAGTTGAAATGTATCCAAAGGTATTGCACAGGACAAGTAGTTCGTTTTTTAGGGATAACGAACCACTATAATGGTCATAGCTTTCGAAAACAGTAATTTTGGCCCACCCCTTTCCAAGTATGCACCGTCGCTATGCACCCCCCATTTACTTTTTCCAAAAACGCCTCAAAGAATGCCACAATAATAGCCAACCCATACGTCCAGACCAAGGCCCTCCACTTATTGACTTAGAATCGAAGAGTCTACCCCATAGCTCTCCATCTGCTCAGCACTGATCCATCCCTGTTCGGCCGCAAAAACCAAAACATCGGTAGCACTCTCAAATGCACCATATTTGGTCCTCACATCTAATTTTTTATTGAGCTTACTAAGACCTTCAGTACGATTCCATTCAACGGAATCATCACTGGGAGCTATAGCCTTGAGGTAAGCTGTCCTCAGCCATTTCAAGAGATATTTGATCCAGAGCACGTTAGAGTACGGCGTGTATTCGGCCCAGGTATGCCCACTATTTTTTGAGCGTGATGTCTCCGTATGCCAGTTACGCTTGAACATTGTATGCTTGCCAGTGAATAAGTGGGTTCTCATCCTGACACTTCATTAGTTTGGACTGTATGCTTCATATGATAAAAGACAGACATACCGCCTATAGGTATCAAACTGAGCCTTGCCATCTTCTCCCCGAAATACCTCGAGATCTGACTCTAAGTCGAAGAACACAACATCACCGTTTGGCATTTTTGCGCGTGACAGTCCATAGTCGATTAGCGTCACTTCCAGATTCGACCGACCAAATTTGATAGCCTCAGGAAGGCTATGTGACACTTTGGACCGTTCGCGGGTAGAGATACAAATATTATTTTCGTGAAGGTCGCGATGCTTTGGTTTTATTAGAACGAAGGGATTGCATTTGACGGAATTGTAGCTTACCTCAAACTCAGCAAAGTTCTCAGCACGGCTTAATGCCATAACAACACCGAGAAAGATATCCCATAACTTTTCTATACTGTTGACCTCAAAATGTTCTAGAACCTCGCCGGCATCGCCAAGCTCAACCACTAAAAAGATAGAGCTATCGGAGTAGGAGGCAGGATGAGGGAAGAAGCTGCCTTCAGTAGATTGGGAGTTATACTCATCCCAGGCACTGATAATGGCATCAGAGGGCTTTCCTTTAAGAAGATGAGCTTCCTTGAATAAAACAAAACCAGGAACCTCTGTCATTATGTTCATGATGCGAATCTCGGAGACAACTTGCTCTACTGAAACGGCGACTTCGGATTCCATAGACGGGGGATCGGAGGGCAGTCTTAGTGGCATAACTTTTATGATAGAGCTGACATTTTTGACGGTGATTCGATATACTTCTGCGTAACTCGCCTCTGCAATCTTGACTATTGATGATGCGCCCTCGAAGACCTGGTCCCATTTCCGTATTTCAAGGGTATGGCCGCGGTCTGCATGGTAGGATTGAAGAAGAGGGTTTAAATGTATTAAATCTGGTGAGGTATATGAAGAGGGGGTCTGAGGGACTGATTTGACCTCTGGCGTGGCGGGTTCTGGATTGTCAGCTTCGGACAGGTATTTGTAAATGGTCGGTCCTAGCTCACCGGAAATAGTAAGACTTAAATTATTGATAGCAGAAGTTATATCAACAAGCGGGTCTCTTGGAGAAGATGCCGATGATTGGGATATGCAGCTTGATTCGGTGGAGGAGCCAAATATGGCAGCAGCAGCAGGGGTAGCGGTGGTCTTCTTCTTGCCATATGTACGCTTTGGAGGTACACGAGCTAGCTCTTTCATGTTGAGATAGGTAGACAATTCTCTAATAATATTAATGAGCCTGATATCATTATTAACTGTGAAAAGAACTGTGACAATGTAAGAAAGATGGCACTGGGGTGAAAAACAGATTGTAAAAGAAGTGGACAAGTAACAAACACCGAGAACTGCCAGGACAAGAGGACCTCATATCGCTGTAAGACTCAGTCTCTGATCCGTGACCCCCAAAATCTTTGGGCATCCTCTAATAGCACTTCCTAATTGAAGATATAGCAGAAATATCAAAACAGAAGTACAACCGCTGCCTACTAATGTTCAAGTTCCACTAGGAGATTGAACTAGTAAACACTGTAGATACAAGAAGCTCTTTACATCAGAGTATGGGTCTCTTATACAACGTGTCGGCCCTTGCTCCGGACCTTGTAATCTCAATACCCTTCGTAGATGCGAAGCATTGTTGCAATCACATCACGTGATATGAACAGTGAAACTGTACCTATGGCTGTTAAGTCTCCGGGACATGGTGACATAGCGAAAGTACAGCCAGATGATTCCATCAATACGTTAATCCTAGAGCTTCTAGGCTTCTTGCTTTTCAATATCTGAACAGTGACGAACCATTGTAACTGATATTCTTGTATAGGAGTGTAGGGTTAGAGTCAAGGAGATGGCTGGCACGTACCACTCGAGAATTGGAACTGGTGTACACAAAGAACACTGTGAATGTGTCAAGTACTAACTATACGGTACAAAGCGTCTTTGAATTTATGTCTGTCATCGTGCAATCTGTCACGGCAGCAGCAGCAAAACTCCATTGAAGGTAAATATCGCGTCACGGGTAATTCTCGGTGTGGTTGTCAGGGGAATATCCCAAAAGGGTTAGGCTGGGGTTATGTGTCAATTTCTTTGCTCCGTGCCCAGCTTCCACTAGCCGCCTAGCCTTGCTTACATAAGGTAGGTATGGTAGAATCATTTCCCAACGCGGAAGCTTTCGTTGTTCTCCTGGCTCAGAGCCTCAGACCTTCGCACATCGCACAAGCAAGGTGTCGTCCATTGACGCTGCGCACGATCTGTCACGAAGATGGCACAGATATTCGGTAACCTCTTCGGAGGCGCAAAGCCATCTTCTTCTCCGGTTCCGTCTGGTGATTCTGGTGAGTTGGCGCATACAATGGAACAAAATCAGAACTAACCCTCCTTTCGACAGACTTCGCGGATTTCGCAGGAGCTCCAGATCCATCCCCAGCTTCTCTCTCGGCCATTCCTGATGCCCCAAGCTTTACTGGGCTTGGAGCTGCCTCTACTGGTGCATCTGCTGTCCCTTACACCAAATGGTACAACGTCCACGAACGCTACTCCCTGAGCGACTTCAAGCAAGAGGGTATCATCCTAGTTTTCGTCGTCGTGATTATCATTATACATCTGTTTGGAACAAGCACAAATCGCAAGAAGGCAAACAAATGGATCAATGCCCATGCGCCTGTTCTGCGAAAGCAATTTGCCCTGGTCGGGTTCGGTGGCCGAGGACCTCTCGCAGATGAGATCAAGAGCCAAGACTTACCAAAGTCTCTGGCTAGTGATAGTCTTGAATTGCCTGAGGAATTACTGAAGGAGAAGTCCCCTCACGAGTTCGCGACTTACGCGACCGGAAGACAGAATATCGCATTTCTTGATTTCAACCTTACTCTCTTCAAGCGCTACAGCCCTCTCACTGTATTCATTGAGTATGGCCTGAGTTTGTTTTTCGAAAGTATGCCGGCACCTGTTGAGAGAATGGAAGCAATTATTTATCCATTCGATGGCAAAGAGAGTCTTACCATTCCAGGCCAAGCCCCTGGGGCACATGAACTTCGCAAGGATACTAAGAGCAGCTATGATGGGTTTGTGTGGGCTGTTGTCAACAAGGATACCATGAATCAGCTTCGTGACGATCGGTACGATGTCTCTATCACAACTACGAAGGACAGCCCGAAGCTTCCAAGTTGGGCTACTGTTATGAGTGAGAGTGCTGAGGTCACCGACTTACTACTTTCTCCTGAGCTTATTAAAGCCGTTGAAGAAGCTGGTGAGCTGTTGGAACACTTGATTATCACGGACCAGCCGGTTGATCGCCCAAAAAAGTATGTCTCCTTTTCTCCTTCTCTGTAACATCTCTTACTTATCTATGATTTTCAGGCTCGACGAGACAATTCCAAAGAAACGTATATATCTCTCCATGAAGCTTCCGCCTTCGGGAGATTATTCCAATGTTCTACCGCTCTTCGAATATTTCGTCCGCCTGCCAGATACCCTCGTGCAATCGGCACATTTCCGACCCGAAGTTATGCGCAAAGTCCGAACAACTCGTGAAGATGCGATAAGGAGATTGCAAAAGGCTGACGAAGAGGAAAAGGCCGAGGAGAGAGCAATAGAGCGAGAGAAGGCTAAGAAGCTGAAGAGAGATCTGGAGCTGAAGTCCCTGAGTGCTGCGGAGCAGAAAAAATATCTGGAGAGAGAAAAGAAGCAGGAAATCAAGAAACACCAGAAGAAGTTGACGCAGAGAGCATAGAAAATGTAATTATTCTCGAGCCGGGTCGAGTTGAGGAGAGGTAATGCATCGATGTGTGCAGCGCAGAGGACAAAACTCCACAGAAGACTCGTGAGTTGTACAATACTTGTACTTAATATAGGGAAGCTTCCGACAACCATCATAAAAGATCAATTCAATATCTCCCGTAAGCACAGCCACCTCGTCTGCCAATGACTTGTTATCTTCCAAGAAGCAACATACGCGAGTAGGACAGACTAATAGTTCACCCGCCTTTGCTATCACTGGTTCATAATTGCAAAATAATGTGTGCTCGCAGCTCTTCAACTCGACAGACTCGCAAAAGCCAAAGAATACTGGCAACTATATTGTAGTCTGCTCAACGCAGTTCCTGAGAGATCAATGAGTTTCAGCCAACCAACGATACGTCCACGAGGTCAAGTCTTGTGATATCAAGTATGAAAGGTGATTTTACGATCAGGGAAAACTGATGTTCGGCAGTCGTGGGAAAGCCTGCAAAGGGCCAGTCGGTAACTCTATTTCGAAAGTGAGGAGGCTAAACAACTATTCCAAAATCTCTGCGAGCTTTTGACGATATATTCACCAAATACAGGGCCAATCTTGCAACGGCTTGGCGACCAGTAAGAGGAAGCCATTGCCTAGGACATGGGATGGGGAATTATTGGCTCTGAATTATAGCGAGAAGTTCCTGCTGCCACCATGTTAGCTTCGCCACCATGAATCAAGCTTTATATCATAGGAATTGTGCTACAGTATTTAAGGATCTGCTTTAATAGAACTAGAAGGTACGAATGGTCACTTGAAGAGTAATAGAAAATGGACCAAACTCGTCGTTGAAGCAAGGTTTATCATCACGTGATATTCCTTATCCAGACACCAACATCTAGCGCGGGAGCGATAAGTACATGCGCAGGTAGTGAAAATAATTTCTGCCCGTCAAATCCAATCTTCGTTTTCACGACCACAGTCCCCACCCAACCACGAAAATGAAGCGCAAACTGGATGCGAATGATGTTCCTGTTCCTACCGGAGAGGTAGATGGACAGAAGGAAGAAATTACCTTTGCTGGCTTGGGACTTGACCCTCGGCTTCTCCAAGGAATTGCAAAGCAGAACTTTCAAGCTCCAACCCCGGTCCAAGCAAAGGCTATCCCTTTAGCATTAGATGGACGAGATATTCTTGCGAGAGCAAAGACTGGCTCTGGTAAAACAGCTGCGTATCTGCTGCCAGTCTTGCATTCAATTCTGAAACGAAAATTGGTGAGTTTGGCAAATTGACTATGAGAAGCACAACTAATATCTGCAGACTCCATCCACTCAATGTACATCCGCCCTCATACTTGTGCCAACCCGCGAACTCGCGGAACAGGTCCACAAAGTAGTTGAATCGTTCTCGGCCTTCTGCTCCAAAGACATTCGAGCGGTCAACCTCACCCAACGGGTGTCCGAGGCAGTCCAACGATCCCTCCTCGCAGATTCCCCCGATATTGTCATTGCAACTCCAGCTCGGGCTTCGTCAAATCTCAATGCATCGGCACTCTCGCTCGAAAACCTTGCACATCTGGTTATTGATGAGGCGGATCTGGTCCTGTCTTATGGATACGACGATGACTTACAGAATGTTGCCAAGATCATGCCGAAAGGCGTGCAGACAATACTGATGAGTGCTACATTGACGACCGAAGTCGAAACCTTGAAGGGACTCTTTTGTAGGAACCCGACAGTATTAGAACTGGAGGAAGCAGAGGACGAAGGAGAGGGTGTAAGTCAATATGTTGTCAAGTAAGTTCATGGTCCTCCAAGTCGGCATATTTTTCTAACAAAGAATTCAGGTGCGCTGAAGACGAGAAATTCCTCTTAATATATGTCATATTCAAGCTCAAATTAATCAAGGGCAAGTGTATTATATTCGTGGCGGATATTGACAGATGTTATCGTCTGAAGCTATATCTGGAGCAGTTTGGGACGAGAAGTTGCATTCTCAACTCAGAGCTGCCGGTTAATTCCAGGATACATGTTGTGGAGGAGTTTAATAAAGGTGTATATGATATAATCATTGCATCTGATGAGCACGAGGTATTGGGTGATGAGGAGCCGAAAGTTCAGGAGGTAGACGAAGAGCCTACAGAGGCTGGCAAGACAACTGAGGATTCGAAGGAGGCAAAAACAGAACTTCAACCCTCGAAAAAGAAGCGCAAGACGGTGAAGAAGGATAAGGAGTATGGAATTTCACGAGGGATTGATTTCAAAAACGTCGCTTGCGTCCTCAATTTCGATCTCCCTACATCTTCCAAATCCTACACACATCGTATTGGTCGGACCGCTCGAGCTGGTCAGACGGGTATGGCATTATCATTTGTCATACCCTCCGAGCTTTATAAGAAGCACAAGCCAACAAGTATCGAGTCAGCAAAGGATGACGAGAAAGTCCTGGCTAAGATTGTGAAGCACCAAGCGAAGAAAGGAAAGGAGGTCAAACCATACAATTTCGATATGAAGCAAGTGGACGCGTTCCGATACCGAATGGGGGATGCATTGCGAGCGGTTACAGGGATAGCGATCCGTGAGGCCAGAACGAGAGAACTGAGACAGGAATTGATGAAGAGTGAAAAATTGAAGAGGCATTTCGAAGAGAACCCCGACGATTTACATCATCTTCGACACGACGGCGAGTTACGGCCTGCAAGAGTGCAGTCGCACCTGAAACACGTACCCGATTATTTATTGCCGAAGGAGGGAAGGAAGAGCATTGCGGGTGGGGATGTTGGATTTCTCGGCTTGAGAAAGACCAGTGAGAATCGGATCAGGAAAGCTAGGATGGCGAGCAAGTCAAAGGGTAGAGGCAGGAAGGTCGTTGGCCGGAGATCAGATCCTCTGAAGACTTTCAAGGCTAAATCGCGAAGCTAGATTATGAGGAGGCACTATTCCCCGGCTTCCCGATTTAGGAATGTCTGCGGTATGAGGTACGAGTGCAGAATGATATCCTTCCTATTCCTGTCATATATTAGAGCTTCCACCACCCATTGTGAATTCATATCCATGAGTTTGATCGGGCGAAGACTTACAAGTACCACTGATACCGGGACAACTGGTTATCACCTTTGAAGCTAGGCTTCTGAAAGTCCAGCAAAGTTTTTGTTGATAGAAGTATTGAGTCAGTCACACTCTCCTAGTCTTCAGGTCAGTCTTGGTGACCTAAATTTACTTGCAGTATTGGGCTTTTAGTATGAAAAGCCGGTTCACTATAGATAAATGGAATTATCTTGAACTCTGCTACTTCATCCGCTGGGGTATTTGCTTGTTGGCTCCTTATATCTCAAAGTTCATCATCCTCTCAACCTCAAGCCTTCTTTTCAGACCAATACTATAACCGGAATTTGGGGCTCATCTAGCCTATTTCTATATTCAACTTATACAATTCGAAACTGCAGTTCTGTCTGACTGTCCAGGTAGTTAGTTACCCTAAATTGTTGCTGAATATACTACTTCAACTCTCTATTATATCAGTTAATATCCATGCTTTTAATTCGTCCCACGCATTTAGTAGATTCTTTAGTGTCGTTTCGAGTCCGACTTCCTTCTAAATAACATCATTATAAATACTTCCTTTATCTCTGTATGCATTCTGAAATTATAAATGCTATCGCAGGTCTCGGTCCTAGTATTGTGATCTTAACGGACATAATATGTGCGGTTACGTGCAGAAACCACTGAATCTGGATTCTGTATAGTAGCCCAGCTCCTACAGTCTTGAATTGGAGTCTCCTTGTCTTCGAAACTATGTGTTTCTACCCTAGATCGTCCATTGTTTTCCAGAAGTTCTGGAATATCAATATGCTTTTTGTTCAAGATGAATAAATTACTGTCCTCATTCCAACTTCCCTGTTCTGTTAAGTATCTGCACCTTGTAGCGCTTCGAATATTGCTTTGTCAAAATAGCTCCACTACATTTACTAGCTCCACTATATTCACTTTAGCCAGCATCTGTATTACCTTATTCGGCATTCAACAAGATTTATATGGCCAAGTGATGTTATCAGTCTGATCCACGTATCAAGTAGACAGCAACGTACCGTGAGGGCATAGTCGCACTAGCATTTTGAGGTCAACTTCTCAGGTTTCCTCCGCTTTCCGTTTGCTTCTCCAGCTACCAGAGCTACCAGAGCCTACACCCAAAATCTTAACCACTTAAGTATTCTGACAACCTGATCAGATATACTTCCTGTCTGCTGGGTGCAATCAAGACAGGCAGAGCCATTGGTGTTATTGACAAGTGAATGGCTTCAAGACACGCACTAGATGAAACAAGACATCTAAAATATCTGATATCCCATGTTTCTAAGCAGAATTAAGCTATTCAATTGGAGGTTTATTGTGACTCTTATTATAAAGGTTTGTCTGCGGCCATTCACTAAATAGAAGAGCTACTACTATTGAACTTCCTTCCCTATCATGAACCGGTCTTGACCCTTTCAATAAGAAAATCCCTGTTAACCTTTTCTTCAACAAGGCCCTGTTAACTAAACCATCACGAAACCTTTTTACAAGACTACCATAGACATTTTCTTTAAGAAAGCCATGGCAGTCATTTTCCTCGGCGAGACTATCACAAAGACTTTCTAGTAGCTGTCACAAACCCTTTCTTTAGCAAAAACAATGTAGACGTCTTGATTTCGTTAACGGAACTATCGCAGGCATCTTTCTCATTTTCGTCAACAAGGCCAACGAATCCAACGAACCCAACGAAGCTATCGCAGTCGCAGACATATTCTCATCTTCGTCAACAGAACTATCACGAACTTCATCACGTATCCTCTCCCAGGCCTGATTAGACTGTCAGGACGATCTCGGGCTGACTCCTATACCTTCGAAAAACAGCCTTGGCGAATCCGACATGAATAAATATTCGTTCATGATAAAACACAGCTAGATCTGCAGTCAAGATATAGATCTATAGCCTCTTTTTTACAGGATGTATCATCCTGACAACGCGATCGGCCGAGGAGATGGCCAATGGCACAGGACTCCACATCATACCTCCTCACCGAGTTCAGATAGGCATAACGAAACTTATTTCGCTATCTCTTCGCAAACTAAGCGCCATCATGATGAGCCGATAATAGGTTCCGAGACCTCGCAACTAGGAGAGAATATTCAACAGCAGCCGGTTTATGTTTCGAATAAGAGAGGTAGAAAAATTGCAGACATGGATGACGGTCCTCACAAAAGGCCCCGCGGTTCGCATTTGCTTCATACGACGTATCCATCAGAACCAGACTCCGATAGCAGTAGGACATCTGATCTATATGGCTATACAGAGCCACAGGATAACAGATACAATATGGAGGAGAGAGGGAGCTCACATAACGTTGGTCTTGGATTATCGCACTACGAACAACACCAGCCAAGCAAGCAGACGGTCAATGCAGCTCAGTCCTATTATACGTCTTCACCCTTCCGACACTCTTACCCAAACGATAAAAATTTTCACATCTCACCTCTTTTGGCACAAGCAGTAGAGAGACAAAGGCTTGATCGCGGAAATTCGCCGTGTTATTCTCCAAGTTATGAAACATATTTTCAGAATCGACAAATGCCCCCCCACACACCACATCAGAGTTTAAGAAATCAAGACCTGACTGAGAGAGCCGCGCCTAATAAGCACAGAAGAATCCGAATGTCTAGTGCATCAGACGATCATTTCCCCACTCCCAACCGCCAAAACTTGAGGCATACAAATATAATGTCTCCAGAGCTTGAATGGGAGCATGGCGATATGAGAGATGGCCTGATCCGACATTCCACCTCGAATAGAGATTCGTACTCTCGAAATTCGATGGACCCTCCAGCTAGAAGTCCAGTTTGGGCCGATGCAAACGAAGATGAATCAATCCATAACTCTTTCAACATAAGAGAACATGGCCACATTGTTCATGGTCAGGAGAATACTTCGCGTCGCTCTCTGACCCCAGAGTTTGAAACTGTGGCGCCGCATACTCCTTTCAGTCAAAGACTCGGGAGCCAAAGAGTGCCTTCATATCAAAGAATGCACATGCAAAGAAAGCTTTTAGAACCTCAGATCGAGGGACGTTACTATGCAGCCCCTCGCAAATCAGACACTCCACTTGATCTCAGTGAAAAATCTACAAGCACCCCAATAGGTTCTAGGGCTTGGAATAGGAATCTAGATGGACAGGTCTCTATCCATCAGGCGTCGGAAAGACAAAGTATGGCTCCTCCAACTCTTCCCAGTCGAAATTTACGATACCAAAGCCAAGCCACTCCAACTCCTCGGTCGTCACAAAAATATCGACCACTTCATAACTCAGAACACACTGTTATGGAGGACCACGAAAGGGATAACACTCCAATGCAGTTATTCAAAAGAACACGGCAAGGTGACAGTCGTCAGAAAAACAAAGTTGATTACAGTCGGTACAATGTTGGGAAACTTTATCCAAGCATTAGTTCTTACAACGACCGTCCAAAATGGCAGGTCTCAACTCCTCTAATGCACCGCAAGAAACCACCTCTTGGCTATGGCCCTGCCTCAGGAATATACACGGGCTCATCCCCTCACACCTCTGCCAATATACCTATCAAGAAGTCTGTTCCTATGAAGGATCGTTTGGCATCTATGAAAAAAAGGGCAACCCCAAGGCCTCAAACCGACCCAGTACAAGACAGGCAAAGGCGTGCTGCTGAAATAATAATCAGGAAGGAGCTAGATGGGCTTGATCACATCATATTTGGGGAAGTCATTGGTGACAGTTCAGAAGAGAAAGAGAAAAAGGCAGCGTTGGACCGTGCTGAAGCTCAACGTAAGCGCGAGGAACGGGAGAAAGAGCGGTTAATTAAGGAGGAAATGGGAAAAGCCGCGGAGCTTGAAAAGAAGCGTTTGCAGAAAGAAGCTGCTGAAAATGCGCGCCGTGAGAAAGAGCAAGAAGAGGAGCGAAAGAGACTCAAACGTGAGGCAGAGAGAAAAAAGCAAGAAGAGATTGAGGAATCTATAAAGGAAGAAAAAAGGAAAAAGGCACAAGATCAAATAGAGGCCTCTCGTCAAAAAGAAATCGCTGAAAGGGAAGAAAGAGAACGAGAGAAACAGAAGATGACCTTAATACAGGCAGAGGCTAGAGAGCTCGCTGAGATACAATCCAGGAGAGACCTTGCAAAGATGCAAGCTTCTTCTCTCAAGCCTGCTACAATGTTTCCAAGCCAAAACAAGAAGCCTGCAGATACTCTTCAGAAAACGGTTGAGGATGAGGATGAGGATTCATTGTTTATCCCAGAGACTAATGGAAGGTCAGTCAACAACCTGCCAATGAAGCAAGCTATACAGAACTAACTGACTTCAATGGCAGCACTGAAAAAACCAATCAAGTCCAGGAATTGACCTATAACGTTGAAGAGAAGAGGGAGCCCAATCCTGCTGGACCGAGAAGTGCCGCAGAAATCTTCGCTAATAAGTCAAACTACCGAAGTAGTTTCCAAGAAGAACGGGACAAATTTGAATCTCAAAGAAGATCTGACGCAGAGAAAAAGAGAGACGAAAAACTGCAAGCCAGACTGGGGGCTCGATTCGGGTCAAGGCCTCTCTCCGAGGCGCCTTCGGCAAAAAGGGCAGACATCGCGAGGCCGACGTCTAAGGTAGATAAAGCTTATAAGAAAGCTCGATCAACTTCAAAAGAAAAAGAGAAACCAACGGTTCTTGCGAAAGCAAATCCACATACTTCACCTACTCTGCGGTCTCTATCCCCAGCAATAACTGCCAAAAGTACCGAAGAAGCAACCACTAAAGGCACCGAACTTAGCAGTGAGGTCCCACCCGAAAGGTCTGCATTGTCTATCCTTTCTCTACTACAGAAACCACCAAACAAACCTTCGACGGAAGTCAAAATAATCTCTCATGAAGAACGTGAAAGCATAGAAAATCAGCAGCATGATGCGAAGAAAAAGAGAGTTGAACAACGACATGAAGAGCGGAGAAAGAGAGCGACCGAGAAGGCCCGTAATAATCACCGACAAAGGCTGCTTAAAGAAGCTAAAGAAGGTGGTTACACTATCAGTCCGGATGAGATGGACAAGCGTCTTGACGCATATATGAAGAAGCGTGAGGTATGCATCCGTCTTTGTGATATTAAATGTGTGAGGTTTTGCTAATATGACAAACAGGATAATTACCAAAAGAAGAAAGCCAAGCAAGATGTGGACCTAAACTCCGGGACTATAGATCCATCACCGCAATCACAGCTCCAGACTTCGCCACAAACCCACACGGGAAGTCCTACGCAATCTGAACAGATCTCTACGCAATCTAAGAGCCTTATAGACTCAACAGATGATGATGTTGATCCAGATCAGAGAGCAAGAGACCAGAGCTTGGCAGATATGCGAGAGGCAATGATGGCTCTGGGTAGAGCTAGTGCCCGTGGATCTCGCTTTGCTCAGACCGCAGCTAAACGTACTGTCAACCCTTTCCAATCTGACTCTGAAGAGTCAGAAGAAGATCCCGATGACGACCCAACCCTGGAATCTCTCTTGGCCGCAAAGACTTCTCATAAGCAGAAGGTATCTGAAGAGAGTGATGAAAGTGATGAGGATGAAAAGGTAGTTGGTGGCCATGCTAAGCTCGCTGAGCAAAACCAATCTGGACATTCTGGAGCATTGAATCCAAATGGTTTTTCCACACAGATTGATGGTCCATTGGCAGATGCGCCAGAAAGCATTGGGGTACATGCCGATACTGGTCCTTCTCAGCATCAGGTTCCTGACATGCGAGATCAAGCAAATTCCTCCAACACTCAAGGTAGTCAAGACAACATAGTTGAAACCCGGATGGTGCGAGTTTACACTGTTAAGAAATTACAGATAGTCAACGATACAGATCAAGCCACGGAAGACATTCAAAGCTTCCTTGATCGTTCTGAAGCGAATACCTTTGCCAAGGAGAGAACCAAAGAATACTGTTCTTCACCGCACAATCCCAAATCAACCACTGAAGAGGACGAGGGCCAATTATTCCGAGGTCTCATTGTGTATGATGATCATAATAAAACTACTATTTGGGTAAAATCAGAGATTAAACCCTCCTCCGAACTCGATAGTTTCGACCTATCGGCACTCAAACCACGATTCTCTGAAAGCTCTTGGCTGATCCGCTTTGAAACCATCAAAGACACTTTCAACGAGGAATCTCAAACTTGGAGCACACATACCAATAGTATTATACTTCCTCAACAGCAATACCCGGACGTTGAATTGGCAAACCACGCAGCTTACAACCACCTTTGCAAATACTTGAAGCCAAAAGAGCCAAGGCTAGATTATTTCAATCAACATGAGAATGAAATTGTCCCGGCACTTCGAGCCGCGAGGGATGATGTTTGTGAAGAAGCACAACCATTCGTCTGCGGTCTGGAGAAGAGTGAGACACAGGTTCAGTGGTTGGCTGAGAAAGAAGTGACAGTTGAGGTTGTCCTCTATAAGATGCAAGGCCCGTTGAACTGATGGATGATGCTTTGTTCCACCTGATTCATTTATTCTCCTTTACCTGACGATTCGCCTTTCCCTGGCGATTCTCCTTTTCCTGGCGATTCTCCTTTTCCTGGCGGTTCTCCTTTTCTTGACGATTCTCTTTCCACAAATGCACTCAGTCACACGCAACCTCTTGAATCATAATCCACCGTCAGAATTTTAGGTAGCATGTATCTCAATACAATGATATTTACATACCATCTTGGTCGCTCACGTAGACAGGAACATTGAGCTGAAATCTTTTTCAGGGTTGTCAAGCTAGCAGTACAGTTCCTATTACACCAATAGGGGGAATACGAGCGCAGAACATTACACATCCGCAAGCCAAAAGCAAGACATTCATCCTTAACTCCCGCATTTCAATCATTCAGGTTCGGTGACTATCATCAACCCTAGCTCCCTCCTCCCCGGGTCCCCGAGGCAAGAACTTACTTAGGTGCCTCTCCCTCGACGAATCGCAACGCCTCTTCCCGACTTACAGCATCAATGCCGCTCGTCTTGTTATGGAAGGTAACACCATAACATTTATCTGCAACAAGCAACATTTCCGGCCTGAATGTCGTGCAGATGAATTGCCCACTCATACCTCCTCCTTCGCCGTCGCCGTTTTGTTGGTTGGAAATATCCTCAAGCATTTGTGCAACTGCAGTACGGTACTGCGCGTCGAGGTTTGCATCAATTTCGTCAAAGAGGTAGAAGGGCGCGGGATCACATTGTTGGATCGCAAAGACAAGAGCTAGTGCGCAGAGACCTTGATTCTCACATGAGTACGTTGAACAGAACGAAGAGGAATTTAAAGAAGGACAAGGAGAACTCACTCTTCTGACCACCAGACAACTGCTGAATCCGCTGCTGCTCATCATGTTTACTATTAAAACTGACACTGATCCCCACACCGGTATAATTCTCCACACTTTCTCTCGGTTCGTCATCTGAATCCTCATCCTCACGTGCGCGCTGGTCGGTCTTGCGCTGGATAACCAGACGGCCGCGGCCAGCCGGCACGAGACGCTCAAAGATTGAAGCGAATTCCTTGGAGACTTGCTTGAAGGTCCGTTCGATAGCTTCATCTTTGCGTTGGTCAAGAACTTCGACAAGTTCCTGGATTGAGGCTTGGGAATCGTCAAGTTCCTTGCGACGTTTGGTAAGAGAATCACGTTGGGAGGTGAAGTTGTTGTACTGTTCGAAGGCTTTCTTGTTCACGTGCTTATATTTTTTAAGGGCTTCGGACACCTTCTTGAGACGCGCTTGGATCTAGAATTGGGTCAGTCAACATCATCTTTTATAAGAATTTTAACATACCTTGTTTGAATCGGTATTTGCGAATCTCTCGAAAGCTTCTTCTGGAAGAACACCCAAATCCCGGATGTTTTTAGCACATTCCGCGGCTGACTGTTGCAGTAAGGCCTTCTTTTGGATGCTCTTTTCCATCTTCTTTTGACGCTTCTCGATGTCCCTAGCAAGCTCCTGTTGCTGCTCCTCTCGATGTGACTTCTCTTTCACAAGATTGGAGATTTTCGTTTCAGCCTCTTCAATCTGGGTTTCGCTTTCGCGGAGTCTATCCTCAATAGCTGTTGCAGCTTTCATAACCTTCTTGAGTTCCCGTTGAGCTTCCTTGAGGTTTCCAGAACTGCTAGATGCGGTAGTATCGATAACCTCGCTGTTCAGGCTATCCAGCTTCAACCGGAGATTCTCCCGCAAATCAGCCTCTAGCAATTGCTTGCGACTTTCAAGCTCTCGTCGACTCTTGCTAAGTTCGTTCCATTGCTTCTGAGATTCCTGGACTATGCTGTTGAGCTGTTCGAGCTGGTGTTCTTCGTTCGCGGTTAATGCCTTCTTAAACTCAGACGATATCTCTGCTTCAAACCCAGCGATGCTGTCTCCGTAATCCTTGATCAGATTCTCAACCACGTCCCGCCGCTTGAGATTCGCCTCCAGCTGATCTTTCTGCTTTTCAAGGTGTGCACTCTTGACTCTCAGCTCTCTCTTCAAGGGGTCAAAGCCATCATCCCACTGTCGTAGTTTCTGTTCAAGCTTCTGAAGCTCCCCCATCGCAGCTGTAATTTCCTGGTCTTTGCGTTCAACTTCCTGCCTGATTTCAAGCGCCCTTTCTCGTAACGACTCATATTCATCTCGCCATTTGTTCACTGCCCGCACGGCATCCAGGCGTGACCTTCGAGGGTCAATATAACCACCGGTCATTGCTCCTTTCTTATTCGATGTATCGCCGTCAGGAGTGATAGCATTGCAGCCGTGGCTCCTAGCATACTGACTAGCGACGGCAAGAGTAGGGCAGACGATGGTCTTACCAAAGACTTGAGCAAAGGCTTTCTCGTATTTCTTGTCGAACTTGATTTTCTCCATCAATGATTGAGCATCGGCAGCCTTCGGTAGTTTTACTGGCTTTGGTCTAAGCTGGCTAAGAGGCATGAATGTGACTCTTCCACCTTTCTGCTTATATAGGGCATCGGCCAGCTTGGTTGCAGTGTCTGCATCGTCGACGACGTAGTGGAAAAGGCTGTTTCCAGCAGTCTGTTCGACGGCAATTCGATATTCTTCAGGGACATCAAGAAGTTCTGCCAAAGTTCCATATGCTCCCGTCATGTTGTGCTCGCGTTTGAGACGTCTAATCGTATTAAGACCTCGAGATGTGGCACCGTCCATGGTGTGGGACAGCTCTCTCTCTGCGCGTTCCCACTCCTGGCGTGCATTTCCGATGACAGACTCGAGCTTATCATCCTCTCTCCGAAGGACTTTTCTTTCATCGGACAACTTCTCTAGAGCATCTTTGGCAGTTGAGACCTCGTCCGACAGAGCTTGCCTACTTCCGCCCCAACCTTCAAATCGCTTCCGTAGACCAGCAATTTCACCTTCGAGGCTTTGGATTTCAGACTGTACAGCTGCAACCTCTTCATTGGCATTGATACGGTTTGCTTTCTGCTCTCCCAGAGTAGTATTCAGCTCATTGATCTCATTTCTCAGCCACTTATCTCGCTCTGCCTTGGTCTTGAATTGCGCACTTCGGCCTTGCTTTTCATAAAGTCTTCTCCTCCCGGCTTCGGCATTATCAAGAGCTTGTTTTACTTCAGCTTCCTTTTCTTTCCGCTTGTTGTACTCGGGGAGGATCTTGGCGAGCTCTGCCTCCTTATTCGCAATGTCTTCCTTGACGGCTCTGAGCTCTTGTTGGTGCTGGCTACGTGCCTGCTCTGAAGCTGAGAGACCGTCTGTAAGGGTTTTGACCTCTAATTCGACCTTAGCCCGTTTCTTTGCCGCGTCGCGTCTCTCCTCGTCCATTTGGCGCCGCTCGAGTTTGAGAAGATCCACATCTCGTCGGAGTTGCTTGATTTCCAAGTCCAGTTCGGTGATCGTGCGTTCGCCCTCCATGAATGCTATTTGATTCTGATCCGTATCTTCAGCGCCTCCTAGACGCAACTCTTCAATTTCGTCAAGTGCATTGGAAAGTGCAACTTGTTCACGGTGATAGAAAGCGTATTCAAGACACCGACGTTCCTTGTCCTTCTCTTGGTATCCCCGTAATTCTTCCTTTTCTTCCTCCAGTTCGCTTAGACGTTCCTTGATATATTCGAGTAGTTCGTCAATCTTGGCCCGCTTGTTGTTGGTCTCGGTCATGATCTTCAATGATTCAGTGCGCCGTGCCTCATAGACTTGAGTGCCAGCAACCTCCTTCAGCAGAGTAAGTCTTTCAGAATCCTTCATGTTTGTCAAAGCGGTGACACGACCCTGTGGTACAATGTAGTATGGGTTCGACCGAGAGAAACCAGCAGACTCGAGTAGGTTCATAACATCTGTCTTGGTCGCATTCTTGCGATCGAGAGAGTATTCGTCTTTCTTCAGACCAATTGTGCGTCGCAGAATGAGCTCGTCCTTTCCAGTCGGAAATCTATCATCACTGTTGTCGAAGATGATCTCGACGTACGCAGACATCACCGCAGAACCCGAACCTTCGTGCAAAAGGGCTTGTCGCTCCTCACGACCCATCTGGGAGTATGCATCGCTGAGTACGAATCGAATAGCGGCGAAGAAGTTACTCTTTCCTGAACCGTTGCGACCAACAATTACATTGGTTTTGGGAGAGAATGGTTCTATGACCGTTTGTTCCTTATAACTAGTTATGAATTAGCCATGAACCACACGACAAACGCAAAGTTCGCACCTCTTGAAACCTTGGATGATGATCTGTTTGATATACATCTTTGCGACCAGCTGCCCCTACAGGGCAGTAGAAGACCTTTGCCGCTGCTTCAGAACGCCTTAAAATGGCAAATAAGCGTCACAATAAAGTATCATAAATGTTCTCAGGTCGCACTGTGAATCCCAGTAGTTTATCACGAACTATCGAAGATCACGTCCTCGAAAACGCGTTGGAGTTGAAGTTAGACGCGACTGCTTTCGGGTCGCGATTCTCATATCAGCTGAAATCTTTAGCGACAACTATACACCGCCTTGAGATTTTGCCGCCATATTTATTTTCGACCACCTTGAAGAGCCTTTAAATCTCCTTGAAACAAAGATCGACTGTAGAATATTCGAAATCTACAATATGGCTGAGCAGTCAACACCAATACATATCGCGGCCCCGGCAGCAGGACAGGTTCCAACGCATACCTACATACCTAACCAAGGGTACCAAAACCCCGCACCATTTCAAGATGCCCCGCCACAAACCCCAACTTCCGGTGAAAATACTGAATACGCGGCGGACAACGAAGACGAAACGTATGACGATCTTTTCGAAGAAGAGGATGAGGAATACTTTGAAGATATAGAATATGATGGATCAGCTGGCGACCTCACAAAATCCTACAACCGCCAACGCAAACTCAACGATCAGAATGCCACAGCCCCTCGAATAAATCCTCAAAAGCCAGCTGCCAACACTAGAGCGAGTGTCGATGACCAGATTACGAGTCTCGCAAAACATGCCGCGAAGATACGACTAGATGGCCCGGTGGAAAAGGACAAAAGCCATGGGAAAGACAAATCCGATCGCGCGACCAGCGAGCAGGTCCTCGATCCACGAACACGCATGCTCCTGCTCCAGATGATAAACAGAGGCATAGTTTCTGAGGTAAACGGCTGCCTGAGTACTGGAAAAGAAGCCAACGTTTACGGCGCTCTCTCAATACCAGCACCAGACGACAATAATCCTGACCCTCTACCCATCCACCGCGCCATCAAAGTCTACAAGACAAGCATCCTCGTCTTCAAAGACCGTGACCGGTATGTCACCGGCGAACACCGTTTCCGATCAGGCTATAACAAGGGCAATAATCGGGCCATGGTGAAAGTATGGGCGGAGAAGGAATTTCGAAACCTGAAACGACTCTATCTGGCGGGCATCCCATGCCCGGAACCCGTGTACCTGCGTCTCCACGTCCTCGTCATGGGATTTCTAGGAGACAAAAAGGGCTGGGCTGCACCACGCCTGCGAGATGTCGAACTTCAGGGCGAAGATGTCGATGAGCAATGGCGCGTGCTCTACCTACAACTTCTCGGGCTCATGAAACGCATGTATCAGACATGCAGGCTCGTACATGCAGATCTGAGTGAATACAACATTCTGTACCACCAGAAGAAACTATTCATCATTGATGTTTCCCAGAGTGTTGAGCATGACCATCCTCGTTCACTAGAATTTTTAAGGATGGATATCAAAAATGTGTCAGATTTCTTTAGGAGGAAGAATGTAGATGTTCTTTCCGAGCAGGCGATATTCGGATTCATCACCTCGTACGACACACCGGTATCAGAACCCGAGCTCTCCCAATCACTGGAGAAGTTATACCTCGAAAGGCCAGCAGAGAAGGAAGGCGAGGAAGCGGCTGCCGAACAGGAAGTCGAGAACGCAGTATTCCGCAAGCAATACATACCGCAAACTTTAGAACAAGTTTACGATTTTGAGCGTGACGCAATAAAAGTAGGACAAGGCCAAAGAGATGATCTAGTGTATAAGAATCTACTAGCGGACAAGGTGCCGATGAGTTCTGGGAACGAGGCAGATGGAGAGGAGACTGGCGGTGTGAGTTTAGGAAGTGGGACAGAGAGTGAGGAAGAGAGTGAGGCAGATGATGAGAGTCGATTTGAGAAGGGACCGCCAAGGGGGAAGAGATTTGAAGACAAGGATGCTAAAAAGGTATTACCCTCTTTTGGTCTGTTACTGGAGATTGAATGATGAGCTAATCGATAACAGGAGCATAAGAAAGCGGTAAAGGAGGAGAAAAGAGAGAAGAGAAAAGAAAAGATACCTAAGCATATCAAGAAGAAACTCGTGAGTGCTTCTGCTAGGCATAAGCACTGAGTTTGATGTGAAATGAATCAAATTTCAAGCATCTCATCAAACTGTTACAACTGAAATATCCGGGGCCTCCAAGGTTATACATACTTTTCCTACCAAGTTCTCCTTGTATTCTGCAATTTGATATTCGAAGTCCGAAGCACCCGAATGACGATCCACAAATCCCTTAGATGGTCAAACAGCAGATAGTAGCGTTCCACATTTAGTGCAACCTCTATCTCTGTCCTATATACTTACCTTGGTAAGTAAAGGACAAATGCTGGATGCTGACTTCAAAGAGAGCACTGACGGGACACTTGTCTTTATTTCCTTCCAAGTCTGTTCTTTCCTCTATTCCTGCAGTGGTCAATTACGCGCCCTTACTTGCATTGTCTTCACCTCACTCGGTATCCTGAGTTTCGTTGCATGTCAGGATTTGCCATAGCGGTTCGGAGGAAGCCAGTTTATGCTAAATTCATCTATATTGAATTCTGCTACGGGCTGAACTCTTTACCGTTCGAACCGAAGTCCCTATTTCATTAGAAGATATTTTGTTGCACGTTTGACCTTCAAACTTCATCTGATAGTTCAGACCTCGTACGCTGTTTACCTTCTTTTGTTGATTTCACTTATACTTCATCGGAAGCCTGATGTTCCCTTGCTGGCTCACCATAAATTACGGGGACATGAGATCTGCTCCTATATTTTAAGTCCTCCAAGGTGCAGAAGTTACTATCTAACATATGCAGCCAAATTCTCTGATCATATGGCTTGCCCTCCACAAGTCGTGACCAATTCGGGATAATCCTTGCTAAACCCCTCGCCTGTGGCTTACGAACGCCCAAGAAACAAAAAATTACCCCGCTCCGCGGTCACTTTGATAACAGTAGGCAATTTCAACCAAGAAAGGCGCTTAACGGTAAGGATTTGATAGAGCCCCTCCATCTGCCCCAAAATCACCGAATGTTAGCAGCCAGGATGTGAGCACAGGTGGCGGAGTGCAGATTTGCAGGCGTCGAAGATGTCTCGGATTTCAATAGGGGGGTTAACCGAGGTCATGTGATACGTCAGCACTCTTCTACCTTAGTGTCCTGTCTCCTTTCTCTAGTGAAGGGTAACGCTGAAGTCATTCATATGCCTCTACTTTTGAGCTTCAGTTATTATACAAGTATCAAGGATCTATGGACTTTTACTGCTTTCCAGGATGTCTGTCAAAGAAACATCTCAACTGCTTATCGGCAGCACGTCTTGGACGGGAAAAAGCACGTCATCCGCTCCTGCCTATACAGTATATCCAGTTCTTCCGCATCTTTCACATACGTTACAAGTTATAAACTATAACTCGTTCCAAGACCCCCCACTAAATAAACTATTCCCGTCACAAATCCAGCCGAGATGTCAACAGATCTACCTCCTCTCCGCGTTGCCATCGTTGGTGGTGGACCCGGCGGGCTGGGTGCCGCAATTGCTCTCTCTTCATTGCCAAATGTCTCTGTCACTCTTTTTGAACAAGCACGCGAGCTGCGAGAAATTGGTGCCGGTATCCGAATTGGACTTAATTGCTGGAAAGTACTCGAGTTGTTGGGGGCAGATCAAGACGTAAAGGGGCATGTGAAGGAGCAGGTTCTACATCGGTTTGTGCTAATATCTCCCTTGTTAAAACTCAAAGCCGTGGTTTAATTTAGACAATTGATGAGAGGGATATATTTATTCGAGAAGTTCTCGAGAATGGCCGATTTTGTACAAAGTTAGAGGCTGGCATGTCTATGCCTCCCTTCAATTGAAGAGACTCACACAGGAGTTGGAACTTTGGGTCTTCCTAGTTTTCTGAGTCCTCATTCCTGTTATATCGTATTTACCTGCGCGGAGGATAACCTAACCAGAGAATAGTAATGGTTTGAGCGGAGAATTAATAGCCACCAGAGGCCCTCCCAGCCACATTCCATACAAGTATTATCCACAAAGAGTTCGAAGAACAAGACTTCAATTTGCTCTTCTATCCAAAGTTCCAAAAGGCATCATTCAGCTCCGGAAACGCCTCGTCTCTATAGAGAATCTAGATCAAGGTGTCCGCCTTCGTTTCGAGGATGGAACCGAGACTACCGCTGATCTAGTTGTGGGAGGGGATGGCATTCGTTCTGTTAGTTTCTAATAAACCCAGCCTGTATTTCTACTTCTTTACTAAATACATTGCCAGGTAATCAGAGAGCAAACTTTCCCAGGCCATACAATACAATTCACTGGTGTGTACCCTGTCTTCTTTGCACGTCCTCCTCCCTCCTAGTCTCTTCCCCTAAAAGCAGAGCGAGTCTCAACTTTCCGAATAGGAACAACCATCTGGCGAGTTCTCATACCACAATCGTCAATCGCCCATATCCCAGAAATACCCCAGCCTACAACATGGTGGTACGGCCGCAGCGGCCACGTGTACCTTTCTCCTGTCGACTACCCCTCAGAGACGAGTCCCGAGGAGCGAATGTTTGAGATCTCAGTGCGCAACGTGATTGATCCTGCGACCGAAACAGGAAAGCGATTTAGCTGGGGTATACCCGTTACGAACGAACGGGTGGAATCGTTCTTCCAGGTTCGTTTCTTGCCCCATTCATTCCCCCCAAAACTTCAGTTCTCCAGGGTAGAAAGCTAAAGCTTATTTCTTGGATCCGATAGGATTATGATCCAAGAATCAGGGAAACATTAGCTAGTGTTCCGGATGGGCACTGGAAAGAATTCTCCGCGTTTGCAGGTCCTAGATTGAAGACTTTGATTGCATGGGATAAAGTCGTGCTTATAGGAGATGCGAGCCATCCGCTATCCGGTAACATCCCCCTTCCCCCACCAACCCTGCAGCAAACCAACATGCCTATTCCGTTGATTATTGACACCCCGTAGGAGCATTTGGCTCCGGTGCCGCATTCGCTCTCGAAGACGGCTGGATCCTCGCTCGAGCTCTGGAACATACTCGCTCCGCCCGAAAACCGCTCTCGGAAGCACTCAAGATCTTCGACGAGATTCGCTCCCCGTATTATCTTAGAATGTATGAGTATCTAGATGAGCAGAAGAGGATTGTGGAGGAGACCCATGCGGGGCGTACTTTTGAGGAGAGGTTGCAGATGAAAGTCGATGCTTTTGTTGGGGAGGATAAACTTGCTTGGATTTATGAGAATGATATTGAGGAGGTTTGGAAGGCGTATTTGAGGAGAGAAAATGAGGGGGAGGTGGTGAGTAGACTTTAGAGGATTGTTAGAAGACATTTATGAGGGCGGGTTCTGAACCTGTTTGGTTATACCTAGGTTGCTGTTGGCGAATAAGATAAACTGGTCGCATTTTTACCTTTAATGTCACAGAAGAGGCTCGAAGTGAGCGGCACAAACTTTGAATTAAGGAACAGTGTATATGGTAGAAATGTAGACTTATGTATTGAATTATGCTTATGTCTGATGCTATCAAAGCTAATGCGATGCAAATGCAGTCATGTGATGTACCGATAAAAACCAGACAACCGCCTACCAACCGTCCGCCCTGAACTCCAGCAATGCTCATGCTATAGTAAAGACAAAAGGAAACAAATTCTTTCAAAAAGCCCAATGGACCCTCTTCTTCGGCGTCGGACTCGGCGCTGCCTTCTCAGTCTTTGAAGGGGTGGGTGCGCTCGTAGAAAACCCTTCTCCTACTTTCTTCTCACCTTCAATCTTCCCCTCCTCGTCGCTCTCCCTTTCCTCCTTTATACTCCCCAAATCAGGACTAGGAACCCTCCAAGAATGCGGTCGCCTTGCCGAAAGGCTTCTTGTCTGTCCCCTCCCCCTTCCGTTTCGCAAAGGTGTCAGCCGTACTGCCGGTCTTCCTCGGCTTGATCTCAAATGTGGGATCGTAATACCGAGCCCTTTCAGTCCATCATCGGTCCTATTTGTTGCGCGCGATTCTCTTCCGTTACTCGTATGTCGGAGTGCGAAATCCTTCAAGCTGAGCGGCATGGCAAAGCCAAAATCCTCGTCCTCATCATCATCGATGAGGGGGAGAGGCGAGTGTTGGATGGTAGAAGGAGATATTTCTCGTACTGGAGTTGGTTTTGTGGATGATTCTATGCCTGCTGCCAGGTCTTCATCATCTTCGAGATCGTCGGGAGATGTGAGGAAGTATGAGAATGGGTCTTCATCGATCGCACTTATGTCATCTGCGTCGTCTACGTTGATGCGTACGATGATCGGAGGCCAAGAGTCTCGGCGCTGGAGCTCGTTGAACGGCATCGCAGTAGTTGTATCTCTCGAGTTCAATTTTGGAGTAAAAAGGGAGAGAATAAGCGGTCCGGCTCGCGGCCGGCCTAAGTATTGAGCTGATCTGTAGTGAACGTGAACTGCACCTTGGCAAACGAAAGATCAATGGAGGAATGTAAGGCCTAATGATCAGGAATGTGGATGCGTATAGGAAAGGATTCGTGTTTACTTATATAGCAGTCACGCTGTAGCCTTGCTAAAGGCTGCAGCCATTCTTTGCCTCGCACCCTTGCGCTCTTGCGCCTCGTCTAGTCGTCAGGTGTGGACGAATATGAATCATATTTTAAGACATCCCACCTTCAGGACTTGCGAAAACCGGGCACGACAAACGATCAAGTGAGAAATTAGAGCACAAGAGACAGAACGAGAAGAGGATGAGAAAATGCATACGAGAAAATAGAGCTGAACGTGACGAGAGTCGTAATGACATTCAAAAAGGCGGGCTGCTGCCCTCCCGCTGACGAGCGAGTGATGGGGGAGTGCTGAGGCGGTAGCCTATCCGGATGACTTCCAGAGGACTGTCTGGCCTCATCAGCCGCATCAAGAGTGTGACTGGCTGGGTTCGCCGACACCCCGGATCTTCCTCCCGCAGAGAGGATAACACACCCTATCGCCGTCACAGTCACCGCACCATGGATGTGAGGGTGTGAGGGTGTGGTGGGATGGTGATATTTAGATGCGATGGCTGGCTGATAAGAGTTGGTGATGTGCAGGTGTGGTCGGTTGGAGGTTGGAGGTTGGCGGAACGGGAAGCTTTGTCCGAGGTCACGTGTGCGGATAGATCCGACGAACGATGTATTACGGAGATGACTGGTTATCATCCATCATCCATCATCCATCCTTCATAGTCAGTCTGATTATTGCCTCAGTCCAACAACATTGCAGCCGAACTATCTCTGACCCCCACGTACATTATGACTCTCAGGAAAATCCTTCAACAGTCCCAGTCTCAGTCAAGTGACGAGGCTCCCATCAAGGCGCAATCCGGGGACGGCCTCCGAATCCGTGTCCTCACTCACAACATCCGCTACGCAACAGATGCACCCTTCAAGGGCGAAGAGAGATGGCCAGTCCGTTGCCCCCTCCTTTGCTCAGAGCTGGTCTTTAACTCGAATGATCCCGCAACTTTTATCTGCCTCCAAGAAGTCCTTCATTCTCAATTACTGGATATCATGCATGCCTTGAATGGTTCTGCCACCCCCGATGCGTCATGGGCCTACATCGGCGTTGGACGGGATGACGGGAAGTTGGCAGGGGAATATTCGCCAATATTTTACCGCCCTGCGGTCTGGAAACTGAAGAACTGGGATACTTGTTGGTTGAGTCCAACCCCGAGAGTGCCTTCCAGGGGGTGGGATGCTGCTAGCACAAGGATTGCAACCATTGGGCATTTTGAGCACTTCCAAACTGGACAAAGAGTCATTGTCACTACTACACACTTTGATGATCAAGGCGCTGTATCTCGGAAGGAGAGTGCAAGGATGCTCCTGAAAATTCTTGATCTGGAGGCTGAGCCTTCAGCAATTCTCCTGGCCGGAGATTTTAATAGTCCCCCTGATGACGAGGCGTATGAGATCATGACGGCACCAGAGTCAACCATGGTGGACATTACTGATATGGTTCCCAAAGAAAGGCGTTACGGAAATGAGATGACCTTCACTGGGTTCGGTTTTGTTGATCCAACTCCCAGTCGGATTGATTTCATCTTTGCCAGCAAGAAAAGCAGGATCAAGTTTGATACATATGCTGTGCTGGCAAACCGTTTCGATGATGGAGTCTATTTGTCAGATCACCGAGCTTGCGTCGCAGATTTACACCTGTTGCCGAGTAGTTGAGACCTTGCTTGAGAATATGAAGAGTTCCCGAGAAATGCACACTAGATTTTTTTGCCCTATTCTTCTTTATTTGTCAATATCTATTCCTGGAAGACTACTGAATATGTAGAGTCTTTATTTTTAAAACGTCTCCCATCATGCCAACTGTCTCAAAAGCTATTGGTCAATCCTCCGGCCTTGGCGGGTATTGTCTTTTAATCTCACGGCATTAATCAACATCCATAGTTTTTGTGGACCAACGCAAGAAGGCAGAGCGAGGATATTTGACAAGGTCAGGGATTCCTATACGTTTCTCCTCCTGCTTGGGACCAGAAAGTGCCATTGTCTGTTTTCGCAGAACAACACATTGTCTTCACCGAGTGCTTTGACGACGTGACGATCTCCAGTTACCAATTAGGTTTCTCCCGACGCGCCTGCTTCGACTACGTCACTATCTCAATCCCGGAAGTCCAGATTTCAGGCTATCATTGAATCATTCTTCGGAACCTTCCTCTCCATTCCCGAATACCACCGCATTCCTCAACTACGCAATACTCAATGCCGGTACAAGCCGTTCTGTTGTGCTCTTGCCTAACTTCTTTGGCTGCGACTATGAATTTGGAACCGGGATCTCGAGGCCACGCTCTCCAACGTTCCTTAGTGTACCGACTCTGCTACCGTTTCCTCGCCCTCTCTTCTAGGCGCCCCTCAGGGGCGTAAATCTTGAGGGATCCTCAGATGCCCTATACCCCTTGAAGAGGGCTCTGGCCAGCGTGAAGAGATGCTATATCCAGCTCGTTGCAAATCGTCGCAAATCACAGGTAAGAAACGTTAGGGGTCACTGTGCGACTTTAGCTCCTAGTCTTAATGACTACTTTGGATCTCTTCTAGATTCAACACCCGGTAGAAGCTTGGATCTGAGTTCAAGTGGCGCTAGTAGCGCCTATATATTCCCATCGGCAACCAGCATCTCAAATACACGGATATACCACGATATTTGGGCTACAATGACTACTTAGGCAGGGGCTCTGACCACTTCACAATGAATCATGTTCAGTCCATCCTGCAAGCTTACAAAGCCTAGGCGTTGGAAGCTTTAACGAATCGCGATACCAGATATCTCGTTACGCTGAGGCGGAAATTTCAGATCCGGGCATAACCACTACAAGCCTCGCACCTTTCTCTTTATCCTCACACTCCTCCGGCCTTCGTATTCTGTCAAACCACCCGTCATTTCAGCCACGGGAGAAAGAACCGACACTTGCCCGCATGTCCACGTGATATCACCGCCCCCAAACCTTCAGCACACCATCATGATGTCCGAAACCTTATGTACAACGGGGAGATTGGCCTAGACTCTTTCTCCTTGCCGCGCGTTCTAGCGGCGGTCAAGCCTTTGGGGTACATCAGCGAACAGAGCGGAAGAGGACAAGAAGTATCTCAGCTACTTGAGAGCGAAGATTTCACCTGGTAGAAATATTGAACAGTCCTGACTGAAAGCGGATTGACAACACAGATCCCAGACAATTGTAAGTTCTTGAAAGAGAGAGATACATCGATAGGATAAGACGCGCGAGATGACATTCCTCTCTTCGAGCGAAATCCTGTACAGGCGCGGAAAAGACGATGGCCAAATTGTATACAGTAGTGTTCCAGGCGTGGGATATTCTCCCGCAGTACATCGAGATACACACCGTAGATCAAGAAGCGCTCGGAAAGACCGCCGTCCTCCCCATACCGCATCTTCCGCACTCCAGCAGCGTATCTCAGCTCTCGAGCAAGAAAGAAAGTTTAGAAAGGCTGCCCGCTCACATTCGTGCTGTACTGTACTCGGCGACAGGGGCCCCGCCATTAGTTCTGCTGAAGAGGAGTGTGGTGGCGCTGAGCCGAAAAAGCGGTGAAGGTGGAGGTCGTGGAGTCTTGCTCTCTTCCTATTTATTGAGAGGGTGTGCGGACTGCGACGATCATTCATCAATCAATCCTCCAAGTGCTCCGTCCCCGGGGCATTTTCTCTATCTATCGCGGAACTGATGGTTTTCTTGCTTCTCGGGATCTCGTGGGTGCGCGATTCGGGCTTGGAAAGGCGGCGGTGATCATGCACTGCGCGTGGTGACGAGATGGGCAAAATAGGAGGTAGAAAGAGGGATTGAATGACTAAGCTCAGCCTTGTGAAGAATTTCTGGCTGCCTTTTGGCAGGCACAGGGAGAGAGGGCCTTTGTGTAAATGCGGAGGTTACAATAGGTAAATACGGTAAGACAGAACAGTGCTAATACAGCAATGGGGGTGGGGCAGGGGCAGCGAGGAGCGTTGCTCCATAAAGACGGGAAGGATTCAACCACAATGCTGCACAGTACTCGGTAGGCAGACAGTAGACAGGGAATACACCTTTCCAATCACCTCAAGAGTCATCCATCCCTCCCCACCACACCCCCCAGAGTCGAGTCTAAATCGAATCCCAAGAGCGGGATGCGACAGCAGCGGGCATCACATATCACAATGGCCGCATCGGTAAGATCTTCTTCTCTTTTGAGGCGCCTTTGCAAAGAAGGTTTGGTGGGCAGGAGGGGACAAGCAGGATTCCGTGCATATCTGTGCATCTAATGCATAATCATTCAGATAGTAGCCTCCTCGTCGAGGGCAGGATTGCCGTACGTGCAGGTCTCTTGATGGTTCTGAGGAGATCATTTAGATGACTTGCATTGTTGATTCCTCGTCGTGGTTCTCTGTCCGCCAGCCATGGACTTGAGACTCGTAGGTCCTGAAGCAGACGGGGGGAACAGCTGTCTCTGACTGTCCTCCATGGATTCCGAGAGGTTGATGAGAGACATGAGAGGAGAGTATTGCCAAAAGACATGGAATATATCTGCAGGATTATAAATGGGTTCGGATGGAGGGGGGCATGCGAGAGCGTTGCTTACGACAGCAACGAATATGAATAGTATCAAGGATACCCATTGACAGGGGACGCGCTCTTATTGGAACAGACTCCTAGTCTCTCATGCATAGCAATTGGGCGGGTTGAAGTGGATGGGCGAGAAGGCGTCGTTGAACCAGCAACGGTGGTGATAGGAACGAAATGTCAGACTCGAGCAGCCATTCACGAGGCACGAAATTTCCCGCTGGTTGTACGAGAAGAGCCAAGAGAAGTTGAAGGAGAAGGGAGAAGAGAGAAGAGAGCGTGTGTGTGTGCGAAGAGCCCCTCGCCCATCACCCACCCATCAAACTGAATGACCTGGTGTTCTTGCCGATGCATCTGCTGCATTTCCAACCGACCACACACGCGCACACACACCACCACTCAGAGCTGCGAGACGCTGTTCGGCGTGTGACTGCCTGGTCCTTCGTCATGCTGAAGATTGACATCCATGGGTGGTGCAGCGCAGTGCAGCCTGTTGCTGTTGTTCCCGCTGCCCTTGCCTAACCGTGACCCATCCCATCCAGTCTCCAGTCTCCAGATAGTCCCCATAACCCATACCCATACCCATCCATACCCGTACACACACACACCTCTTCCAGCCGCTCTCTCTCTCTTCTTCTTCCATCGTCTTTTCTTCAACATCGCCACTCCAGCAGTCCTGACCCTGACATTTCTCCCGGAATCCAAACCATGAGACAAGGCGCCGCGTTCGTTTCCCCACTCTCTTCATAGGGGCATTGCTACCCAATATCTCGGTACGACCATTAGGCTCAAGGAAAGACGAGGGCCAGCACAGCAACGAGCATTTTGGCACCCCCTAGCTCATCAGCCGGCGAAGAATTTTCCAGGCTGTGTCGGCCCAAGGAGTGTTTCGTGCTCTGTCAAACACGATCAGGAAGAAAACAAGACGACATATTGGTCCGACTGAGGGAAACAAAAAAAAAAATCTTTTGATAGAAAGAAAAGGGCGTGTCCTTGGCGCTCGCCCCGTGTCACGCCTGCGCATCCCGTGCCTATCGATAAAGGTGCTCGCCTAACAAGACGCCTGCATCCCCATCTTTTTCCCTCCCGACAGTATAAATTTCGTCTCGGCCCATCCCACCTCCCTCCTTCACTACTCTCTCCCCGCCGCTCCACTCCCGCAACCCTTCACCGCGATCAGGTATCGCGCTCCGTTGTCGACGTCAGATTCATCTCCTGTCGCGCGGAAATAATCATGGGTTCATCGGACCAAAAAGCCCCTCGAGCGGCTTATGTTTACGAAGTGGATGAAGAGGGACGGCCCGTTGGCGGCACGAAGCGTAGTGCCAGGAGGAAGGAAGAGAAACCGACTGTGTCGCACCGGAAGAGTGATGACAAAGAGAAGAAGAGGCAATCCAGGAACGATTCGGGTACGGGGAACCCATATGAGGAGATGATGCCGGGTGCAAGACATGAGGAAGCTCTGGCTCAGAGGGAGATCAGGGTGGAGCGACTACGAAGCAGCGCGTCGTCGCCAACTAAACAGAGGAGGCCGTCGTCTTCCCAGGAGAACAAGTATGCTTCAAAACCGAAGGTCTCGAATGCGAAGATTGACCAAGCGTCGTATTATGGAATTCCTGCGCCCAAAGAGAATGCGTCGACGATCGTTGCGCACCCTATCCCTTTTCGTCCTCGAGCCCACTCAACCCACTCGACGCAGGCTCCCCCTCCCAGACCTGCTAGCTATTATTCAGCACATTCGAATGCTGGCTATGGCACCGGCCCTCCGCTATCGAGTTCGGCGTACTGGCAGCCACCGCCAGCATTGCCAGCGCCCACGCCATCATATCCTCCGCCCTCTCCATCCTCCTACATGTCATACCCTGTTTTCCCTGCAGACCACTACCTACCTCAACCCCTACCACAGCCTACCACAACCAGGTCATTATCAAAAAGATTTGAAAGGCTCGACCCGGTCCAACGAACCACCTCGGCATACGGTGTTCGTGACACAGTTATTCAACAACAATACCAAGACGATGGCTATGCATCTGCAACAGAGGGATCAAGCGGGAGAATACGAGCAAGCATACGGGAGCCAACCTCCCGAAGCATCGTTCGCAGTAAAGCTGAGAGGGACTTAGAGGCTATGCCACCTCCACCAAGACCATCGGGTATCCTACGCCTATCAAGAGAATATCATCCTGACACACCTGCGGCACCTGAACTCCCAGCCATGTACCAGGAAGACGGACCTCGCCTTCGCCGCCCCAGCGTAAATCGCCACTCGGTGTCCTACGATTTCGGCGACCAGCGCATCGAACCCGCAAGCAGTGGTCGTCGGCGTCAAAGCTACTACGGACAATCTGCCTCGGCTGCCTCAGGCGAAACAAGCGAAACAGGCGGGTGGGAAGACAAGGCCGCCCAGGCAGCTTCGTATCAAGAAGATGTGGGCGGAGCTACTGTTCCTTTGACGGCTGATATGCTCCGTCGCCAACGACACCAACACCAGGAGGGCTCCTCCCGCTCCACGAAGTCCTCCGACTCACGTGACGATTCTGAGTACAGAAAGTCTGCCACTACGCGCACAACTCGCAGTGTCTCCTCGCCTGACGATGAAAATGTTACCATAAAGGTAACAGGCCAAGCTAGAGTCCTAGTCGGCGGAGCACAGATTGATTGTAATGACGGCGGCGAGATTGAGATCAAGAGACAGAGAAGCATCAAGGGTGGCTCTGAATGGTCGAGCTCGGAATATGGAACTGATCCGCGACGGATCGATGATCGGTACAGCAGGATTGATAGGCCTGCCGGAAATTCGAGGAGGAGCTCTCAATCGAGACACTCATATACACGGCCCTCCCCTCAATATCCCATGGGCAATTTCATCTGACCGCTACTCCGCGGATCCGACCCTTAGGGATATCCCATTTTTTTAGTTGTTTAAGCAAGCGAGTGATTTTGGCTGTGGATTTAGCGTTTATTTCTTTATGCGTTCGATTCTGGAAGGACGTGTGCGAAGCATTTGATGGCTTCACTCTCTGCTCTTCTTCCACTTGCGGAGCTTTTCTTCGTCTTGATGACGGTGGGAAAGATAAAAAAAGCGGAAAAGTTGATAGTTGGTGATACCCCTGCAGAAGCACAATTTTGGATTTGATGTTTTGTTCTCATTGTCTTGTCATGAATTGTCCTCGCCCGGTTTGCTACACCTCGGTCCAAATTCGTCTCATTTGTCACTGGCTGTTCGAAAAACAGATCGGTGATTGGATTGAAGGAGAGGACTGAAGGAAATATCTGTTTCGATACGACATGTATGACTGTATGATTTACGAGCTTGGATACCTTTCTGTCTTCGTTTTCCTTTTCTTCACCGGGGAATCACAAATTGCTCAAAGAATACGCCTTTTTGCCATCCGGGTTGGGATTAGCTTTTTTTTTTCCCTTTTTTTTCTTTCCTTTTTTTTATTTCGAATTTTTCTATTTCGAAAGAGACGGGAAATGGCATAAGATACATGCGCAACTTGCTAGCAATGGCAGCATGTAACTTTAGCTTACTCGATTGCGCGAGGGTCGAGAAATGGGCAGGGCAGTTTTTGTTTAGGCGGCATCGGAATGGCGTATATCGGGAAATATCTGGCTTGCATTCTCTACCTACCTTACCTATCTCACTCCCTACCCTATCTCATGAGATCCAGCTATACAGTACAGAGAGCAGCGCCACGCTTTCCCTGTGCAGATTTCTGATCCAGAAAAAGAGAAAGGAAGGGGTGAGGGAATAGGAACCAAATCAAAAATGATCACTGGAGGATGATAGGATGATAGGATGGATGATAGGGAATGAGAACACATAACTTTCTTAATTCCATCGGGTTGTGATGGCTGCTACTTTAGCTACCTATGCTAAGATAGCCCAGTGGACAGACAGCATGGATGGATGGAATGGCATATGATCAGATAGATAGATAGTCAATAGTCGATACCTAGGTAGTAGCGAATGGATACAGCTTTTGGATCCTTTTAATCCTGTGCTTCTTTATATGCCAACTTCCTCACGTGACAACATAGGGAAAATCAGGCATCATCACGTGTCATGAACTAAATACCATGTCCCGTGATATGGGGTCTTGAATAGGGGGATCATGGGACCTCCCATGCTTTACTAAGGTAGTCAACACTGGGCATAGATAACAACAATTTCATTCCTAAAGTTTGTTCATTTCCTGCCCTATCCATACACATATGTAATCGTTCCTAACTCCTACCAACAATCACAAGCAACGCGATATTCCCATCGAGTCGTCCATCATCTCGTGTGCCTCATTAAAAGCAATCTTCGTCTGTATTCCCTTCTCTCATAATCTCCACTCGCTCGAATCACAAAAACTATTAAAGAGCCTCCCTCTTATACCTCCCTCCTATACCCACCATTTCTCTTCTTTCGTCTCTCCTCCGCATAGTCACTGCCCCCATTGCTGCTACTGAGTCCCGGGATCGGATGATGATAGGTCTTCGTGCCAATATCAGAGCTCATATCGCTTCCCATCACACTCCCTTCCTGGTAGGTTCCCGGCAGCTTCTTCGGGCTCTGGCTCGCCCTTCGAGCTTCTCGGGCCTCTCTCCTAGCTTCTCTCCTCGCTCGTCTCTCTTCGTCCTCGCCACTAACAGTAGAGGGAGCGACACTAGAAGGGGTGACAGCAGAAAATGCGTCATCGCCAGCTCGGAAGCTGAAGTCTCTGCGGACAGAACGGCCTTTTTCTTGTAGTCTGCGCGCTTCAGCTCGGATGAGTTCTTGCTCCTCATCGGGCGTCTTCCTGTTAGAGGTTAAACCACGGTTCCAGAAGGAGGACGATCCGGTATTCGATGTGCTGACGACCTTTCGAATGCCGCTTGAGCCAGTCGCGTGCTTGTCTTTTTTCTCCTTCCGGATTTTAGTTGGTGTGTTAGTTGGAGTGCGCTCCCTATTCGAGAGAAGCTCGGAGGCAGCGGTGGAGTTGTCGGCATTGGAGCCATCGAAAGCACTTCCGTCGGGGTCTTTGTTGATACCTCCTACTCTCGCCGGTTTTTCATGACGATACGCACGTATGGCATCGTCAACATGTGGGTCGACCTCTTCATCAGAGAGTCGGGACTCAAGCTCGGTGGTGGCTACAGAGCGCGACTTCTTGCTCTTCCCCTTCTTATGCTTCTTCTTGCCATGGGCATTCGCATGGCGATTAGCTTCAGACATTTCGGACCCTAGTGCGGAGCCTCCTTGGGATCCAGCCAAGGTACTCTCCTCATCCTCAAAATCCTTATATCTCGAGCCCTTTCCCCTCTTATGACGTCTCCACCTCCCATTCTTCTCCCCATGCACCACACTGCCTCCTCCAAGATCCGTAGTCGCCGTTGCTCCTGATAGAGTGGTGCCATTGGGGCCCTTCCTCCTCAGAACTGTACTCTTATAATCATCCCAGTCATTTTGATGGAAGTAGAAACCGCCGTTTTTAGCCCAGAAAAAGAACCATATTCCGGTCAACACGAATGCGACCCCAATGAGGCCGAAGAGTGCGAAGATCGCTTTGTTGGGTATCTTTTGAGGAGGTGTGACGCCGGCGCCGGGGTCAGTGAGTGTAGCTCTTGGAAGGATGTTTTGTACACGCGCGGCGAGAGCTGCGGCTCTGGGGGAGAGGTCATGGAAGGCGGAGAGGCTTGGTGATGAGGCAGGTACAGGTGCAGGTGTGCGTTTGATGAGAGTGGTGAGGTAGCTTTTGATGGAAACGGAGTCGGGTAGAGGTGCCATGACGGCAGAGTGTGAGGAATGTAGTTGACTGCTACCGAAGGGCGCTGGAATGTATCCTAATAGTACCTTGTGCTTGGCATTCCACGCTTCAGCCTTGCGAGCTGCTCGTGGTTCCGATCGTGGGAAGCAGTGGTGGAGTGGGTTGTCGCAAGATCGTTAATGTGCTTTGAGACTGTGACTTTCCTTCAAGGAAGTGCGGAAGAGAACAGCGGATCTTAACCTGGCCTGCTCAGGTTCCTTGGAGGAAATCCGCGAGGTTGGGGATGAACGACGAAATCAAGGAGGCGAGGCGGGCATTGTTTACTTCTGTCACTATGGCAACAGAACAAGGCCGCAAGGCCACAAGGCCACAAGGCTGCACACACGAGTTTGCCGAGCTTACCCCTGACGCTAAAATGGCATTACTACTACTACTCCGTACAGAGGAACAAATTTCAGATCTCCAACAACCTCCCTGCTTTGAAAATTGCAACAATGGATTGATTCCTCTAAATTTACGAGAGAAACTCAGCAATGCACTGTTTTGCACTTATTGTACGGGAAAGATAGACTGGATACCATGGGAGGTTCAAAATACGTATGATTGCTCCTTTAACCTAAAACACTATGTTTTTATCCATGAACGTCTTTATAATGGCCCCAACAACCCCTGCCCGAATGAATGACGCCCCATTAACCAAGAAAGAAGAGAAGTAAGTCTAAAGAAATAAAAAACAAATAAATAAATCCAAATTACTCAGGTCAACTGTAAAACGATGTAAAAATGGGGAAGGGGATCACAACCCGGAATCGATCTGGTCCACGACTGTCGTGTTCTCAAAAGCCGCCCAGTCTCTGCAAGTCTGCGACATAATACTCGGAATTGGCAAGTTCGCAATATCTGCTGGTCTCTCCAGCACAGTGACGTAAAGCCCAGCAGACACGTGCCATGCAATATGGCAATGCAATGGCCAGGCTCCTGGATTATCAGCCGTGATCTGCAAGACGAGATATCCCCCAGCCGGGACAATCTGCACATCTCTGCGTTGTGGATTGGCAGGACGGACGACGGTTCCATCCCAACTTCCCAAACCAACGCTCTCGACAAACATGTTATGGCCGTGTAAATGCATGGGATGGGCCGGACCGCCGGGATTATTTATAATGATGCGCATCGAGGAGTTGGAGCCGAAGTTGTAGACATTCCATTCAGGGCTGTCGGGGTAGGAGTTATTTCCGAGCTTCGACAGCAGCAGGATCGGCTCGTTGTAGTTGGCACGGAAAGATACTGTGTTCATCGTGAAGACGCTGTTGCCACTTGCGTTCTGGCCGAATCCAATAGTGATCGTCTCTGTGGTTGGGGGAGACGGATCAGGCGTGATCGGGAACCAGGGCTGGGTTTCCGTGAGCGGGTCCTGCATATATTTCAGTTTCAATTTTTAAGAATTATCAGTTAGATTGACTAACGTTGGCGCAATTATTAGCAACTGCTTCTGTGAAGGCCGGCCATGGGGTGGATTTTGGTTTTGATTCCTTATTGAAGATGCTGTAGTAGACAATAGCTGTTGCGTTTGGCTGGATAGTCCTAGAACAATCTGCAATTGACGATCTCATCGTGTATGAGCCTTGCTTGACAGGAAGACCCTGGACTATAACATCTGTCCGTTGGCCAACTCCTAGAGTAACAACTGATAGTTGTCAGTGAGACCGAGAGCACATGAATTAAATGAGGGTTGTCGTACCTTGTGTTTGATAGGGGATGATAGGAACAAAGTCATTTGCAATGACAGTCATATTGTGGCCATCGATAGAAAACATTTGGATGGCTTCGGCTCCAGCATTGATCAATCGAAGTCGGTGTTTCTTGCCAGCTGTGAATTTGAATTTAGATATACCCGCATTGCTGACGCAGTGAGCTGTATCGTCAGAAGTAAGTGTAGAGCAATCAAAATTGTTTCTTCCGTTGATGAGGTTGTTGACCGATTGTGGTGCCTGATACCCGTTAGTGGAATAGACAAAGGGTAGCGAGTACACTGTTGCATAAACTGACAATCAGACTAAGATCTGGGTTCGTTCCCATCACTCCTTCTAATATGCTGAAATAGTCCTTGTGGTAATAATCGGTCAACATAACAGGGCCAATATCTATCGACTTTTAGTTGATGTCATATGACATTAAATCAACAGCGGCTAACTCACCAATATCATAATTCACAGTAGAAGGGCCGTGGATAATCATGGGCCCAAAGAGTCCTCCGGCGTATTGGGCAGAATAATGAGAATGATACCAGGAACTCCCATAGAGATCTGCCAAGAAGCTGTATGTGAAGGACCCTCCCGGGGGAATCGGGCATTGCTGAACTCCTGGTACGCCATCCATCCACCTTTTCACAGTCGTTAGTATGAGAATATAAGTAATGAATAAGCAGAGAACTAACTGTGAAGTTTTCTGTAGAAGTCCATGCCAGTGAAGGGCAGTACCTTCTGCAGGGCCACTGATTTCATTATGGACAGTAACTTGGATAGTATCGCCCCTGAATTTATCAGTCGTCTTATCAAATTCGAAATCAAAGAGATTCCTACCAATTTGCTTCGATCAAAGGGCCTGGGAATTTGCCATTAACGAGTAGAACATCCCTCGTATAACCATCTGGAGCTACCGTGCCCCGCTTGATAGTGAAATCGTAGGCACGGATGACACTGATTATCGTCAATCCAAGCTAGAGATACGACGGATATAAATATGGACTTACCCAGTGGCAGGTGGATCTAGGACATGTCAGCATCTTATAACATTGGTAGGGTCTATTGAAACTTACTAGCTAGAAAACGTATGTGTAAGTCAAAAGAGAAAGTCAGTTAATGTGTGTGATAGAAAACTCACTGTCTAAACCGCTCAGTTAGTTTGCCTGAATGTAAATCATTTCTGAAAGAAGACTTACAAGGATTGGTATTGTTGGCAGTTCTTGTGCCCCATGGAAATCCTTGTAGCAGTGGCTATTTGAGAGTATCAGTTATCTAGATTCGGGACCATATGAAACCCATGACAGAGAACATAACAAGAAGTAGTAAAGAGTTGCTCAAGTTGAGGTCTGTCCCAGAAACGAAATCTGAACATTGGAGCAGGTATTGCACATGGGGTTTAGTCATAAGAGACAGACAACACCCTGCCAAAGGAACAGACGAGAGTAAAAAGCTTAAGTTTAAAGAAGCACAAGGCTCACAGTAACAGGACTTGAAGTTTGAAGGAAGGAAGTCGGGAGATTGGGATAATCATCTAGAGAGAAATACTAGGTCAGCTATTGTGTAATACCGAGGAATCAGTATAGGGTACTTACTCTGGGCAACAACGAATGAGCCCAAGAAAAGGGCCGCAAGGTAGTTGAGTCTCATTTTGAGTGAGCTCCTGTGGGATACGTTATAGATATGGCTCAGATTTCTGTTGTGAAGAGAATGGAAGATAGGGATCTGGAACGAAGGAAGTTGAGTGCCCCTTCACCATTTATACTTTTATTGAACTTCCTCGTAACAGCCATGTTAAGCCACACCAAGAGTTCCTTGCCAATCCCATGCCGCCCAGACGCACACTCGCATCTCGTAAGTTTGTACACACCGAATATTAGGCGAGAATCAGCCCATGGGGGCCTGTGTCTTGTTCCAAAATAAGCTCCCTGGCTCTTGTGATTTAACGTCAGGTGAGATAGGCTGAATAGTCTCAGCCCAGCTGAGAAAGCTCGTAGAAGTTGTTGACATAAGAAGTGATATAAGCTCGCTTGCATAGGGGGTGCGGATGGGGCTGGTTTTAAAAGGTAACGAGCGGAGCCACAAAGACAATAATGTTGTACTATTGGGCATCAAGTTCCAGAGAAAGGATATCTTGCAGAATCGATAGTTACTATGCAGTCCTACCATCCTAGAATGTTAAGAGTTCTGGAAATATAGTACCGGTATTTCCAGTATAGGATGACCGTTAAAAGAGAGGGGCATGACAGAAAGATGGGTCGGAGGAATGGGAGAACCCGAGAACTCGAGAGCTCGAGAACTCTATCAGACGATCAGCTCCTCTTTTCCATGAATCGGCTTCACCGGAGTCCTTATTTCCGCCGAGAGACTGGGAAGTATGTAAAGCAGACCGTCCGAACCCATCCGTATCTCATCCCATCGTGTCGGTTGGCTGATAAGGTTCGGGAACGAACACTTAGGAAAGCGTCAAATTGCTAGGGTAAAAGGACAGACATGCATAGACGCTAGACTGATTGATGTTCAGCCACACGATAGGCGGTTTGAATTTTTGGATTTGCTACAAGCAATTCCTGGGACAGCCTGAGCATTCTCCGCGTATTCCTTTCCTAACTGCGTAAGTATCAAATAGCGAGGTATCTAACCAGATTGCGTGATACTTCTCTTGATGTATCTTACATTAAGAATTAAGAACAGGCGGCAGAGATACCAAAATAGAAGCATATGACTAGAAGGTATTCTCTGAGTCAAGGTCAGACCGCGCCAGCCACCTTGATCGTCCAACTTGGAAGCTGATGGAGCTAACCAGGGCTACACGAGCCACTGACATGGTTGCCACGAGGTACCACTTGTCTGGATCACGGTCCTCCGCAAGAGACCCAACTCGGAAAGCCTTGCGGAGAGCTTCCTAGGGTAAAAAAGGTCGCGGCTCTCAAGCGGCATATGTCGTACACTAGCTTAGATGCCGCCCCTTGTTGAAATTCTCGGAATCTTTTCGTCAGATCATCCAAACCCTGACCGTACCTGCGCACGCGGCATAATATAACCCGAGTACGATTGTAAGTAAAGTGACCACGAGGGCGGGATATCTGAATCATCATCGAGCATCCCGTCATCCAACTTCTCAGTCCACCGTAATGGAAATTCGGACACGGTTATCCAAGATATCTCTATCTTGCTAGTACTGTAGGTTATTTGACACCTCCAAGGATGTTCGTAACGTGGCACTCTGTCTCTGGAAAATGTCTACTGGCCTATCCCGTCTTGCATTTAGAGGCCTTAAATGGCATTGGTGACCGCATTTGCATATGCCTGGGCAAATTGTATAACCACACTCATGGGCAGCCAGGCGGCAACAAAGGGTTGCTCACACGATACTCTAAGCAAGTATCGGGATTTTCCGACGTCTTCCGTGTGAAGGGTCTCGCGCCTCATGCCCTTTTAGTTCTTGCATAAGTGTCAGCCACCGTAAATACGGGGAAAACCCGAAAACGTGGCATTTGGGGCGGCAGTGCTGAGTATCGTCATCCCATCGGTGAGCTTTAATTGGGGATCTCGATCGTTTCCGGTCCAGGCAGTCATTGTCAGATGATGCTGTCAGATGATGTCGTCAGATTGTCCAAAGCCTCTTATATCTCGTCTACCGTAAGAATAAGATAAACCGCAAATTTCTCTGATCTATCAATTTTCGCGGAGTGTTGGAGACCTGGTCGTACCGCCGTAGAATCCTCCCATATCTATCCTTCAAGACCAGCCATGGATAAGACTGATGGAACGCGGAGTGTCGGAGGTTCGAATGCAGTAAACTCCTTTATCTCAGCCGTAGACAATACGCATGCGTTGTCAACGCAAAAGTGTTGGCGATTCTAAACTTTCAAAGTCCGAGGCTTGGCGTAAGCATCGAGCAGTAGCGCTGCATATGATCCCTGATAGTGGTGGGAGACTTTAAGAGGACGGAAGACGCTGCACGGAATACCTACCCCAGCATGTGTAACAGTGCAGAGCTCATCCCGCACAAGATAGCGAATAGTCACGCCTCGTGTGGTCTATTTACGGACTTGCTCGGCGGCTTTCGAAAGATGAGGAAAAAGTCAACTTCTCAGCAGAAAACTAAAGGTCTAATTACGTCCCAATGAGCTTCTCTTCGCATCTTGTTCCTACAGTAGTATAAAGGTCGTGTAGAGAAGGATGCATTGGAACCGTCAACAGGCTCTCTTGATATTATCCCCCCCAAAATCAAGGGATCGATGTTGTGGCAGGCAGGCCGCAGGCGGTCAGGACCCAGAATGGGAAGTGCAACCGCCGTATCGCGTGGCGATTGGAATTTTCCCGGTACATGGGTACTTGTATGTGACCATAAGTAAAACTCATTTGAATTAGATATCATACTTACAGAGTACATTGCATTCAAAGAACGTTCAGGATGATTGTCGAATCAGCAGGAGGATTAAGCGAAATCCCAGTGTGTCGTATCAGGGTCAAGTCCATGGTGCCCACGCTTTGCATACAGCTACTCCGGACTGCATTGTGGCATTCAATGGTCTGCGAGCCCCGTCCCCACTTTCGAGGAGTTACATAGCCTTCGGAGAGATGCCCTCTCCCTGAAACTCCGCAAAACTTCTTTTGGGGACAGCTGAACTGTGAAATGTCAGCTGCCAGTGTGCCACAACGGAGGAGAGAAGAAAAGAGGAAGTGTTCACCCTTAAGCTGTCGAGACAGCCCGACGCTTCATGCAGATACGAGCAGCCACTATATCTCTTCGAAAAACAAGTCAAAGTCGGTCTGTCTTTGTTCTGGAGTTGCTGAAGAAGCCATGAAGAGGATGTGTGAGGTTGATGCGCAATTACGATGACATAAGCAGATCACATGATATGCAACCGATGCGGGGTTCAAATACTCGTTTCGATCAAAAACTTGAACACTCATTCATGAACCCTTCATGTGTCTACGTTGGAAGCTCATCAATGCCACCAGATAGATATGGTAGTCCCACTATGGAGTATATCCATGCGAGTCTGAGTCTGTACCGCAAACCGATTGCGGTCAAGGTTGAGCGTGCCATGACGCAAATTCGGTCCTCCAATCCCCTTCCCTGGCTAAGCTCTACAGATACGAATTGAAGGTCCCTCTTCTGGTCTTTTAACTATTATTGTTCTGCAATTTTTTGACTACCATATGAGATGAGCAGTTCTCAATTTTCGGTCGGCATTGAGGTTTGGATTGCGAGCCAACCTCCTCGAGCCTCCTGGGCATTGGGTTCGCCTCAATGGTCCGTCCCATTCACTCCCGTAATTTTCTCTGTAACTTTTGTCTAGCAGATCTGCATCTAGGACACTGGCCATTATCGTCGCTCGAAGGCCGATCGTAGACGATCGAGATGAAGCATATGAATCCCGAAAAGCTTCGCTCGGTCAAGGTACCAGCGAAGACGACACGAAGTTTTTACCCCAAAAACGTTGCCAAAGATGCACATGCTTTTTGGATACAGCTTGGGCTGCTGCAGAATTACTGCCTGTGATTTCTCTACACTTTTGGGTTATTCTTTTGTCGCATGTCTTCCCCTCGTACCATGCGATATATGGCCTTCCAAGCATCCAATTGCCAATGACCCGTTTTGTTCAATTATACCAGGACTCTCAATAGTATCAAACTTAGATTTTTGAGGCTCTCTCATTTGCTAGCGCGAGAGCTATTAATCTTGCATTGACCAGATCGTCGGGCGAGGATTATAAGGTAAGCTCTGCTCATATTGCTAGCCTACCCGGTCTCCTAACATGCGCTCGCGCCGCAGGGATGGCACCCCCTGCCACATGGGCCTGTGCATCTCTCGCTCTTCTTTCTACAAGGTAGACAGATGTTCTGTGGCAGCTTATCAAGTGAATGGCATAGTACAGTGACTTGCGGAACAAGGTGGTCTTCGCCTGACTTCACCTTCCAACAATATTTGTCTAAATTCTCAAATTTGTTGCTTTATACTTCACCATTGCCGAACCCCTTCCACAAGCACATTTCTCCTTGTTGCGGATACGATGCCTTATACTCCGTACATATCTGGATTTGCAGGGTCCTATGGGGCAGCTAGGACCCACAGCTTGATGGGCTGGAGTTAGATTGGTTTAAGTATTATCGATCTTGGAACCTTCTATTGCATGCAGGGCGTTTGCCTAGTCGGACTACAATGCCACGTGTGATATCTCTCCGGGATTAGCTATCCAGCGGCTACTGTACCAGGCTGGCGGGCCTATCTATCGGATAGCGAGGCGACCACGTTTTACCAAACTAACAAGATGTCGCTCTTTGATTAGAATGGCAGTTTCCTGAACGGGTTATGGCGGACACACTACGACCAGACCCGTTAATGAGTCAGGAATAATTCATCAAAAGTGGGATTTTTGCTCCGCCAATGCGAATAACCTCTCACGTGTCGAGGAGACAACCACATACCGGGTCAGAAACCTTCATCAATAAGCACAAGCGCTGGCCAAATCGGGGTAGAGGTTCTCAGTTGATTGGATATAAGTGAGTGTGGTATCAAACAGCATTTTATCTACTGGTTCCCTGGTCCTGCCAATGGCGAAGAAACATCTACGCCTTGACTTTGGCGGTGGCTAGCAGATATCTAGAGCAATGCGCGAAAAACTTGGGCTTCATATTTGAGCTTATGACGAGGAGTCCCCGCAGATATTTTGAACATGAAATTTCTGTTCAGATATCAGTATTCCCCAGCATAGGCATCGAGGAGGATCCTGGCCATATTGGCATCCCGACGATGGAATAGGGTCGAACTACAGGATTGTTTTGGCGGATATGTGACAGTGGTTCCTTCCTCTTTTCTCGCTATGCAATATAGTCGACTTCCAAGAAGACTTCCCCAAACCCATGGGCGGTGCACTTGAAGGAACGACTTGATCAAGCCATTTCACAGATTTTGTAGTCGCAACCCTCTCGGAATGGATAACGTGGTTTCTCCAGTGGAGTCAAGAAACCATCATTTTTGGAAAGACCAATGTTCCTAGGAGGAAGTGAATATCGGCTGCTTCAACACGCGTGGAAGTTAGGACCATGTTGGCACACGGAAGGAAGGGGCAGCTATCTTTGCCCCCCCCAAAACAAGTTCTTCGTCTTCATCTTCATCTTCATCCATTCGTTATCATCCATTCATTAACATCACTAACCCCTAACGACAATGTCGGATACAGGGAGCACTCAAACCATGGAAGACGCAATTGAGTTCATCCCCCCAGACCCCGATCCATCCAGTGGACCCCCCGCGGACCAGCCGGCCCCGCGTCGTCGTACACTGGATATGATTAGAGAGGATGTGACTCTTCGATCTAAGCCGGATCCAGTAGGTCCACCAGAGCTGGTAGACCAGCAGGATCAGTCCCAATCCGATGAGGGTGCCAGCCCTACCAGACAAAGGACACGGAGAGGCTTTAGGAGGCTCAACTGCCTATGGTGCATCAAATCCCCGGACCCCTCCAATGAGGATGCAAGGCCTGCCAATGAGAAGCGGTTGGCCGATTATTGGAGAAAGGCTCGTGGAGTTTTCTCCAGAAGCTCAGTGTTGAGTAAGTCATTACCGTATCCCTCCCATCAAGATGAGGCGAAGACTAATGATTCCAAGGGCCCGAACCCGATGCCAACAACCTCTTCCCGATCGTGAGATCGAATACACGCTATGAAGTCCAACGGAGGTCCAGAGAGGGCTCGGAGAATCATGAACAAGTGGTGCAAGAAGAGTTGCATGAATTGTTTGATGGACACAGGAGAAGGTTGTCGGGGCATCATCAAGGGACGCTGAGAGGTGTGTTAGCATTGTTTCTATGCTTGATCATATAGGTTATTAACTTAAACCGCAGATCCACCTGATCCGAGCAATCCAGAAACACCACCCAAACCGATTCCGAAGAATATTCGAGGGGAAGGCCAGGAAAATGGAGACGGTTCTTCTCCAACCCACCACCGGCCTTGCGAGGTGCCAACTTGTGCCATCTGCCATCCTGCTGGCGGTGTACAACCTAGTCCCGACAGTCTATCAAGTGACGCGGGTGCTTCAAAAAACGACGCGTGCTCTACGCACCTTGACAATGTTCCCCCATCGTGCCCACCCTCCAACGGGCCTGCGGGGCATTCTGGTACCGCTCAAGTTGCTGATCCGAGGCTGTCGTATTATGGAGGCGGGATCGGTAGCTCAATGGACGGAAATGACGCTGATGTTTCTGGCACAGCTCATACCGAATCCGGAGTTCCCGTCCCTAAACCCTGGGCGAAGAGGAATTGTCAAGAACCTTGCAAGAGTATCCATGAGGATTCCTATCCACCAGTGGACGGCAGTCACTCGGGCTCTGGAGCAAGTAGCAGCGAGAAACGAGGGAGGAATCAGCACCGCTCCAATCTCTGCCGCGAGGTTCGATATTCTGATACGGAACCTGAGGGGGAGGTCGCCAAGGCGGTCGATGTCTCGCGTGCAGATGATGAAGCCAGACCATCGCAGAGCCGGCCTGAGATTAGTGAAGGTGTCCGGGAAGTAGAATCTGACAGCTCTGGTTCCGCCGAGGGTCCCTTGTCGCAAATCGTGGTCCTTGATGGGGAGGCCGAGGTTGAGGCTGGCGGGCCCGGCAGTCGGGAGCCCAGGCAGGGCCGACCCCTTGATGCTGGAGGCGCAAGCCCCCGTTCGATTGAGGAAGATGAGCACAACTCTCAAGATGCCAGCAGGGTGCCATCCCCGGTGGACCTTGAGCGTGCACTGAACGAGGTGCTCGCAAGGATGGATAATGAGCTCAGTACGCGATCAAGGGTAGATAAGGGAAAGGGGGTAGACCGAGGGTGATTTGAGTCTCTTTCAAGGGCGAAGGTAGCGCAGCAGTTCTAGATGGGAAGTGAGGGTGGACGATAGGTGATGCATCAGTATCAACAGCGGGTATGTTTGTCAGGCAACGGCGAATTGTATTTTAGCAGAAGAGAAAGCGTAGCAGAAGAAGCAAGCCACAGTTAGGGATTCCCCACGCTCAGGTTGCAGTCCCTGGCCATGTATGCACGTGGAATGCGAAGCCATGCAGCGGCCCAGCGGCCCAAGGCGAGGACGCGCATGTCTCTGTTCTCCTTGTACAGAGCACGGTTCGCAGGTCGTTACCTTGCCGTCTCTACTCAGCCTGACTTGGAATGTAGATCCTATAAGGTACTGGGATGTGAAGGTGTGTGGTAGTTTTGATTTGACGTGATATGATTTGATTTCATTTTATCCTACTTTGTTTGTGTGGAATACCTAGGCCTGCCTACCTTACGATTCAAGTCAATACAGCTTTGATGTGAGATCAAATCAAAGCACGTGATCTACGCATCCCCAGCGACGGCTGACGGCTGACGGCGACGGGTCGTGAGGGGTAAGGTAAGGTTAGGTAGGTAGAGTTATCGGCAAATTTTTAGTTTTGTCTAAAATAAATTAGGTTTTGGGTTTGAGTCTACGTCGATTTGAGTTTGGTCTAGTTTAGGCTGTTAGCATTAGGATTTGGGGGGGTTGGGTTTACGTGCGTTAAGTTTAAGGTAATGTAATGTAATGTAGTAAATGATCCGACCCACGGACTCGGCTGCCGAGTCGGGATGTCTGATCCCCCCCCCGAATTGGTGTTCTAGAAGCGGAGGGAGTTAAGACGGCCGTCGGGTGTCGGGACTTGTCTTGAGATGGTGAGGTGAGGATCGATCGGGGGCGTGGGTGTGAATCATTTGATTTTATTCTATTATTCTAGATCATAGGTAGGTACAGGAGAAGGAGAATGAGAGTCTCGAATCGATCGTTTCACGATTGATCGATTGATTGATTGATTGATTTTATAAAATCAAGAAATCAATCGGCTAGATATAGATAGATAGATAGTCTGGCTTATATAAGCTACCTAGCTTTACATACAATACGAGAACAATAATAAGGGACACCTCAATAATAAGGTAAGGTTTCTCCGCCGGCCGAGAAACATAGGAAGGAGGGGAAGCGAAGCGAGAGAAGGAAGGAAGGAAGGAGTAAACCGACAATAGGCAGAGAGAGAGAGAGAGAAGAGAGAGTCGGCCGCCGGCGCCCCCTCGGGCCCCGCCTCCTATCGGATCCGAAAGTGTTCGCCGTGTTATCGCGGTGCTGATGGGGCTTATCGCGCGAGAGGCGATGATTGGTGCGTTGGGTTCTTTTGTGTTGAGGTGAGCTGTGGAGGGGGGGGTTGTTTTTTATTTTTATTTTATTTTACTTCATTTTGATCAGGTCGTGTTAATAGGAGGTTTGGATTTGTGATTGAATGATTTTGATTGATTGATTGATTTGATTTGCTTGGGTTGGGTTGGTCGGGGTATGGAATATGGCGGGTGGGTAAAGTAGGGTGCTTTTGGTACATGTATAGCAAAAGGCGTGGACCAATATCAACATCAACAGCAATATCAACAACACGACAGAGAGCACCGCAGATGTGATTCACATATACATATACATATCACACCTCACACCTCAAGCAGTCAAGTCCCCCCGTCTCCTATTATATGCTATCCCATCCCATCAATCCCATCACATCCCCCGATAAGCCCAGCCCAGCGCTGTCGTCCGGGCAAGGCCAGCCGTAGTAACGGCCTTGCGCATGAACTCTTCCTCTGCGCGGTGCGGTGCGGGGCGGGGCGGTTGGGCAGAGCAGAGCAGAGCAGAGCAGCCATCGAGGGGTAATATAGCAGCCTCAGGCATATTCAACGTTCTGGAAGCAAGCCGGTTGACCTTACGTGACGCGGGACCAATCAGAGAGCGCGAATTTGAAGGGGGACCCGCTCGCTTGGCTGGGATAGGAAGTTGGAAGAGGGAGAGGCGAGCGAGCGGGGAGAGAAAGGGGATTACCGGATTCATCGATTCGATTCAACGACGGCGGCGCATCGGCCAGAGAGCGGGTTGGGGAGGGAGGGATGGATGACTCCGTGACTTGCATTTTATGTGTGTGTTTTCTTTATGGTGATGGATATATTTGTTTGTTTTTTATTTTATATTTATTTATTTAGTACATTCATCTACATGTATCTATTTATCTGCATTTATTTATTTATTTCCTTTCATCTGCTTTTTTCTGCCTTTATCCTCCCCCCTCAGCCAGAATCAACACCTCGCTCCCCCGATCGCTTTGGGCCAAGCGCGCCCTCCGCCGTCCCCGCTGCCCGCCGGCCGCCATGTGCGATGCGATGGCGCCCGATCATCGGGGGCGCTTTGTTAGCTACCTTAGCTATAGGCGTGTACTATTAGCAACTGAGCACTGCGCAGGACCCTCCTGCCGCTCCGAGCACTAGAGACACCCTCCCCCGACCCCCTGGCGCCAGCTGCGCGATCCACTAGACCCACCCCGCTCGGCACAGCGACGCTAGCCACACCCCGCCAGATACGCCCATCACATCTCCCCCCCCTCCTCGACCTATCGCCGCGGCCAGCAATTCGTAATCGGCATTGATATATCCCCCCCCCAACTGGCCCGACTCCCCTCTCTCTCTGTTGTCCCGCAGTCTGCTGCTCTGCTCTGCACTGCATCTGCTCTGCTTCTGCTTCTTCTCTGTTCTTCCTCTTCTTCTTCCTACAACCATCTCCCCCAAGAGACCTGACTGAAAGAAAAGACTTCCCTGAGAGACAGACCCTACAAACAACAACAACATGCCCCCTCCAAACACCAGATCCTTCTCCGTCTCCTCCTCCTCCACTTCCACCTCCAGCTCCTCAACCTCCCGATCTACCCCGCCCGACATCAAGAAGAAGTTCTCCTGCAACTTCCCCGACTGCGGCAAGTCCTTCTCCAGATCCGAGCATCTGCACCGTCACGCCCTGAACCACAAGGATGGTGATAATACATGTCTGCGCTGCAGCGCTCATTTCCGCCGCCGCGATCTCCTAGGTGAGTTGTTGTCTGTGATCTTCCCCCCGGACCGAGCTGTGGCTGATTGCTTCGATCAGACAGACACATGGCCCGCCACAAGGAAAAAGACGACGAGGCCGGGGGTGAGGGCTTGGGAGTGCTGGCGACGAGGAAGCGGCTCTGGCGAGACGCCAATGGCAATATCGTGAACACCCGACGCCCCTCATACCCTCCAGACGCGTCCAAGGCTCGGCCGAGCTGTCGGGTGGAGAAGAAGACCAAGACCAGTGAGCGCAAGACCCGCAGCCCGACGACCTCCCTCCCCTCCCCTACCATCTCCACGAGCCGCAAGACTTCCTCCTCCGCCACATCTTCCTCCGCCGCCGCCCCTTCGCCCACCACCATCGTCGTCGACACGGGCGCCTCGAACTTCGAGTACCCCGACCCCGAGGCCAAGCTGGAACCCGACTCCTGGCTCGACATGGCCCTCCCCTCGCCGCCCATCACCGAGCCCAGTCTGCAGTCCTCGACCGCCGCGTCGCCCGCCGCCGACCTCTCAGACCTCGACGCGCTCTATGATGACTCGGCCTGGCCCCTCGACGACGGCCTCCCACCGCCAAGCTCCATGCTCCCCCAGCACGCGCCCTACCTCTCCCCGCCCGCCACCGACTCCTGGCCCCAGCCGCAGCCCTTCCAGACCTTCATGGGCGCCATGGCCCAGCTGCCCTACGACGACATCTTCAAGCCCGAGGCCGCGCTCTACGACTGGCAGCTCTGGAACTCGCAGGTGTTGATGTCGCGCTGCCGCGAGGAGAAGCGCGACGTCGGGGACGAGCGCCGGTGGACGAACGCCTCGGCTCAGGAGACGAGCTTCCGGCGGACGTTCGGCCTGGGCACGTGCTGATGAAGATCGGGGGGGGGGTGTTGAAATTAATGAATTGGATGACGGGCGGAATTTTTGACTTATATACATTTGAACCAGGCCGGGAGGCGTTTTTGGGATGATGCGTTTTTTTGTGTATGTGTGTGTTTTAAACCTATACCTCAGATATAAACATGGGATGGGAGTTACGTGGGAGCCCCGCCAGAGAAACCAGTTCCTGGCTTGCGGAAAGCGCGCGTGGTCAGCTCATAATCCTAGCAAAGCATAGACATTTTGCAGCCAGCAGCAGAGTTGAGTTGAATATAAAGAAAAGATGAAAAGATATGCATGAATGAAATGATGTAGCCTGTAGTCGTGAAGGAGAGAAAATAGAAGGGGTTTCTTTGTGACTCTCTCACCCCCCCCTTTGGGATAAATGGCTATATGATTGATTAATCCTTACATCATGTCATCTCTCTTCCCCCCTTTTCCCTCTTTTCCCCTCTCCCTCCCCCCTTTCCCCTCTCCCTCCCCCTTTTCCCCTCTCCCTCCCCCCTTTTCCCCTCTCCCTCTCCCTCTCTCCCCTCTCCCCACAAACAATCCATCAATCCATCTATACCAGACACAAAACTCACGCTTGCGATTCAGAATTGGGAGCTTGTGTATATACTAGAAAAGTAATGGTAAGGTAGGAGATGAAGATTAGAAAGGGGGGGGGGATGTATAGCAAATCAAATCGAATCACTCCTTCATATCTATAATACCTACCTTACCTACCTTATCCACAATATCCTCCCCTTTCCCCCTTTTCCCCCCCCCCCTTTCCCTAGTCTCCCCCCCCCCTCTCTTACTCCGTCAAACAATCCCTCAATCCATCCCACACTTTCCATATAACACAAACCCCAAACCCAAACCCCAAACCGCAAGTCAAAAGGTCAACCGCAATTCAAAAACTTAAAAGCCAAAAGACTAAAAGATATTTTACGGTTTTGTTTTTTGTTTTTTACTTTTTATTATTTATTCGGATTTTCAAAAACATAGGTGAGCATAGGTAAGGCTAGGAGTGAGTGTGGTGAATGGATGGATGGAAATAGATGGAAATAGATGATGAGAATAGAAATGGAAAGAGAGATTGATGTGATGGATGTGATGGATTTGGATAGAGGTCTGTATGTATTGGGATTCTGTCCTTCGGGTGGAGAGAGGAAGGATGGGTGTTTCGTACGAGGTGGCTTGTTGGAACTAGAAAGTTGGAGGAAGGAGGAAGGAGAGGGATTTGTGTGCAATTGTGAATTAGTAGAAGAGAGGATAAGAACAATATCCATCCACATTTCTAATATCAATTAAATCAGCATACCCCCTCTCCCTCTGATCACAGAAATTCAGAATTCCAACTCACCAAATATCAAATTCATCTCACTCCCCCCCCTCTTCAATCCCTCCTTCCTTCCTTCCCCCCTTCCTCCCTCCTCTCCATCATCTTTCACCCCCGAACCAAATCTCTATTCCTCACGCACCCCCTCAGCGCGTCGATAAGCCCCATAACTTCCATACCCGCCATAATTCCCATAGCTGCCATAGCCAGCGGCGCTGGTGGTCGAGGACGAAGGATCTTGAGCTAGTGCTAGGGCGAGGAGGGTCAAGAGAGGGAGGAGAGGGGAGAAGAAGATGTGCATTTTGGGAAATTGGAAATTGGGGGGTGTGGTGGATGGTGGATGGGTTGGGTGAGTTTGTGTGGTTTTTTGGGGTTTGAGAGTGTGGAGTGTGGAGTGTGGAGTGTGGGGGAGATGGGTTGATGAGAGGGAGAAGGGCAGCGCTATATATACCCATCCATAAAAGAACCAAAACCAAACAAGAAGGCGGTCCTCGCCTCTCTCTAGTGCTAAAGTTCTCAAAATCGTCTGAGAATGTCCAGATGGGGGACGATGAGAAGAAGCAGCGTAACGTTGGATCCGTCGGCTGCGCAACGGGAAGGGGCAGAGGAAGAAGACTCGTGATGAGAGATCAGCTGGTTGGCTAGGGTTAAATACCTAGATATTTTCGTGTGCCTTGCGTTGCCTTGCTGCAGCTTTCCGTACTGGAGGAATTTGCGGGGGGATTGTTCATCTAGGTACGGTCTAGCAGAGGACTTCTCAGATGACTTCTGGTGCAGTAGAGACGATTTCATATAATAAAACCTTGAAGATATACAACCTTCGTAATAAATATATGACATTGACAAGAAAAGAAAAGACCGGAAATGCAAACCTTCACGTTTCGGAAGACAGTGGCTAGCTGACCCCTTCAACGCACTTCTATGATATAATGTCTTACTCCCTTAATTTGTTCCTGAAAACACAAGTAACACCACACCGTAACTTCAGTAACAGTGTCTTCTACCTCGATCCTGCGATCTTCCAGAGATTGAGATAGGACAGCCGCTTGGTGCGAGGTGGTCGGTTGGATGCATGGTACTACCATCTTATAGTCATTCTCCTCATTGTGCCACGGTTGTACCAATGAGCAAACATTTTGTTTCGAAAGGATCCTGCGAGGTAGTATGTGATGAGAGCGGTGGTTTGGGTGACCTCTAAGTGACCTCCATTCGACAGATTCCTGTTCCCCAACTCCTCCTTTTTCCCACCCTTCTCCAGAACCACGCAACGACAATGAACATCGTGTATATCCCTCGCCGCGTCAAGCACACCAGCTTCAGTCGCCTCCCCCCCACCGAAGACAGCGCATCCGAATCCACAGCATCCCTCGAATATGAACCTCCGCCAAAGCAAACCCGCATCGTCTACCTCTTCCTAACCTCAATCTTCATCTTTTTCCTCTTCTCGCTGAGCTTCTGGATGGGCACACGATGGGCCGCTCATCCTCCATCATCCATCCTCAACTGGAAATCCATCACCGAATACTGTCCCCTCCCCTTCTCCCCCCTCAAACCCAAGAATCCATCTGATCTCGCCCAGCCCCGATCCTCGAAGACCTCCCTCTCGCATACACGACGACGCGCTTCAACGGGTCGCTTTTGAAACCGAACGTTTTCCGCGAGCCCGCCGGCCCCGCCGTCGACAACGCCTGGAAATCGCTCGGCGTCGACTATCGAGCCGTCACGGTGCCCCCTGAATTGGCGCTGCGTGCGGGATTCCGTCCCGATCAGGTGAAGATCAATCCGAACTACGGTGGGGGCTATCCGGCGAACGTCGAGGGGCTGCACCATCTACACTGCCTGAACTTGCTCCGGCAAGCGCTGTGGTATAATTTTGATTATTACAATGCCAAGGGTGAGGGCGCCTTCAAGAATGAGCCGTATATTTTGCAGATGCATGTCTGTATGTCAATATCCCTTCTTTCGTCACTACTTTGTCTCTCCTTCCGAATAGCAGTTGCTAAGCTCGTCGTGAACTCGTAGCACATTGTGTCGACATCTTAAGACAGGAATTGATGTGTTCGGTTGATATCGGAGTGTTGGGCCAAGTTTGGATCCACCCCGACGCCCCGGAGCCGTACGTAGACTTCAACACGCAGCATAAATGTCGGGATTTCGAGGCGATTAGACAATGGGCAGAAGAGAGACAGATGCCACCGGCTGATCAGGTACCGGATGACTTTCTGGACCCGCCACATGTTGGAGATCGGGTATATGAGGAAATTCCTTGACTAGTTGCTATTCAAGATGCGTTAATAGAGTGGTGTGCCGGGTATATGGACCGTCCCGTAATGGGCACGGTAGATGGCTATACATTATCGTTGCAGCCTTTGTCGCTCTCTGTCTCTTCGCGCTGCCGCTTCAACGACACTCCTCTCTAGCTCTGGTGCTTCAATGCTCTCTTTCCCTTCCCTAGATCCCACCGGGACAAATTCCCATCTCGGCGCCCCTACTGCCACTCCACTCCATAGATCCCCTGGCAGAAAATCCCCTACGTCGCCTTGAAATGCTTCTCGCTCCCGCATGTCCGCCTCGACCACTTTCTCGATCTGCTCTATCGCTTTCTTCATAATGGATTTGACCTTCTCCTCTGACTGTTTCCGCCTGTAAACTTCCATGATTAAAGCGTCATACGAGGCATGATAGTTCTCATAGAATACGCGCATGGACTCCAATTCCTCCAATTGCTCTTGAATCTGCAATTTTGTTTCCTCCCAATGCATTTGGAAATTAGACGATGCCATCAAATATCCCGGAAGACGAGCTGATATTTGTTCCAGCACATTGAAGGCAGATACCGTGGAGTTGTAAGTTGCAGTGAGATCCGAAACGTGACCAAGAATCGCCTCATGCTTTGTTTCCATCTCGCTCAGATGTTCTCTCAGCTCGGCAACCACGTCCTCAACTTGCGCGGCATCGTTTTCCAGGACACCTAACATTTCCCTCCTTTCCTCGTCACTCAATGGCCCCTCTTCATTGAGGGTTTGAGATGTTTCCATGACCCCGGACACGGATACTGGCTCAACACCAGGGGGTAAAGATGAGGCCGCCTTGCGGACAGCAGCGAATCCACCTTCAGTGTGTCGGATCGCGTTGACGCAGAGATCAAAATGCGAGACCAGATTGTCAAGGAGGGACGCCATATCCTGAGCGTGTGTCTCTAGGGCCTGAAGATTATCGGGGATTAGGGTCGATGTGAGGGAGGCTTGTGATTGTGAAGAGGATACTCCTGGTGGGGATGTCATGGCTGTCTTCAATGCTCGAAGATCGGTATCAAAGGACAGGATCGAGCTGTCGAATTCGGTTTGTGCTTCCTATATATCTTGTCAGGTATGCGCGAGGGGAAGAAGGCAGATTTAGCATACTTTAGACTCTCGAATTGATTCCTTGAGAGCATCTCGCATGGTTTCTACCCCCTGCTCATCAACGAAATCTAACAGTGACCGTGGTTGTTCGTCGGCAGGTCGGAACGCGGCCTCCACCATTGTCGAGCGCAAAACATCCATTGTAGATTCTAGCCTTGAGTTCGCATTGTCGAGTGTTCGAATAACGCTCTGCAAACACCATTAGCTTTATCTATTACCTCTGCAACGCCGTGACGGTATACCTTGAAATCCCTCTGTCCCTCTTTATATACATTCTCGATACCGCCTCGGACCTTTCTTAATATCTTCACCTGTTCCGAGATCCCTAGTCGTAAGAATCTCGTGCGAGCAGACAAGATGACGGATTGTTCTAGGGCTGATCTGGCCGATGTGACGATCTCGTTGGCACGCCAGACAGTGCTGATTGAGGATAGAGATCGCTTCGATGCAAGAAGATGAGAGACAAGAGTCTCAAGAGGGATATCGCCATGGATCCCGGAAACAGACTGGGAGGCGCCTGGTGACGCTGAGGCGTGACTATGTGAAGCTGGTGAAGACATCCTGGGCGAAGACGGAAAGCATAGGTTCTTTGGACCGAATGCTATCTGTGCTTAGAAATCATACTGTGCTGTTTGGAGTTATCAACCTTGATGGAGCTGATTGCTTGAAGAGAGGGTGATGCCGACAAGGCTGAGCTTCAGGCTGTCCTGATAGGGTGATTATATAAGCACCACCCGACCCTGACCTCATCTCTGTTCTGGACCTTCGCTTCTCACGTGATCTCAGACGGCTAATCATCGGAGAGTCGAGCCTCGCTTCTCCTATTCGTCTCCGAAACATCTCGACAACCAACACCGCTCGCTGTGTTTAGCAGACGAAACTACTTTACGAAGATGCCGTTGTTTGCTAAGGTAAGCATGTTAGAAGGTTGCTAGTTGTGGGCTTGATTTGTGCCGTTTCTGGTTCAGTTCTCGCCCTAGGCTCCCATACCGGGAATGTTGTTCTCGAAGCACACCGTGACCCGTAAGCTTGAATGCAAAGCATTTGCAAGACTCATCAGGGAAGCGACAGTTCTTTGCATGCCCTTCCCTCTCATCATGGTCCTCATTTTCACCTTTCTGGATCTCCTTACTTATCATTCGCCACCTCCTACCCCATCTCATTGAGAGCCATCAAGCCTAATAACCCCTGAAAGTTTACCGAGCCCCTATTACATAGTTCCAAAATAATACATAATACATCCATCCGCAAGAAGTAATTTTCATATCAAACCAGAACCCTATTTCACATTTTTATCAAGGTTTGCATTTCTAAATCCTCTTTAATAAAATGTAAAGGAGCCTAAGGCCAGAGCAGGGTCAAAGTCCAGGATAGAAAACTAGATAAGTCAATTACTAAAACATTTTAAACGATTCTAGAATTTCTGATAATTTATCTCAAGACTGAACTGTCTATTTAGTTTGTCCCTATATTCGGCAAATAAGAGTATTGTTCGCAACAAAGTTTTATCGTATATTCATCTTAATGTTCACAATGAGTTTTGATTGTCGATGGTTTGAACGAATTCGTTAGAAATAGAACGAATAGAAACTTAATCTTTCTCTTTTGAGACTGCGTCTCGTAAGTCGGGTTATGAAGATTAGTGGCGGTAGTTGCTAGTGTAACACCGAAGGTACTGCAGATTAGGTTTAAAGGTATAGAATAGAAGGTATCAAGTTGTGTAATGTATTTATATTCTAGAATATCTGGAGGCTTCGTTAGAGCCGAGTCTAGTAGTGCCATGCTTGGAATTCACTTATCCACAAGGCCGGCCTTTATCCACAGTCCCATATTCAGAAAAGCCCGAACTCTAATCCCATATCCTAGACCCTCTATTTCGGTCTTCTCAACGGATGTGCCTCTGTATTTAGCACAAACTCGTCCAAACTCACTATCTCAAAATCCTCAAAGCACAGATAGAAATACTTCAACGTCTCTGCGAGCCAAAAGCTCTCCATACTATCCATCTTCTGCGCCGAGACCTCATCCGGACCAACCGTGATATCCGCAATCGCACTCGCCGCGATGTCAGTCCTCGAGACTTTTTCTATTTGTTGAAACATGCGCCAGGCGGCATCTTGCCATTTGCGATCGCCGGTGATGCGGTACATGATGAAGACTGATTCGATGGCTTCGGGACGTAGGATATAGCGGCGGTCTTCAATGGCTATCATTCCCGGGGTGAGACGGCGCTCTTTGATGACTCTCTCCGCGTTTTCGGTCCTCATCTCCACGGTGATGGCAGTATGATTGGGGTACTTTTCATTGAGCTTGTCATGCCAAAGTTTCTCGCTCCAAGTGCAATCATTCTTTGGACAAGGTATCACAGAGAAAATCTCTGGCGCAATACCGTTTGCGCTACTGTCATAGGCCCAGACACAGCCGGCAGTGAGTTCTTCGGCGAGGGAGAGTTCATGGGGCCGGTTGAAGATCTTGGACGCTAGACCAACCATCCCACCAGTGAAGCAGGTAAGGTGCTGGCCTTGTGGGTTAAGGCCAGGTTCACCGTTGCCCCTGACACGAACATCTCCCGAGACTGTAATCGGTTCGTTTTGGGGGTTGTATATTCGGAAGAACAAATATTCCTTGGCTACCTCGATGAAGTTTTCGTAGAGGGTCTTTGGCTGTGCCAGCAGCCCGCCAAGAATGAGGTATTGCTTAGGAAAGTATTCATAGAGCGAGTCAGACATGCCACCAAGCGTAAAGAAGTTGTCGTCTTTGAAAGAGGGCTTCTGGGCGTCCACCACTACGGGCCACATGCCAGGGAGCTTGGTGAGTTTCTGGCTCTTCTCAAACTCGTCCGCTATTCTCTGAATAGCGTCATAGTACTTTGGGTCGCCCGTCAATTGAGACAGCCGTGTGAACTCAAGGCTCAGGGAGCCAATTTCTGATACCAGGACTCTCGAAGGGGCTTTCTGTGCAACGCCTTCCGTATACCTGCATGAAAGTTAGAGCTCTACTCAAATAAAGCCCCATCCCCAAAGAATCAAAAAATACTTACTTCTTCCAATCCCACCTTGCTATAGGCATCCTATTCGGCGTATCAAAACAGGACATTAATAACTCCCCTACTTCTACTGCTTTCGACAGCAACGCTGGGTATTTCCCCTCACTAATATCATACGCCGCCAGAAACCCACCCATATATCTAATAGTCGTCTCGAAAACATTAATATCTCTAGTTTCCGTTGTACTGAAATCGATCTTCTCGATAGCAGCAACAGCCGCCTCGAACTCGTCCCGCATGTCCATAATCCACAACGAGTCCAGCGAATCAACCAAGGTAGCCGCCCAGCCTCCAAACGTATCTTTCCAACGTCCTGATATGGGCGCCACTTCATCTCGTAGCCAAGCATGCTGTTTATATCCCTTCCAACTGTGTGCGAAACTCTCCTTCACCGCCGCCCTACGCTCCAACCTTTCCGCCCGCTGCGCGTCATTCTCTTCCGGCTGCGCAGCTTGCACCGTGGGGATCTTCCTCGGGGCGCCAGTTGGCAGCGGTATCAATGACGAGACGGGATATCGTTCGGGGAGCTTTTCCCAATGTATCTGTCCGTCAGGCGCGACGGTGGGAGCGGGACGGGGAGGAGAAATGTAGGACGTGTAGCCGTAATTCCAGGTATTGCGGTGGTTCGCGAGGTAGTAGAGAGAGGTGGCGATGAAGGCTAGAGTGAGTGCGACTACGCGCCATCTTCGAATTCGAGGCATGGTTGTGGTGAGAGGTGGAGAAGAAGAGGGTCGCGTGAGTGACAGACGGGAGCGCGCATCGATGTTGAACACATATGGACCGTATTGCTATGAGCAAAATGACGAGTGGAACAGTAAGAATAAATCTCCCAGCCTTCAATTCCAGTGCAGCTTAAGAATGGGTAATGGAAGGAGTGTTGGAAGTAGCTATACTTCTCGATGATATATCTTTGGATTGCCGTTGTCGCGCAGCAGCTCGTCTTGGTATGGCCTCGGCAGTATGCAAACGACAGGCCAGGGTCTCAAGACTACAGTACCTACATGAACAATGTGCTGACACGTGGTATCAATATAATAAATAGGTAACCACTTATACAGTAAAGCACGTACATACACGTATTATACGAAGTTTGGATCTCTTCCATGGAAGATATAAAAATGGCGCAGTTCGAAACGTCAGTAAAGGACGACCGAAGACAAGATAACATCAGGCAGAGTGTTGGGCATGGAATTGGACAACAAAGATTCTTTAGCAGCACATGGCACATATGCATAACATCATCTAGTTCACCATCGTTTTATTTAGGAAGGGTAATCATCGCAACGTTAAAAGAACCAAATCTCGAATCTCTCGCTGGTCGAGGCCAGCTACCATTTCAACATTTTCCCACCCGTGCGTGCATGACTTCTTCCTCCCAGAACAAATCAAAGCAACGTTTCTATTTCTGCATCATGAGTTGAACGAATTCGTTGTCTGCTAAGGATTAGCTAGCCGTCCATGGAGGGAATTCAGGGATAGGTACGTACAGTCAATTCGTCCATCACCGTCCTGGTCAGCCTCTCTGATCATCTCATCAACCTCATCATCCGTCAACTTCTCTCCAATGGATGTCATGACATGACGGAGCTCGGCGGCGGAGATGAAGCCATTGTTATCACGATCGAAGACCTATACCATAGAGCATCAGCTTCTTGCTCCTTGTCGTCGGGGAGTTGACTGCGAACCTTGAAAGCCTCTCTGATTTCCTCCTCGGAATCCGTATCCTTCATCTTTCTAGCCATCATGGTGAGAAATTCTGTCATATCATTAATGACCCATCTAAACATGTCCCAATGTATGGATGTGTACCCGGGAAATCAATGGTTCCGTTGTTATCAGCATCGACCTCGTTGATCATATCTTGCAACTCGGACTCGGAGGGGTTCTGGCCAAGAGATCGCATGACCGTGCCGAGTTCTTTAGTTGTGATTTGTCCTGTATACATCGTATTAGACTCGTCGTCCCACAAGACCGCCTGCTCGCTCTGCTTGCTGTGCCTCCCGTCTCGCGGCGTGAAACTTTCGACTCTGGAGCAACCAACCAACCGAGTACGGGGATGGTTTGACGGGGAAAGCAGCGGCGGCTAAATTATCAAGGAAGTAGGGAATGAACAAGGTACTGACCATCTCCATCTTTGTCCTAAGAATCCATATAAGTTAGCAGCGGAGTTCACACACTTGACCCTCTTAAAGCTCAACGCGGCGAGAGGTTATGAACTTACAAAGAGAGAGAAAGCCTCCTTAAACTCAGAGACTTGCTCTTCAGTCAAAGAATCCGCCTGCATCGCCATCCATTAGCCATAGTCCTGAACAAGCACCCCTCTGTCCTGACGAAAGATGCGTCGCGGGGTCTCCAGGCCAGCCTGTCTTCTCGGGCGGTGGTGACATTCCGTACCATTGTAAATCAAGGACGCAGAAGAACGAGAGTGTTTGATGCGTTGTGCGTGCGAGATCCCGTGTCTCAATTTTGCGCGTAGCAGGGAGGGTTTGTTTGGGTGGTCGTGGGGTAAAGAACAAGACTTTGTGGATGTGGGACAGGTTGCTCATTGATTGCGATCGCAAGTTGTCGATCTACGTTCGCCTAGAAGTGAATCGGACGCAAATTACATGCAACGACGCGCAGCCGCAGCTACAGCTCCGGCCAGTAGTATGGCTTGGCTCTCTGATGCCCATTTCGACATTCAACCACGGCCACCTTTCCAACGATCCGTCCGCTCGATTCTCTAGAACGGACACACACACGGCAGCGAGCAGCTTTATAAAGCACAAGCTTGTCCAGTGTCCGCCATGTGGCGAGACCGTACCAACCTGTGAGTTGCTTACCTTACCTTACTTATTCCCGCTTTCTCGCGATAGGGAGCTGACATACTGGAGCTACATATCATACCGGCAATCGTACGCCCACCACCCCGCCAAGAAACCGAAATACTCCTCAGCCTCTGGAAATGGCTACTCGGATACGATTGGCGGTGGCTCCGAAGAGCGCCGCGGGCTCATGTCCAGCGGCGCATTTGAGGACGATGGCGACGCCGTCATCGAAATGGACCTGCTGCCCCCACGATGGGCGGACGTATCGGACGAAGTGACAGAATACCTGGCGGATATTGCGAGCAAGAGTGCCAAGTTGGAGAAACTTCATCAGAAGCATGTATTGCCAGGGTTCGATGATGAAGATGTCAAGAGGAGAGAGGAAGGGGAGATTGAGCGGCTGACGCAGGATATCACCAAGGGATTTCACGATTGTCAGAAAGCTATTCAGAGGGTGGAAATGATGGTTCGAGAATCAAAGAAATCAGGGGGTATTTCCAAGGGGGAAGAGACCATGGCAAGGAATATCCAGATCTCCTTAGCAGGACGGGTCCAGGAGGCTTCCGCAGGTTTTAGAAAGAAGCAGAGTGCCTATCTAAAAAGTATGTTCCCTCATTCTTCATTGAAAAAGGGGAGAGATTCTGACTGCAGCAGAACTCCGTGGGGTATCAGGAATGCAACCACAACTCGACCGCTCTACCGCACCCACATATACCAACTTCACCGATCCCTCAATGATGGAATCCGACGCCGACAAATCCTACTCCCAATCCACCCTCCAACAAACCTCCCAAAAACAGCTCACATCTAATGACGCTGCCATCATGCAACGCGAGCGCGAGATCACCGAAATAGCACAGGGCATCATCGAATTAGCGGATATATTCAAGGAGTTACAGACCATGATCATTGATCAAGGGACAATGCTGGATCGCATTGATTATAATGTGGAGAGGATGGCGGTCGATGTCAAGTCTGCAGACAAGGAGTTGAAGGTCGCTAGCGGATACCAGAGGAAGGGAACGAAACGGAGAATTATAATGCTGTTGATTTTGCTAATAGTGGGGATGATAATCTTGTTGGTGATCAAGCCAAAACGCCATAGGAGTGAGGTAGATAGTAATATACCACCACCGCCTTGAATGGTTGACACGACCTTATCTTGTTCATGTGCAAGTTCCGATGATGGGACAATGGGCCGAAGTAAGAATCACCTGGGTTTACTTTTGCCTCGGTCAAATACTAGACTGTAGTTCTCCCAGAAGTGCTTAGCTTGCGTCTCCAGCCACGAGACGCTCCGGCGAGCATAACCGCTCTCAGTCCGTCATCTTGAAAGCTAAATATAGGACTTCTTCTCACCCTAAGTGCAAGGAAACGGAGTTTTACACACGAGAGGATAGGCGAGTAGGCATCTCTCACCAATTCCAGCCACATCCATCCTCATAATTCCCACATCTCAAACTCCTTGTCTTTCAGAATAGAATTACTAAGATAGAAGCTTGTGTCAAGATAGGATATGTCAATTCAAGGGCCGCAATAGGGCGAGATCTGGAAGAGTATCCTGAGGATTCCCCGGAGCTCGATCGCAGCTCAACCCCGACCCCGAAGATCATCAGGATGCAAGTCCCGGTTATCTTCCATTAGTAGGTGAGAACAGATTCCCATGACCTGCCTTCTCAAGAACCTTGTAATAGATCGTAGGATGGCAGCTTCAGGAAGCTTATTTCGAATTTTCCTTGATAGAGCCAGACCTTCGGAACGTTATTTCCTTTCCTTTTCTCGAAAACTTGGGCTTGCTTCCAGGCGAGCTCCACGTCTTGACCAGGTTCCTAATTGATATGACGGATCTCTGTTACCTTTGGTGCTGAGGCACACTATCACGAAGGAGCACAAGAACGCAGGTCGTTGATTCCTACACAGACTTTAGGATTCTAAAGGGGGGTTTAGCGAGGTTTTATCATAAACCAGCTCAGGTACACAAGGCTGCGTGCCGGCCCGAACCTAGGCGATGACAGGGGAATAGACGATGCTGATGCAGGACGGCGATGCGCATTTCAAATGGCGATGCTGGGGCTGGATATGAGGGGAAAGAGGGTCATTATGTTTGGCTTTTGAGTAGCTGGTTCCTCCAGGACGAAGTATGGGGGGATGCTATCGAGGACTCCGAGGACGATGACTAAGGTAAGCTAAGTCCATACTGTAGGTACCTTAATTAGCCCTGACAGACATGTTCCTTTGACAAGAGAAGAACGGATATTTGCCCAGTATCCCCTGACGATAAGATGCACTCGTGACACCCTTCACTTGCACCGGTCGGTCAAGTTCGAAGACCGAGGATGTGAATCTTGTAGGGGATCCTAGGTCAGGCTCAATTACTTGAACTTTCTTGGTTATTGGGCCACGACCGATAAAGGATCCTCTCAGGTATGGGTGTCCAAACGCCTCAAGGGCGTCCACACGCTGATACTCCAGCCATTCCCTCGTAATCTCTGCGAGACTCTGGTTACTCAATCACCCCCTACTCTCCTCAATTGAAAGTCATCCGTACACCACCCCTCAGCACCTCCTTCACCGTCACAGCCGGCAATCTCATATCCGGATGTCGTTTCGCAATGTCCTTGAATTTCTGCAGCATGTCCACACACATCTCCTCCTGATTCTTCGGATCAATCTGCGTCGGCTCCACCAACTCGATCTCTCCAAGCGGGCGCGTCTGGCCCCTATCGAGCCACATCCAGTCAATATCATAATCAGCGATGATGAGCTTTTCCAACTTCCCAAATCGCGCGAAGACATCCAGCTCCCATTCCGTGGTAGGAGTAAAGTCCAAGCCGAAATTCCACCACTCCCGGATCTCCACGGCCAGGAAGCGCAGCTCGCGCACACAGTCGATCGCTGTCAACGCACTGAGGGCTTCCGCCGACAACGGCGATGGAAGCTGCGTCACCGCGCCGATATACAGCGTATCGATGCGAGGATTGAAGTAAGCAGCCACCACCACCACCGTCGCCTCCTCCTCCTCCTCCTCCTCCGCGGGATCATCCGAAGACTGCTGCTGCTGCTGCTGCGCGCACAACGGCGCCCAGCTCTCTAGGAAAAGCCGCCGCGCCTCGCGGGTCGCGCACATGGAGAAGTTCAACGCGGGCCGGCTCTCGCGCACGCAGGTCCATTCCTGATCCCAAGTGACCTCCAGGACGCGGGGCCCGGGAAAACTCGCCGCCCAGACTTGGAGACGTAGCTCGGTGGGTAGCTGGGGGAAGAGGTGGAACGTATCGTAAGGCATGATTGATTGGGGATCAGGAGGAGAAAGAAAGTTCGCTAGATATGTGGGAAAAGATGATGACCTCGACAGCACGGTAACGATAGAGAAACTACCCCTATATATATATGCCCCCCTCTCTAGACGTGGCGAGGTATCAGGACTATAGGTAAGGCAGAGCACCGCCCTACCTGACTATCGATATGGCAGATTCACGTATCTTGGCGCTGCGAAGGAGCTAGGACAATTATTTCAGTAGATTCGAAGATCCCTTGTAATATGTAGTACCCGATTCATTGATTGATTGATTGATTGATTGAGTCGTTACCCCTCCCGCGCGCGTCTAGTTTCTAGGCATGTGACATATGCGGCTCTACCTTGAAATGGCCCGTGCTCCGCGCTTACAGACCCTGCCCCTCTCTATCCCCCCCTTCCCCCTCCCCTCTTCTCCTTCCATCTTCCCATCCCATCCCATCCCATCCCATCCCTCCAAACGCACCGCCAATTTCCCTTTTCCTCCCCCGAAAGAAAAAACTCCACCTTTCCTAGTTACGGTAAGGTAAGGTAGGTAAAATGTGGCGTTTAACACTACAGCTAGCTGACTAAGCCCCCACTATGCCCGCGGCGGCGGCCCCTGTCTCTCGGAGTCCGTACCTGAGGCGCCCGCACCATCATGCATAGAAACACGGCGAAAGCTCGCGGAAGAGAAAAATTGTTAAGAAAAAGAGAAAAAGAGAAAAAGAGAAAAAGTTTTAGGGATTGGGTGGTGTTAGGAATTGGTGGATTGGGGGGGCCGGAGGGGAATGGTGTATATGGAAATGTGTGGAACATACATCTTCGTTAGTAGGTAGGATAAGCTTGCGGTTGTTCCCGTGGTGGGCGGTGGGCGGTGGGCGGTGGATGTGGTGTTGTATCGATGGGGGTTAGGGTAGATAGATAGATACCTAGATGGGTAGACGGCTTGCTTGGGTTCATTTTAGCTTCGTGCGGACGGTCCGTTGATATTGGCACATCTCGGCAGAGCCATAGAGATCACCGGCACTCAGGGACAAGGAATCGCGGTACAAGCACGTCTTTATTGCGAGGGTAGTCTATCTAGTCTTGTCTATCTAGCAGATATCAAATCGGTCTAGTAGAAACGCCATAGACGCAAACCCATCATCAGCTCGCATGCCGCACCTGCTTCGCAAACCCAGAGCGCCTACAGATCGTCACGTCGTCAAGTATCTGGTTTAAGCGTTGCTATAGCTTAAGCACCGTAGACCTTGAGGCGGTCCTCAATGGGCTTGAAGGTCTTGTCGCCGGCACCGCCAACGGGGGTACCGAAGACGAGCTGGGCGTTGAGGACCCAGTCGCTGGGAACCTTCCACTCCTCGGCGACCTTGGCGTCGATCAGGGGGTTGTAGTGCTGGAGGTTGGCACCGAGGCCTTCGGCCTCAAGGGCAGTCCAGACGGTGAACTGGCTCATGGCGTCGGATTGGCTGGCCCACGGTGGGAAGCGGTCGGCGTACAGGGCGAAAGCGGATTGCATAGCCTCAACATCGGTCTTGCTCTCGAAGAAGAGGACCTGTGAAAGGCACGGGTTAAACCAGTGTTTGCAGAGGGGGGATAGGACTTAGAGGAGGGGGATGGTAATGTCGACCGCGTGGGATGCCGCAGTGAGGGGGGAGACTTACAGTTCCGTATCCGGCCTTGAAGCCGTCCAACTTCTGTGCGGTGCTCTCGAACTGCTCAGCGGGGACGATGGCCTTGAGGACATCCTTGGTGATGTCCCAGAGCTTCTCGTGCTCCTTCTTGAGGAGAACGATGGCGCGGGTGCTCTGGCTGTTGAAGCTGGAGGGGCAGTGGAGGATAGCCTCGCTGACGATCTCCTGGATCTTCTTGTCAGAGATGGGGGACTCGGCCTTGAGGCCGTAGTAGGTGCGGCGGGCCTTGACGGCGGCGAGGAATTCAGTGGAACCCATTTTGGAGGTGGACTGCGAGAAGGCTCGGGATGTGGTGTGAGGGAGAAGGCGGGGTGCTGGTGCTTGGTTGTGGAGGATGTGAGGAGTGTTGCGGGTAAGGGAGTGTTGGAGGGGGAGGGCTGATCTTATAGTCGCGGCCACGGCCCCTCCACGGCTGCACAAGCGCACTTTCCCGAGCAATGAAGACGCCATTTCCTGCCAGTTGCCCTGCCACGTTAGAGCGATGAGAACCAAAATAGTCGACAGCGACAGCAACCAGAGAGGATTGTGCATATTTAGCAGGGGAACCGCGGGACGCTGCTTTAAAGGAGGGGCTGTGGGCGAGGGACAGATCACCAGCGGTACCGTCGCAGGTCCATCAGCTCTGCGTCTTGGCCAATTGCTTCCATCAGCCGCGCGATAATTATTAAGGTGTTAGAAAGCAGTGCGGCTCAGGTAAGCTGTGTGTAAGCTTTAGGTAAGCGGATTTCTCATCGGCTGGCCGTGATTGCAAAGGCATCTGCAAAAGGGGGGGGCGGAAGCCTCAGGAGTCAGCCACCTTAGGGGGGGTTGAGTCGGCGAATTATCCGCCCATCCTCCGTGCGCCGAGGCTCCGTGCGGATCACGTTATGAGTAGTCAGGTGATAAAACCCCACTGCGGCCCCGCATTCCACAACTTCACGAGGGCGCTTTTACGAGGAGTGCCTTTGTGTACCATACAACACGTACATGTCACGATTCTCAACACCAGGCGCAGAGTCGGATACTGGATATCTTCTCTTCATTTCAATTCAGCACTGTCTTCACTCGGGGACTTCATCTCGTACAACTCTATCTCGCGCTTCCCTGGTCACAATTGCTTGCGTGCCCGTGTAATCTAGTAACGCCCTTATCAGATTGCCAGCCCAACCAGCCCGACAAAGCAGAACGCCATTCTCCATGCAATCAATTCCCATCAGACCCATTTGTACATCCTCTTGCCCTCCAGATACACCTGATCTTTCCTTTTTTATTTTTCTCTTTCCCATCTGTCTCATGAAGAGGGCGTGGCTACCATGTCTCTGCAGTATACTGCCCAGCTTCCTTCTTCAGCGCCCAGAAGTTCTTCGCCTCCTCACGTCCCAGGTTCCCCTTTTCCATCGCAACGTCGACCAACGCCTCCTCAACACCCTCCCCCATACCCTTGCTTGATCCACAGACAAACACTCTCCCATCCACGCTATTGATAATGAACCAGACCAGGTCCTTCTGTGCCCGGACTTCATCCTGGACGTATTTGCCTGCCTGCTTGCCATCGCTCCTCCGTGATTGGACGACCTTCTTAACTTCAGACTCATGAACGCCCCACTCCCCAGAATACAGCTCATCGAGTAACGAGTCACGCACCCCCTGGAGAACCCAGACTTTGTTGGTGCAGTTCGCGTTCTTCAGTCTTCTCTGGACGAAGCCGCGGAAAGGAGCAACGCCAACCCCAGCACCAATCAGGAGCATAGGACCATCAGAGACGAATTGCTTCGCCAGAGGGTTGGCCATCAGGCCTTTGAACATGGGAACTCTCAAATCAACCTTCTCTCCCTTGGCTTCAGCCTCGATAAACTTTCGGGCCTGGCGTTCGAAGAAACCGGATCCGACACCGGTTCGGTGTCCCCCACGCCAATCAGAAGCTTCGTGTACGGTGACGGCGATCTCGATCAAGCGCGAGCAGCCGTTGGCCGGGACGCAGGATTCGTGTGGGTCGTTGGAAAGGGAGTAGAAGCGGGGCATCAGGGTTTGCAGTTGTGACAAGAGCTGATCGAGGGGTGGCTTGGACGAGGGGAAGGCGTGGAGGAGTTGGCTGACAGTGACATATGGCCCAGTACGGAAATCGCAGAAGATGCCTTGGCCTTCAGCAGAGCAGAGGTACAGGAGGATCTTCTTCTCAGCCGGGTCGGTAGCATATTCAGCGAGGACACGGAGGAGCGGCTTGTTGGGTGCGTAAGATTGAATGTCGGAGCACCAGGTTAGGAGATCTCGACGGGTGCTGATAAGTTCACGTGGTTTATCATCGCCCCAGACGGTGGGCCACCTCCCACTCTCGGTCTTTAAGAGGACAGGACGATCACGGATGTGCTTGGGGATGAGGAGGAGGTCCATGAGCTCGTCGACAGCAGATGCTTCATTCGGAGCCATGACCCCGATGGCGCCGCCCACCTTGAAATCCACGCCTGACTCTTCGGGGTAATTCGTGACGTCGAGGTCGAAATGATACGTCCTCTTCTCCGCACCAGGACGAGTAAGCTCCCGGGCAGAAAAGATGCGGGCCGAGAAGACATGGTATGGAGGATGTGGCTGGACAAAGTTCGGAGGGTGGACCTTTGTGTCTACAGGGGCTTCTTTCTTCGCAGACGGGGTAAAGTCGACCGACTCAGCATTGGCCCCTTCACCCATCGAGATGGCCGAGTCCGCAGGAGAAAGGAGAGGCGAGGCGCCCTTCTTGACGGGCAGCAGAGAAATGGTCTTCTTGGGCAAATCCGGTACATGCGAGAGTGTCTTCGGGATCAGTCCTACCTTCAGCTGCAGCGCACGGTAGGCGTCATTGTCGGGCAATGGCACCCGCTCCATTGTAAGGCCTTCCTGCTTCGTGATGGCCATGCAGCATCCTCCACCACAGCACCTCTCCAGCAGCTTTGTGCCCGGCTCGTCCACCAGGGCCTGGATCTCGGGGCCATACTGCGAGACTAGTCGGGTGGAGGCGCGACGGGGGCGGGGCGGCTCCTCTGGCTCGTCAGAAGAGCTGGAGTATGAGAGGGAGGGGACGGAGGAACGAGGGGATTCATCGACATCGACGGGCTCGACGGGGAGGCAATGGGAGGTGGTGGCCATGCGGATGGCCTGGGGAGGGGACATGATGGTTGTGCGTAGGTGGCGTCGAAGCATGTACAGCAGAAAAGGACAAGGCGTGTAATAGAAATAGCGGCTGGAGAGGGATCAATTCGACGGGGTCGTCACAGCATTGACGCGAGCAGCTGTGATTGATATAGAGTGGGGAGGGGAGAGAGAGAGCGACTGTGTAGTAGAGAGTAGAAGAAGAGTAGAGTGGTGGAGGAGAGGAGAGAGAGAGGTCGGAGTGCGGGAAAGGATGGGGGTGCAGCACACAAAAGAGTAAGGTAGGAAGAGTCGTCGGGTAAAGGTTAAGGTAGTTTGTGCAGTGGCAGTAGTAAAAGTAGTCAGGTGGCGGAAAAGAAGCAGCGGCGGCCGCAGTCTCTTAAGGGAATAATTATACTGCAGAGACTCCAAGCTTTCCTTGCGTGCGCTAGACCTCGTCAGGCCCTAACGGGTCAAGGGCCAAGGGGATCCCGTCCCAACCACATGGGAAGACAACAGGAATCGGCCGGCACCGGAGACCCGAGATCTGGGCCCGGAACGTCTTTTTGCGCTTTTGGTTTTTTTTCGCTGTGCATCTCTTGCATACTTTATTCTTATTCTTTTTATTTATGTATAAAACCACTACTATACAGATGCCGTATATCTCTCCATCTGATAATCGCTGATTGATGGATGCGCATTATCATATCATTTATCCGATGTACTTGTATGTAGTACTTGACGTACCTCTCTCTCCTCCTCCCTGCATCTTTCCCAGCAACGTCATTCCCCCATGCCCATTCTGCGAGTCTTCTTGCTCCATAATAAATTCCCAGAGAATCCGTCCGAAGAATAGAGTACCGACAGTGGCATCGATGATCATCTGCCACGCTGCGCCCAACAATTCTATACCCCATCCCCCCCATACTTTTCATCCTGCACCTCGCAGTGCCACATGTCCGCCGCCTTGGGCAAGTCCTGCCGAGGTCAGTCCCCCCTGCTCTTCTCTGTCGCCATCTCCGTGTACCATAATAATCCCATCTGATTACAACAAACAATAACCATTCATACAAGATTACAACAAGAAGTCATCCGAGCAAAAAGAATGTAGAATAATCTCCTGACTCTTCGCTCCCCTTCACCCGCGCCCGGGTGTCCGCCCTCGTAAGGTGCGCCACTCTCGGAAAATCCCCCTTCCCCGATCCGGCATGGCGGCAGCGAAAAAGCGGGGCCCGCCAGTGCGCCAAGCAAGCAAGCCCTGGGTTGGCGCGACGTGCAAATCTTATCAGATCATCTTAGCGGGGTGCGTGTGGTCGGGTCGTGGCAAATTGCTGGGAACGCTGAGCCCGACGATGTCGGAGCTGAGGGAGGGATCATGATCATGGATGGGAGAATATGGAGGAAAAGGGGAAAAGGGGGAAAAGGGGTGAAAGGGGGTGCTGCTGTGAATATGGGATTAATGATTCCCCATCCGCCTGGCCTCGTGGAACGTGCCCCCCGTGATTATTGGGGCAATGATGGCCGATGTTTCGTTGAGGATGACTGAGCCTTCGTCAGACCACTTCTCCTTGGAAAGGGCAGTTGTAACTGATTATCAGGATTTAAGATTGGGAACCTCTTGGAGCAATAATGACTGGAGATGTCCATTAATTGTTCTCCCTGGTATCCCGACGGAGGATGCTGGGATACCGAGTCCGTTTAAACCCTCTGGCCCATATTATGTAATAGTGGTTTCCCAGTGACATTCTTTGACGCTTGGCTCTTGGCTCTTGACTCTTAACACGTAACCTCAATTCAACTCGATCCATCACTACCGTGCCGAGGCTAGGCATACTCATAGCCGGCATGGGATCGAGTATTCGATGCGGGTAGGAGATGATCTGAGTCACGTGCGCCACCTTCCCGCAACCACATACCTAGGTAGAACCTGGCTATTCCCTCCACGACTGGAATCTAATATCAATCTCAGCTATGTCTCTCCATCTGCCGCTGTTCCCGAAGCATAATAGTTATGCTTGCTATAGAAGATCCAATGCAGTCGAGGAACTTCCCGGTTTCTTTGACGGGATCGATGATTCAAAGCTGGGGATTCTCTAGCTGACGGATTGACGCTTTGAAGACCTGGCTGGATGGTGCCCTTTTTACAAGTCATGCACAGGTGGTACTCCATATAGTTCCAGTTGGATACAGACATAACAAGCCAAATGCGGTACCGATCAGTCCCGAGCCGTGCGCGAGCCGACTCGGTTCGGCTTCCCCCTCACCTTGCACTGTGAAGTCTTGAAGAAGTCCAGACGCCTGAAAAGAACCCATCCTGTCTCCCCGTGACCCAGATCGATGACGGGGAAGTGAGATGGTAGGGTCCTCGCTAAACCCCAACCATCCGCTCTCCACTCAGGACAAGCTTACCCCGCATTCTGTCTCAGCTATCTCATCATTCCAGAATCCACCACCTGGGCCTCATATCCCATCCAGTCTTCCGTTTGCTATCCAATTCATCACTCAAGCCCATCCAAACTGACCCCAGATTGCCCCCCGATCACCCCAGGTAACTACAACAGATAGATCCAGCTCGGTCAAGAAGACACAGGCAGTCGCAGCCATGGCAACAGATAGCCTCCCCGTCATCAATGTGCTGTTCACTCTTCACCCTGGCATGGATGCCATGGACTTCATCGGTCCTCTCGAAGTCCTGACCCACGCTCTCCATGACCCGGATGATGAATGTAAGTCCACTGGTCCATCCCAATGGATCTCATTACCCGCTCGATCTCAATCTACGGGCCGCTCCCTTTCTCTATGTTCAAACCCTCTGCCGCTGATGCTTCTGCTGACGATCCTCGACCAGCAACCAAAGCCTTCGAGCCCACCTTCGTGTCCAGCACTGAGCATACCCTCTCTGCCCAAGGTGCAAGCTTCCGCGCCCATATCAACTACAAGGAAGCATACGCCCGGCTCACGGAATTTGACGTCCTTGTTGTCCCCGGCGGCGGCACTGACACGATTATCAGATCAAAAGCTGAGCCGCTGGGCCTCATCTCAGCCTTCTCCGAGCTCCAGAAGAAACACCCCGAGAAGGAGCGCACCATCCTCTCCATCTGTACCGGGTCCATGCTCCTCGCACAACAGGGGATCCTGAGCGGCCTCTCGGCGACCACCCACCCCGACTATTATGCCAAGTTCGAGAAGCTTTGCAGCGAGGTCGCGCAGCGCGATCTCTCCGAGCGCTGCGACCTCATCGAGGAGCGCTACGTCGTCAACAACCTGCGCTTCGACCTGGGCGAGCCCGAGGAGAACCCGTACATCCGCCGCAAGTCCGACGCGAAGAGCCCGACGTTCCGGCGCAAGGGCTCGAACGCATGGAAGGAGAGCAACACGCGGCGCGAGAGCAATGCGCGGCGGGCGTCGTTGCGCCTGGGCGGCCTGCGGGTCATCACCAGCGGCGGCGTGACCTGCGGCTTGGATGCGAGCCTCTACCTGGTGAGCATCATGGTCAGCGAGGAGGCGGCAAAGGAGGTGGCGCGCATCATGCAGTACACGTGGAACAAGGGCGTTGTGGTCGATGGGATTGATATCTAAGGCGTCTGGAGTTGGCTCGGGTGCAGAGAGGGGTAAGGTAATCTGCGCTTCTCTTCTCTTTTGCATGCAGCAGCAGGGAAGGCTTTTAAAGGGAAAATCGTTGCTTGGCATTCGGGGTTATTTCGGGTTCGATTTCATTTCATAGTTGTTATGCGCTGGAAGCAGCTGTCTCTTCTACAATCTCATCTCCTTGTCCAGAACCCATCACTGACCCAAGCCGATCGGTAGCCAGGTAAGGTACCTAAGGTAAGGTAGATAATGATTGTATTCCCATAACTATATCCCCATAACACTTCAACCTTTCCCTCACCACTTCCCTCCCAGCATGGCATCCATCATCCTCTTGCTTACCTAAGTAATCCATCCCCCCGCAGCCATCCCTATCCAAGCTAGCACCGCGCCCCAGATGCGGGGAGGGACCCCACCCGATCATCGGACCGGAGTCGGCTCGCTCAGGTATTGATCGATCGATGCACCACTAACCTAGGTACCTTAACCTTTCTCTCAAGTTTCAACTTACCTGACCTTACCTACATCATGGAATAATGAAGTAGAGTATAAGATGAGAGAGTGAGGGAGTGATTTAAAAACAAGTATTATTCTGTAGTTATCATATAGTAAGGTGAAGGGCGAAGACTCAACACCTGTACGCGGTGGGTGCCCTCTACAAACCTACCTACAGCTCTTTTTTTAAGAGTCTGTAGAGCCAAGATTAAGTCACGAACCGAGTAGTAAACGCGACACGAAGAGATTTTCCCTTATCGACCCTTCGACCCTTCTTACTACTGTGCCTTTACGACTACCTATTAAATATATACACACGACTCACGAGAGAAGGACCTACCTACCTAGGGGAGGCGTTTGGCGGTTTCGCGAGGAGGAGAATACTACGCATAATGACATGTCGCGTACCTATGTAAGAGGGTTAGGAGGAAGGGTTAGAGGGCGATATTTATTACGCCTTCGTTATACGCGCTCACAACTGTCGAAGAGGAAGGGTCTAGGTATAGCTCTATTACAGTAGAGTTGACAAGGAGGCTTTTTTTTAAGCTTACGTTAAGCTACCTACCTAAGATTCGAGCTCTAAAGGGTCTATCTAGATAGATACCTCTCTATAATAGCACACAACATCTTGTAGTCAGACTTACCCTACCTGTTAAGGGAAGCCATACCTAGTCACAAGACCCTACAGACTATACATAGAGACAAGAAATAGTTTCTAGCATACCTAGGGGTACTATAATACTATAGGATCAGGGACCCGGGGCTGTTTAGATATAGAAGAGTTCCTTTATACTCCTTGTGGTTTTTGGCCTTTATATAGGTAAACAGGACTTTATACTACCTAGCTTAGCACGTCCTTGTACCCGAAGGAGGTCTCTCGGACGCAAATTAATATCATCATCATCATCATCATCATATAGTAAGGTACGCTATGTACCTAGGTACTTTACTGTAGGTACCTAGGTAGGACAATGGTTCGCTTACGGAGTCGTTGCCTTTTGACCTCAACTACTTATATCTAAACTCAGTCATCCATACACAATTCCTTCCCCCAAAAGATTACCGACCCGATATATCAATCAATCAATCAAATGGCATCTCAAAAAGAAGCTCTCTGTCGTATTCGCATAAAGCAATCTGCATCGCAGGCTCGTTGTGTATTCCACGAAGAAAAGCCTATCTCCGCCCAGCATGCTCACGGCGACAATGGCAGCCTGGCTGCTGAAAAGAAGACTCTATTTTCATGTAGCGATACCTCTAGGGTTCCTGGCGAAATCCGTAGAGAATGGGCGAGTTTGATGATAGATGAGATTGGAAAGTTAAGGAGGGTTGGATGAGGATAATAACTGTGGAGTGCGCGATTTGGATTTTGTCCTCGATCTTGATGGCTCAGTCGAGAATCGCGCTGATAATGTGCCATCATCATCATCATCAGCGTCTACCAGATCCTACCCCGCACGCTATCAAATTCCAAATGAGATAATTTCACGACTCGACTCGAACCAAGACAAGGTTCGGCGCGCAGGACTGTTTGCTTTAGGTGGTCTACTCTACCAAGTGTTTTCAGGTTTCGAGATGCTGAGCCACCTTGGCAGTGATGTAGAGGAGGAGTATATAAGGTCTTGTTTTGTTAAGGGAGAGTTTCCGGGAGATGTTTGGGGATTGGAATGTGCGGTGAAGATTCTGGCTTGCTGGTGTCCTGGATTTGCAGAGGATTTGTTGGTTGCTCATGGCGAGAACGGTACGTTTCTATCTCCCTTGTCTCTCTTCTCTCCCTTCTCTCCCTTCTCTCCCTTCTCTCCCTTCTCTCCCTTCTCTCCCTTCTCTCCCTTCTCTCTCTTCTCTCTCTTTTATTCTATAATCTAGTCTCTAGAGCTTCTTGTTGAATCTACCTTAATCTGACTTTCCTTCTCTTTCTTATTCTTCCTAGAATTGCAACCTTCCCATCTCTCTGTGGCATCTATTTACACCTTTCTTTATTCTACTAACTTCTCCGTCTAGAATCCGTACTTTCAAAGTTTGCCAGCTATTTCGCCAGCTGTGCCAAAAAGCATCCTATCCTGTTCGGCATCCAAGTTGCGGGTGGCATTATGTCCCTAGCCTCCATTGCCGCCGTGCCTGTCCTCGGCGTCGTGGGATTTGGAGCCGCAGGGCCGATCGCTGGGTCTACTGCCGCTGCATGGCAGTCCGGTATTGGTCTAGTGAAAGCCGGTAGCATATATGCCTGGTGTCAAAGTGCTGCGATGGGAGGAGCGGCTATGGGGCACATTGTGGCTACCGGCGTAGCTGGAGTCAGTGGAGCTGTTGGGGCCACAACCGTTGCAGGCGCTTTAGATGTCATCGCTATCTCGGAATCAGAATTGAAGGAGATATTCATGAAGGCTTGGAAACGTGAGGGAGGTGCAGCTATGGGTGGCAGTCTGGCCACCGACCTAGCTGGAGTCAGTGTAGCTGTTGGGGCCATCGTCGAAGGCGCCTTAGATGGCATCGATATCCCAGCACCAGAATTGAAGGAGAAATTCTTGAAGGCTTGGAAACGAGATCTCGGTGAGACACAACAGGTAATGACAACGCGGCTTTAGTTCTAGTTTATTTATTCTCTTACCTGGACACCTACCTACTTATGCTTTTATTACTCACTCAGATATGTCAATTTAGTTATTAATACTACGGAAGTAATAGTAAATGCATAATCATACTACAATCTGTAGCATCTTCGCACTTATTGACTCCTGCGCACCATTCCGAAAGTTTCAAGTGAGACTCATCTTGTGTCGAAGCGTTGCTCCTAGGGCTATCTTACGTCTATGTCAGACTGAGGGCACATAGATACGTACCTAGTGATCCCTTGGAAATTTGACATTCTGAATCCGAATCCGTGGACGATAATATGGCATTATATCTACATGCCATGCCCCTGAACGAGGAGTTTGCCAGAACATGATCCGAACATTTTTGCTATACATCCATTCATTTATATATGTAGCCCAGCTTGAAAATATATATAGTCTTGTAGGCCCAAACAAAAGATTCAAATAGTAAGGAAGGCTGTAATCCAGACCCGGGCGATACGTCGATACCGTTTTCATGAAACCATCTGGAAGACGGAAAAAATCCTGAAGTTTTTTTTTTTATAAATGAAGAAATGCATATACCCTTTACCTTCTATCTTGCTCAAAAACATCGTGCCAATTCAACTAAGTTGCGATGTTGATTTATGTCTTGCGCATTGTAGCGCCCGCTGGCTGGCTTCGTTCGGCTGTATGGAGGAGCATACTTGCAGTAATAACAGGGAATAATATGATCTGCCAAACCTCCTCTCTCCCTAGATACGTCAGAAGGATTTTGCTCTTTTGCTATTTCCAAAGATTCACAATACCGTGCTCTGTTCCAAGGAATCAAGGATGGAGCTGACGGGACGGCAACAGAGAGTAAAAGAGGCGGGGGAGGGGTTTGGCAAGAATTCTGATGTGCGTGTTATCATTTCAGGAGAAAGCTTTGCCAAGCATGGAATCTTTGAGGATAGAACAGATAATTATGAGTACCTACACACTTCATTCTACCCTACTATTTCTTGCCATCACTCCGAGCATGATGGTGGTATTGGTGAAAGGCTTCTTTCTCTCTCTTTTAATCAAGAGTCACCAGACATTACCATCGAGCAGCTCCAGAATGGAAAACCCTCTACTGGCATGCTCTTGGCATGAGGCTATTATTGAATTGACCGGCGACCTTGACCTTGATCTCAAACTGAAACCACACGACAACGATGATAATATCAACGACGACAACGATAACCACAATGACAATGACAACGATAATAACCACAACGATAACCACAACGACGACGACGACGACGACGACGACGACAATCACGACGACAACACTACTGCCACTATCAACAGCAACAATGTTGCCTGCGTGAGGAAACAGATCGATTAAACCATGTCGATGGGCTTCAAGATACTCCAGCTCTGAACTTAACAGGATTACCTTGTCCTTGAGGGGCTCTGATGTAGTCGATGGGTAAACCGATTTAGCGCCGGAGCAACAATAATCCTGAGCACGTGATCCTAGGCCGTGAAAAAAGATCCCTCAAGGTAACCCGACCTTTGTCGTCGAGGTATATGTAAGAGGAAGCGGAGTAGGATTACTGTAAAAGACTGGAACTATGGCTTTATTAGACACTACCTGGTTGCAAGAGTAGGACAGGAATTCAACACAAGATAATCCAACAGTCAGCCCAATGTGTTGATGCACGTGATTGGCCTTGTACCTGTGTACCTGAGTACCTTACCTGTACCTGAGCGGAAAGAAAGGCTGGATCTCCCTCAAAAAGGACAGCAGATATCTTCGCATTGATGAAGAATAAATGCTACTTCTTGTGCGGCCCTCACTTGTGTTGCTCCTCTGTTAGGTTTTCAATAGTTCTATACCGGAGTCTCATACCAATGACGTAGCGTCCCCAAGCTCGGATCAAGCGGGCCTGTCTTATCATCAACACGGATTCATGGCACCACAGCGGCTAAAGCAACCACTAATCACAGCTGCCAATGCCTTCGTAAATAAACCTGTGTCTTCTCGCGTCTCCTCTCTCTCTCTCTTTCTTTTCTCCATCCTCGATATTATCAATTGTGTTCTGTTCTGTTCTGCTCTGCTCTGTTCAATCGAGTTGCTGACTCCTCCTCCGAGCTGAAGGTCAAGCGATCGCGATAAGAGCTCCGCCCAAACGACAACCAGGGAGATAGTATACCAGCCACCAAACCAATTCACGAAACCGTCAAGATGGCCGCTTCTCTGGAGAAGACGCTCCCCAAGCCCAAGATCGAGCTGTACAGCGGGAAATACTTTGCCGCCTGCGGACTCGGCGGGATCATTGGTTTGTGCCCCGTCCTGCCTCTCCATTCACGCATTCAATCGCTGACACAGCTGCGATCCGCCAGCCTGCGGGCCCACCCACACAGCCGTCACGCCCCTGGATCTCGTCAAGTGCCGGCGGCAAGTCGACCCCAAGCTCTACACGTCGAACTTGCAGGCGTGGTCGAAGATCTACCGCGGCGAGGGCCTCCGCGGGGTCTTCTTCGGCTGGTCGCCAACCTTTGTCGGCTACTGTTTCCAGGGCGGTGGCAAGTACGGCTTCTATGAAGTGTTCAAGTACCTGTATGGCGAGAAGGCCTTCCCCAATGCGAACAAGACGGTGGTTTTCCTAGGCGCGAGTGCGACGGCCGAGTTTATTGCCGATATGGCCTTGTGTCCGTTTGAGGCTATCAAGGTGCGCATGCAGACGACGATGCCGCCGTTTGCGAATTCGTTGAGGGAAGGATTGAGGAAGGTCGTTGCTGAAGAGGGATATGCTGGGTATGTGGTATCTTGATTCTGTCCCCTTATCCGCGTGGCTCTGGTCTTCCTTCATTATCCACAATCTAGTTATGGTGACTGATGGCACAAACCAGGCTCTACAAAGGCCTCTACCCCCTCTGGGGTCGTCAAATCCCATACACGATGTGTAAATTCGCAACCTTCGAAACGACCGTCAACAAGATCTACGAGTACCTCGGCAAGCCCAAATCCGCATACAACGGGCTCCAGCAGACCGGAGTCTCGTTCCTGGGTGGTTACATTGCCGGTATTGCCTGCGCCGTCATCTCCCACCCCGCCGATGTCATGGTCTCGAAACTGAACTCGGATCGCAAACCCGGCGAGGGCGCCGGGAAGGCCATGGGCCGCATCTACCAGAACATCGGCTTCGGCGGGCTCTGGAACGGATTGCCAGTACGAATAGCGGTATGATTTCCCTGTCCCTGTCCCTCTCCCCTCCTCCACTTCTCTCTCTCTGCATGCTAAAACCTCTCGATCCCTCCCAGATGATCGGAACACTTACCGCCTTCCAATGGCTCCTCTATGATTCATTCAAAGTCACGCTCGGCTTACCAACGACGGGAGGACATTAAGGACTTGTACATGTGGGGGTCTAAAGAAGAAGAAGCTAACTGCTGGGCTGGAGTGGGTTGGCATGGTTCGTTATTTGAAAAGATACGTGCGTTTTCTCATAAGGATCAATATAGATATGAATAAACCCGGGTTAGGAATGAAAAAGTCCCGCGCCAAATGGACGCGGGCATATATACATATATATATACATCCATCCATCCATTCGATTATTCCTCTAGAACCTCTCAATCTTTCCTGCATCTCAACCATTCAGATAAATATTAAATCCCTCTTGTGCAAAAGTAGGTAACTCATCTCATCGCACTCCGGTCTCGAGTTTTCAAAACCTTAAAACCCTTAGCCACAAAAACGTAAAAGACTCATCGTAGATCTCCCCCTTGTTTCTTAGGTTTCGAGATTGGATGATGAATTTTTTGGAGACGTGAAGAAGGGTATTTGGGGGGGAGGGGGGGGGGTGAGGTTTATTGGAGGGGAGTTTTCACATCTCGAAGGATTTGAATAAAATGAAAATCTTCCAACAACAAACAATTAAGCAAATATTAAGAGCGGATATCAATTCAAATCCAATCAATTCTTTATTTCAAGAACCTAATAAATAAATAAAGCCCAGCTTCTTCTTCTAAAAAGCAAGCAAGGAGACTTTAACTAACACCTCACGCTACACCAGCTCCCAAAAAAAACCCCCTCCCAACTACCCAATGATGATGAAAAAAAAAACTTAAGCCACGATCCAATCCTGATAATTGTTCTCGCAGCTCTTATCCAGAAGTTCGAGATATTCGGGGAATCCACCGGCCCTGGATGGTTTTTTCATGTTAGTCGGGGGATTTTGTAAAAAAGGTAGGGTAAGGTAGGTACGGAGTATGGGGAAGCAGTTGTCCAGGGGGGAAGGAGATATTACTAACCAATTAAGAGGCTCCACTTTCCGCCCGGGGATATTCGCTCCCTGGTACCAGCTCTTCGCCAAGGGGAACAAGCTCGCGTCCCAGACGTCCGACAGCCGCTTGCACCACTGATCCTCGGCCTCCTTGCGGGCCTCGAAGTACGTGACGCCCTTGGCCATCAGGTCCTTCAGCGTGCGCTCCACCCACTCGGACTGATAGTGCGCGCTGGTCGGCCCGTTGCTGAACCCCGTCGGCGCCTGCGGGCCGTACAGGAACAGCATGTTCGGGAAGTTGGCCATGGCGATGCCGAACGACGTGCGCGTGCCGTCCTTCCAGTGCTCGGCGATGGTCTTGCCGTCGAGCCCGCGGATGTTGAGCTGTGCGAGCGAGCCCGTCACCGAGTCGAATCCCGTCGCGAGGATGAGGATGTCGGCTTCGATCTCGCCCTCCTTGGTGCGGAGCCCCTTGGATGTCACTTCGACGATGGGGTTCTCGTTGATGTCGATGATGTCGACGTGGGGCAGGCTGAAGACCTCGTAGACGTTCTGCTCGAGGCAGGGACGCTTGGTGCCGAAGGGGTGAGGGGGAACCTCGGGGGCCAGGAGAGCCTGCTTCTTTGGATCGGGAATGCGTTTGAGCACTGTCTTCCGCCAGAACTTGTACGCCTCGTTATTGGCCTCCTGGTTGGTGAAGATATCCTTGTACCCGTTCAACCAGAATCGGAATCCGCCATCGTCGATCAGCTCCTGGTAGAATCTCTCGCGCTCTTCCGGGGTGTCGTCGAAGGTGTTCTTGTCGACGAAGGTGTACGTGAAGCCGGCAAAGGTATTGCGGGTCTTCTCGATCTCTTGCTGGTACCAGCCATTCTTCTTCTTCTTCTCTTCCTCCTCGGGGTTAAGCTTCTGTTGGTTCATCGGCAAGCAGAGGTTGGGCGTTCGTTGGAAGACGGTGAGGTGTTTGACCTTGGGACCGATCGTCTGGAGGACCTGGATCCCGCTAGCACCTGTGCCAATTTGCGCGACCCGCTTGCCCCTCACATTGACGTCGTGTTGAGGCCATACGGCGGTATGGTAGATTTCTCCCTTGAAGTTACCCAAGCCCTCGACGGGAGGAGTATATTTCTTGGAAGCGAAACCCAGGCAGGGGATGAACCATCGACAATATACCTGCGTGTCGTCCGAGCATTCGACGAGCCACTGATTCCGGCTCGTGTCGAACGTTGCACCATCGACATGCTTGTCGAACACCACGTCCTTGCTCAGATTCCATTTCTTGTCAACGTAATCGAAGTACCTGCGAAGCTCCTTCTGACCCGGATACCGCTCGGTAAAGGTGAAGTCTTCCCAGAGTTCCTTGTCGAAGATCTGATAAATAGGGGTAGCGGAGTCGACACGAGCTCCCGGCTAGCCAAGTCAGTTTTCTGAAGCAGAGCAAGGAGAGGTGCAAGCTTACATAGCAGTTCCAATACCAGATGCCTCCACTCTTCGAGCCCTTCTCATAAACCTTGCAATTCAGGCCCAGCTTGCGGAGCCTGTTCAGCACGGTATATGAACCGAAACCAGCTCCCACGAGCAGGACATCGACCTCGGGGATGTCGTTAGATGGCTGTATGGAACCCATATTCGTCGTGGTAAAAGCAGGAAGATCGCAGTCAGACAGAGAAGAACATGGATGATGGGGAGCAAGCCTTCCCCGTGGGGGAGGCATTGATATATACTTGAACACGACACCACCAATTCGAGAGCTCGACCTCGGCTATAATGACAATGAGGAGAGGAAGCAAGGCCTATTGGCGGACCAAAGGAATGGGCATCGTGTCTCCTACACGACTCGAAGCTCCTCCCTGCTGGTTGTGGGTATCTGGCCTTCTCATTGGCGTTGGCGGGGTTGGGGATACAAGGCGAAGCATCAAAGATGCCACAGTGGTATCGACGGGAGGCCACTATCCGACGCTTGATGCTTGATACGGCCCACATCCGACAACCCCAATATCAAAGCGGCACCCCCGCATATCTGGGTGCGGGGGGACAATTGTGCGGGGTAAACAAGCGTCTTGGTCGTCTTATTCCCTCGTCATGTCCGGCTTCCAGATCGCCGATCTTGTGCGCATCGCGTTAGACGCACCGTACAGCTAGCCCCATCCAGTATGGGCCGGGCTTAGCCGAGAAGACGAACTGCCCCCTATTTGCGCCCTACCAATCCGGTACGCGAGATGTGGAGGTGTGGTTGATAGACCCAAGTTGCGGAACCGCACAGGACTAAGTAAAGATACTTTATTTGGACCTATGCAACGACCGAGTCCTGCGCTGCGTCAACAGAGCGCGCCGTCGACCTCAGGAGAAAGTGGACTGTGGACCAATAAGCTGTGCTCTTTGAAAAGAGCATGTCGAAGGTGGTAGCGACAAGGATGCATCCGTTCTTGATCGGGCTGATGACCATTGGACACTATGAGATGTCGTTTGGCGCCATCTCTCGAGAAGACCAGGAGCTGGAAAGGGCATACGTAGACAGCCAAGGTACATGCATCATCGTCCGTACGCATACGACTCTCCGCAGCATCAGACCTTGTTGAACGGCATATCCGGACAATACCCCAGATCCGCTTCCCCGAAGGAATGTTCCATTGCTCCCGCCCGCTCTGAAGGAGACTTCCTTCCTCGGTCATGTGAACTCAGCTAGCGTCATCAGGATGCAAGACGCTGCATCTGGGGCCGCGTGGGGTACGTATCCAGAGGGATCTATAGGTCAACAAGTCTGTAGTCTTCGCCATCTGCACTATGATAGCAACATGAAATCAAGCCAGCTCGGACCATCTCCCAACGAGCCGCTCTTATCAATGTCTCATCCGTACAGGCCCGTCACCTTGGCCAATCCATCAGCAGATAGATCGATCACTTGAACTTAGGATACCTAAGATAGGAGAGCAAAGCAGACAATGAATAAACACCAAACAATGAATCCTGAGAAACTAGACAAGAAAAAATTCCATTTCATCTTTTTCCCGCTTGGCTGTAACGAAGACGAAATTCGAAATTCGAAATAGAAATTCGAAAATGACAGAAGCAGCATAAACCCCTGAGAACCATGCATATCGGGATCGTTCCCAACAAAGATCAGTAATCTCAATCCCCTGCATCCGATTCCGATGAGAACCCTCCCCGCAGAAATAAGAGACTAGGTAATGTAATCATTGAATAAACACTAAACTCAGCTGAAGAAATGAACCCCGCTGCAGAAAACCCCCATCACCCCTTATCCGAATTCCAGATCCCCATTCCATTCCCTTTCCTCCGCTCCCCCCCCTTTTGTGGGAGAATCAACCTACCTTACCTTACCTTACCTTACCTTACCTTATCTAATGACCTAGGTGCCTATATGGTTACCTCACACACTTTCAACAGCGAGACCTTCTCCTCTCCTCTCCTCTCTTCTTCAAAAATCAACGCTTTGGCATATATATCATCCACTCCCCTTCCCTCCCCCTTTCCGGCTTCTTTTTCTTCCTAAATGACTAGGTAATCACTCACTTACTTACCTATATAGGTAGATACTCAATCTAGTTATTCTTTCTCTCTAACCTCTCCCTTCCCCTCTCTTCTTCGCTCTCCACACGCCCCACAGCAACGCATACGCCCTCATCCCCTCATCCCCTCCTCTCTCAAAAGAAAAAAGCAATCCATACGCACCCAAGAATGCACAAGCACAAGTACGAATACGAATACAGAACGCATGCATAACTCAGATGCTGAAACGAAGGGAGGATTTGAAAACAATGGTCAAAGACTAGGATTGGAGAGTAGATATGATAGATTGTGTTGTGAGGAGGAGAGGAGGGGAGAGGATAGGATAGGATAGCGCACTTTTTCTTTTTTCTTTTGACGGTTGGGGAAATAGAGATGGAAATGGAATAGAATGAGGACCAGACTTCTGGGAAAGAAGAGGGAGGGACGTAGGTAGATAGATGAATAGGATGAGAGGGGGGGTGGCGTGAGGATTGGGAGACCCGGGGATGAGACGATAATAACTGGCACATTGATGACAAGGACTGGCAAGATTATTGGGGGGCGAGAGGGATAAATATTAATACTGCATGGCATACCTCTCTAACCGCACTCGACATGACAGGAAGCACGGCTGTACGCCGCTCCTTCTTTCATTAGTACCATGAAGGCTCGAACTAACCTACAATACACAATCTCCAACGCACGTCTAATCATTTATGGGCATGTCAAACCACTACTCTAGTAGTAGTAGTTCTCCTCCGCCGTTCTTCCCCGCATAAACTCGGGCTCGCTGCCCCGGACGTAGATATCCTCGTACAGGATCTGGGGTGTCGCGTCTGGGGGAGGCATGGCCTCGGCCTCCGCAACCTCCTTGTCAACCGCTGTTCTGGCTTCCTTGTCAATAGCCTTGAGCTCCTCCTCGGAGGTGACGTTCCACTCAATGAGCTTGTGCTTGAGACCAGCGATGGGATCTTGTGTTGAGCGCATGCGCTGGATCTCCTCACGGGTACGGTAGGTGGTTCCGGGGTCGGACATAGAGTGACCACCGTAGCGGTAAGTGAGGTACTCGAGGACGAGAGGACCGTTGCCACCGGTCGTGTATTCTCTGCCGAATTTGACGGCAGCCTTGACGGCAAGGACGTCCATTCCGTTGACCTTAAGACCGGGGATGTATTGACCACGCTTGTAGTAGTCGGTAAGAGCGGAAGAGCGGTTGGCTGCTGTACCCATTCCGTACTTGTTGTCTGCAGGTCATTAGCACCCAAAGATACTTAGATATACTAAACAAGAAATGATGAACATACTCTCGCAACCAAACATGACAGGCAAGTTCCACAACTTGGCCATGTTGAAAGCCTCAAAGACTTGTCCCTGGTTGCTGGCTCCGTCACCATACAACACAACACTAGCATTCTTTCTTCCAGTGTACTTGTGAGCGAAGGCAAGACCGGCACCAACAGGTACTTGAGCACCGACGATACCGTTTCCGCCATAGAAACCCTTGGAGAACATGTGCATCGATCCTCCCTTTCCGTAGGCAATACCCTCTCGGCGACCGAGGAGTTCACCGATGATGGATTTGACGGTAGCACCGCGCATCAGGGCGTAACCGTGGCATCGGTAGGCGGTAATGAGATCGTCTTCTTTGGTGAGGGCGTGCTCAATACCGACGGCGACGGCTTCTTGTCCGGTGGACAGGTGGCAGAAACCACGGATCTTCTTCTCCTTGTACAGTCTGTCCGCAGCCATCTCCATACGACTGAACAACAACCCATAAGCTTAATCGCATAGCCCAGAGTCGATTAATGCTTACCGGATCGCAACCATATCGTAGTACATCTGCTTCAGTTCCTTCTTCGTGATCTCGAGCGTGTATGGAGGGGGGTCGAGCTCATAAGTCTCGAAACTCTCATCAGAGAGCTGAATTTGGAATGGCTTATCATCCTCCTATACCACCGGGATCATCAGCAAGTTGTCCGCACACCAATTGATATGTCCCAACAATGAAACTCACCTGCGGAACGGCATCTCTAACATTGGCACTCGCGGCATCCGTGGTGACGGTTCTCTTCACCAGCGCGGATTTCGAGAAAACATTACAGCGCAAAGGCGCAGCGCGGCCAGTCCTCAACGCTCGAGAGAACATGGTTGTGTATGGGGAATTAAGAAAAGGGGAATGAGAGAATGTATCTGGAGCTTGTCTATCGTCCGGAGCGAGAGCGAGATGTTGAACTGTCGAGATGGCTACTAGTCTGCTTTGGACTAGCGCGCCTAGTATTTTCCATGACACGTGACTCTTTATCTAAATTGAGGCTCGCCGTCGGAGATACAGTGGGGGACAAAGCTGAACCCATTTTCTGCCAACAACTTATCTTCTGCTAAATTCTGCCAGGGAAAATCAATTTAACATCAACTAGAGCACAATCGAAGCAGCATGGCAGAGGATTATTTTTATTGCAATTATTCCTTTATTTTTGTACGATGTTGAGTGAAAAAAATAGCAGAATAAAGGAGAACAAAGGCGGTCACAAAACTTATTATATCCGCTGTAACCCCGTACCGGTGTGGAGAGAGCATTATCTGGAGATCGTATTTGTAAGGTGGGTTGAGATAACATGGATAGCATCGGCTTTTTTTTTTAGTCTAGATCCTCGAAGAATCCGCTGCCTCCTATCTTGTTAATTCAGTGCAAATATCCATTCTCAAAATTACCTAAAGTTCACAACTCATTATTCACAGGCTTCTCAAATCAATTCGATTACCTCTGTTTCGCATTTATTACTCTTTCTGTTAGAAACAAATGCTGATGCAAGGCTTTCCAATGTCCTACTCTACACAATGACACCTCCCAGACTCCAGGATCCTGATGCATTGTGCCAATCACGCCATATCAATCAATCCATCCCACGCTTCCCACGTTCTGCATATCGTCTATGCCCTCAATTTCATGATATCTGACGTAAACTTCAAGAACGCCGAGAATGCTTATCAACTATTATAATTCTGATGGGGAGTATGTGCAGTGGATGGGGACGGGAGGAACAAAATGACCTTTCATCCTGGAAAGGTGGCATTTGTAAGTTGATGAGGTGTTTTGAGTAGCCTTCGATATGTTTGGGGGTGAGGGGGAAATAATCCGCCATTAGGGAATACCATGGTACCATTAATACCATCAACAATCCCAAAAATGCATCACATTCAACAATGACCGGTATAGATAATCAATCGTCATCATGGAAGAAGGTCGGTCCAGTGGCTTGTGGGGGTGCGGTGGAAGGCCCGGCATCCGCCATATCAATATCAGACTGCGCATAGGCAGCGTCGGGTGCTGAAAGTCCTGACATTTGTTGATCTTGCGTTCCACTTGATCGGTACTCGACCGCACTGAGTGGTCTCGGCGGCGTATTTAGCAAGCGTTGCGCGGGGGTAGGTTGTCTTTCGTATAGAGCATCATCCGGTGGAGAGAATGACCATACCTGCAATAATTAGCCTGATATCTCCTTCGTTTGCAAGAAACACGTACCTCCATGATGGTGCGATTAGACCTGCTGGCCATGACAACGCACTTCTCTTCCTCAAAAGCCACCCGCCAAACTGCATCCGCTGGTTGTGAGAGTTCACGAACCAGTTGGCCGGTTTTGAGATCCCACACCTTGACCCTACCATCACTGCCTCCGCTAACAACGCGAGTGTCGTCAAATTGCAGACTCGTCACGCTATTGTCATGTGCAGCCAATCGATGGATGGGAGCCATTTTCTCCAGAGACCAAACCCGTACTGATCCGTCAGAGCCACCAGTCACGAGGGTATTGCCACGCATCTGGAGCTGACCAACAAGCGATGTATGCCCCTGCAGAATAGCCTGGCAAGACCTACATGCGTAGTTAGCATAAAGTCATAGTTTTCTGTCGAATAACCTACCCATTGTTCGGATCCCAAATTCTGACACTAGTATCAAGACTACCCGTTGCTATTCTCGTTCCGTCAAAAGCAATAGCATAGATCTGGGAGAAATGGCCGGAAAGCGTGCGTAAACATCTGCCCTCAGAGATACTCCATACCCTTGCCGTGGTATCGTAACTGCCAGATACCACGATGTCTCCTTTAATTTCCAGACATCTTACGCTAGCTTGATGGCCAACGAGCACATTCTTGCAAAGTCCGGTCTTGATATCCCAAATCCTCAGAGTTGTATCTCTCGATCCAGAGATGGCAGTATTTGCGTCGGACATCTTCAAGCATCTGACGGTCGAGGTATGCCCACGAAGGGTATGTATACTCTCACTGCATCATGAATTAGTGTCAATGTACCAAAGGTTGCCAAGTTACGTACCCAGTAGACATGTCCCACACTCGAACGTCCCGATCACAGCCACCACTAACCAGGGTATCATCCCAAGGAACCATCGCCCAGACTCCCATAACATGACCTTGCAATGTCTTCTGCTGGTTGCCATCGGTACTGAAGACGTGGATTTTGGCATTGTCCAAAGCCACCACAATATACTTCGGCGTCAGATGCAGACTCGTCACGACCCCTTGATCCTGTGTGATGTGTCTCGCAATGTTCTGCCCACCAGTTCTCCACGCAGTTTCCACTAGATATCTTTGCTTGAAATGCGATTTGTACGATCTGATCTTCGGCCTTCTCAAGGTGCTAGAACTCATCGAGCTATCAAAGCTTCTCGAATTTCCCTGGGCGTAGGGCGCAGAGGTACCGGCAGGGAAACTATGTGTGGAACCTTGATTTTCACCGCCTGATTCGTAGTATCCGCCCTGTAGTGGATTTGCAGGTGGTCGAACATTGCTGAACGCAGGACTGGAGATCTGGTTCTCTGACAGTCGTCGGCCATAATCGTGCTTTGCACATAATTTCATCCATGTCACATCATCTGCCAGCAACTCCCTCCATCTCTGCGATACTTGAGATGCTCGGGCGAGGACTTTGGGGTCATCGATGCAGGAGAGAATCTGGATGGAAGAAGTTAGTTTTTCTTCTAGCCATGCAGATCGAGAACACTACGTACCCGCAAGCAGATCTCATTTGGTAGACTGGTAAAAGGGTCTTTTTTTAGTAATGGGTCAACATATTGACGCACAAAGCTCAGCTGTTGGCTGGTGCATAGGTTCAATAGATCACCCAATATCCTCGTACGTTCGGAGTGCGTTCTATTCTTGAAATACTGTCGGATCTGGGAGAGAAAAAAATCCTCCTGATCTCCAGCATCGCTCCAGTCTGGTTGTGTATGATCAGGGCCGGGACTCGCAGCGGGTGTCGGGGGTGGGGGAGGGTCGTGACTCGAGTGAGTGGGAGAATCTGGGTCGGCCGGTGTGTTCATATTTGGAGTCGGGGGACCTCTAGGTCTTGACTGGACGATTTTCTCAACTCTTTGGGGCATTTGTACATGGTTCGTAGTATTGAGGGTAAGGGTTGCTCGCGTGGGAGATAATTCACCATCTTCGCTACTCAACACCATCGATGCTCTTCTTTCTGTCAGACTTAAAGGTTTATAAGCGCCCATGGCTCTCCTTGTTCCGGGAATATCTCTAAACGTAGATTGTAGCTATACTACGAGCACTGTCGCAGAGCAAGCACGGCCAACGGAATAGAGTTCGGCCTGGATCGGTGGCGGATTCGCTGATTATGGAATCTGGGACCGAGGGATATCGGGGGACGGTACGCGTTACCAGAGAGCTGGTCATCGATATGCACAATCTGCAGAGATAATCGCAGGGGGCGAAATCTTCCCCTGAGACTGCCGGAGATCGTCAGGTTCGGAGAGGGGAGAAGGGAGAGGTAGCAGGTGGGCAGGCGAAGGGACGGTCAGGCAGAGGACGCATGCGAGTTGAAGGGGACGGGGACAGGCGACGTCAACAGGATAGTGGATTATGGTGCAATGAAGAAATCACCAGCGGGAGATGTCATCGAGGATCGTTCTTGATTGAACACGGGAACGCTGGAGCGAGCGACCGGACTGTGGGGTCGAGGGGTGGGAGTTGGAAGTTGGAAGAGGGAGAGAGGCGGGTGGTGAGCGGGCTGAAGATCTCTCGAGGAGGTTCGACAGACGACAAGACGACAGACGAGCCTACACCACACAGCCGGATGTCAGCAAGCGGTGGGTACATTACTACACTGTTCTCTGGCAGGGGGGGTCCCTCGCTCACCACGCTGGAATGTTTTCGGCAAGGTTTGGGCGTTACGGGCCCTGCGAGCTGCGAATTGGAGGAACTAGAGGCGGCGAGCACAGGGCGGAGAGTCGCGAGTCGAGACAGATGACATGCAGGGCCGCCGGCAACGTGTAGTAGCAGCACCGGGTTCCTGTGCCAGTCGGCCTGTAGTCTTCTCGTCTACGATCTACACTCTGTTTACGGGGTCTTGTCTTGGGCTGGATGGAGGACGAGATCGCGGGGCCGTACAAGTGCGGGATGATTCAGATTCTCCTTTGGCTATAGCGCTCTTGTACTGTAGCGGTAGATACTTACGGGTAAAGGAGGATTTGGGGATTACCTCATTTTTGCAGGTTAAGGCATCTTAGTTACACTGTACTTTGCCTTGCTTCAACGTCTTATACGTACTGTAGAATTGTCTGCTCCGGGGTTTGCTTCTCGGACCCTGCACTGACTGGAGAGGAGAGCGGGTTTCCCGCAACTAAGGCATAAGCACCGTATCTATTATTATCCTACGAAACTACTACTTTCTTCGAGGCTTGCGCTTTCTCCCGCCAGGACAACAATCAGCTTTCACCACCCGAGTCTCGACTGTCAACTCTCAACTCTCGACCTTCGACTTTCGGTACATGACGTGCGACGCTGCCGGGAGCTGTGGGCCCTGCAGTCGCCGCGGGAAATACCTTACATTGTACCGGGGGCTAACGTCTGAGTCTGAGACAGAGATGTGTGCACTGCCTCTCACCAACAGGTTGATCATCGATCCTCCATTGCTGGATTTACTGTACTATTAGTATCCTACCTATGTACCCAAGGTATGTAGATACCTATAAGTTATAACAAAGCTGAGCTATCCCCCCATACTGGTCAAAGAATCTTGGAGTGTCGACAACCAGATCCGGGGGGCCTTGCCCAACTCATTTCGGCCTCCGGCTTTTGTCTTCAGATTTAAGTGCTGCCGTACTGTATAGTAATGCTATCCGGGCCTGCCTCGGTTCTGTGGTCTTGTCACAAAGTGGAAGACGGAGACTATCTAGGTACGGAGTATGTACACACACCAGCAAATTTGATTATCTGATTATTCGATTTTTTTGATTTGTCATTGGCACCAAAGTTTCATTTATATCCGAATCCCTACCTGCCATCCTTCTTTCTACTGTATTCCATACAATTGCCACGCCCATCTTTGAACGCCCATAGCAAAGACCACACCTCGGCCCAGAATCAATGGTGGTGGCCAAGTTGTGTAAGAAGGGGAATCAACATCCCACCCACAGCAGCAAGCGTATCCTTCATTTGGGGTTTGGCCTGCTTCCTCTGCAGCCCGTTGCTTTCACCATATCCGTTAGCGCTCGACGACTCGTGCGCCGAATCTTCTTGCATGGCATGCATTGCAACGTATCTGTCTGTCATCAGCATGATTCAAGAGTGGGAGCAAAAGAGAACCAACAGAAATGTGCCTGCAGAAAACAATAACAACATTCCAGTCCACCATTGACCCTTTTCTCCAGTAAGCTGTCCACCTCCTAGGAGGTTAACCAGCAACCAAGTACTAAGTGCGCCAACTGGCGATGCCAAGCTGAAGATGATCAGATGGCCACGTGCGGCACGTTTTGAAAGTCCCTGCTTCAACAGGACAGATGTGAGGCCGAAGGCAGCAGGTGCCTTATGTACGAGAATCGCAATGAAAACGATAAATCCAAGGCTGGTCCTCGCTGATGACGCCGAAGCCCCCATAGCAACTCCATCTGCCGCTGCATGGATCACGAGGCCAGTTGTAGTAGCCAAACTGCGACTTTGTTTGGGAGTAGGAGCAATTGCCTGAAGAAAACTTTCCGATTCTCCGTCTTCTAGGGAAAGAGTCGACGATGAGTGAAGACCTCGTGATAGGTTATCAAGGGATATATGTCTAGGCGTTGGAGTTGATTGTAGATTATCGGATGCATGCCTTGGCAGCTTGTCGACGAGAAACATGAGGACAAATCCCAATATAAGAGACAGCCCTATATAGAACGTCGGCGGGTCGTTTTCGTGATGTTCCTCTTTGTCTTGGTGGTTAGGTGATGTCTCTTCTGTTTTCCCATGGGGGTTTTCTCTGGTCACGGTCGGTGAGGTTGGCGTTGCTTCGTTCTTAATTTCGATCACTGCAGGTATGACCGTATCTCCAGCTCCTAGCGATCGATCAAGTTGATCTTCCGCCCTGTGGGCAACCGCAGGCGTCGGCGCCCAGCGCATCAAACTTCCATTTTCTCGTATGTGTAGACCACGTCGCAGATCTGAGTGCCCCCCCAATCCTGCACTGTACACAGTTTCAATCCCTTCTGGAATGATAACTATTAAGGAGGTGCCGACCAAGACTCCCATACCAATAGTAGAGATTAGTCGCAATTGTGAGGACGAGAGAGTCATGGATAAAGGTAGGGCCCCGGCCAGGAAACAGCTGCAATTGAAGTTAGCAGAGAGCATTGAATGTCTATTATTGTTATGTTCACCTCAATGCCATTACCAGGCTCAGCGCGAGCAACATGAACAACCCGTCAAGCATCTTTACCCTGTGTTCCCTAACAACAACAAGGTAGAATCCAAGCCTGATTCACCAACAGCGTTATCGATTCATCGCGTACTTGTTCGCATATGTGGTCTGGCGTCACTGACAACAGGTGAAGTATCCAAGTTGTCTCGTATGCCGTATCAAATAAATCGCCTCTTGGATTATGCCTATTGGCCGGTTCTTGTCGTTCGTTAATGACAGATTCGAAATCGCAAGCAAGGCTGAGGAATTAGCGCGCGTCCACCCCTGTCACTTCAACGCGTCCCAAGAACTTCAATCTAACCCTCACGCGCCTTCCAGTTCCACAACCCTTAGATACAGCGCGCAACATCAAAGATCAGATCGATTATTCGACTGTGCTTTTAATGACCTATACAGTCCAATAACCGACAAAATGGCGGATACCAATGCTGACTGTACGTATCAGTTTCTACCTTCACGTCTCCCCCCTCTTTTGTCCCTTCTGGCGCAAAGGGAACATTCGTCCCGATTTCGTTGCGCCGAAGACGGGCAGGACGAGCTAAGAGCGCCCCCAATAGCTCTGATGGCATTTCTGATACTGACTATGGAATCATAGGGTCTACGGACTCGAACAAAGCCATCAATATCTCTCTGGTCAACTCTAGTGGTCAAGGAATCAAGACGCTTTACAGCTTCAATCCAAAGATGACATATCAAATCTTTGGAGAGGAGGAAAGCATCTTTGGTTACCAAGGCTTGAAGATCAACCTCAGGTACAATGCCTGCGACATGCGCCCGGGTTTGCAGATTACATACGGCAAAAAGTTCAAGACCATTGGGGAGACGGAGCCGACTGATTTAAAGGCTATAATGGAAGAATTCTTGCCGAAGAGTGAGCTTTTTCTGAGCACTTGTAAATTGAGTACCGGCTGACCAAGTTGTAGCTGCCTTCGAGAAGTCCAACGTGTTCGAATCGACCATAGCAGACTCTAGCTATGAAAACTTCCAGCCTCCGGGAGAGTTGTGGCAGACTATGGAAGCTGGTGGTCAAACATACGAAATCTGGAAGGGTAATCTTGCTGATATGGCCGTTCAACAACTGGTGAAGCGCATCCAAATCCTTGTGCTATTTTATATTGAGGGTGGTAATTATATTGAACTCAGAGATGCGGACACGACACTCGAACGCTGGACAGTCTTCTTTCTTTACCAGAAGAAGACAGTTGATGTTGATCCAAAAACATCTCCATACGTTTTTATGGGTTACTCGACCGTCTTCCGCTACTTCTATTACCAACCTATCACACCACCTTCCTCCCCTCCGGCGAAGAAACAACGCATTTCCCGTGAAGCAGATCTGGATTTCCAACTGCCCCTCCCCGAGCTTCAATTCTCTGATTTCACATGCCGTTCAAGGATATCTCAATTCGTTATACTACCACCATTCCAAGGAGGCGGAAATGGTTCCCGTTTGTATAACTCTATCTTTGACTGCTATCTTGGGGACCCCAAAACACTCGAGATTACAGTTGAGGATCCGAACGAAGCCTTTGATGATTTGAGAGACCTCAATGATTTAGCTCGTCTACGGACAGTTCCAGAATTCTCTGCTCTTCGAATCAACACTGAGGCAGCACCGCGAGCCAAAGGTCCTGTCCCAAACGACATAATCGATTCCGAAAAGCTCGAGAAGATCCGAACAAGCATGAAAATCGCCCCAAGACAGTTCGCGAGGCTAGTTGAGCTGCAGCTTCTGTCTCGAATCCCAAGTAATATTCGGCAGTCACTGCTTGTAGAGCGTCCAACTAGCACGGTACCAGACCTCAAAACAAAGCAACATGAATACCGCCTCTGGAAACTGTGGACCAAGTCGCGGCTGTACAGACATAACAAGGATACGCTCATACAACTGGATCGTGTGGAGAGAATTGAGAAGCTCGACGAGGCGCTTGGCAGTGTAGAAGCTGATTATGCTAGACTTTTGAGAGCTTTGCATCAGCGGCAGGATAGCAAGACGGAGGCTGCGTCATCAACTGGAAAGAGACCTCCCCCAGATGGAGACGCGGATGATGGAGAGCCATCTTCTAAAAAGGCTAAATTTGCATAGAGGGGTGTGCAGACATACACCGGGAATGTATCAATGGGTTAGGCGTTACTGCATATGCTTGGATGGTCGAGGGATGGAGTCAAGCGACATGGAAATGATTTTGATGAATACCAGACGAGTTTACAGCCTCTGCAATGATTCGTGACGTCCCAAGGCTTATTGTCTAAAATCTAGTTCCATTAACTCCCTGGACACCCTTCCCGAGTTGACTGGCAACACAAGTTGCCTCTCGAACTGCTTTCGCAACCGTGCCCCTGACGCTCCCTTCCTCCAACACCAACAATCCTCCTATCGTACACCCACCAGGAGTGCTGACCTTATCCTTCAAGATCGCTGGATGTTCACCGGCCAAGACTAACCCCGCAGCGCCCTTCATCGTCTGCGCCGCCATTCTCTGTGCCTCTGCTCTCGGAAGACCCATAGCAACCGCACCATCGATGGCAGCTTCCAGCATCAGGGCAAAGAAAGCAGGTCCACTACCACATAGCGCGGTCGAGACATCCATCATGTTAGCAGGAAGATAAACGACATCACCAATTTGCTTAAAGATCCACGTGATGAGGCTCGACGCCTGCGGAGAGAGTGGAGGCACCGAATTCGCGATCACAGTCATGCTCTCTCTAATTCCCGACGCAGTACTGGGCATCGCTCTCACAACCCTACACCTCCCAGGAGAGGTAGATGAAGATCCATACAGCATGTCTTCGATCTGCGGTACGCTTAAACCAGCACATATGGAGATGAGCAGTTTCCCTTCCAGCGCCTCTCTCATGCCCTCCGCTGCTAGGATGTCTTTCACCATGTATGGCTTGCAGCCAAGTAATACGATATCCGCTTCTCTGCACGCTCGCACGTTGTCATTCTGTACTATGCTCACGACGTTAAGGTGCGAGTGTAGAGCTGTCTTTATCCTCTTCGCGGATTCGGGACCCCGTACGCAGGCTATGAACTTGGAAGGGAGGCGGCTGGGAAGGTCTTCGGCGGGGGTGGAGGTTGCAGATTGGGGTCCATGTAGCGAAGTGAGAATCCCGGAGAGGATTGCTATTCCCATTGTTCCTGGAAGACAAAAGAATCAGGAAATGATATATGAAGCTGCGAAACCATGGCATTGCCCTTTGGTAGGCAATTGTAAATGCGAATATAACGACGTACCGCATCCTAGCACCGTTAACGTCAAGTCTGACTTTTCTTTACTGGATGTCCCTATTGAAGACATCTTGAAATTCACTTGAACTTTTTTCCCAACTCTTCCAATTGATTCTGCTTGTCTGTTCCACTCTTGAAAGTTGAAATCCCGTCTACAAGGCTAAGGTATGTATTTGGCGAAGTCGGAGGGCCCCAAATCAAACTTCTTTCACCGCCCACCCCACATCCAAAAATCGTTAGGCCAAACCAGGCTCCCCCAGTCAGAATGGGCATCACCAACGAGCCTCGCGACTCGGCTTCGAAGAAGGCCTTCCCTAGCAATCCCTTCGAACTCTCTACAAACAATGAGGCCCCGGTAGCCCAGAACTCCAGTATATCGATCTCCAACCGCAGCTACAGACAGGTTGCCAAGCGCCATAGGACCATGGATCCCTTCGAGGTGCGCATTCGCTTCACGCAGCATCTGCAGCATCTGAACGCAAGTGTCACTTCCGCAAACAAGGCTGCCCAGTATGCGCTCAAGTATCGGGATATGGACGAGGATTTGCACAACTGCATCCTGGAGCAGTTGGAACGCGTATGTTTCTTTTCGCCCAATATATTTTAGTAGTTCACTTTTGTGGGAGCGCAGTGGCTGATTTCACCATGCGGATACAGAATTCGATGAACAACAGAGCAAATATCATGTACTTTATCGAGCATCTCTGCGATATGGCGGCCCGCGAAAACCACCAAGACTACGTGCGCATGATGCAGCGAGATATCCTCCGAGTTGTTGATGCTGTTGCGCCTGAAGACGGTTCCGGTGCTGCTAATGTCAAGGTCGTTCGCAAGGTTCTCCAAGGCCTCCAGCAGAAAACCTTCTTGCTTGCGCAGACGGTGGCCGAGATTGAGGAATGTCTCAAGGAGCGTGATACTTTGCCTGATGCCATTGGGTTAAGTTCGCCGCTGCAGCAGGATGTCGAGATGGGAGGAACGAAGGATGGGAAGGGGGACAGGAAGACGAATGGATTCCAGAGGTTGGATAAGAAGCAGATTGAACAAAGGATTGAGGAAGATAGGGAACGTCATAAGAGATTAAGGGAAAATATTTGGGCAGTGCAGCACGGGACGGGTGGTGATGATGCCGAGTTTGAGAAGTTGTGGGAGGAGACGAGCGATCTGGGCGAGGATGATTTTACACTGTATGAGGAAGAGGCACAGGAGAGGAAGGAGTGTGCACAAGAGTGGAGGGAGGAGTATGCTGCGAAGCATAAGGAATAAAATCGGAGAGATGGGTTTCGACACATGCATCAGGGCGGAGTTTGGATGGGAATAAATCTAGGACGGCGCGGGTGAAAACTGCATTTATGCCAGTGGCGTTGAATTTCCTCTGTCTGTATTGAGTATCAAAAAGATTTATGTTATATCAGGCCAGTCAGTTCATTCTATGGAGCAGCAATGCACTAAAGGTTGAGGAGACAGACAAGAGATGCTACGTGACCCCAAAGCAGAGGCATGCTACGTATATGAGTATCTGAGACGGTACGTACGGTTCAAAGAAGTGGTTAGCTTTCGGTAAGGGACCACAAAAAAGAGGATGGATGCTACGTGTGTTATTATGTGATTGCTTTCAGCATTCATAGTCCCTTTGGAATTTTGACTGCAACCAAAGACCTAGCAGGAACAGGAATGACTTCACTTGATCAGATATACTAACGCATAGGGGGCGGAATGATAGGTTAATTTTGTACACATCTTTAGTATTGATACACGCCATATGCTTCCCGGTCCACGCACTCGTACATTACCAACAATCTATTCCATAGTAACCACACCACCCAGCTCCTTCAACGCAGCAATGATCTTCTCCGCCTCCTCCTTTGGCACTCCCTCCTTCATCATCTTCGGGGCGCTCTCAACGAACTTCTTGCTGTCCACCAGACTCAGGCCCAGCATGCTCTTGATCTCCTTGATGATCTTGGGTTTCGCTGCGGCATCGAAAGACTCCAACTTCAAGTTGAAAAGAGTCTTCTCTTGCTGTACAGGTGCAGCCTCTTCTTCCTCAACGGGTGCGGCAGCCGGGGCAGCGGGTGCGGCAGCGAATCCTCCCACCGGCATGTCGGGAATGTTGAGTCGTGACTGGAAAAAAACCGATCAGCATCCCCCTTCCCTTCATACGTCCCCCGGAAAACCTTCGCAATGGACCGACATACCTTTAAGCTCGCAACTAAGTCAGCAGTCTCCAACAGAGTCAATTGACTGATCTGATCCACTATTCCCGACACCTTTGGGTTTGTAGGCGCTTCCGTTGAAGCCCATCGTTTCGCTGACGAAGGATTCCGCCGTTGTGCAAGGGAGGCGGCGGAAATTCGGAGAGTAGATGAGGAGCGTAGAGAGCGCACGCAGCTTCGAGCTGCAGACTGGCAGGATATCGACATGGTGGTGGATTTGAGAGTCAAGATGATGCTGGATTTCAAGTGTCGTGAAGTCGTGTTGTAGATTTCTCGATCCCGAGCTAACAAAAGTTAGCCTGGGATGGTCCGTGCGCAAAAAGTTTATCTCCAGAATCGAGAAATATTTTGGAAATTTATTATGCAGAAACCGTAACGACGGTTCACTTTACGTCCAACTACAGAAAATGGACATCGATGATCCGGAGTACGGGCAAAATGCTGTTCTTCAAGATTCGAGTTTGTTGAAGAACGTGCCCGAAGAAATACTCGAAATAATACGCCTTCAGAACTCCCCGCGATTCCTCGAAGCACTGAGTCTCGCCGCCCTTAAACCGGCTCTGACACTTGAGCTTTTTGCACGATTCAACTCTGTATTTGCAGATACATGCTCGCGGTGGATATCCAAGTCAGGCGATCAAAACGGTGAAGTGGTGGAGGCATTCGCCCGAATCCTCCCTCTCGCGCCTCACCTCTCTACCTACCTTGAAAAATACCTCCGAATCACCTCCTCAGACTCCGCCACACCATCAATTCAAAATCTCAGCAAGAATAGCAATGGCTCAACCAATGGCCTCTCTGTGCTGGAGCTGCAGCGCATCCTCCTTGCGGCTTTTAGACTTCTCAACTTCGACAAGTCGACCTATTCTCGCTCCATATCTGGCACGAAAATCCAGACGCTTTTGCAGCACCCAGACAAACCAGTACGATATCTAACAGTCAGAATATTCTGCCAACTTCAATCGGCATCCGAATTTAAGCTGGAACAAATGATTGATACGCATGTCGGAAAAGAGGAAGCTATTCTGGGGGATTATGATGGAGAACTGCTGGATTATGGATTTTTAACTCTTTTTGAGGAGAAGAGATTACAGAACGTACGGAAGTTCATAAATACTACAAGTCAGATGGCTAGTCCTCTTTCTGTAAATTTGGAAGGTTTATCTGCTTTGGTGGTTCGGTATTCGAGCACACTACTTCCCCGACCCCAAGGTCCTCCTGCTCGACCTTCCGCGCTTATCTCTACGGCTACAACTGCAAAGAATATGGAAGTGTTCGCAAAAAGCCTTCTCTCGTCCTCTCCAATCTTACTCCACGGATTGGCAGGATCAGGAAAGACATCGTTGGTCAATGATTTTGCTCGAGAGCTCAGTGTAGACTCGAACATGGTTACACTCCATCTCAATGAACAAACAGATGCCAAAATGCTTATTGGCATGTATGCGACTGGCTCCACACCAGGATCCTTCACATGGCGGGCAGGCGTGCTGACGACAGCCGTGAGAGAGGGTAGATGGGTGTTCATTGAGGACCTCGATCGAGCCCCAAATGAGGTTATCAGCGTGATCTTACCCCTTATTGAGAGAGGGGAGCTACTGATCCCAAGTCGCGGAGAGACTATCAAAGCAGGGCCTGGATTTAGACTCCTAGCTAGCATTCGAACGTCGTTGAATGTAGCTGGCCACGAGAATCCACCTGCTTTACATATGCTTGGAGCTCGTCTCTGGCAACGCGTCCCCGTTGAAATGCCCTCTCAAGATGAATTCCGTGAGATCATTGATGGCATCCACCCAATTCTCCACGAGTTTCTTCCCGGAATCATCAGCGTTTACGAGCGATTATATGCCTTGTCTCACAAGCCATCTTTCGCTTCTAGAAGTCGAACCACTCTGGGCCGTCCGATAAGTCCCCGCGATTTATTGAAATGGTGTCGAAGACTTGATAGCACTCTTGTTGCTGCTGGCTCAAAGACCGGTCGGGAACCAATCAGTGAAGCAACGAAATATGAGATGTTTCTGGAAGCCACAGATTGCTTTGCAGGCAGCTTACAGACTGAAGATTCCCGAAGATCTGTCATTTCCTGTATTGCTGAAGAAATGCATATCGACCCGCAACGGGTTGATCACTTTTTAACCTCGCATATCCCGCGATATGACGAGAGTGAAAGGGAATTGACTATTGGGAGAGTTCGTCTACCAAAACGAAGCACTGCTCGAGTCGCCAAACCCGCCAAGAAGGCGCGGCCTTTTGCGAACACCACTCACGCCAAGCGATTGCTCGAACAAGTTGGAGTCGCTGTGAGAATGGCCGAGCCGGTGTTGCTTGTCGGTGAAACTGGTATCGGAAAAACGACAGTCGTCCAGCAACTTGCAGACTCCCTCGGATACAAGCTCACTGCTGTCAATTTGTCACAACAGAGCGAAGTTGGAGATCTGTTGGGAGGATTCAAACCAGTAAATATCAGAAGCCTTGCGATCCCCCTGAAGGATGAGTTTGATGATCTCTTCTCATCTACCGGTATCTCAGCAACAAAGAATCAGAGATACCTTGATCAGCTCGGCAAATGTATTGCCAAAAGTCAATGGAGCAAGGCGTCGCGGCTCTGGCGTGAAGCTCCAAAGATGTTTGAAAAGATCATCTCGGAATTGGCCAAAAAGGAGTCAGCCAATGAACGTTCCGTTGCCGAACAACCACCCAAGCGCCGCAAGACCGAGTCGAAACTCGAGTCACTCTTGCAGCTCAAACCTCGATGGGATAGATTCTCTCAAAATCTAGACCAATTCGATATTCAACTCTCGGGGGGTTCCAAGGGGTTTGCATTCACATTTGTCGAGGGCAATATTGTCAAGGCAGCTCGTAATGGGGACTGGGTCTTGCTTGATGAAATTAACCTTGCATCACCAGATACCTTGGAGAGCATAGCAGACCTTTTGAGTGGTCCCGGAAGCACTCCATCCATTCTGCTGTCAGAGACGGGGGAAATTGAGCGAGTGCGTGCTCATCCAAATTTTCGAATTTTTGGCGCCATGAATCCTGCCACAGATGTCGGGAAACGCGATCTACCAATGAGTCTTCGGTCGAGATTCACAGAGATTTACGTTGAAAGCCCAGATAGAAGTTTAGATGATCTTCTAGGCGTTGTGAAGGCATACCTCAAAGGGACTAGCAGCAACGACGAGCGAGCTGCCCACGATGTGGTCAAACTCTACATGAATACCAAGCGTCTAGCAGCCGAGAAACGATTAGTTGATGGAGCAAATCAGGTCCCGCATTTCAGTCTTCGAACTCTAACTCGAGTTCTCAGCTATGTCACCGAGATTGCTCCTTCATATGGATTACGCAGAGCTTTGTATGAGGGCTTTGCAATGGGGTTCCTTACTCTTCTTGATAGGGAATCGGAGAAGATGCTCATGCCCTTAATCAATCACCATCTGCTAGACAGTCACGGCAATCCTCAGGCGCTTTTAGCCCAAACGCCACGGCATCCAGATGATGGAAAGCAGTACGTACGATTCATGAACAAGAAAAAAGATCGTCAGTACTGGATGCTGCAAGGAATGGAGACTCCGGAAGAGCAGCCTCACTATATCATCACCCCTTTTGTTGAACGCAACATGCTCAATCTCGTCCGCGCCACCTCTACCAGGAGATTTCCGGTCCTGATTCAAGGTCCTACGTCGTCAGGGAAGACCAGTATGATCGAGTATCTCGCAAAATTCAGTGGCAACAAGTTCGTAAGAATCAACAATCACGAACATACAGATCTGCAAGAATATTTGGGTACTTACATTTCTGGAACTGACGGGCAGCTTCGTTTCCAAGAAGGTCTTCTTGTGCAAGCCCTTCGGCAAGGGCATTGGATTGTGCTCGACGAACTCAACCTGGCACCCACCGATGTCCTTGAAGCTCTCAACCGGCTGCTAGATGACAATCGTGAGCTCCTTATCCCTGAGACCCAAGAAATAGTGCGGCCGCACGAGAACTTCATGCTATTCGCAACTCAGAATCCTCCTGGCTTGTATGGTGGAAGAAAGACACTGTCACGTGCATTTCGAAACCGATTCCTTGAATTGCATTTTGATGACATCCCCGAGGACGAGCTTGATTTCATTCTGGAGAAGAGAAGTCAGAAAGTGGCACCATCAGACTGCCGAAGAATCGTCTCCGTTTACAAAGAGCTTTCCAGATTGCGACAGTCGAATCGACTATTTGAACAGAAAGACAGCTTTGCCACCTTGCGAGATCTCTTTCGGTGGGCTCTCAGAGATGCCGATAATAGGGAACAGCTTGCTGCCAATGGCTATATGCTACTAGCGGAGAGAGTGCGGAACCCGGAAGAGAGACAAGCAGTCAAAGAGATCATCGAAAGAGTCATGAAAGTCAAAATTGACACAAGTGTTCTATACGATGCGAACTTGTCTCCGGAGATCAAGGCATATGATACCACTTCCAACACACAAGGGGTTGTCTGGACGCATGCTATGCGGAGGCTGTATGTTCTGGTCGCACATGCGCTTCGTAATAATGAGCCTGTACTCTTGGTTGGTGAGACTGGATGTGGCAAGACCACTGTCTGCCAGATGCTCGCCGATGCATTTGGCAAGGAATTGCACATTGTCAACGCGCACCAGAACACTGAGACAGGCGATCTCATTGGGGCCCAGAGGCCTGTCCGTAATCGTGCCGCTGTCTTAGAACAGCTCAGACAAGATTTGCTTACTTTGCTGAGCGGTCTGGGTCAAGAAATACCAAACCAGGATCTTGACAACTTGATTTCGACATATCGATCATTATCAGTTTCGGATCTTGCACGAGTCCCAGAGCAGCTTCGAGAACGAATTGAGGCGAACCAAGTCAAAGCTAAAGCACTTTTCGAGTGGTCAGACGGAAGTCTTGTCCAAGCTATGAAGGAGGGACAATTCTTTCTCCTTGATGAAATCTCCCTTGCTGATGATTCGGTACTCGAGAGACTGAACTCTGTCCTGGAACTTAGCCGAACTATCTTGCTTGCGGAGAAGGGTGTTGATGGATCCTTCGTTCGGGCTGCCGATGGCTTTCAATTTTTTGCGACCATGAATCCTGGTGGCGACTACGGGAAGCGAGAACTTTCACCAGCTCTACGGAATCGTTTCACCGAAATCTGGGTGCCTTCCTTATCAGAACATGAAGATGTCCTGCAAATCGTGGAAGCGAAGCTGAACAACAAGTTGAAGCAATTTGCCAAAGTCATGGTTCATTTCGCAGAATGGTTCGGCCAGACTTATCGCTCATCTGCTTCAACTTCCATCTCCGTCCGTGACGTGCTTGCGTGGGTCAAGTTTATGAACGGGTGTACCACTACAGATCCATATTTTGCAGTTCTCCATGGCGCTGCTATGGTTTACATAGATACTCTGGGTGCCAATCCCTCAGCGCTACTTGCAATAAACCCGGAAACTATTCTTGAACAACGAGCCAAGTGCCTGGAGCAACTCAGCAAGTTGCTAGACCACGATGTCAGCACCATCTACTTCAGCCCAACTGAATTGGTCACCGATACACATTGCCTGACAATTGGACAATTTTCAATAGCGAAGCAGGCTGGCTCCGATGCAGACCCTGGATTTGCCTTCGGAGCCCCGACTACAAAACTGAATGCTATGCGGGTAGTACGGGCACTGCAGGTTCAGAAGCCAATTCTCATTGAGGGCAGCCCCGGTGTTGGCAAAACGACTCTGATTGCTGCACTTGCACGTGCATGCGGCAAGCCCCTGACCCGAATCAATTTGTCTGAACAAACCGACTTAATGGACCTTTTCGGATCAGATGTGCCAGTTGAGGGCGCCGAGGCTGGCCATTTTGCATGGCGCGATGCACCATTTCTTCAAGCTATGCAAAGAGGGGAATGGGTACTCCTGGATGAGATGAACCTGGCCTCGCAATCTGTGTTGGAAGGATTGAATGCTTGTCTCGACCATCGTGGTGAAGTTTATATATCGGAACTCGACCAAACCTTCAAACGCCACCCCAATTTTTCCGTATTTGCCGCCCAAAACCCTCATCATCAAGGTGGTGGTAGAAAGGGTTTACCAAGCTCTTTTGTTAACCGATTTACTGTTGTCTATGCTGATGTGTTTAGGAACGAGGATCTCGAATTAATTTGCAGGCATAATTATCCGGCTGCGCCATCCGATACCCTTTCCACTATTATTAGCTTTGTCTCTCAGCTCGAGCAAGAGGTTGTCCATAAGCGTAAATTTGGGTCTCAAGGCGGGCCTTGGGAATTCAACCTACGCGATATCTTACGTTGGCTACAACTACTCGCATCAACCACCCCATTTCTCGGAGGGAGAAACCCAGCAGATTTTCTAAACTTGATTTTCCGATTACGCTTCAGAACTCCTAGAGATCGCCAAGAAGTTGACAGGATCTTCACCCAGGTATTCGGTACTAATGTCCCTTTCCGTCACTTTTTCCAGAATATGAGCCCGAGGGCTTGCCAAGTCGGTATTGCGTATATGCCCCGGGATGAACTCGTGCAGCGCCTGCCATTCCCCCCAGTGCGTCTCACCAACCGTTTGCCCGAAGTTGAAGCGGTGATGATCTGCGTCGAGCAGAACCTGCCATGTATAATAGTTGGGCCATCCGGTTCCGGGAAGACGGCGATAATACAACACATTGCAGCGATTAGTGGCAAGTCTCTAGTCGTCTTCCCGCTCAATGCGGATATTGACACAATGGACCTGGTTGGCGGCTTTGAGCAAGTTGATCCTCAACGAGCTGCCAGTGCTTTCCTTGAAGAACTGAAGGAATTTCTGGATAGCCGCCTTCTGCGTTCATTGCCAGCGAAGGTTCCTGATGAGGCAATCACCCTTTTAGAGCTGCTGAAGGATAATGTGCAAACCTCTCAGACTCTTTTTTCGGATCTCGCTCAACTTCTTGAGGCTCTGGAAAGCCAGACTTCATTGTCTGAGTTTGGAGATCTCGCACGCAGCTGCAAAACATTAGCGGAAACACCTATGACTCTCGAGAACGCTCGATTTGAGTGGGTTGATGGTGTTTTGGTCAAGGCTCTGCAGCAAGGCAAATGGCTCGTCCTCGATAATGCTAATCTTTGTAGTGCTTCTGTTTTGGACAGACTGAACTCTTTGCTTGAACCAAATGGTACGCTCAGCATCAACGAACATTGTGGCCCAGATGGAGAACCAAAGATCATTAGACCACATCCGGATTTCAGAATTTTTCTGACTATGGATGCTCGATTTGGGGAACTCTCCAGGGCCATGAGAAATCGTGCCATCGAAATATTCCTTAGCCCAGCACAGACAATGGATAACACTAATGATACCGTCGTTGCTGCAATGCCAGAATCAGCTATGCAGCGATATGATGGAGTTTCAAAAGTACTGGAAGCTGAGACTTCCGATGCAGACCAACTGCGACTTCTAAACCAGGTCGCTTTGGACAACCTAGCCTGGTCTGATATTCCACTCCTACCAAGATTTGCGGAAGCCTTCGGGCGCAGTCAATTTTCAGTATCTGCTGAACAACTGTTTGCAATATGCAGACCGTACATACAGATATACCAGAGCAACAATGACCTCAATTATCGAGCAGCGATTGGAGAGATGTTGGATAAATTTGCGGCGAAGACGGGGCTATCAAAAAGCTTCAGAGACGCACAGGTTAGTGACCGTGCCCTCTCTTCCATAGCATATAATGTACAATACTGATAGGTTAAATAAAACTTGTAGATCATCCATCCGCTCCAGAATTCACCGTTGGTCCCGCTGTTGCAGCAGACGTCCGCCCAGATCTATTGGCTCTCGGCCTTGTTTGAGCTGAAGCTGTCCACGATTACTGCAACCGAGGTTATAAATGAACAAGGAGCCGTCATTGAAACACTCAAACCGTCGAAAATGAACCGTTTACAGCGCTCGTTGGTCAGTTCACGCGTAGCTGCTGTAGCGAATGACTCGACAGTTGGAGTTTCGAGCTTTCTGTCCAATACTATGGCTGTTCTCCGTGAGTACTTGAAGGAGCATGTAGAAGTGGATGATTGGAAGGTTAGTATATTCTATAATTGCTGTGGGAATCAGATATCTCTCTATCAATCTCTGGAAGTCCGGTTCAGATTGTAGCCCCGCCCATCTGCCCCATATCCTACAGTTCAGTACCTGCGGTAGGTATCCAAACTCTTCGCTGACTCTTCTTCAGTTGCATAAGAAAATATTGACTACCCTTCTACAAATTTGGTGGGATACCTATCATCTCGCCGCCTCCACGAATTTCGATGAATCTACATTCCAGGCCCATCTAGCAATCGGTAGCAACATGCTCTCCCAATTGCCCGAAAACGACCCAGTTATCACCTTCCGACAGAGTCTAGAGACATATTTAGACTCGGGTTTTAAACTAACAACTGGCCTGAGCATGGAAATATTATGGAAGCATCTACGACCCATCGTTGTCTCCAACTTCCAAACCATGGAGACGTTGTTGGAAATGGAAAAACTAGCTTCACGATTCGATTCCTTGAAATGGAGTGCTTCTATTTCTGTCTCAGAACTGGGCGGAATTATGAATTCATTGGTTAAAGCGTACCGCCTTGTTCTTACGTCCAAGGTTGATGGTTCCGCTCTTGTCAAGACGTTGGACACAGAGCTTTTGAAGTTAGAAGAGAGCGTTGGTAAAGAGAAGGCTGATATCAAACCGTTCTTCACTTCTCAATTTGAGGGACTGCGACAATTTAAAACTCTCGAAGTTATGCGATTGAACCAACATGCCGATGATTTGATCGATGTCGAGACCATTGTCCTCGCAAATTACCCAACGACTTCAGAAATGCGACTAAGCAGCTCGACTGAGACTTCGCGCCCTTTGCAGGTTATTGATTATCTCTGGGGCCCTGGAGATGGAATACAGCCCACCATGGATTCCTTTTCAGCCAAACTATTGAGCAGGTTGAATGAAGTGGGAGAGGTCGATCTCAAGAGTCTCAAGCTATTGGAGTCAGAGCTTCCGATTTTGGGAGAAAAGCTTGCTTCCTCAACCGGCACTATCTGCCGAAGGCAGCTATTAGACGTCAATAGGAGCCTCTTTGACCTCGTTGTCATGATTCTTACTGTTCACGGAGGAGCTGATCAATCAAAATATACTGAAGTCATCCATTCGAAGATGATCGGCACCACTGACCTCCAAGAGGTCCCACTTCACGACTTCGGCGAATTTATCGGAGAGCAGCGTCAAAGTGATATTCTGCCTTTCGATAAGGACGAGCAAGGCCAGATTAGTGGGGTCATCAATACCAATTTCCGCCCGGCTCTTGTTTGTATAGCGGCATCGGATGCACAGCCTCAGAACCAGATGCAATTTTCAGCCCTGGCATGGATATACTTTGCCATAGGATGCATCAAACTCTACGTCCCTGACCGGCCGTTCGACCCAAATAAGAGACAGCGACTGGAGCGCGAACGACACCTGAAATTGAGAGAGACTCTACAAAACCGACTGGCTGCCCTCCAGCAATTTGAACATCTCGTGACAGGTCAGAACTACAACCTTCGATGCCAGCTTCTTGAGGAAGAGATTGCAGAGGTCGGGGAGCCTACTGGTGTTCTGCAAGAGATTTACCGCCCTGAAGTCTCAGAACTGGATCAACTCCAAGGAGAGTTTAAGAATCTTTTGACGACCATTGTTCAGTCAAACCCCCATGAGAAGGTGCTAAGCTACTTCAACGGTGATTCTTCGAGTGGATTGCAAGAAATCAAACTCATGCAGAATAATGTCCTTCAAGTCATTCGACGTCTGTCAGAAAGGTTCCGGGCATATAATGATCTCACTGCACCCGTCATCAACATGCTTCGATGTTTGCAGATTGGTCTCTCCATGGCGACCGTCGCAACGCCCTCTTCATCCCCGGTTGCGAATCCTTCTCCTGCGAGCGATCCTGTCCCGGTACTCAGCTCCATGTCACCTTTTCTTGGAGCCAACGGTTCTTATCGTATCCCGTATGACGACAATCTCGTCTCAAGTCACCCTATGGAATACTTAACTGCAGCGTCAACCGTTACTACAATAGAGGGTATTGATTCCCTTGATAGTATTCATAGACAACATCTTCTCGAGGCTATTCATGGCTGTTACGAGCGGTGGGAAAAGAGGTTGGAATCAGACAAACTTGAAGCAGATTCCAAGTCTGGGTTATATCGCTTCAGAGGAAGTGCTGAAGATGAGGAGGAAGAGGATCAGGAACAATTTAACGAGCTCTTCCCCTCGTACGAGGACGATTCGTCTGATTCAACGAACGATAGCTCTTCGGCTCAGACGGCCAGAGATTCGGCGGTACAGCTTGCGAAGGTTCACTCGAGTATCTTTTTGGGTGGCAGTACACCCTCTGAGAGCGTATTGTCTCTTATTCGACAGATATCAGTGAAACTCGGCTCTCTTCACGAAGACATGACACCTAGTGAAGAACGGAATATGACTAGCACTCTGCTTCCAGGAGCTTTGCTACTTTTGAATGACAAAATCGAAGCATTAAGCACGACAGCAACCGTCTCCGAGTCGTACAATTTCTACACAGATGCGAACCTACCAGAGACTCGAAAGTTGGTCAACCTTGTCCACCAAATTCAAGCACGATTCCGTGAACTTCAAGCTGTTGACGAAATCGGTCACATGCAGCCTTTGGAAGACGTTCTCGTCTCTTGTCACGAATTGCTTCAATTCAGGCACACCGAACCTCTCGCCAAGATCATTACCAAAGTGGAGAAAGTTCATGGATTCATGCATGAATGGCAATTCGGTGGTTGGGCTAGCCGTGCAAACTCTGCCTTAACGCTCTACGATGGTATTACGTCCACGATTGTCAGCTGGCGCCGATTGGAATTGACAACCTGGGCGAAGCTATTCGAAATGGAGTCCAAGAAGTGCGATGATGATGCAAGGTCGTGGTTCTTCGTTGCCTATCAAGTCGTCATTGCTGCACCACTCTCAATATCACGATCTAGCTCTGAGGATGAGCTCAAGAGCTATGCCCAGAAGCTCCTGAAAGACCTCGAAACCTACTTCTCAACTGCAATCATCGGTCAATTCGTGCAGCGTCTTCAGTTACTCAAGCAGCTGCAAAAGCATCTGGAACTCTTGGTGCTCGAGGTTCCCCAAATGTCAATTATCAACAGCGCTCTCGCGAACTTCATCGCACTTTATACCCGCTATGAGAAGCCGGTAGAAGAGAATTTGAAGAAGGGTAGAGTTTCGTTGGAGAAAGCAATGCGGGATGTCATACTCCTTGCAACCTGGAAGGATACAAATATTGTTGCTCTAAGGGACAGTGCCAAGAGATCTCATCACAACCTGTTCAAGATCGTCCGGAAATTTCGCGCACTGCTCGGGCAGCCTATGGAGTTCGTCCTCAAACAAGGATTGCCAGACGAGACTACAGCGGAGACTGAGGAATCGGGTTATGATGCACCAGTCCAGTTCCCAACTGTCGACCTATCGGCGTTAACTTTGTGCGCTGAAACTGTTCCCAAATGGTCAGAGAAGAGCAAGAGGTTTATCAATGTCTCTAAGACGGTCAGCATGATGGCAGACGCAAGTCAGATACCGGACTCCGCAGTGGAAGGATCTACGTACCTCAACTCGTTCCTTGCCAATATTATCACATCAACTGCGGAACTGCAGAAAGCGACTCCATCAATCCTCACTGAAGACAACAAAGATGCAGTCAAGCACCTCAAATCCAGGAAACGCAAGCTCTTTGCGGATACCTTGAAAGATCTTCGCCAGATGGGGATCAAATTCAACTTGGGCGTCGATGCCTTGGCAAAGCAGGACTCACTCTCAATCACACTGGCTAGTACAAAGCCTTTGCCATCAATCCAAGGCTTCATCCCTGAGAATCTTGAGTATTATTTCCACAAGTCTCTTGACCTTACACCCCGGGCCAGGGAAGCTGCACATCAACATTCAGAGGATCTCAGCGGCGCTGAAGTTGCTAGAAGCATTGGTTTCCTTGAAGGACTTCTCCAAGTGGTTGTTGCGCAACGAAATGTCCTTTCGGCTGCAGTTGTGAACATGACAACAGTCGAGCATGCAGCTAAACTTGCAAAGGCACTCTGGGCTCCAAATTCCTACGGCATAAGAAACGTTGAAGTCACTTCGACGATTGGAAAGCTCCTATTATGGATGCCAAATATATTGAGTGTGGGCTTACAGCTCGTTCAGATACACGCTAATCTGGGAAAGATTGACAACAAAGCTGTCGAAGAAAGCCTCTCATCCTGGAACAATACTTTCAGGGAACTTTTCACGCAGTGGGAGGCTCTGCCTGAGCTACCATCCGATATAGTCTCAACCGAACGTGAGGTCCTTGAGAAGCTTATCCAAGATTCTATTACAAAAGTCCGCAACCAACTGGGTCTATTGAGTAAGCAGCGGCCGGATTTGAGCTTCATTCTAGACCAGATACTAGTTTGGTGTAAGCTCGAGGAGACCAACACCAAGGATTACCCAGATATGACGATAACGGATCTCGATCAAAAGCTGTCTGTCGTCTGTGATGCCATTCTACGAGCTATCGAGAAGCAACAAAAATCTCTCAGTGATCTCCCGACTTCAATTGATGATCCCGGATGGCTCGTCAAGAACGACGCAGCTCTTGCCAACAATATCAAATCCCTTCATTCCGACGAGATCACCAAACAATTGGAGCAGGCCTTCGAGATCCTTCGGAGCCTCAATCTCAAAGATGATAAGACAAGCAAGACTGCCGCAGCTCTCTTCGCCGTTGCCCAGCCAATTATTCAGCAATACTACAATATCCTTCAACAGAGCGTTTGCCGGTACGCACAATTGCATCGTGCCACTTGCAAGTCTTCCTACATCCTAGCCAAGATATTCAACCAAATTGCTTCTCAAGGCTTCTGCACGCCATCCGAGAAATCAGATGCTCAAGATGGCAAGACCGAAAAACTCGAAGGCGGTACCGGACTCGGTGATGGAGAAGGCGCTGAGGATATCAGCAAAGATATCCAAGATGACGAGAACTTGGATGAGTTGGCGCAAGAGCCAAATACGGGTGAGAAAGGGGAGATGGAAGATGAGAAAGATGCAGTGGATATGGCAGATGGAGAAATGGAGGGCGAAATGGGCGAAGGTGAAGAGAAAGAGGACGATGGAGAAGGATCCGGAGATGAAGAAAGTGGTGATGAGATGGATGAGGAGGCAGGTGATGTTGACGACTTGGATCCGAGTGCTGTGGATGAAAAGATGTGGGATGGTGATGGGGAGAAGGCCGATAAGGATCAAGAAGGTGATGAGTCGAAAGGGAAACAGAGCAAAGATGAGCAGGTAGCTGCGCAGGAGAATAATAAGGAAAACGCGGAAGGAGATGAAGGAGACGAGGAAGAGATGGAAGGTGCTGAACAGGGCGAGGAAATTACACAGCAGGAAGATGCAGAAAAGCATGATCCTCATGCCCAGGAGGGTGAGGTTCTTGAATTGCCTGACGATATGGAGTTAGATGGAGATGGAGACGAGGACAGCGCTGATGGAAGCGATGATGGAATCAATGATATGTCAGATGTCGAAGACGACGCAAAAGAAGGAGAGGAGGTACAGAACGATGGCAAAGAAGAACCCGAGGGAGAGAACATGGACCAACAGGAAGACCAAGATATGGGTTCTGAGATGGATGTTATTGATCTAGACGAGGAGAACGAGGAAGGCGGTGACAAGACTGAGGAGGCTGGCGAGAAGGCTGAAGACGACACCGAAGAACAGCAGCCTGATGATGATGAAGGTCTGCTTCGTGACAGGAACGACGATGCTACAGCAGATACCGACAATGCTGTTCCGAGTGAGGTTCAGGGCGTGGGAGAAGATCAAGATGACAACACGGCAGAAGACAATGCTGAATCTGCTAGCAAAGCACAGCGGGAAGATGGAGGCAAGGGCGGAGACTCTTCTGAACAGAATGAGGCTGCGACTGAAGACGGCGAGAAGGGTAGACAAGCAACCGGTGACGCACCTCAAGATGCCAGAGATGAGACTCAGGATACCGCTGCTGCTCAGCCTTTCAAGAAGCTAGGTGACGCATTGGAAAGCTGGCATCGACAGCAAACACAAATCAGGGAAGCTCCGGAATCGAAAGAGCAAGGTGAAGATCAGAAAATTGATACGAATGCTGAAAGTTCTGAATTTCAACATTTGCAAGACGAGGAGGCAGAGGCCGACACACAAGCCCTGGGTACTGCTACTGAAGAGCAAGCTAATGCCCTCGATGAGTCCATGGCTATTGATTCTGAGAGCAAAGAGATGCCAGAGCAGTTCCAACCTGACGAGGTCGAGCAGGATGACAAGAATCAAGAAGATGTCATGGATCTAGAAGAGTCTCCCGAACCTCAAGAGCAAGATCCTTCCGATGCATACGAAGGTCGTGCCGGTGCGTTGATCAACCAAGCCAAGCAAGATCGTGATGATGATCTAGACGACCCTCGTGCTCAAGCACGACAAGATCTGGAGGAAGAAGTTGAAGAAGTCGACAACCGACTAGAAAGCACCCATCTGGACGTTCCAGATGTCGAACTTCGCTCAGCAGCCGATGCCCGTCAATTGTGGACCCACTACGAAGCTCTTACCCGTGATCTGTCACTCTCCTTGACCGAGCAGCTCCGTCTCATCCTCGCTCCCACCCTTGCAACCAAGATGCGGGGTGATTTCCGCACCGGCAAGCGCCTCAATATCAAACGTATCATCCCCTACATCGCCTCGCAATACAAGCGTGACAAGATCTGGATGCGTCGCAGCGTACCCTCAAAACGCAGTTACCAGATCCTGCTCGCAGTAGATGACAGCAAGAGCATGGGTGAGTCCGGAAGCGGCGCCCTCGCATTCGAGACGCTCGTCATGGTGTCCAAATCCCTCAGCATGCTAGAGGTCGGCGAGATATGCGTCGTAGGATTCGGGGAGGATGTCAAAGTCGCGCATGATTTCGACACGCCGTTCAGTTCTGATGCCGGGCCGAGGATCTTCCAGAACTTCGGCTTCGAGCAGACCCGGACTGATGTGACCAAGTTAGTCAGGGAAAGCATTGATCTTCTCCGCGCGGCGAGACAGAAGGCAAGTGGCAGCCCAGCGGATCTTTGGCAGATGCAGCTCATTATCTCGGATGGAGTGTGCAATTCTTCTGAACATGAGCCTATCCGAAGGTTGTTGAGAGAGGCTCTCGAAGAGAGAATCATGATGGTGTTCGTCATTGTTGATGATTTGAAGAATAAAAAGAAAGGAGAAAGTGTCATGGATTTGAAGGAGGCCAAGTTCGTCAAGGATGAGGTGACGGGCGTCTCGAATGTTAAGATTGAGAGGTATCTGGATACATTCCCATTCCAGTATTATCTGATTGTCAGCGATGTCAAGGAGTTGCCGGGTGTTTTAGCGACGCTTTTGAGACAGTGGTTTGCTGAGGTGGTGGATTCTTCCAGTTAGAGGGTTTAATATTTGTTAGGTGTTTATGTGAATTTTGTAAATTTTGAGGAGTTTGGCATTTGTAGGCGTTTAGATAGGAATTAAAAGTGCCTTGAAATCATTCATCTCATTGCGGATTGATTCCTATTCTTGATATTGTGGCTCTGATTTATAACTATTCATATCCTTATGTAAATAGTATGAACCTACCTACCTAAGGTACCTACCTACCCAGATAAGTAGAGAAAGCCTTATGTCCTCATTTATCCTGTAGCTATATTAGCTATACTTACCTGCCCTACCTAGGTAGGCACTTACTGCTTACTCTCTTCTCCTTTGACCTTAACCCTTTAAGTTTCCATACTCAGATTAAGGATCTAACCCCAAAACGACCCTTTCTTTTTTACCGCTATAGACAAGTAATAGCAGAGCCGCCCTATCATAGTCGGTCAAGTTTCCGGAATGAAGTCCACTAAGTGTTATAGCTCAACCGTGGCCCCAAAGTGAGCTCGCCTTCACTCTGTGAGGTTGCGAGATAGTGGTCACGTGCAAGAAGTCCTGCCCTCTTCTGCTTTCATCCATAACAAGTAAAAGATGCGGCTAAATAGGCCTTTTCGATTACAAAATCTATATCGATATTTTACAGAGTTGAGAAAAGTGGGAGAAGCCAGGTGACGGCTTCAGAAGGCCTTTTCGATTACAAAATCAATATCGATATTTTACAGAGTTGAGAAAAGTGTGAGAAGCCAGGTGACGGCTTCAGAAGGGCTCGGCGTGCAATGAGCTATGGGCATCTCAACCCATCTCCCATCCGCCACCCCCCCATATGAACAAGAACCACCACCGTGAGCGCAAAAAGGTATCATTGACTATTAAACAAACCTAACCTCATCAAACAGCCCGGCTCTAACCTGCACCATCGCTGCTAACTCCAACAGAAATTCCTGCAACACAATAACGTTCGTCAGCACATGGCTGACGCTCACCAGATCCTTCTCTTCCTTCCCCTCTCCATCTGGAGATCGTGGAGATGGTGGAGTACCGCTCCCATCCACCGTATCCTGCGGGCTAGCCTCGGTATTCCCCTCCGCCTCAGGGCTTCCCAGAGCCCTCAGATTAGGAAATGGGATGGGATGTAGTTCCCCCTTCCTAGTGGGTAAACCAACTCTCCTGGCAAGGATGCTTTGGTCAACAACTGCGAACGCTGCAGCTTGACTAGCCGGTACGCCTAGGGTTCCGAGTCTATCATCCGAATCTCCGAGATGACTCGTTGAGAAGGCCTCTGAGCTACTTCGAGAGGAGGCATCGCGACCCGTGGGGAATTGCGGCGGGGGAAGACCAGCAGCGCTGCGTGCAGGAGTCGCGGAACTGTAGTTGCCGCCGAGGCCACTACTGCGATCTTGGCTTCGGCGACCACGAGGTGAGTCTGAGCGAGAGGGCGTTCCGAGTTCTGGGAAGATTCGGTGGGCGAGAGAGTCGAACGGGTTCCGGGGAGGTGAGGCGGAGCGGGAGGGCGATTCGAAGCTAGAGCGGGGAGGGGCATGACGGACTCGAGGCGGTGTATCCGCTGTAGAGGACGCTGCTTGGAAGGCGTCCCTTCGTTGTTGGAGGAGATCATCGAAGCGTGGGATTTCATTGCGGTAGGTAGTAACTTGCTCGACTAGTATTTTCAGCTGTAATAGGAGAGGTGGAATGTTTGATTCGGTTAATTTGGGGGCCCGTCGTGCCCTTTTCAATGCTTTGAGTTGGGCCCTCTCTTGGATTTCGATTTCATCACTAAGACTGGCGAAAAACGCATCTCCAGCATCTTCGGCGTCTTTTTTCTCCTCTTTTATCTCCTCGTTTTTCTCCTCGTTTTTCTCCTCTTCTTCCTTCTCGTCCTCCTCATAGACATATTCCGAGAAATCGGGGAGCAACCAGCCATCAATACGCATATATCCACAGGTGGCTAAATCGACAATTGCTCCAGTAAGAGATAGATTAGTCTCCACAGAGTTTGTAAAAAAGGTCCCCAATATTGTAACAAAGGTTTTCAGCATGGGGTCTTCGGGTCGCAGTGTGTGTGGCCGGACATCCCGAGGCGCACCGGGAATCGTCGCTTGGGCTCCTGGTATTCTTGTAGTTCCACCAGATGACTTTGGTGCCACAAGGCCCATGGAGCATAGGTGGCTTTCCAACACGCCCATGATATCTTTGACATGATCTTCATAAGCTTCGTCAAAGTTTAAATCGCCACCAATGTCTCCAGCCAAAGAAAGTAAGAAGTCCATCTCCTTCTCGTGAGCACCGATCGTCCGTTGTGGTCCATCATCCATTACCAGGCTTGTCCAGAGAAGTGTTGTTACGGCATAACGATGATGCCGTCTCAAAATAACAGAAACGAGCTGTAGTGTCACAGATATAGTCTGTTGACTCTGGGACCTTAAGCTTCCTTGGATAAGATCAACCAGATTGAACAGAGCGGGAGTGGATGTTAACTCCTCATGAGACGCCATCATCGTTGCAAGGTCCATGGATTTTTGCCTCCTTGCAGCGCTAATAGATGTCATCAAGGTAGAAGAATTCGTGGTTGTGTCTGGTAAGGCAAGAAGGTAATGTAAAATAAGATGAATCATGTCAGGGTGGTCCAACGCTTCTAGAATTCTCCGAAGGTAAGTCAGGACTGCCACTGATGAACCCCCATCAACATCGGATGACTCCAAAAGTGAAGGGTATCTGATATATGTCAGTTGGTGTATCAATCGGCTGGAAGACGACTTACAGTAACTGCTGGAGAAAAATGACCTGAAAGTGCTCCAGGAGCGTCGATTTGACCTCAACAGACTTGCAATGATTGAGGACATCCTGCCAGAAAACCAAATGTGACAGAAAGGTTTCCATGTGGCCTTGAAACTCGGGTGAAGCTGAACTGACGATCTCCGAGGTCGTATTCGGATGTTGATAATCCGACAAAGCCAGAATTGGAGGCAGCTGGTCCGGGGGATGATCTATGACAAGTTTCCGGCTCAATTGGCTATACAAAGCCCCGAGACCTGTGGCCATCAACGTTGCCAGGTCGCTCTCAACTATCCATTGTTCCAAAGCCACGGAGTTTGATGCAGCCTCGATGATATACAAAAGGCCCGTCCTCGCAAAATCTCCTATCCTTCCCTCATGATGTATGTAGTCTATCAAAAGATAGAACAAAGGAAAGTCCTCTTTATGTGTTTTCCCCGTGAACTTCGCATGGGCATCTCTTTTCCTTGCTTCCGTATCATCTCCATGATCTTGTGCTGTAAACCAAGCGGGCAGAATCTCAGGGTCCAGCCTGATCTTCGTCGTGATATTGAAAGATAGTTCCACCACTTCGACTTCAGTATCCGAGCCTAATCGAATGCTATTTGCCCCGGTAATTCGGATCAATAGGTTCATCAGACTCTTCGAGAAGACCTCGTTCTCCACGAAATCCTCCTCCTCACTATCGATAAGAGTCGCAAATAGGGCCACTGCCTCTCGAATGATCCCTTCATTGTATGATGTCGTAGCAATCTTCCCTATCGGAATATAGATCTCCTTCGATGAGGCAAAGGTAATGCATGGGTGCGGTAGAGGCCGTCTCGACTCGTCGCTGAGAATAGATGTGAGGTCCTGGAGACAGTGTCGAATGTTCTCGGCCGCTTCGGAACTCCTCGAGAGGCTGACCGCCCCGCGCCAGATTGACTAGAGCTCGGGTTAGCAGAAGTAAGGCCCTTCTGAGGGCACATTCTCGTACCAGTAGCTGGCTGTATTCCCGCTTGAACCGTGCCAGACGCTTTTCGGGGTTGTTCGCGGAAGCTTTGTTCCCAGCCGGCGAGGCGAGGGAAGTGCCCGCTATCAAGCGTGACCACTATGACCGTCAGTAGATGCGGGGAGGCTTGCAATGCGGATTGAGATCTTACAAAGTCCATGGTTCTGCGGAAATCATCATCTTTCTTTTAGTGTCACATTGATCAACATCCAGCTGGAGAGCACCCAAGTACGGAGTAAAACGGCGCGTTCAGGCTTTCTGGCAGGGGTAGGTTTATCCGTGCACGGTTCTTTCTGCGGTCCGGTCTCTATGGAGACTGCGGGCCTCGCTTCGTAGCCTCACACCCCCTCTCGCCCCCCTTTTTCAGCTTTCAAGTTTCCACAAGCAAGACAAATCAGGATGATCGACTATATTTTTATCTTAGTCTATTCTGGTGTTCAGCTCAAGTAAAAAAAAAAGATATTCCTCCGGCTTGAAGGAAGCGAAGAAGCCTGACCATCCGCTTCTATAGAAGACGCTTGAATGACTTGTTGCAAGTTATTCATCCCTCATTCCCGGAGTATTTTCATACTCCGTAGAGCCTCAGCCGAATGACGTTCTCGGGGAATTTAGAATATCCTCGGGAGTTTCTAGTTTGTTTTGATCATATTAAGGCTCCAGCTAACAAAGGGTACAAGGAGTGTCACCAGCCTTGACAGCCGCTGAGACTAAAACTGCTAGTAAACAAACTCCACCCCGCAGATGCCCTTCAAAAGCCTGCCTTTAACAACCGCAAAAGCGCCCCCCAGTCCGGCCGTTGATTATCTGACTCGACTTGTCAAAAACATTTCACTCGACTTGTCAAAAACATTTCAAGGAACTTCCTATGTTCATTGCACTTGTCAAAGTCATCGACTTGGATTAGGATTGAGGGGTTTGTTTTTGAAATGTCAGCATTATATTTCGCGATTGCGGTTATCCACTTGTCAAGAGCTACTAATCCATGAACTATTGGTTTGTGTTGCATGTCATGCAGTAGTGTTGAGGGTCCTCTCTGGTCAGATTGGATAACGGAATGTTTTGCTTCAATAATACGATCTTATCGACAGCGCCCTATTGGAGAGTCCCACGGCCGGCAACAATATGAATCTTCCAGACCAAAATATGTGTACACGGAACGGCGAATACTGTGATTCTTGTTGTGGCGTGCTTCAACGCGTATTATATTCAAACTTCCCAACACTTCACAGTCTTACTAGAAAAAAGGGTTTGGTATTGAGCCGTTCTGACTGATACTTTGTGCTTGGTAGGGTCCAGCAACAACGTGACAGTACCCCCGGGGCTACAGGTCGTGTAAATATCAGTGATCGTAGGATGCTTTGAGAATGGGTGCATAGATTGTTCTTTGAAGAAAGAGATCACTTCTAAACCGGGAACACTGTAACTGAGGTCTCGGAATATAGAATATATAAATCCAGCCTTGCCTCTTAGATCGTTTTAAGGGTTCGACCCCGACAACAGTACACATCTCCTAGATCCAAATTCCAACTCGAATTCGAGCCTCAACTGATCTATGGCCAACTGCTTATTTTCTCTTAAATGCAAGAAATCCACACACTTCTCAAAGCTTGGATAGAATGAGCTGAGCATTACCGTCATAGTTACTCCCGTGCCGCAACCCCTGAGTTTGATGTTGCGAACAAAAGCGGGCCGCTGGTTGCCATGGCAACTGTCACAACAACTTTCCATCCAGTACGATCAACCAACACGCACCCATATCATATTTCTACCTCCATCAACACACTGTCGATCATCAGTGTCGTCTTCTTCTCTCGCGCAAGCATCTCGTTAGTTGTTGCTGCAATATCCGCGGCATCTCCCTCTCCAATCGTCATTATTTGTTTCTCGTCCACATTCGCTACTCCGTACACTGCGCGCAATTCGAACGTCCCCCCCGCGTGATATACGGCTATTCTCTCACACCAACACCACATCAAACGACAGCTACTCTAAGAATACTACATTAGTGTTCAGATCAACCTCCTGGTATCCTACGGGTACAGGTTGGGGATTTGACGAGATGGCGTCCCCTTCGCAGTCGGTGAGTGCTTGCACTGTTTACGTTGATGGGATGCCACAAGAAGTCTAATGTGTATATCAGGTTCATCCTCTACGCATCCAAAAGGGTACTCCATCAGCATCACCTTCAAAAATGCGAAGTTCTTTGCCACGACCTCTATCAGAACTCGCTCCAACGGAGAAGAGGAGAAACTCCCCCAGTTTTGATCAAACCACAAAGGTATGCACGCATTCTGAGAGACTCCAGTCGCACCCCATTTGAGGGAGGGATCAATGCTCATTCATGCACCGCAGAAGATAATCAGTGGGGGCTCGTCTCCCTTCCAGTCCTCTCCATTCAGTGTCTCCGAAAAAACAACGTCGCCCCGACTATTCTGGAAATCCCGCGACCCAACGACGCCAAACCGCTTAAACATCGAGAATGGCCCATTTGGTGGAAAGGAGACGTCACCATCGCTGACTCGAAGATCTTCTATTGAGAGACTTCAACGCGCATCACGCGTCAAGAATAGCAATATGTTCGCACGCGAACAAAAACAAGAGTATGATCCAGCATCTGTACCCGTTGTCGAGAGACCTCTCGCAAAACAAGTACACGGCAACGCATATGGAGGAGCCGGGCTTGAGGGGTTGCGAACTGCAGAACGTGCACGCCCATTTGGACACCAACGAACTGACAGTAAGACCAGTATCCCTGTGTACAATCCCACCAAATCTCCGCTCAAGACGGTCGCCAATGGAACACCATCACCAAGCAAGGACCAAGTTTCTCCTATGAAGTCTTCTATGTCATCAAGATCGTTCAACCCGAAGTCCAGCTCCGATGCCGACAATGCTATATGGTCAGAGGAGAATTCTGCCGACGAGCGGGAACTTCCTCCCGGTAGGAGTCTACACAGGCACGCAAAGAGCGTTACCTTTGATGCTGCCCCTCCTCAAATAAACGAATATGAAATGGCCACACCAGATACATCCTCAATTGGGACTGGCTCACGGGAAAACAGCTATGATTCCGAAGAAGAGGAAGATGAAGATAGTTACAACCGTGGAGATTCTGCAGACCAAGAAGATAGCTTCGATGCCTCGCTTGAGGATACAGACAAGACTCCAGTCGTTGGACCCGAAGATTGGAGGCATGCGAGCCCAGCTACGCACAGCAGTGGCATTGTGTCAGGATGCTTCGAAGATCCTTTTGATGATCCTGAAGGTAGTCCAATGCCCGATGCTCGTACCCGTGCAGACTCACTTAACTCCAATGGTGACCCTCGACCCCTGCCGCCATTGCCTGGTATGAACCGCAGAAGAGCCAACTCAAGTTCCGTAGTAGAGCGTGTTTCAAGCTCTCAGAGAAATCTCCCGTCTCCTCCAGATGCCGCTTTCATCAGTAAAGCAGACACCCATGACACAAGTAGTAGCCAAATGACACTGGAAGAAAGACTACGCTTAATGATGATTCAAGACGAAGAACCTCCGAAAGCCGTCGCCGAAGAACCAGGAGAACGTCGGACAAGTACATCCGAGCCCCGCGAGAGGAGCAGCCAGACCCCTGAGCACGAGCAGCCTATAGATATCTATGAAGACGAAGACGCTCTGGATGATCTTCCTGGCTTGGGCACCTACCAGTTGCCAGCTCGTATCTCACGAGAGTCTATATTACGCAAGGTTGATGGACACGAGACATTCTCGCAAGACTCGGATTACAACTTTTCGTCCCCGGGACCCAGCTCGAGCCCTGGACGTATTGTTTTGCCTGATCCCGACACTCCCATTCCATCGACTGAGGACCCATCGATTCTCGAGGAGGACAATGCAGATGATAGTGTCATAATTAAGGCCGAGCCCGATGACGATGATGAGGTAGATATTTATGCTATTGCTGAAATGTACCAGAGCTCACCGTCGAGGATGAGTGATTATGATGAGAATGAGGAGTCTGTCATACATCATGATGTCTCATCTGGAAATGTTCTAGAGAGCGAAGATTTGGATCCCACGGTCTCAAATCAGAGCCCTCAGCCGCAGTCAAATAATGACACGAAAGATGATGACCCATTGACTCCTCCAGATAGCGAGCCTTCAGCCAGCAACAGCTCTAATCCGGAGAAGGATGATACGAAGGATTCGCTTCCTGCGGCTTCCGATTTGAACAGCAATGACTTTCGGTCCAGTCTTCAAGCTTACATGTCGCCTTCTCCACCTCCATTGCCAAAGGATGCTGAGGAATTGAAGGAAAAGCGTATCTCCATGCAAGATGCTCACGAGTATCTACAGCGACCGGAAACTCCTAGACAGCGCCAAGAACCTACCTCAAAACCAGAGTACGACGGAACTGGCTGGGGCCCCGACGAGGAAGATGAAATTGATTCTGGAACTCCAGAGTCTGTTATTCATCACTCTATTACTCCCTCGCCGCCTCCTGCTTTACCTGTTATCGATGAGCAGATTGCGACAATCAAGTCATCAGCTGGTTCAAAGCTGAAGACCAGGCCATCTGCCACTCCCTCAGATATAGTAGCCATGCGCGAATTGAGACGACAAGTCAGTGGCGAGACACCATCTATCCCCCCAATTCCACAGCGACATCAGAATCGTCCCTCCCTCAGCATCGAACGTGAAACTAGTGAAGGAGGTGATGGTGAGACGATGGAAAGAAACTCAAGTTTCAAGAAAAAGAGTTTGACTCTAGACATTGGCAACGATCTCGGGTTGAGTCTTGACAAAGATTTCGACCGTGTCATTGAAGCCCAAAAGGTTGCGTTTAACCTATCTTCTTCACACCCGACCTTTTTCAATTCAGGCAAAGGACAAGCGTCCGACTCAAACGACGTCCTATTATGTGAATTCCATGCTAACATTACTCCACGAAAACAGCGCGGTTATCTGATGAGACAAAATACGAAAGTTGTTGTTGCAAGTAGTGATATTGACAAAGGCACACGCTCGGCAGGTAACTCACCAGTGAAGAAGGACCGTCCTCAATCCTGGACGGTTGAGCCTTGGAATGGCCAGACGCGTAGAGCCAGTGCTCGGAGTGCATCGGGCTCTCGTAAGAGGCCTGTGACGGGTCCAGTACCACCCCTGCCTGGTCAGGAAAGCAACGTAGCCGGACTGGGTATGGTGACGGAAGAATCAGGATCCACCGGTCAACCTGATAGTGGTGAAAGAGGAAGACTTTTTGTGAAGGTCATTGGTGTAAAGGATCTGGACTTGCCGTTGCCCAAGAGTAAGGCTAACCAACTATTTATGTGTTTTATCAGCAGCTAATTTTTGATAGATGAGCGAACTTGGTTCAGCCTCACCCTTGACAATGGTGTGCATTGTGTCACTACTGCCTGGCTTGAGCTCGGAAGAAATGCACCTATTGGCCAAGAATTTGAGCTTGTCGTGCCAAATGAACTTGAATTTCAATTGACACTCAATGCAAAGCTTGTTAAGCCACCACCAAAGCGTGTCGTCGAGTCTCCGACCAAGAAAGTACAGAAACCTTCGACTTTCAGCCGGGTTTTTACATCACCAAAGAAGCGCAAGGAGCTGGAAATGAAACAGAAGGAAGAAGAAGAGCGAATGGCATATCAAAGGGAACGCGATGCCCTGGTTAAGAGGTTATCATCACAACCTACAGCATGGGATCTCCTATCTCCTCTGGCGGCTGAGGATGGAAGCTTTGGACGATCTTATGTGTGCCTCAAGGATCATGAGGCACGCTGCTACGGGCGTCCTTACGTGGTTGATGTGGCATGCTTCAATGAGTGGGCGACAGAGGAAGCCAGTTCCTCGTCAAGCGCGAGAAGCAAGCGCGGGAGCACCCACGTCCAACGACGAGCTCCCTACAAAGTTGCCAAGCTCGAGCTGCAACTCCTGTTTGTGCCGAGACCCAAGGGCGCTACTGATGCTGATATGCCCAAGAGTCTAAATTCTTGCATCCGAGAGATGAAGGAAGCCGAGCTCGCAGTCTCTCGAACCTGGGAAGGCCATTTGAGTCAACAGGGTGGTGACTGTCCGGTAAGACACAGGTGCCCCGAACATTGATGACCTTTAGCTAATGTCGATGCAGTACTGGCGCCGCCGCTTCTTTAAACTCCAAGGATCTAGGCTCACAGCGTACCATGAATCGACTCGACAACCACGTGCGACGATAAATCTAGCCAATGCATGTAAACTCATTGATGATCGCCGAGCTCTTACCCAAAAGGAAACTAGTGGGAAGGGTGGCAAGCGTCGCAAGTCTGGTTTTGCAGAAGAGGAAGAAGGCTATATGTTCGTTGAAGAGGGATTCCGAATCCGCTTTAACAATGGTGAAGTGATTGATTTCTATGCTGACACCGGTGCCGACAAAGAAGGCTGGATGAAGGTTCTCGATGCATGTATTGGGAAAGAGGGCGATGCTTTAAAGAGCGGCTGGTGCGACCTGGTATTAAAGCGAGAAGAGAGCTTAAGGAGGCGGGCCGGACAAACCAATGGAGAGACTGGAAAGAGACCGCATCAGCGGACAAAGAGCATGATTGTCTGAATTGATTGATGACGGACAATCAGCTTATGATGGATCATGTCGCTATGGCTTTTATGATGCCTACGGCGTTCATCCATACCTTTTTTCTTTTTTTCGATCTTCTCCGGTATTCCGTCAGGCGTTACACGATTCGACATCATAATCTTACCTTCTCGCCCTGGTGGCTTTTATTTGCGATTGCATACAATCGTTTCGGTTGGATCGCTTTGTTGATTGGTTAGCGAGAGGGGACGAGAGTGTAGGAGTGTCTGAATGGATTGTCGTATGGGATGGGGCGTGTTGCGTTGGGGCGTAATACTTGCTCTGGCTGTTCTTGTTTGAGTTTAAGTGGACTGCTTTGTACCTCGGATGAGGAATGAGAATGGACAAATAATGGAAATAATGTCAAAACTTCTTCTCGTATTCGTGAGATGTGTGAGGCAAGTAATACGACTGAAAGGTCGCAGGAGGCCGCCCACAAGCGAGCCGATGATTAGATGATGGTAGAAAAGGTATCTCGCTGGTCTACGCTATTCAGCTACCATGGCAAACACTTCATAATTCTATTTTTCTTCATCAAAGTACACGAAACTTTTCTACCTATCTACAGTACTATATATATATATCAGAGGCCTGGTTGGTTGGATTTCCCGCAAAGTCTGCTTGCTACAACAAACAAACTTTCTTTTATCCTCTACCCAACAATCATCCCAAGGCTCGAAATTAATTACTTAGTTTCTTTCTTACTTCTCTAGGTGGAAATTGATTACTTTCTTTTCTGTACTGGATAATCGAAATATTGCATTGTTTTGTATATGTCTTTTGGCCAATTATATACTTTTTGGGGGGGGGGGGGGGGGGGGGGGGTTCCTCAATGAGCTCTTTCGGGACGTCTTGTAACCCAGCGAGCATTTCACAGATGCAAAACGAAAATCTGGTTATATTACGGGTCTCGAGTTCTAGAGTTTTATATTCATCTCATTCATGAATGCCTATCGTTATCTACGTCCCTCCACGCTGGACAAATAAGGCAGAAAGGAAAGCAAGAACCGTCCAATTCATGATCCAGCTCCATCCATCTGCGACAAAACGAAAAGAAGGTAGATGTAAGTAACATCTACCTCAATGCATGAACCGTCTAATCGTAAGCTGTGCCTTCTGCCTTCTTGCTCAGAATGTTGAGATATGCTTGGGTTCCGAAGGGTAGACGTTGTCTGTTGTATCCATCTAGAAAGAGACCCCCCAGCGCAATATGATTCGTTCTTGTAGCCGAGGAGATATGACTGTTTCACGACATGCAAGAAGAGATGAGACGTGATTGAAAGACTAGAAATTAATTAGCATGAGTCCTCGTAGAAGTGACTGACTGAGCTCACTCTTAGTTGGCCCACATGCTGTCCTTCAAGTATTTAACCCTAGGGTCTTTAGTCTTGGGTGATAGAGAGGGACTGCGTGCCCGAGTTGGTTGAGCCGGCGCCCAATGGACAGAGTCGAACAATGTAGGGCGTGGCACGGCTTCAACTGCAGCTACTTTGTTGAAGTTGAATGTAGTGGGAGCAACAAAGAGAGAGGGGCCACCCTGTAGAGGATTCGGAAACGTCGACAGAGATGATGCTACACTGAATCCCTGGGCAGCCGAGATCGTAGCAGCGGTGTGGAAGCGGCTACAGAATGATGGATCGTTCGGACCTGAATTCGCCGAAGTACCCTTCTGACGGGGACTCTGTTCAGTCTTAGGTTTCGCTAAGGAGTTATTCATGGGCGTCAGGGGTTGCATGCTGAGCTCGGGCGAGATTGGGGTATCCAACAAGCTTTGCGAACCCATGGCGATACCCGTGTTGGCTCTAGCATGCATGCCTTTATTGTCTCCGGTGGGAGCTGCACTGGGTTGAACTCCTGGAGTTGAGGTTGCTGTCTGAGCACGAGTCGAAGAGGAGAAAGTTTGACAAGTACCAGGCGCACTCTCAGAACCCGTAGTTGGGATAGGAGCATCGGAAGGGTCGTCGAGACGCAGGGCCCCAGTTTTGGCAATAATCTCCCTCAGACCAACCCCAGAAGAAGTATCGGATTGTACAGATCGAGTAGGGGAAGTAGACTCTGCTTGCTCCTGCGAACATGGGGAAGGCCGGGCGGCACTACCACGACCGGCGCTTGGCTTGGAGCCCGACATCGTGGATGGGATTTCTGCTGTTTTCTCGTCGAAGAGGGGAGGAGGGAGGATATCTGGAGCTCCGAGGAAACGGTTGATGAAGATTGACTCAAAGAGAAGGGTTCGAAGACAGCGTGGCTGGGAAGATGGATAGACGGAGATGTGGCATCAGAAGATGAGGTGGGGTGGATGGTAAGTCCAGGGTGGGCTCCTCGAGAGCTTGTTTATTCATGGAACTCATCCTTAGGGTTTGGCGCCCTGTTCCGGAACTCTATGGAACATGTGTCGACATTTTCCATCGAAACGAAATGTTTTTCGACGATGGAATCCGTCGGCCCTCGAGAGATTGCAATGTCGTCGATATTTACCGAAATGGGCAACCACTTTGGCTCCCAGGAACAACAGAACATACCAAACATCGCTGAGAATGCCAGACAATTCAAGGGCAACCGCATCAATCTGCCGAGAGATTGCAAAAGGCGAGGAAGAAAGAAGAGGAGACTAAGAGCTAATAGAAGGAATATGATATAAGAGTCGCCATATAGTTCTCGAAGAGGATAATGGTCCTTTACAGCATATCCGAAAATCCCCTCCATCTTCATGCATACCAAGCGTACACCTGATCAAAAGGCTCGATATCTAAAGCTGGCCACTGGCGTTGGAGCTTCGAGGTTGCTTAGGATTTTGCTATAGTTGAGTCATTCCTGGCATAGAAGATGCAGGTTGTAGGTTGCAAGTTGCAACCGCGACGAATCCCCCAAACGTTGAAAATCCTCAAGTCTGATTCTTCTTTGGTGCAGTAACAAATGTCTCGATTGCGTTGATCTTCACCGGCATATATGTCGACTGCTTCGCCTCGTGAAGCCAAGGAATCTCAATCTTCGGTACACATTGACGAATCAAATCTACGAGAGACTGAGAGTGCGGTGCCCCCTCCAAGAGACCAATGAAAGATACCCGGGGAAGTCCTAGAACCTCGCAAAGTCGGCCATCACTACCTTTTGGTAGCTGGACAAGCCTGGTTGCCGGCAATTCTGGGTACGCGAGAGAGGCTGTTGCTATGAGTTGCGGCAAATGAGTATGAAGAATTGCTGGCTGAGACGATCGAAGTACGAAGATAGCTGAGAAGTGAGCATCGACAGGAGCATACTCATCACTGTCGACAGCTACCTTTTTCGACGTCCCCACCTCTTGCTCTTCTTTCGAGCCAAGATCTTGCGAGGTTTCTCCAGCGTCGTCGCTTTTAGGAGGGATAGTATTTGGGGACTGGCATGGTTTCGCCTTCTGAGCCAAAGATTCAAGACTCCGAGTTATGGTGTTCAGCCCCACGGCAATAAAAGAGGAAATTTCCGGGGGAGGTGGGATGTCAGACTTTGTCGGGACTTCTTCTGATTTTGATTGCTGCCTCTTGCGTTTCTTACTCCTCTTGCCCTTGGATTTAACAATGTGGTTGGCACGATGTTGACCTATTGGAGAAAGCAGGCTACAGAGAAGAGTCTTGGTCAGGCTGAACCTATCAAACCCCACATGCTCATCTACACCATTGGAAGAGCTGGGATTTTCTTTCAAGTTGGGTTGGGTGTTCTCTCACCTGCAGAGGAGTTCCAGGATGTTGTCTTGATCCTGGGACGCTATTTGAGGCCTGAAAGAAATTAGTGTCTGCACCAATAAGACAGGAATCTTGAGACAGACCATGGAGCAGCCGTGAAAGGCGAATCAAGCTGGAAGAGGGTCTTTGGTTTTCGATCCATGAGGGAAAAGACAGAATTCAAGACCAAGAGCCCTTCAGCAGTTTCTTCTGCAGCTTGTCTCAAGGAAGACTCTTCTGTCAGTGAAGATGCACGTTCAGGTGGCGTCAAACAAAGCGCACAGAGGGGTTTGGAGAAGGGCCAGCTAGCGTTGTTGCCCTCAACTCTAATTGGGTCTAGCGGGCTCTGGCGACCGGTTGAGGTCTAACAGACTTTGTTGACTCGGACTAATAAGCTGGCTATGAGCGGCTCTGATTGATCTGATTTGATCTGGTTGACTCTGGTTGACGCAGCATCATTCGCGCCCCATCCCACGAAAAGATGTCACTTTCGTTAGCGCGCCGCTGCACGGACCCGCTTTGCTCGCGTAAAAAAAAAGTTCACCTGACAGGTGGCCACGTGACATCGCTTAGCCGGATGTTGTCGTGTTGCGGGGCTCTGCCAGGAGCTCTCTGGCCAAGTTCAGTCTTATCGATCAAAGCTTCCTGGGAATCTTAGCCCATCATCCAAACCCATCCTCTATCCTCTATTCACCCCTTCGACGCGTCCAGCCTTCTTCTTCGCCCTCTGCAGCTTGCCCTTCACGCATTCTCCAACGCCTCCACAGCCTTGGCCCCTGCACATCCCGCACTAAGGATTTAAATTTAAACAAAGAGCGCCCCGAGCCCACGCCTATGACGGTAGAGCTTCCCACGCTCCGTCTCCGTCTTGTCGCCTAAACTTCAACCTTCAAATAATCCTTGTCCCTCTGGCACGTCTGCATGGAAAACAACAGCAACCACCACATGCAATCCTTCTGGGGCTTGAGAGGCTTTTGAGCTTTCTGCTGCGGAGTAACCCGCTGGTGACGACACTCTCTGAAGCCCTTGTGAGCCTTTCGTTGCATTTGCCAGATGGACCCCAAAGCAGCAGAGTTGCCGCGAGAACGTGCGGCCTCCTCAGAGCCTTGCTCAACTCGATCAAATCCTTTTGACGACAACGAGCACTCCTCGAGGAAGCGCCAGAGAGTATCCCGCAGAGGCTCCCGGAGCAGATCTGTAGATACAGCTACAGCTTCCGATAGCACAGCACAGTCCATGCCTCTGTCAGAAGGAGGTAGCAAATCTGAGGCTGATCCTGCCCCGCCTCGAACCCCAACACGAAGTGGTCCTCATCCGGCTCCAGAGCCTACGTCCAGCAGAGTCACCATAAACCTCCGGACTGCCCGTCCACTCGAATCAATACCGTCGTCTCCTCCTTCTCCGACAACGCCCTCCAAGATGGCCTCTGATGGTGCAGACACAGGCATGAGAGTCAGTGTGGAATTAGAAAGCGATGCGCTATCCGCGAATCCAGCCATAGAGACGCCATCCTCTTCTCCTTCGGCCCCTGGGAGTCCAGAAATCGAAGTCCTAACTATACATGAGGACGATGAAGAATTTACCACGCGGAGCCCGCCGCTCGCAATCATCGACGAGGACGAATTGTTCGTCGATCCTTTTCTCCACTTCCCATACAATAATGATGGAGAGAGCCTGGTGGCTACGGTGAGGAGGCTGGTCCATTTTATTCAATATGGTATGTTCTCTTCATTCAAACTTCTCCTGAAACCGACTGATTCGCGTAGAACCTCTTGAGGAAGAGTCCAGTTTCTGCAGACTCCGCGATTGGATCGAGAGCTACCTGGCGTATACTCATGATCGCGTTGACACTTGGTACGAAACTTACAGCAAGTATCGTACGTTTTGGACGATTTTCCCCGAAGTAATATTCGCATTGAGTTGGCGCAGGTAAATTCCATATCTTCCAAGGTACTCAAGCTCCCACTAACTTGTCAAGTCGTTTTTTCGCGGACTTTCTAGAAGCTAGTCGAGAGGGACACCCAGCTCTGTCTGGGCTCCTGTTCCAATTCGCTCGTCTGACTGCTAGATTTGTGGCTATGGACGTCAGGACTCTCTCACGATATCTCAAAGAGAATAATAACGATGAAGGCCCTGATCTAGCGTCCCGTGGCTACCTGCAGGCATACAGCTATCTTCTCCGGAAGGATGAGCAATCTCATATCGGCAGAAATCTGGAGGCCCATTACCATTGGGTTTGGGAGGAGGAGGTTGCCTTATTGACAAACGCCTTCCAAACCGCCGGTGGATCCCTTCCAACATTGATCAAGCTTGCAGAAGGACAGCTCAGGTTGACATCTCAGAATCCAAAGATTATTGATAACTTGAGCGAGCCCTGTCGACTTGTCGCCAAGGTGCTATCTGATGCTGCGACCATTCTCGGGGAAAGCGGTCAGCACCGCAGACAGTCCATTGAGGCTGCCCGGCAGCAGCTAACTCAAGGATATGACTTCTTTGGGGTTATGTCTGCCGGCCTGGAAAAGATCATCGAGAAGCAAGTAACCTTTCTCACACCCGACTCGGCCATTACACTGGTCCTTAGCTTGGCAAACATTCTGTACAGCACCTTGCTTCATGATAACAGCGCAACTCGCGAACTGCTTGCAGCTAAACGTGGGGAGTATCCCGATATTCAGACGAAATATTTCCCGAAAATAATCTCGCTCGAATGGAAATTCACGATACTGAAGAGACTCATTACATCGGCGCAGATGCAATTACGTGTTGTTGGCGTCACTACCATGTGTGGTGATCTGCTATCATTACACGGAGCTCACAAGGGAAATGATCCGTCACAGAACCCAATACTCCTCTACTTTGCGGATTTCGTGATTCGAAACAAGATCGTAGAGTACCTTGTTGGAATCGCATCCCACCCTGAGATCATCAATGAAAGCAACAACATACTTGGCTTTTTGATTGTCACAAATACCTTCAAGCAGTCCCAAGCTTCCACTATCTGGCAGACAGTGACAACCAGCCAAGATCCTAGAGTTGTAGAAGCTATTCTCAGAATGCTCAAACGCTGCCTGAATTTACAGAAGTACGAAGACCTCCTTTTCCTTTGCGAGAAGGTCAAGTCGCTCCCTATTGAGGCATTCACGGCCACAATGAGGGACTTCTGCGAGGAATTGTTCAGAACACTCGTGAGTAAAGCAGCTTGCGACGGGATTCAGTATGTTGATGCACCACCGTACGAGTTGTGCGTCAGGCTCATCCGTGAGTCGTCGATGACTACGCCCGAATCGCCGGTCGGATATCCTGATATTCAGAACTTTGCAGCTGGACGCTTCCGGGAGCTCCTTGCGCACGGCCCAAATGGCCGGATTCGTGAAGAGATTTATCTTGAATGCATATCGGATGTGTCAGACAGAACTGCTACTGCCCCTGGGAGTATTTGTGTCATCAATGCGCTTTTACGACAGAACATGGGGACCGATCTTCATACCTTGACGACTGAGCATGGTCTCACGCAGTTGGTCATCCAAGAGCTTGAATCTACTATCGCGGAGGATCGGCATTCATCAAATCCATCCATCAGAAACAGCCCGGCTAGTCAGGCACGCCGCGAACTTCTGCTTACTATCATCATATATGAGCCAGGCACTATCTCACCAGAGCTTGGCACAAAACTCTGGAATCTACTCGTGGGTAGTGAATCCAGGAGTGTCATTGATCGCAACACGTGGTGGCAGATTCTGAATAGCGCAATGAAGAAGTCCCCCTCGGAGAATGTATTCATCACTGCTTGTTTTAAGGATCATCTTCCGACGCTTCCTCCTGATTGTTTTACCATTGGAGCGCTAGACTTTGCTAGGGAGGCCATCGCCTCTTGGCTCGAAGCCTCCTCCCAAGATTCTGTCGACGAAGATCGAGAATTTGAATCTCTTGCCCTCGAGCAGCTTTGGCGCATGATCTTGACGGCGCCACCAAATACTATTGACGCACAAGCTATACACATATTGGTAGAGGTCTACGTAGAAAGCGGTCTCATCCTATCCTTGCCTCGTGCAAAGGCGCGCAGCATCCACCTAGCACTTGTTGATCGTTGTTTAAAACAATTGGCAGGCGCAGCAACTAAGCTCAAGTCGTTCGACCAGAACAGCGTATCCAGTGGGGAAGAGAAGGGTATGGTACTGGTCGCTTCCGAAAACGAATTTCAAGAGCAGGAAATGATCTTCGCGCGTTCGTTGGCCGTTCTACGGGAGTTCTTAAAAACTTATCAGACCAAGCCACAGTTTGCTACACCAAAGTCTAGGTCTCCCTTGTCCGACGCTTCGAGTGCCTTGGAGGGTGACCCGTTGGAGGTCAGGTTTCAATCTTTTGATGGTGATAAGCACACCGAAGTGATGAGTTTGACTCTTGGAAAGCGCAATACGGCAGCATTTTTATTCGCAAGCCTTCAGAAAGCTACGGGCTTCAAGAATTTCAAGGTCTTTTATGGCGGCAAGGGATTCGATCCTGACGAGGTGGACCTCTGCAAGTCATTAGAAGAGTTAAATTTCAACGGTCTTGTCTTGGTGCAACGACGGGATGAGGAAGATGGCCCGGGCCATACATCGGGTTCCAAAACCAGTCTCGAACTGGAGGTCACCAAACACTTGGATGAGTTATGGAGCTACCTTGGTATGCATGAGAAGGTGGCTCAAGAGGTATAAACCATTCTAGTAGTTATTGGACGCATCTGACAAGACTCCAGATTTACTATTTTCTCATTAAATTCCCCGTATATGACCGTTTGCTGGCAGACTTTGATTCTGAGGCAATATCTTACTCGGAGGTGTTCCCCCAAGGTCAGCCGTTCAAGTCTCTGTACGCCATATATGCTCTTCGAGAATATATCAGGGTGCAGTCACAAAAAGTAGGTGCTCAAACAGGTTAAATTGAAGGATGCAAGCTAACTCGAGGGAAGGGGACTGTCAATGGTGGTGCACTAACAAGAGCAACTTCTTTAATTGTCGCAGCAATATCCAATCCAGATGTACTCGACCACTGTTCGGGTGCCGAATTGAAAGATTGCCTTGCTCTTCATCTTATTGACTGTTTTGTCGTTTTTCTGAGAGGTGAGCTATTGTCTCCCTTAATCCAGTAATCCTTGCTGATTCGATATAGAACCAATACTTCCTCCATCTGTTGCTTCACTCCTGAATGATACCCTTCTCAAACGCCTTCTGCAATTACTGTACAGCGTCAAGTCTGTTGCGGCTTCACAGAACTCTGTTCATTTGACTTGGAGATGCTTTGAGGCCCTCCTCGAAGCATCTCTTCAAAATTCAGCGTTTTGGTCCTCGTTCAAGTCGCACCTGGCAAGCACTGCACTTCTAAAAGACCTCCTTCTTGAAGACCCTCGTGTGATTATCAGGAAGAGCGTTGCGAAACTAATCACGACGAAGTGTACCTTCAGTCCCAGGTAAGTCTCCTTCCATCTATAACTGCCTAAAAATTCGAAGACTAATCTATCCCCTAGTCTCGCATGCGTCTCGACGACGGACTTTGCTACAGCATTTTGGCCCATGGTAGCTACTTTGATCCCAATGACAGCTCACCACCCACAGCAGTGTGAGGAAACGTTGTCCTTGGCTCTCACGTTGTTTAAGAAACTGGCAGAGACTTCACTCGAGTTTATTAGTCTCGATGACGTTATCAGGCAATGGGGCTCGTTGCTTCTTTCCCATAATTCCAAAGAAGTAGCAATTTCCACTCCTTGTCTTCGTATCAAGCTGATTAGTTTTCAGAATGTTGGTCACCCAGAGAGCATTGATATGGTCGCTCAGGGTCTGGCAAAGCTCTGCCATACAGCGGCATCCTTCGCAAAAGCTTCCCAGCAACCTTTAACCTGCAGGTATACAATTTTCTACCTCATTGTACCATCACTCATTAATGACAATCTTTTAGTGCGATCGGAGCCGATCTGTTTCGGAAGCACCTTTTCCCCGACCTTTCACTCGATAATACTGATGACAATGATCGCGTCATTGTACCGAGGATACCCTTGCTGAACACCACAACCCGTCACGTAATTTCCGAGACGATATTCCACCTGGTGAAAGATGATGAGGCGCAGTATAAGAATATATTGCTGCTGTTATCAACTCTTGTACCTTACGAACTGACCGACGAAGGTTAGGTGTTTTGCCCTTAGTCTCTGATCTATGCTGACATATGACAGGGCCTTATGTTTACGAACTGCCTTTTATCTTCGAGAGAAGTAAATCTGTTCGATCACCCACTGGCTACGTTGGACTTAGAAACCTCTCTAACACCTGTTATCTTAATTCTTTGTTCACGCAGCTCTTCATGAATATCCCTTTCAGAGAATTCATGTTGACCGCGCATGTTGCAGATGGCGGTGCCTCACAGAAGCTATTATCCGAAACTCAGAACTTATTCAGCTATATGCAGAATAGTCTCAGGAGATTTGTTGACCCTGCAAACCTCGCCGCCTCTATCCGGACTTACGAAGAGACCAATATCGACGTGAGTATCCAGATGGATGTGGATGAATTCTACAACCTCCTCTTTGATCGCTGGGAGAGTCAGATTCTAGCACCCGACGCCAAAAGACAATTTCGATCCTTCTATGGTGGCCAGCTCGTACAGCAAGTGAAATCCAAGGAATGTGCGCACATTTCTGAACGTCTGGAACCATTTTCCGCTATTCAGTGCGACATCAAAGGCAAGAGCTGCCTCCAGGAAAGCCTTCAAGCTTATGTAGACGGCGAGATCATGGAAGGAGGTTAGTAGTCTTTGAGTCCTTCGGAATCCTACGCTAACCTTTCAGACAATAAATACAAGTGCTCAACATGTGATCGTCATGTGGATGCGGTCAAAAGGTATGCATATGACATGCCAAGCAATTACCCTAATTAACCATTTTCTAGAGCATGTCTTAAGGACATCCCGGATAACTTGATCTTCCATTTGAAGAGATTCGATTTTAACCTGCGTACCCTCCAACGAAGTAAGATCAACGACTACTTCTCATTTCCGGAGAAGATAGACATGCGGCCTTATAAGGTCGAACATCTAATGGACAATCCCGATGGGTCTGCCGAAGATGTGTTTGAATTAGTAGGGATCCTTGTTCACTCTGGCACCGCAGAGTCGGGTCATTACTATTCGTATATTCGAGAGCGACCTTCGAACAGTGACAAAGAGAATTGGGTTGAGTTCAACGATGACAGCGTGACCCCCTGGGATCCTAAGTGTATGGAAAGCGCCTGCTTTGGAGGCATCGACTACCGTGGGCCAGTCGATAACGTCAACATGCAGTATGACAAGAGCTACAGCGCATATATGTTGTTCTATCAGAGATCATCAGTTCTTGCGACACAGCAACAGGCATTGGAACACTCGGGAGTTACCAGTCCCATCCGTCTACCGATCTCCCCACGAATTTCCAATCACATTGCGATGGAGAACGAGCTTCTGATGCGCAAGTACTGCTTGTATGACCCGTCCCACACCGCTTTCGTTACCAAAATGCTTGCAAACATGAAGCAGATCAATAAGGGCCGCTGCTCTGATTCCCATAGCCTGGAGAAGCTTGCCCTAACCGTATCCCTGAATCATCTTGACCAGGTAATTGGGCGAACTAAAGACCTTCCAGACTTCCAAAACTTCATGCTGGGGGTAAGACAGATTTGCCACAGCTGCGCGGAATGTAGCAGAGATTTTCTCGAATGGTTTTGTGATCGCCCCGACACTCTTCGCCACCTTCTTGTGCGGAATCCGGATGCCTTGGTTCGCAGTGAGATGGCTTCATCCATCAATTTTGCACTCGTCAAAGTCAAAACAGATGCCGCGTATGCTTATGGACTCGGCGATGATGAGGATAGTATCGATGGCTTGGACGCATGCGAAGACCCTCGGCTGCTCCAGAGAGTGGTGAGAACAATCACCAGGCTGTGGGATATTTTCCACACGAACTGCAGAGCTTGGCCAGAGTACTTCGGTCTTCTGTCATGCATTGCCAATCTAGGAGAGCATGAATCAGTTCTACTTCTGGATGCGGGATTTCTTCGCAAAACGTTAGAGGTCATCAGCGCAGACAATCTGCTGCCTCTTTCGAACCAGTATCAACGTATGATAAGCATTATATCAAAGCGGATCGCCACTAGACCGGTTTCGTACGAGTCCGTGATTAGTCTTCTTCACCGACTAATCGAAACCTGTGACTTGTCCCTTGAATCAATCCCGGACAATGATGAGCGCCTGGAGTCGTCTCTGAATGGTGGCGCAATCCCTCTCACCCATACCGAAAGGCATCTTCTGATGCAGCATTGGACTAGAGGGCAAGCCCATATCCTCACCGAAAAGTTGCTACAGATCCATCAGAATCACAGTGCGACACGCGATATCCTCATCATACTCCTGCATTGTTCAGAAAGTCTGGACCACTATATTTTCCAAGCCATCATTCACGGTATCAGGAGAGGTTCGGCATCTATACCTTGCGGTCCATTCCTCAGAGCAGCAATTCTCTATTGCGAGCATTCGGAGGAGCCACAGGCTATTGCAACTATGGTATTGCATGTTACAAAGGTTGCCAGTCGTATTGAAAACATCGAAGGCAAGGAGTTTCTTCAGTTCTACAAAGACGTTGTCAATTTGGAGGACAACAAAAACGACATCCCAAGAGAGGAGATAATCAAGATATGTCTAGAGCAGGTACCCAGCTGGGCTCCTGGGCTTCTCAACTGCTACGACGGCTCGGTGCGTGAAGGCACGGAAGCTTTTCTCGCGGAAATCCTCCTCCGATACGGCCCTCAGGTAGAACTTGGAACTTCTGCAGCAGAAGTAGAAAAGGCAAATACGATTCTTCAGGTCGCACAAAAGTTAGGAGTTGCTTGTCTCGACTACTTGAACGAGGTTTATGTCAGGCTGCGGCAGCCAGCTGTGAGAGCAAGTTTGGAAAGCATTCTAAACGTGATTGCCACTTGCACGACTTACTTCGACGAAGAAGCCAGGGATCCCCTTACTCGACGATTCTTCGAGATGAGATCAAGTAAGTATTGGCTACAGTGGACCCCAAGCAAGTTAACTAACAGTTCGATAGCCGTTCTCCCTGCTCTAAAAAGATTTACAGTCGAGGAAGTTGACGAGGAAGTATCCGGTATGTCTGATACGTCGTTCAATAGTAGTAGATACTAATGAAGAACAGATTGGGATGGTTCAGAAGGAGAGTACGGATCGTCTGAGCCCATGGACAGTATTGCAGAATTCTGTGGAGCTGTTAACGATGACCTGGATACCGACGTACAGCTCTAAGCTGGATGACTTTACGAATTTCCGAATCATTGCGTCATCCTTTGTTGTTCTTTTTTTTGGCGATGGCTGGCGTAACAAGCGGAATGGGAATGGGAAGCCAATAAAATGCAGGATGCACGGGTTGGCGCACAAGGCGTAAAGATAATATCACCTCGAGCGGATAAACTGTACATGGGTTCGGATACCGCTCGTTTTTGCGCGTTTTATTCTTCGTCTCCTGGGGATCCATTAAGATTGGCATATGGATTGACACGCCAACATGTGGGCTGTGGGCTGTGGACTGTGGGCTCTGATCGATCCTTCCTAGATGGCGTTATCTTTTGCTTCGTGTGGTCGACTGGCTAGTATTACACGGAAGCAAATTTACAGGGAATTGGAAAATAGACGTCGCAAAAGTGCTCTGCGGGATAGAGCCTTTGTGTTAATCGTAGATTTCAAGCTGATATTATTCCAAACAGGTCTCTTCTCTTGCCCTTGTCGGTCATGGACTTTTTCGCCCGGCCATCTCCTTTTACTCACCCTCTGTGACAGACAAGCCCCTATTACATGGCTGACCATTCTCTGCTATGGCTATCGTCGCCTCTCCATTGAGTTCCACCCGCCCACAAAATGGAGCAGTATCATAGCTAGATTGGAGAGGTACTTCCATGGCTGTCTGAAGGGATTATAAGGAGGACTCGAATTAAGCGCGAGGCGGAAGACAATTGCAGTCTGATAAACTTCGCTCGATAGACGCGGAGTATGTAGGTAAGTATAATTGGGTGTGCAGACGGAGTCTCTATCAACTGGCTCTGCAAGCGCGCATCCATTAAGCAAATCCATGTAAGCACTCGATCCTTGCTGCAGCGATGATAATGCAGAGGGCTGCCTGTTTTTAGATGCATAGACGCTGGGAAGTCGCCTTCTTATTGGATGGGAACAGCCGGGTTCCTGCAGAGATTAAAATAGACCTGCCGTTACGCGCTGCTGCACGGGCGATCTACGGATATTGATTGTGCTGCTATGTATAAATAGGATCCCGGGCGTATTCCTCGGGCCACACCAGGGGATGCAATAGAGGGTGTTTTATCAGTAGTGTTCTATTGGGTGTGCTGTCTCTAGCAAGCATTTTGGGGTGTATTTATCCGGGAGATTGCCGGCAATATAGCTAATGGCGGGTGCATCCGTTCTGTCGGGACTCGGGACTCGGGACTTGGTTGACGATGGCGCGTGGATAGCCGCCGAGCTTAGCGTCCGCCAAAATAGAACACAGCACGAGCCCCCTCATCATAACCGGACGCGGGGAAGCCTTATCGGCACATGCAATGCAGTTGGTTCTATTTGCAGTATTCGAAAATGTATTCAAAAGACCGCGATTCCTCCTCACTACTTCAGTGCAACAGGCGCTTGAAGTCCAAAGAGAAAGAAGTTCTACCACGCTGATCTGAAGTAAACCCCCATCGATCAGCTCATCTCATCTCGCACCATCGTCATGTCCGTCGCCAAAATGCAGATCTCGGCGCCTCTAGAGGCTGGTCAATCCCTGCTCGATTCCAAACTTCTGCCGTCTCATCTCAATACAGCTCTGGAATATATATCAACGAAGCTCGTACAGAAACGTCTGCATTTATCCCTTATCGTTGTTCGACGAGACGTTCAGGGGTCGTCTTCAGCCCCGTCCCCACGTACAGAACCAGCTAGTACACCGAGTCAATCCGTGGCTACATCGCCCGCCAAATCAGTGTTTAGCAAGTCCACGATTCATAAGACGCTTCGCAGAGTTTCAAGCCTCTCTTCTCTCGGGTCACCGTCCGAATGCTCGTCGCCGTCTTCGCCGTCGATGAGTACCCCCGTCTCACCCACAGGTTCTACCTGCTCATCATCAGTGTCGGGATGCCCTTCCCCAACTCTCCCTAACCCTTACGGCATATCCTTGATCCATGCTTGCGCTCTCACAGCCAAAGCGGAAAAGATTCTTCGGCATTATGTTCATAAGGCAGAGAAGAAATACTCTATTGGGTAAGCGACCGCTCCACCACCGCCCTCGATCTTCAGCGCTCGAGCTAACCCCTCCTAGAACTGGCTGGCTCTCCTCCCACCCCCTCACAAGCCCCATTCTCTGCTCCAGAACCAACGATCTGATCCGCCGCTCCCTCAACCAAAACAGCGTCGTCTTCTCTTCCGAAGGCCTCACCCTCTTCAGTCTAGACCATGTCTACACCTTCAAATGCCAACTACATACCTACTCCCGCACGCTCGCCCAAAGCGACCTAACCTCCGCCATCGAAGAGCTCCAACGTCTAGTCCTCGCGCAAAACGGCCGACGCATCACCAAAGGCTACCTAATGCGCGCCTACGATTGGCTGGGCGTCAGCCTCGCCGCGCTGGTCGACGTGAACGAAGGGTACAAAGCCGTATACGGCGGGGCGCAACGGCGCGGCGGCATCGAGCTGCAGAGCGAGGAGCGCCGGAGCCCGCCGCCGCTGAAGACGAATTTCCACCCCTGGGAGATCCAGATGCTGGATGGCATGCGCGAGAACCCGATCGCGCGCCGCAAGCTCGTGCTGTGGAGTCCGGAGAGCGCAGGAGGGACGCCCGGTGCGGTTGTGGATGTGGGGGAGAGTGCGAAGGGCAGGGATAGGGATGGGTTGGTGCGCGCGGATGAGGATCGCGGACCGCATTATAGAGGCCCTGCGACGCCGAATACTTGGGAGGATGTCACGCCTGTGACGAGGGGGGAGTGGCTCTGTCTGATGGTTGGGGAGAGCTGGCGCGAGGCGCGGACCGTGCCGGTCATTACGTGCTTTGATTGATCGCCACTCCTTCTGATCCATGATTTCCTTTTGTCTTCTCTTGGTGAAATGGGCTAGTGGACAGTTCCAGGGCTTCAGTTCTTCACACTTCTTCTGTATATATTTTTTGGGATGGATTATACGAGAGCAAGTGCTGCAATCGGATCCGGGCTTGGGTGTCAATAGTTTCAGCGGTTTATGACGGCGTATGGAGATGAAAATTCTTGGGATTTGGGAATCATTGGATAGTACAGATGAGAATAGAATAGAAGACGATCGGAAATAAACGTCGCACATTCTCTAACCAGGTATCAGTGAAAGTGAGGTATGAACCAGGTAATGAATCAGAACATTTTTCATTCTTCGAGGCGAATAATGATTATATATGGCTGCGAAAAGAACTGCCATTTTATCTAAACCCCGGGGCTTTGCGTACCTTATACAGGTGTGTGTTCGTATAGGTAAATAAGGGTATCAAATTCCATGCCTCATCCTCATCACATATATCCACAAACCAGCATCCCGCACATTATTCTCACCACCCATACCTACTACTCGCCTCTGCGCGATTACTCTTCCCCTTCGCAAAGCTCTCCTCCAGCGCCTCCTTCTGGCTCTGCACCGCATTGACCAGCTGCTTCAAGTTATGCTTACCCGGCGCGATCGAACGCACAGGATTATGCACAACCTGCTCGCCCGACGCTCTCAGCTGCTCGTTATGCAGGTATTCCTCATCGGTGTTGAAGTTGATGATTTTCGTAGCCGTGGTGCGGCCCCCTTTCTGGCGCCCGAATAGCTGCCGGCGCTCGGCGGCGCTGAGGTTCAGATCACCGGCGATGTCGTCTAGTGATTGGGAAACGGGCGGGGTGGGAACGGCGGGGGGGATGGCGTGGGTTGTTGTGGGTGTGTGGTCTTCGTAGGAGGGTTCCAAGTCCTCTCCCGGTTCTTCGATTTCGGGGGAGTAGATCATGGGCTTGTATTCTGTATTTGATGTCGGTGCCACGGAGCTCGGCTCTGCTGACATTGAGAATAGAGATATTTTGGGTCGTTGTGCTGGCTTCTCTGGAGCTGCTTGTGGAGTGACGGGAGTGGGAGGAGTGGAAGTTGCGGCTGAGGTACTGGTAGGTGTAGCTTTCTTCTTCTTTGTCGGTTTCCTGGCTACCGATAGAGGCTTGAACATCAACGGCTTGCCAACTAATTTGACCTCTTCGGCTGGCTTCTGTCCGCCATCCGGTAATGCTCTCGGTGGCGGTAGATGCAATCCCGACCCTCCACCTGTCAGCGTTTGCTCGGTTTCTGGTTCCTCCAAATCGCCTGTGTATTCCCGCTCCGGTTCTGGTTCTCGACTGAATCCAGGCGCAGCCCCAGTCTTCAGACTCACGCCAGCTCCAAGACTACCCTTCTTCGCTGCATTGCCGCCACCAAGAGTCGCATTCCCAGATTGACCTGGACGTTTTGGCGCCGGTAGAAAAGAATTGAACCCACTGAATCCACCACCCCCAATCTTAGCTCGCTTGGTAGGAGGTTCATCGGTCTTGGTATCGTCTTGTAATGCGGCTTGAGGTAGAGATACTTTGATTTTACCAGGATTGGATCGGTCGACGACTTTCTGAAAGGCCGGCTTTGAACTGTTCGGTGCTGGCTTAGTTACGGGTGTCGCTTCAACATCTGACGTGTCAGAATCCGAGTAATCAACAAGCCCCATTGTGTAGATGTAAAAGGTGTTGATAGTTAGTTGTCTGGGGAAGAGTGGGAAGGCCGTACCAGAAGGCTGAGGCGACTTGACGCGACTTGACATCCTGCGCTAAAACAAGTATTCACGGTTGAGTTATGTAATATCTTATTAATATTGTGGACTTGACGACCCTGGTTTCACAGTAAGGCTGAGAACAACAACATTGACGGAGTAACTTCAGAACTGGCATTATGGTTCGTTTCGAGTAACCGTCCTTCACATTCACTTTCTTCTGATTCGATAGTGTTTGAGCTTGCTGGCTCGAGTTAACAATACGCAATGTCCGTTATACAAGTAGAAGAGTACGTATTGCGACCCTACCCAAGGTTACCCCTCACAGTGGATTAACAGCTCTACAGTCTGGTATCCTACCAACTACGGACAAACTACCTCAATACGATTGCGGATGGTGTCGGGGAGCGTCTGATCACTCTCAATGATGCTTTTTTGAACACTGCAGGCTTCAAAGCCGCTGGCTGGCGTCCGAATCCTGCTTATATTAAACGAACACACTCACCGCCGATACCTACCGCCATAACATCAGAATACTTTCAGGCACCCCCAAGATCAGTTGGACTAGGCCTCGATGATGAAACCGAGGAGGGTGGCATGGTCACTGGAGGGGGTGAAGGGGTCACAATTGGTCCTGGCCTTGCTACCAAGAGGAGACGAAGACGAGAGCAAATGGAGGAGGAAGATAGTAGTGATCTAAGTGATGAGAGCGATGAGGAAGGCGAGCAACGTGCAGCACAGCAAATCAAATTTGCGAAGATGCCCATCCGAAATCGTTCTGGCTCATCACCACTTCGCAGCTCTAACCTCAGACAATCTTCTACTATATCATCTCCGACGCACACCACCCCGGCAGGCACGAGAAGAGGGTCTCAATCACAGCTAGAGGTTGTGAAGGAACGTGCTAGGAGGGATACTGTTACAAGCAGCGAAATGTCATCCGAGAACGAATTCGATGCATCAGCATTTCAGAGACACCGAGAAGCGGCCAGGAACGCTACCAGAGCTAGCAAGGCGCTGCAAAAGCAAACAGATCCAAAGATTAGAATATCGAGGCAGCATAGTGATCTCTTAGAGGAGGAAGAAGAGGACGATGATTCAGATGGGTCGGATACGTCTTCAGCTTTTGAAGGAAGTATCGATTCAGTATCAATTCTTGATGGCGGCGATCACACCATGAATGGCTCACCAACAAAACAAATTGTTGGCACGGTACCTCGGGAAGTGACACGGTCTGCAGCGAAGAAGTCCAAACCTGCTCCTCCAGTTCTTGAAGCACTTCCTCCCCCGCGGCCTATCAGTATAGTACAGCCGAAGAGTCTTCTAACCGCCGCTATCAAGGCGAAACGTACAAAGGCTTCAATGCCATTTGAGTCTTTCGCCCCGCTTTCAGGGCAAGGAGATCCAAATCCCTTAATGCTACGCATCTGGGCGCCATTTGCGACTTCGACGACAAAGCCATTCGAGGTTCTCATCCGCAGGAGTGTCCACGAGAACGAAGCAAATGACCGCCAAGTCACGGTGGCAGATCTCATTGGTTTGAGTCTTTGGAGATATTCGGAGGAGAAGATCGAGCCCAAGATTTCACCAGAAAAGCTCAATGTTAACCGATGGACATTGAGAATGGTAGAAGATGAGGAAGTTGATTATGACTTCCCAGCCCTGGAGCGAAATAAACCAATTGTAGCGTTCACGACCGTCAATAATCGTGCAGCAAGATCGAGATCGAATGCGAAGGCCTACGATGAGTTTGCTTTGGTTGAGGCAACAGAAGAACAGTTTCAACAGAATCAAGCCCTCACTCCCCATTTCAAGCAAGAGACTGTCGCGAGTGCCCCCATTGATGAGGACATTACGCCAAAAGGCACTGCTGTGTCACAAGCTACGACTTTGGCAGGGACACAGCCACGACTAAACCCTCTTCTGACAACCATGTCTGCTCTCAGGCAGAATGCAACTCTGGCAGACTCTCCTGCAGTAGGATCAGCAACTACCCCAACAGCCACAAGGAATGGTGTCAAAAAGCTTTTGCGAATACATATCCATTCCGCAGATGCAATACCAGGACAGATGATTACTTTGGATGTCACTACAGATACGTACTTGGCCGATGTCCTCGACCTTATTTGCAAAAGAAGACACCTGGACAAGGCGAATCATGTACTCAAATTGACCGGATCAGGGACTGTTGTCCTTTTGGACCGCACGGTTGAGTCCATTGGTAATCGCGCGGACCTAGACTTGTCCCGCCGCAGATTTGCGACTGATGGGCCATTGACAATGTCCGGTTCACCCAGTAATAGCTCTCCTAAGGTGCCATTGATGGCTGAGAGACCTGATCTGCGAAACATCAGAAAGGGACAAATGCTGGGAGTACATCCTCTTGCACAGGAGGCCATAAAGCAAGATGAACTTGGAAGCTCGCATTATCGAAGGTACACAGTCTGGCGGAAACAGCCAATGAGATTCGTTGGATTGAACGAAAAGATTATCGCAATCGATGGCGAGTATCTACACATTATGCCAGGATCGACAGGGAAGACGATGTTTGAAGGGCAAGGGAAAACCACAACAGTACATTTCAGCAATGTAGTTGGCTGCAAAGTCTCGCGGCGGCACCCTACCACATTCAAGGTATGCTTTAGTTTCTTCTAATTACATGATTAAATGCTTATTATATATAGGTCGTTGTGTACAAAGCTACCGAAACGAAGCGTTATGAATTCGAGGCGAAGACGGCAGAAGAGGCCGCAGAAATCGTCTTCGAGATCAAGAGGGGCATTTCACCGTATCACAACATCTAAGGGTCCAAGGGGGACTTTTGAAAGTTTCGGCCTGATCTTTATATCGTGCAATGTTTGTTGCTCTGTCGGCCATATTGACTACGCCAAGACTTCGGATTCCCCGCGGTCTTTAGTCTCTGATCAAACCCGGCAGTCATCAATCCTGACTTGAGCTGACTTGAGAATCTCAAAGCCTCGAACAGTGACGGCAATGGTAGATCTCGACGTAGGGTTCCATGGACGTGTATCTTCCGCAAATGGGCGCTAAGCTGTCCCAATAGAGAGCGAGAAAAGGGAACAATCGAAGTATCGACCTATGAGTTCAATACCAGGTGCTACAAGCACTAGATGCTCTATCCTACAAGCTCAATCCTCTCTCTGATGTACATAGGGATGAACCTACCTACCGTCCTGCCGCATAGTTCAGAGGTTATTAAAATAGGCCATGATGAATGAAATGATGACAATGTAACAACAAACTAAGATCCTGCTTGCTCTCTTGACCCCCTACTCGTATTGTTAACACTATCCAATTTCCTGCAAACATAAGTATCAGCCCTAAAAATGGAATAGGAGTCCTATTTATTATAAGGACCAGACGGCGTCTCCTGCTTTACCCCCCCCCC